GACATCGATCTTTGGATAAATCAATTGTTCAACAAAGCACAACGGCGGGATGCGCTACGCGCGGTGCTTCCGTTTCAAGTCTCGATGATGGTGGAGCGAGGGGGCATGTATTTGTTTTGATGTGCAGCGGTTAGGATCGCGGAATGCAGCGCCAAGAGACTTTGGCTGTTAGATCAGCTAAATAGTTTTCGAAACGTGGTAAAGCGAGAAGCTTGTTAACATAATTCGCATCGAGAGCCCGCGGGAAATTTTTTCGAGGTAACGTGGAAAGTTTTTGTCTTTTTTTTTTTTTTCTCGACGACGGCGAGGATGCCCGAAGCATCGCGCTAAACATAATCATAGTAATAATTAGCTGCGTGAATTTGTTCGAGGATGACGGCGACGTGTGATAATGCCTTAACGAGAATTACGGCTAACGTGGTATTGCGCGGTGTCGAAAATGGTAAACGTGATTGCGGCATGTAGCATTGGCATTAGTTTCGCGTCTGTTTAAATAAAGAAAGCAGAGATTCCGCGAATTCGATTCTGGCACTTGACAAAAACACTCGTGCTGCTGCTGTTGCGCGCACAAAGAATGAGCAAGTGTGCGCGCGAGCGCGTTGGCTATATTCAATGCACTGTCGCTGCGAACATTCCGTTGAACTCATTGTGTCAAGCTATTGCTGCCTATGCCTTTCGAACTGCAACAAGAGAAATTAACCAGAGGTATCGCGCGGTCAATCACTGCACTTCTTCCCTTTTGTCGTTCGAGCAGAAAAAAAATGAACTTCAAATCAGTAGCCGCTGCGCGACCTCTCCTAAGAAAAGCGTTGTTTACGTTCGCCGGCCGTGGATTTTCCATCGCGGCATGTGGAGCGCAAAGCAAGCAGCAGCGAAGGCTTTGAGAAACTTGACGTGGTTATAATTAGAATCGAAAGTGCCGACTCGAAAACGTGTAGGCTTTTTCGCGCGCGTGGGACGTTTCATTGTGTTTGTGTCAGTGTGTGCCGACGACACTCGCGCGAGGGACGCCCAACAAAAATTTTTTAACCTGTCATACGACTTTTTTTTTTATGTTTACATTTAAGACTCGCGACGGTTTCCATGCTGTTACGTTTTTGAGGATTTCCGATACGAAAAATTCATTGTACAATTTCATATCTTGGATTTTTCTTTACAAGGAATCGAATATTTCCATTGTGATTTACACTTTAGACTTTGCATATCTATTTTTGTGTAACTGGCTACGGCACATTATTCTAATTTTGGATGCATCGATCGGTTATTTTTAATTACCGATAAATTTTAGTTTAGCATGTTTTTTTTTATTCACGTAGATTTAATTTTTTTATTTGATGAATTCTCGAACCCAATTTATTACGGTTTTAATACTCGATAACCCGAAAATCCCAAATAAAGAAGGATACCTGATAGATCAGAATTAGCAATTTGAGTTCCACGGTTACATACTATTTTCGAAGTTCACGAAATCGAAAGATTGATACTTACTATCGAGAAAAACAAGACGTTCGAGATAACAGAGAGAAACATTAAAAAAAATCTATGCGTGTGAAGTCGTGATAGATAAAGAAAAATGAGAGAGAGAAATGATATCAAGGCGAGCGGAAAATTATAACGTGGTCATTTGTAAGAAGTTTACTCGAGATTAAGGCATAGAATAGAATAGTGACCGAAAGCAGTATTACACATGTGCCCGGCGGACTCGTGCCCCGCTTTTTTCTTCAAAACTTATCGATAAGTCACGAGCGTTCAGATGCAGAGCGCGATTTCAATGTATCTAAAAACTTGGTAATTTATTGCTCTGTTTACACGGCAGATATATACGAGTTTTCTTTCGTCACAGGACCCTCTTGTCATACGTGAAACTTGCCATGCAATTAACGTGGATATGCGTATCCAATAAGCGATCAACTTGGTTTTTGAAAGAAAATTAATAAAAAATAGTCAATAAATAAATGCTTAAGACATGAAATCTCGTTCCTTTCTTCACCTTATAGTACAATAAAATTTGGCGTTGACAAGAAAAATCCATAGGGAAACGAAAAAAAAAACAATAGTGCGGATAATTGTACACACGCTCGCACTCACACATACACAGATCCGTCTGCGTGCATATGAAATCTTCGATCGCGAGCGCTAAAGAATACGTCAATCGTTGTGTAAAGTCGCCTGTGTAACCTCGTTCGTGCGTCGGCAAAGTATATACACACAAAGACGGGCGTGCAGCATAGAGCTTATAGCTCGCTCGGCAGAGGGTTTAATGATCGATTACAATGATCAAGCCGACGCCGTAAGATGATGGATTGCCACCGCTCGCGGAGAATCGTACGTGAGGAGTTTCGCGCGCGATTATGTATTTTTTTTTCCCGCGCGGGCTGGTGGCGCGCAATGCCAATACGCCGAATTTCGCTTCAAAAACGCGAATCGCGGAGAGCATTCGCGAGCACGGATCGTCGTTTCCTTCTCGGTGCTACTCGAGCGCCGATACAGTTTTCGTATCGGGACTCTTGTCCTCCGCGCCTTCGACGTTGATGCAGCAGCGAGACTTGAATTTGTAAATCGCTGGCCAACTCTATTTCGCGAGCAGTCGCGGCGGCGGAATTTCGAATATTTCCAACGGAACCCGCGAATATTGTTTTGTCATTTACGTACATAGTGCCAAGTGAATAAACATAATTATGACATTCCGTGCGCGAACATGCGAACATCGTCGTCGGCGGCGGCTGTGCGCTCGACCGCCGAGATGAATAAGTAACGAGTAGGTGATTTTTTTCCCCATCTCTTTCGCTTCGCGCAATTATTTATATACACGCGTCAAAACAAAGCGAAAGAGAAAAAAATGGCCTACTGCAGGTTTTAAACAAGTGTCGATTCATCATCGGCGCCTCGCTGCTAACAAGGAATTCTCCGATGTATATACTTTCTCTGACTGCGCGAGGATACGCCTGTGATATTTCGTAACGGTAAATGGGTGTTTTTTTTCCTCTTTCTTTTCTCTCTCTCGCTCTTTCTTTTTCTCGCAAAAAACGAAGGAAAGGTTGATGCGTGCCGTTCTCGATGCGAATTCTTAATTGCGTAGGCTGTGTTGGGTCAAAGCTTCGCTGCCAATTTGTGTTTTAAGACACGCGCGCGAGGTCGTTTGTCTCCTAGATAGACAGAATTCTTTCAGGCGCAAAACCAACGCAAAATTAGAAATTGAGCACGCGCCGAGCTTTCTAATTTTCGGAAGCCTTTGTGACGCAGGATCATTTCGACGCTTTATTTTTGTTATTTTTATTGAGCAATCGATACCCAAGACACGTCGCGAAGGAGGGTGCGGCGGTGAATGAAGTATTTTTACACGTGATGCTTTCGGGGTGGTAAAGAATTGTTAATCAAGCCAGACGAATCGATAATCTCGGATAATGCTCGACGACGAGGAACGGCTTGAATGAAGCGTTAACGAGATCCCTCGGCTAAATGGATAAACAAACGTTGCGTTTTTCTCAGCTTTGACGAGTCATAAAAAGAGAAGAAAATGCCAACGCCAGTCGCACGATTAACCGAATTCGTCCGTGCTTCCACGTCCGCGAGTGTGCATACGAGAGGGTGTTCACGAGAATAGGAGGGAGAGAGATAGAAACCAGAACTATTAGCAGGATATTGAACTTGGGCCGTGGCGCCTGTCTGTCGTCGACTGATGTCATGTTTTGCCGCGCGTACACAACTGTACACGTTGCGTCAGGAGCGCGAATTACATGTCATTTTTATTCCCGAGAAACGAAAGTTTCTCTCTCCGAACGATGCAACCGCGCCAAGTCCGTGAGAAGTGCTCGCGTCAAGTTCACGGAGCGAGTGCCCTCGCCGTGGCTCTCTTTTAATAAAGCCGTGCGTATATCGCGATCCGTCGCCTTCGGCGGCTCGTCCGAAGGAAAAAAACTCCCAATCGCCGTCGTCGGCGCTTCAATAAACCGTTCCACTTTCGTCGCGTCGGAGAATGCACGCGCGCCGCGGCCTGACGTCAGCGGCCTATCGTTTCGCCCGCGCTCCCGCCGCACGAGGATCAATCGCGCGAGTCATGCGTAATTACGCCGCCCGCCACAAAGAAAAGAATCCGCCGCAGCTGGAATTTCCGTTCCGCGTCGACTTTGCTTAACGGGAACGCTGTTTCTTTCGTTATTCGCTAGCAGGTGGCTATTTCGAGCCACGCGCCGTCTCCTTTTTTTTTCTCTCTCTCTTCTTCTTTTCCGCCTCTCGCCGCGTTATACGTGCGCTTAATTCAAACTAAATCTTTTATATAGCCAAGGTTGCAGAGGCGCGCGCACGCGAGCAAACCGAAGACAAAAAGAGATTCGCGAGTTTTCGGCGACTTCGTTCGTTGTCTCCTCTTCGCTCGCCGCAGAGAGAATCGTCTATTTTTATAGCGTCACGCTTTTGCCCTTGATGCGGATTATTACTGCTTCTTCTCGATTGCAGCCGCGACGTTGAAAGGAAACGCGCCACGCGCGTTGGACGGCTGCGCGTGCAAAAATGAATATTCATCGATTGTTCCATTTGGAAATCGAGCAACTCGGTCGCGTGGTGGAATAAGCGAAAACTGATAAAATTTCGCAAGATAAAACTCGCAGCAGCGGCACACATCGCTCGCGGCCGGGAGCACGTGCTACGAAGGCAGCGACTCTCGGTCGATGGACTTTCGTGGTCTCGGCTGCGCGATAACGAGCGCGAAACGCGGATTCGCCAAGTTTCGGGCGATAAACGAGCTGCGAGAGCCAGATGAGAAATGGAATTTTTAATGAGTCGTCGGGCGGAGATTAGCAGCTCGTAATTTGGAACGATTGAAAGGCGATCGCGATAAGATTTGGAGACGCTAATTGCGAATCGGCGATGCTCGCGCGCGTCGTCGAGGCAGGCTGCACTGATCGGCGCGGGAGGGAGAGGAACCGTCCTCCACCGTCGAACGCCAAGAAGCCAGAACACAGTCGGCGCAATCTCACACAGAGCTCCTTTTCCTTTCGCAGAGGCAACGCTTTGACCTGCGACAACATCGAGCGGGTATCAGCAAAAAAGTACAGTGCGCGTGTGAACAATAACATAAGAAAGAGAACAGAGTTGAAAAGACTCGTCGGTGGATGTAGCGTCGGTTTATCGTCTGGCTAGGCGTCTCGTCGGGGCATATGGCCCTGGACCATGCTACCATTCGCAATATGCACCATACGAATCAACTAGGTATGTTGTCGCTCCACTCTGTTATTTCTATTGCTAAGCGAGGTGCGCGACGCCCACTGGCGCGTCTATCCGAACTGGACGCGCACGACACAGCGGCGCCGCGAGGGGGCTTGTCTAGTTCCAAGGCGATTCTTGTTGACGCGTCCGAGAAAAGCTGGCCGCTCGGGAAACGTCGTCTCGCCGCCCGGCGTCGATTATTTTTGGCGAATATCGGGCCGCGAATAGCCCGCTCGTCCCTCCGAGCGGCGCGATTCGCCCGCCGGACCGCGCCGAACGTAAACATCGCGGCCCGAGAGAGCCTACGTCGACGCTCGGCGGGAATCGAGGCGCGCGACGCCACGTCCCGCGCAAATGTCAGCCCGAAAATAGCCAGCGCTCGGCTAATCTCGGAGCGGCCGTCCGCCAGCGCCGGCGTTCGGCCAAAATCGGCGCGCGCAGCTTCCAACGCGCTCTGCCTCGCGACCCGCCTACCTGTCCGGCGTGGCAGTGCCTCGCTGCTCGCGCGAGCTCTGCGAGTTTGTTGGGCGAGCGAGGCCGATCGGCGTTTCCAAGTCCACGTTCGTCGCGCACGGAGCGTCACTCGTGCGTATTTCATCGCGGGCGGAACCGACGGCGCCACCTTGCCGGAGGAGTGTCCAGTCCTCGGCGACGCGGATATTTCTGCCGGCTGTCGATCCGAGCCTCTCAAAAGTCCGTGCGCGAACTTAAATATAAACGCGCGCCGTATTCGCGACGCTTGACACACTTATCCACGTCACTTTTACGCGCGCGCCCAATGCTCGCCGCTGTGTCTGCATCGACGTCGCCCCGCGCACATCAAATTACAACGACGCGCGCGGATTGATCTCCGATGAAATATCCAAGCCGCCTTCTAATTTTAAAAGTCTCGCCGCCGAGTCAAATCACACGCGCGCGCGCGATCCGAGCATTATTAGGTCGAGCGTTGGAAAGAGAAGTGGACAAAAAAATACGAAAGCGGCATGCGGGCTTTCGTCGGAGCTGTTCGCAAAAAAACTAGATCATCTATAAATAGCGGCAGAATCCCCCCCGCTTAGCCAAGATAAGAATTATCCGTCGTCGGCTCTAATAATAGGCGTCGCCAATTGAAAAGGCTCCACGACTGCTCGGAAAAGAAAGAAAGCCGCGAAGCACAGGTTTCCGCGGGCGCTGAATTCGTCGGCGACGTTATCGGCAAAGCCCGCGCTCTCGATACAGAGAGCGAAAGAGGCGTCGTCGACGGCAGAACGAGAACGCGCGCGCAGATTTCAAATATAGATGACGAGAGCAGCATGTGCGCGCAGGAAGATTCGTTTCCTGTTGCGCGGACTCGCGGCGCGCGCCGTCGGTTTTCCCGAAAACACGTGGAAGCGCGAGAGGCGGCCAGAGGGACTGCGCTCCGCCGGAGAGCTGCTTCGCCGCCGCTGCCGGCCAGAAATAGACCTGGGCCGCACTCTGGCTGGCGGCCGGCCCGTATTTTTAGGCCGACCGATGTCTAAATCCGCGCATCTCACGAGATGAGACAAAGCCGTGCGCGTGTTCCGTTACGAAATTGCTCCGCTCGCTCTTTGACGCGCTGCTTTTTGCTAATCGATGCCCCCCCAGGTCTTGAGCCTCGTTGTTGCGCCAGAGGAGCATTTTGAACGAACGAAATGGCCCGGTAATAATGCAAGCCAGCCATTGTTGCCGATTTTTTTGTTTGCTCTGTCAAGAAGAAACAAGCGATCTCTGTTTGAAGAGCGAGGGGAAAACAAGTGGCTCGTGACAAGTCATAAGCTGCACGCACGTTGCACGTGCTGTATTACGAAAAAGAATAATTTCTTTTTCTCACTCGTGAATTCGTGAACGACGCGACGTATCCGACTCTCTACTGAAAATAGAAAAGCGAAATCGTAATTGACGAGTTGAGCAAGCAATCGCGTTATAAATAGCACTACCTCGGTTATAAATACCAGAGGAAGAGGTTAATAATAAACACTTTGATCGTAACGACGACCGCGCAACGTCCGCGTCTCTCCAACGCGAATTATACGGTACGGTTCGAGATTCAATCGTGGTCTTCTTCGCCGCCGTCGAGTGTGGGCCTACACTCGACGACGGCGGCATTATTCTCGGCAGGCGCTTTTCGGCTCTTAAGGTGTCTGTAGGTCAAGCGAGACGCCTCGCGTCCCTTTTCTGAAGCGAGAGGTCAGACATTGTTTTTCCATCTTTTCGGGGTTGTTAATTGCGTCTGCGAACGACTGCATCGTTTAAGCTCTTTTCCGAATAGCCAGCCGTGAATAAAAGAAACGGTCGTTAGCTATTCCTTCGTAATTTGAACCTGATGCATTTAACCTACATTTCCTAAAGTGGATTCGACGTCGGAATAGCGCGTCGCGTTCGAAACGTTCGAAATGATCGCGCGCCGCGTCGATCTTTATCAATTGTTCGTCGCTATAAGAAGCGCCGAGCTCGCGATGAATCCATAAACAAGTTGAAAAGGGTATAAGTTCACGAACGAAAATATTCCGGACGTCGCGCTCGCGAAGCTCTAAAGTGTGGCGACGTAGGGAAGGAAGGGTCGATAAGACGAAAAGGACAGTGAATTATTATTGCACCGCCTTTTCGCGAGTCGCGCTGCACGCGGCTGTACACGCGATTCGCTTTATCATCTTTGCTTTGTTTACGAGGACGACCATGATGACCGCTACGTTTCTCTTGATACGTGTTGCGCATTGATACCGTCAATGGGGACCGGCTGTTGTTTTGAGTTTATATTTCCAGAGGAACACGACCCGCCGAAAGAATGCCGTTGCAACTGTTATTTACGAACGCGGGAGTAGAAAGACGAGACGCAAAAAGAATTAAAAAGAATAGCAAATAAAGCTACGGCTGTTGATTGAATCTTACTACGGCTGTTGTGCTGGAGATTAAATTATGATTATTTGCTCGTGCGTGTAACGCGACAGCGTTGATTTCCAATCCAAACATCGCAGAACATTGGGACGGCGACAGCTGCGCGCGAGACGTCAACCACCTCGCTCGGCACGCGCGCTCTCGGCCTTCTTGCTCTTCCGATTGCACAACGACACTTTCCCGGGAGCGTCGTCGCCGACGTCGTCGTGGAAAGTCAGCTTCGTCGTATAACGCGGCCGACGACGCGACTGACGACGCGACCTCCAAAGAGCACTTGCGACTTCGACGAGTTTCTCTCTCGCGCGCGCGCAAGTACGCCGATCGCTCCAATTGGCGCACGTGTCCGACGAAATTGCCGCGGCGAAACGCTGCCGATAAGCGGGCGAGAGTCGGAGGAAAATAAAAGTCGAAGACGCGATTGTGCAATCGCGCGAGGATGGCATAACGCACGCGCCGTGCGGCAGCATTCCGATAACGCATTGCGCAACCCCGGCGCCGCGCGCCCGTAATGCAACGTAACGATGCATTATTTCGCGCGCGTAACGCGCGGCGAGGTCCAAGTGCGCGCCATCGAAGCGACGACGGACCCGTGCCCCCCGGCGGCTCTCGCCGACTTCTCGCCGACTTCTCGCCGATGACGCCTCCACCCATTGATCATCGAGTCGGATAACGAGCCGCCTCCCTTTCTCCGCGCCGACGGTGGCGAACTTCCGCCGACTCCGAGTCAACGACGCCGCGCGCACGCCAGGTGCAGCAGCATACGGATTGCGCAACGGCACGGCACGTGCAGTCACGCGACGACCAGCCGCACTCGCATGGGGGATTATCAGTTTGTCGTAATCGCCCATGGTGCATCGCTCCGTTCGTCAAAATCAACGTTTTTCTCCTCTTCCTTCGAGAGAACGTTTCAATTTCGGATATTCCGGGAATCGCCGATAAATCCACCTGTGACTTGTAACGCCGATCGTGTGACTCCTCTCGAGCGGAGAAAAATGTTAATCGAGATGCGTGGTCGGCTCGTGAATCACCCGCGCGCGGCGGCTTTTCACGGAATCGCGCTAAAAATAGCGGCTAACAAAAGATTCGCAAGAAGCTATTTTGCGTCTTGAAGCTGAGCTTAACGCTCGCGTCCTTTAGCTTGGGAAATAATGCATTATAACCGTGGTTGTTGCTCGGGCCGACACAATTTACATCGCGTGTCGAGTTTCGCGCCTTGTTTATCTTCGCGCGATATCAAAACTGTCGTCGCGCTTCGGAATATAAAATGTAAATTGCGAAGTGACTCGGGTGCGACGATACGCGAAGGAAAAATCGAGGAGATATCGTCAATTAATGTCTACGTGCTCCGTTTCTTTCTTTCTTTCTTTCTTTTTTTTTTTTTTTTTTTTTTTTCTTTTCGGCCTGTCCTCGGACCGACGCTCGCGATTTAACAGTCTTCGCTAATTGCCGCGATACGTACGAGAGAACGTTTTTATCTGCTCCGGGGCAAATTGTTTGATTCATTGGACGCCCTCTCCGGGATTAATTCGAGTTTTCGCTTTCGACGTGCGCGCGATTGATTAATTTATATACGCGCCGAGTGCCGATTTTTTTTTACGTTCTCGTCATTGTCGAAATGAAAGAGGTGATTCGCGTGGCCTGGGATTCTTTCGTACGCTAGGTCAATAGATCCTTCTCCGTTACGATCGATCCCACGAAGCTCTGTGATCTTGCCAAAGGAACAGAGAAAACTTGACGACACTGTCGACGCATGATTTTCACGAATTCCATTCGCAATGTACTTCGCAAAAGAGTCAGCTATTGAGATGGTTTGAAAAATAATGAAAACCGAATGGAAAAGGACGAGATAAAGCGGAGTCGTATCGATTAAACGACGACGAACATTGTAGCTTCTCGAACGATTGGATATCAATCAGTAGCCTGTCTCTTCCAGGAAGTTCGATTCTTGTTGCATCGCTCGGATCGCTCGAGATGCCCGCAGTCTCGTGAAAGAAAAAAGCAAGACAACTTTCTTCGGCCGCCGCTATGTTTCTCGTGTTGCGGATGAAGGAGATAGGGCACTTGTTGCATCCGGCCGAGCAGCTCTTGCGTGCGTCTCGGGGCGAGCTCGCGCACAAAGAAATGTGTCAAGTTTATTCGCCTTCGATCCGTATACGCGAAAACGATCCGCACCACTGGCAATCGTCAGCGAAATCGACGTCTCTCATCTGGATGCTCCCCAATATTTCACTTGTCGATCGCTCTTACGTCCCGGCTGACGCTTTTAGCCCTGAGAACAGCAGTTTCTTTTCTCCTGCCTCCCTCTGCAATTCACCTCGTAGGCACAAATCGCATCTCGAGCCTGCGCGAGTTACGCAACCGCGCACGCGCTTTTATAAATACGGCTTATTGGCTTCGCGGCAAAAGCGACGTATTTTTAGCCTCGCGCGTCTCTTCGCTGCGTGGCGCGGCTCGACAATTGAATAGTTGTGCATCCGCGACATGCCGGAAGATATGCGTTCCTTTCGTTATTCTCAGCGCGTACGCGCGAACGTAAGATGTCGTTTTTCTTTTTCCCGGGCGCACCTTCGATTTTCGAAAATCATTCGTGGCGATTTCCATCTACGTCGCGGCTCGTCGCTTCGAACGTCGAGCCGCATTAGACGTAAATTTATAATGAAAATATCTTCCGTATTTCGCTCGAATTTTTCATCAACGAGAACTGATAATCCGCGACGGCCAATCCGAAAAGCACGATTATTTCCAAAGCGATCGGTCATGTTATCTCGGCACGTCTATTTTAACAACGTGGCATTAGTCAAAAGAAACTTTGACTTTTCGCTGACCCCTTCGCGATTACCTAACGCGCGAGCGCGCTTGCGCAATTGCGCGCGACAAGCAGCAATTAAACTTCACCTTTCGAGCTCGCGCGCGTCGAGCGATAATAACAACAAAAGCGCGGGCGATAACGGGCGCGCTCGCCGTCTCGACGCCGGCCAGTAGCGATCGCCCGAGAAATCCTCTCGTAGATAACGAAGTTTTCGCGCTTACGCGCGTGCGACCGTCCAGAGATCTTTATTGCCCATTAATGATTCGAGAGCTCGCTTTGGCCTTTGTTCGCTTCCTCCTATTTTTTTTTTTTTTTTTTTTTTTTGTTTTTTCTTGTTCTTTTCTCGCGACTCGTTGCGCAAGCTGCGCGCCCGCGAGCTCTTTATCTCTTGGCGGCCGGTCATCGCTTGCCAACGGCTGATTAATCGTGACAAGCTCGACATCTAATTGCAATTCCATGTTCCTTTTTGTCAGTTTCGCTGCAAACGCGCACCGCTCGATTTTTCCGTCGGTGTGGGGATGCGAGCTTTTTCTCTGTCTCCCCGTGGTCGATCAACTTTTGTCGCGATTTTTTTTTGAAACGTCTAATGGAGCGCCAAACACGCGCGCGCTGCCGCGTCCTATTAATCGATGTCGTCAAACGCTAACCCACATAAAAGCTCGTATCAATTACACATATTCGACACTCAGCACTAATTAAATTTCAAGTATGACTCTATAACTGAACGTTGGTCTAAAAAATTGACCTACAATTAAGCCTACATCATACACCTCTTATCTCGTTAGAGACAAATAGTGTCACAGCGTAATTACGTGTATTGCGAATGTCTGTTATTGAATTTTTAATCGATGAATTTTTCTTATTCATGACCACAAACTAGAAAGTGACTAATATCTTTGACATTTGTTTCAGAAGACGTGGGTTATAGGAGCGTTGAAATCACGTCCGCCTTCACGCACTTGCCGCAGAAAGGTGAGTGTTCTATGACTTGCATTACTAGATGACTGGTGGCGATGTAAGATGTTGCTGAAACTGCAAAGAATCGTAGATTTGTTCGTTTAACTGCGAATCGATGTCGTTGACTCGGACGACCAATCGAGACGCGCAACCCCTTTCAATTTAGCGAAATTGTACGATCTTACCCCCCCCCCCCCCTTCCGTCATCGAGGTTGGATCAAAGGTCCCGCCGTCGGCGAAGAGCTCGATGTTTTCGCGGACGCGATGACGTCAAGCTGCTAGCCAGCTATCACTTTCTCCATCCCATCTGCCTTTGACTATATGCACTAACTTCTCGCTGGACTTTGCTTTGTTGCCGGAATTTCTCCATTTAATTTTTAGCGCGAATAAACAGCCGCGACAGCTTTATCGTTCCTTGAGCAAAAAGAAAATAAAAAACAATCTTTTTCTTCGTTTGATTTCCACCGTCATCGAATTGCTTTGTTTTTTTATTCTTTATCACTGGATTTTCGTACACGAAGATCGATTAGCCGAAGTATTTTGTGCGCAAAGCCAAGAGCTCGCCGAGAGAGAAAGAAACGATCTCTAGTTGCATAAAACGACGAAACAGACCGCTTCAGTCCGAACGATATTGTGACGAGGGAAAACGGCTGGTCTATAAATAGGCTTTGCGAGATAATGAGTAAAAATAGACAAGAGAGCGTGCTTTATTTGTCAATTAAAACCGGCGTTTCATCGAACGCCGATAAGAGAAGAGAGAGAGAGAGAGAGAGAGAGAGAGAGAGAGAGAGAGAGAGAGAGAGAGAGAGAGAGACCAAAGTCGCTGAACGGCGTCATTTCCAGCGCATTGTGATCTTCTACGTGCCGGCCGACTTCGTGATCCCGCGAGGCGGTTGAACGGCTTTAAAATTATTCGTTGCGCAACGCCGCTGTTCAATGAGGAAGTATAAAAATAAAACCGGACGCACTTTGCAAGAGAGAGAGAGAGGGCTAATTAAGTCTCTGCCAGCGAAAAATTTTTCGACTTTCGCGGCGCGATACGCACGTGGTGGCTTTAATGAACTTGGCTTTGTGCCGGAAAGGCACCGAGAGCGTGGCGCCTTGCGCAACGACGACGAGTAAAAATAGCACATTGTGCAGCGTGGGAGAAAATTCAGCCGTTCCCTTGCGGGTGGGTGCCGAGGGTGGCAGTGACGCGAAGAGGATGTGGCCCAATTTTCTCCGAATCAGCACGCGCGATTTATCCGCATTCCAGGTGTATGACTCGGCTCGCCGAAATTCGGGCGCGCGATCGCTGTCATTACCGACGAGGTCGGAAAGTGTTTACGCGCACGTTTTACGGGAAGCGAAGAAGAAGCGCCAGGTGCGCGTGCGCGAACGTAGTACCTTGCGGCCGGATCTCGGCATTGTCCTTATCGCGGGAAGATAGAACGACGACGGACACTTGCAATTTCGAGGCCGGAAACGTTGACTTTGATCTGGAAATTGACGTCAATTGTTGGGCATGAGCACAGGCGCGATGCTTTGAAAACAAACAAGCAAACAAAGCAAAAGCAATAGTTGTGCGTACCAACGCAAAACGCGAGTCGAACTACGCACCGTCACTGCTACATACGTCTCCTTCTTTCACTTTCTTCTTTTTTTTTTGCAATTGCGTTGGCACGCGATTGCCCAATAGACTCGTGCATAGTCGAACAAGCATCGATTGTAAGCGTCACGAGGCTTCCGATACTTTGAAAGCCTTTGTAAATAATTTTCAATGAAATGCTTTATCACCTTGATTTGTAATAATTGCTCGATTAGATTGCAAGTTAGATTCCAATTAGTTCTCAATAGAAAAAGTCGAATGGCGCGATATTATAGCAGCCCAGCTAAGATATGACGTTTATCGATCGTTCATCTCGAGTTACCGCTTTGACTGCACGCGAATGCTTCTCAATTCACGCATCCGCCAAAGTAACGCCGTGACTGTGCGAAAAGAAATGCAAGCCAGGTGAGGCTGGGGAGGAACGGGAAATAAATCGCAAAGAGAAGAAGCAAACAACTGGAGCTTTGTCCGTCGCGAAGAGAGGCCCGCGACGGCCGATCGAGCAATCGAGGACGAAGAACGCGAAGGCAAAGCGCCCCAACGGTGGATTACGTGCCCGCGGCGGGAAAGTCTCGTCGAGTCCGTAGCACGTGAGAATTGACGCAGGTAATCTACTATCGAGCGCGGCGGCGCCACCCGCGTGAAAATCGGGCGCGCAGGCTGTAAAAGCGAGAGATAACCGATTTGGTCGGCCCCCCACTCCGCGGACGCGAGCGTTTCGATGATGCCCACTCAGCGAGAACTCGGCCGGCGCAGATATTGGCCCGCAGCGAAGCGCCGGCAGATCTCAGTCGGGCCTCGACACTCGTAGCCGCCTCGCGCGCTCGATCCCTTGTCGCGTCCTCGCCGCACCGACTCGTGCAAAGGAGAGGGCGACTGATCGCCCGCGAGCGAAAATGCGTTTCATAAGCGATTGCGCAAGTGCCTTCAGCCCGTACAAGCCCGATGATTGCTCGTACGGTCAGCGCAAGATGCCGGACTATCGCGAGCACCATCACCACCCTCAGCGCGGTAACAGCGCGAGACTCATACCAGCGGACTTGTGTTTCATGTGCGTAGACATGGCGCGCGACACTCCGGGCTCGCCGATGTCGAGGTCGCGCGAGCACATCGCCGCCGGCGCCACGGCTGCGACCCTCACCAGCGGCACCTATCACGAGCACGCCGCGGCCGCGGCCGCCGCCGCCGCAGCCGCCGCCGCCATCCACGGCAACGTCGTGCAGCAGAGGATACTCGAGGTAATGTTGACGTCTTTTGTCTTTCTTTTTTCTTCTCGAGCAGAGTAGCGAGTCCGCAAAGTTTGTCCAAGCTTTTCCCGGGCTGGGTCCCGCGACGCCGTCGTCGACGCGTCCCGGGAAAGCGGACGCGGCCGGGTGATTTTCTGTCGGTGTCGCCGTCTCCCCCCTGGCCCCTCCTCCCAACGGAAACGGCGACCTGATAAGCGGCGCGCGCTTTGTGTATTGGCGGCTCGCAGGCACCTGTGCCTCGAGTGCTTTATCGAGAGCTTTGCCTCGATTACTAAGCAAACAGGTTATTTTTGGATGGCAAACGATAGCAAGGCTGTTAGGTGAAAAACAAAAAAAGAAAGCGGTAAACGTGCGCGTGCGCGGCGTTGAGCTCCGACAGCGGCAGTCGAAAAATCGTTTCGAGCCCCGGACGTCGACGTCCAAACAACGGGGCCGATTGGCGTCGAGAGGCACCCTACCCCCACCCTACCCCGCGCGATAGCTCATTTCTCGTACGGCTGCTCGTATCAAGCAGACGAGATTCCGATTAGCTGCTCCATTAATTAGCCCGACGGCACAATCGCTTCTGAGAAATCGGTACACGCAAATTGGGCAATATTTACTCAAGATTATACACCGATGATTTCGTGTTTTTCTCTTCTTTTTATTACCAGACGCGCAAGCGCGCTTGAATTATCTACAAAGTCGCGTGTGCGGCTCCTTCGGAACACATGCCTCGTGCCTCGTGCTCGAGAAAGAGAGAGAGAGTTCAACGTTTGAACAATCCCAGCTTCTATTCGGACGCTTCGCAGTGATGAGTCTTCATTCGAGAACACAAGTGAACGCCGCGCGAGCAGAAGGCTTATCGAGCTCGCTATCTCTCGCTCGGTTAAAAATAAGCGCCTCGGAAAAGGAAAGAAGAGAGACATCCACGCGCGCACGGCCGGCGCGCGCGGATATCGATTCGCGATCCGCCGCGACCGCTCGTTCTCTCCGCCAAGTTCAAGGCCCTTTGCGCGTATCTCGGCCGCGCGATCTCCTGGATTTCGTTCGGCGTTCGCGCTCACCCAGTATTTCTCGTCCGCCCTCTCGCGAGTCCCGTTGGACGAGTGAAATTTCCAATTTTTATTAGCCATCCAGCCACGCGTACTTCCAGCGCGAGCAACGGTAGCGGACGGCCAACAAACGATCGTCCGCTGGAACAACTCTTCTGCCTCGGAAAAACGAAACTGCTGCTCGAATTTCCGTCCCCCATGTAAATTATTCAGCCGGTATTACCAAACATTAGCGTATCTCTTGATCACTGGACGTCTGCGGGTATCGCGAAGGTCGCACGAGAAATAAATTCACGGCACCGCGACCCTCTCCAAGGTTTCTCTCCCGTCTAATAGAATACGTCCGGGGCTCCAACTCACTCACCCCCTCTTATCGCTTCCGTCGCCAACGGAGAAAATTGATTCTCTTACCCTGACCTTGCTCGCATCCTTTATACGAGTAGGACGGGATTTTCAGCGCGTGCAAACCAACTTTTCCGAATCGACGTTCTCCTGTTTATTTCAATTTGTCGCTTCTCTTCTTTTTTTTCTTCTTCTACGCTCTAAGGGTAAGTAATAAGCTTCAAGGTCTTGCCTCGTGAGCAAATTGGTTTATCGCCGCGACACCATGTTTCATTTCATCGCGAGAAATCAAAGACACGAAGTTTTACTTTTTTTTAGGTTGATTTATTTTATTATTTCTTTTTACATAATCGGTGGTCAGCGTCCCCCTCCCAAATTTCGAAATTATTTCCGATCATCCGAGAAGTCGACTACATTGCGAATCACGACGAGAAAAGGAAAAAAAATACCTATTCGATCGCGCGAGAAAGTATAAAATTTCATTATTTCGGGTCGCCGCGAGAATCATTCACGCTCGACTTGGCGATCGGTTCGCGCCTCGGCGCGTTTCTCTTGTACGGCGGATCGTCGTTGTGTTTCTTCGTTTTTGTCTTTTTTTTTGTTTTTTTTTTCTTTTCGTTTGTTTTCCCCCGTCAGTACTCTTCTTCCAGCATGGCATCTCCGTGACATCCGAACCACAGACAGCTCATTAGCGTGACGCCCAAAGCCGCGATGACGAGCGAGCCGTGAGCTGCCAAATCGATCCCCGAAATCTCCTGTAGAGGTGGGGGGAGAGAAAGAGAGAGGGAGAAACAAATTTTGTTTTTTCGCGCTACGGATTCTCGCAGGTACATAACGGTTCCGCGATCGAGATCTTATCACGAGGCCGAAAATGAGCATCCGACGTACCTGAAATGTGGCAACGCCGTAGAGGAGCAAAGCGGCGAGTAGGAGCTTGATCAGCGCGTTGTTAGCGAGGAATCCCGTCTTATTGGCGAGCTGGCCGCGAGCCGCGTTGAACTTGTCAATCCAGGCAACAGCCTCGGTATCTACGGCGTCATTATTAATCTACAAACCGCGATTGCGCCTCGTCAAATGCCTGTCCGCTTCGATCGCCGCTCGTCCCCTCGGCCGGCAAAGGCGCGACTCGGCCTCCGGGGGCAGCCGCGACTGGCCGCAAGAGAAACGAGAACGCGTCGCCGGAGCTTTCGACGGGGACAGGGCGCGCGGGGCTCACCTGCGAGTACGTGAGGGTGACGGCGACGAGGGGCGTGCGGCAGAGCGGACAAGGCGGCGGCCGGCTGCGCTTGTGGTCGGCCGCGTAGACCTCGCAGTAGCGGCGCAGGCACGCGGCGCACATGCGGTGGTCGCAGGCGGTGCGCACGCCGATCCGGGGCGGCTCCAGACAGATCGGGCACAGCTCCGTCGCGCCGCCGTCCACGCTGCTCGGGCTTGGGTGCGCGCGTCTCGTTATCGGTGCGTCCACGACTCGCCGGCACACGGAGCCCCCGACTCACCCGACTTCCGCTCGCCGGGCACTCCTCCTGCCCCTCGGGCCGGACAGCGCGCCGCACTTCCGCGCCCGAAGCCGGTTCTTCAGCGCGCGCACCAGGCGGTAGCCGAAGGCGAGCGCGGTCAGGCCGGCCGCGCACAACTGCCAGTCGACCGTGGCCGTGGCCGTGGTCGCGTCCTCGGCGCCGCCGCCGCCGCCGCTCGTCTTCATCGGGACGCCGACTAGCCGATGAATCAGCCCTCGCGAGCGCACCGCTTCCGTGATGTTCATCGCGACGTACCTTGTCGACGACAATTTTGCGAGAGAAAAAGAGAGAAAGAGAGAGAGAGAGAGCATCGGTGCGGGCGGGCGGGGGGAGGGGGGCGCTGATGGTCCGACGGGTGGCTTGCTAACCTCCTGATTCCGTTTGCGACTCACGGCGCGCAGAGGCGAGATCGACCGCGCGAGCGGACGCGACTGTTTTTTGTTCGATGCGCGCGCCTGCGCAGGTCGCCGAGAGAGGGGCCCAATTAGTAGGCCCGCGCGGCTGATTGAGCTTGATTTTCGCGCAATTCGCGACGTCCGGTTGCGCGAGCGACGTCCGATTCTCGCGCTCGGGCAACGGCTTCTGGTTCGCGCAGCGACAGGTCGACGATGCCGTTCGTCATCGCCGGCGGGGGTCACGTGAAAAACCCGCGCGGCTGGAAACAACGAAAAGCGCGCGTCTCGTCGGCCATGTCGGAGCGAGTTCGGCGGAAGTGACTTCCGCAAATCGAAAGTCGCGATCGATCGAGGAATATTGCAATGGCAATTCCCAAAGCGCGTGCGTCGCGTTGCCCGCGCGAGTGAACGAGGCACGATGAAAGTGCAGGTTATTTCCAAGGGAAACGCGAGCAACGAGCGTATGCCGCTCCCTGGGTTGCAGCCGGCGAGGCGCTAATTTTCCTCACGGAAGCCGCGCAACGCGCACGAGACTCGCGAGCGAAACATTACGACGACGAGTCGGGCTCAATTGAGAGTGTCGCGCGATTTCTCGACCGCGCGAATACGCCTTGCGCGTGTCCGCTCGGCCGTCGTTCACTTTTGTCGCAGTCCACGCTAGACACGCGAGCGCGGCCTCGCTATCGTTCTGCAGCGCATCCAAACGCGAACCTGGCGAACGGGCTGGCCGTTCGCCTACCAAGTCGACGAGTGCCTCGCAACGAATCACCGGCCGGTTTTCAACTAGCCGACGAACGACTGCCATTGGAAAGTGCCAACGCGGATGTGCTCGCGTTCGTATCGGCCGTTTTTATCGCTTATGCGCGGCTGTCAACAATACAATATCCGTCGCATGCCATATCGCCTGGGATGCGTCACCGGGGCGAACAACTCGGATTTCAAAAGAAACGGGAGGGGCGGAGGGGCTTGCTCGTTCGCGCGTGATCGACGATGCTTCGCTCTGGAAATTTTGGGAAATCTCATTTGCAGCGGTATTGACACACGTGTGCCTGTCGAACGGCAAGGAAAGCAAGGCGCGCGCGAGAGAGCGAGAGATAACGGCGGAGTCGACGCGCGATAAAAGGCGAGAGGAGAAGCTTTCGGCGGACGCGGTCAAACGGGCCCGCGCGCTGGCGATTCGCTCGCGCCGGTCGCCGTCGAGAGTATCACCCTTAAGGTGTCTGGCTTTGTTTCCAGCTACAGCAAGAGCACCAGCGCCAATATCAACTGCTCCGGCACAATTTCGAGCAGCAGCAGAGGCAGCTGGCCGAGATTCACGAGCAGCAGATGCACCAGCTGAAGGTAAAGCGGCCGTCGTCGCGCGTGGTGCGACCGCGAGAACCCGGTGTCGTCGCCTCGATCCGATTCTCCGACGAGAAAACAACATTCCTCTTATCTGACCGGCGAGATAACGATTCTATTTTTGAGCCCCACTTTTGCGCGCGCGCGTGAAAGAGAAACGGAGAGCGGCATCGCGCTACTTTTCGGAAAGCTCGCTCTTGAATAATAGTTCGGCTTCGGACGGCGCGTATCGATCTCCAAAGTGAGCCGAGGTTTTTGACGCGGCTCTCCTTCCGTCCACAGCGAGGTGACTCGTTCGTCGATCGTCGACGCGACTGTTATAAATAACAGCGAGCGTCGCCGCTCGTCCCCCCGATCGGAGATCGTCGCCGGGACGCGATCGAGGCGCGCATTCTCGTTCGACCGACCGGGCTTCGCGTCGTTATCGCGCGATCTCGTGCGCTCCACGAGGCCGATGACGCAAGCGCCGCGCAAATTTCCCTTTCTCATCGGCGAGCGCGACGCGTTCCGATAAAAATAAGTCATTCGCCAGGTCGATCGCTCTCGCGAGGCGAACGCGCGCGGCGCGGCCGAAAGGGCTCAAAATAAAGCGTCGGGAACGTCGACCGTCGAGAGTCGCACGTTTCCAGCGTCGTCGAGCGGGCTTTTCTGGTACACCTGTGTGTCGCGAACACGAGAAGCGGAAGAGAGCGAAATATTGCGGTCGATCGCGCGGCCGAGCTATTAATAACCGCGGGAAAAGCTCTCTGCCTTCTAACCTTCGACTTTATCGCGCGCCTGCCGCGAAAGCCTCTGTTCGACCTGTGTTTTTACATTTATTTATATATTTATTTATTTTTTTTTTTTCCCGTCTCCTCGACGAGGAAATTTCTCTTGGAAACACTGATTCTCGATCTGATTGCCGTGATTGACGATCCGGCGAGAGAAGAAGGCGCGACGTAAACAACGAGCCACGATAGAATCTCTCCGGATATTTATAAACGGAGGCATAATTATTCTATTATTTTTTTTTTTTTTCACTTTCCTCGATAGCCATCGGTCGTGGCTTATCTCGCGAGCGCCGACGCTTTCTCGTTATCCGCGCGATTGCTTCCTCTATAAAAAGACAATCGCCTGACTTTGGCAGTGCACTCCGCGATTACGATCGTCGCGCAAATCTGCGTCATCGGCGCTAATTAATTTAGCGCGATGACTCTTGTTTTCTCGCGATCGACGCGGCGCTTTATTCTTTATCCCTTCTTCGCTCGCGGTAAATGTATTTACAGCCGACTGCTTTCATCGTCGCATCGGCTGTTTGCGCATCGGCGATTGAGATATGCTATTTATAACGCGGACGTCGCCACTGCGTACAATTAGCCAGTTTTGCCCCGCGCTCGCGGCTGATAAAACCCGCATATCGGTGCGACTCCTTTTGCGTCCGAGACAATCGGCTCTCCCATCGAACCGACTCTGGCGCGCGAATCGATCGCAAATTCGCGACGGTCGCGCGGAAAGAATAGCCGAAGGAACGTCGTTGGCGCGGTGGGGAAGGCGAGTGAAATCTTTCGGCGACTCAATCGTTAATTAAACAACGCTGTCGAAGAATACACGGCGTCGCTGAAGATTCGTACCTCTCGGTTCGCGTTATTTTTTCTCTCTTTTGACGATTCGCTGCGCGCGGACGATGTACGCTGGGGCCGATTTGAGCGAAAAAATCGAAAATCGACGCGCGCACTGACGATGCATTATCTGCACAGCTATGGGAGCAGCAGAAGCAGCTGGAGGAACAGCGCCGAGAGAAGGAGCGTCTGGAAGCCCTGAGAAAAAAGGACAAGCACGACCACAGCGCGGTCGCTTCGACGGAGGTCAAGCAACGCCTGCAAGTAAGTCCGCCTGCCGTCTTCTCCCTTCCTCCCTGCTATACCCCCCCCCCCTCTCTCTTTTCCTGCCGTCCACCCCGACGGAAAAGAGAGAACGACGCGCGCGCGCGGAATAGCCCCGCGCTGTCTGCGGATTTATACCTCGCGAGCGGCCCTGGCAGCTCTTTTTCCGCGCGCGCGAGAAGGGGAGACTCTTTTCACTTCCTTTTTGATTTGGAATCGACGATAAGTGCGCATGCCGCCGCTTCGTTGCTGTCTGTTTTTGTCGGCGCGCTGGATAAACGAGCCTCCTCGTTGTCGTCGTCGTCGTCGTCGTCGTCTCGATGGCGGTACGATGACCGATATTCGTCTCGGCGCGCGCTCCTCGCCCGATGGTAATTTGAGTCGCTCTTGCCGCGGTGACGTCAATACGGCGACTACTTTTCGTTCTGTTTTGCGAGCGGACGGAATGTCCCACGGAACGAGGCGGAAAATGTCCCAGACCGCGCGTCTGCCGCGAGGATGCGCCGATTTCCCGATCACTGCTATAACCGTGATGCACGTTCTTTGCAGAGTTTCCTGGTGAACAAGAAGCAGAGGGAAGCCGCTGCCGCGGCTAACGGCGCCGTTCCGGGGACACCCGCCTACAGGTCCTGGTAAGTCTTGATGACAGCCGCGTGCCGCGCTCTATGCCACTCGGGTGTTGTGCGCCCATTCAATGGACAACGGCTTTCGCGGCTTATCGATTCGCGCGCGCGCGCGACGACCTCTCGCAATGGCTGTCGGGTCGTGTGCCGAAGTACTATTAAACGAATTTCTTCATTTCTTCGATTACCCCGAGACGTTGTCTAATGAGACAAACGATCAAGTTCGTCGTTATCGCCAATGTCGAGCCTTACTAATGCCAAGTGCACGTTTTCGTCACGATTTCAAACGAGAAGCAAAATCGTTTGTTACGTGAAATTTTTTTCTTTTCTCTTGTCCACCCTGAGAGAGGAAAAGTACTCGCGAAACAGTTAAAAGTTGAATCGACGAGCGAGAGCAAAAAAATCGGTTGGCTGCTTTCAATCCCCTCCTTTATTCCTTAGCGATCGCGAGATTCCCGTGCGCACAGCGCCAAGTCCATCAAGGCCACCTTCTGCCAACGCGCATTACATTTTTCATCGGCCAAGTTCAAAAGCTCGTTATTTAAATGCAGCTCGCTCTCTCCCTCTCTCTCTTTTTGCCAGCGCGCGACGTCGCGTCGTTGTTTATCAATTTGTCGAAAAGTAGCGCAACGCACAACCGTGGCCTGCGCAACGCTGGAAAAGGCAACGACAACGCGCCTCGAAGATAGTCCGAATCAAAAATGGAACGCCTGACGTTTGTCATCTCTTTGTTCCTAACAGGATGCAGTCGCAGTCGGAATCGTCAAGCTCCACAAACGCTTCGCACCCGTACCGCATGCCGCAGATACTGCAGGAGAAATTCGGCGATGACTTCCCACTGCGAAAGACAGGTATCCATTCTCGAAGCCGACACATTTATAATTTATATTGTACCATTGCGCGTGTGCCTCTCGCGAGACAAATAATGTACCTCTCACTTCTTCCTGTGTTATCTCTCTCGCTCTTTTCTCTCTTTTATTTATTATTTTTTTCTTTTCCATTTCACGCTGTTTGTTTGAGCGACATTCAAACGCAGCTGGAATGTGTGCCTAACACGAAAGCATGTCTTTTCTTTGTTTTGTTCTTCCATTCATATATATATCTCTCTCTCTCTCTCTCTCTCTCTCTCTCTCTATCTCTCTCTCTATCTCTCTCTCTATCTCTCTCTCTCCGCGAGCTTTTATTTAGTTTTTGGTTAGTCGAATTTTGTTTTTTTCTCTCTGTTGCTTCGCGATCGAGCGAACGGAACAGCAATCATTAACTAATCGATTAACAAGTATTTTGCGTGCTGATGCAATTAACTCTTGTCAGCCATTTTTTATTTAATTGTGTGGGCATGAAGTTTGGACCTAACGGTTTTTTTTGCGTCTTGCCACTGCAGCAGTATCACTTTTCTTTTTCTTTTCTCTTGGACAGTCCATTGTGCTAACTAACTGCTGTAGTTTGATTAATACGTATCCAGGGAAAACCATTGCGCACCGAAGCCATTGTTAATATTCTGTCTGTAATGCCTCGGGTGTCGGGAGGTTCGCTAGGCAAATTCAGCTTCTTGTTGACCAAAGCGTCGAGCGTATTTTTATTGATAACGAGATTTGTTGGCCCTATCGTTATGTGCTAACAGATAATTTTTGCCATCGAATAAAATAAAGTGGAGAACACTGATGGAATCGTTGATTAACGCCGCGCCATCGACGCTTATTTCACAAGTATTAATATCATCTTTGCAAAATGACAATTTGCAAACACTCTCTTACTTTCGTTGGCCCTCTCTCGCGAAATTTGCTTTTAATTTTTTTCTTCGTTGCGACAATCAAATGCGCAAACGAAGACGACGTCAGTGAGCGTACCCGGGCGCTTCGCTCGTGTACACCCGCGTTTCGGAGGAGCCGCGAATTCGCGCGCGCAGAGCACACGAGAACACGCGCGCACACAGTAGACTAGTTGAACAGAAATGCTTGTTGACTGAATTAACCTAACCCCGGCTGAATGTCTGACACGGCCAGCATCGGAGCCGAATCTGCTGAAGGTGCGACTAAAGCAACGCGTCATGGAGAGGAATATGGCAGCTACGAGAAACTCGCCGCTAATGGCACGCAGGAAGGACCGACTACTGTCGCACCTCAAGCGGAAGTCACTCCTTGCAAGTACGTCCCCAACAAAATCCCCATTCAATTCAAAAACAAACAAATTTTTTTTTAAAAAGAGCCTGCCAGCATCGACAATATCTTGCTGATTGTCGCGTGAAAGTCATGCAAGTAAGACGCTTCCGTAGAGCAACCAAATAACGCGCCGTCGACCGTCCATCGAGGAATCGTATTTACATATACAAATCAGTGCTCTGTCTTTCTCTCCTTAACAACAACAACAACAACAAAAAATCAATTGCCAAAGTATGAAATTCAAAGTCTCCATTCTGCTTCTCTTTCTGTTTCTTTTTTTTTCTTTTTTTGTGAAACATTAATTTTCCTCTCGCAAAAAAATTGCTTTGTACATGGTTGAAATATTTTGGGTTCCTAAAATGCAATTTCTTGTGACATGCCTTATTGTCTCGTCGCCAGAACAGTGATTGTCTTGTGTGCAAAGTGTCTTGGTTATTGGGAAAACGTCGAAACTGTTTTAGTGCCAGATGAAAAAGAAAAATCGCGAAGTCGGACGAGTGCTGTGTATGACTGTGTATAGGCCAGTGTAGCGTCGCAAACGAAACGAGCGTAACGCGATAGAAAAGTCAAGTATGAGAAATCGTGATGAAATTGCGAGAGATATCGGAGAGCAAGTATTTAATTATCGGAGAATGTTCTGCTCGGATTATGAAATCTCGCGCGAAACTATGCCGATTCTAACCAACTGTTTCGAACGAATCCAATTAGTGAAACTTATCTATGATTCATTAGCCTTCGCGAGACACAGCTTTACAACCATCAGTGTTGGAATACTTGAGCATTGCGCATGTCAGAAAAGCGACAAGTTTGATAATCTTGAAATGCAAAATTAAATCTTTCCATTTAGCATTGTATATAGCCACTGATGAAATGGAAGAGGAATCCTATAATCCATCGATTCCTTCGATCGTCCGTCGATGGCCCGTTGGAACTTGGCTGCACCCGTGTCGTCGATTAATCGACCGATTAACTTGCACACACATATATACTTAATTTTTTGCTAGTGTCTTTAGTTAACCGCATGACGAACCAAACAATTATTAACAAAAAAAACAAGCAACTTGTCTTAAATTGTATATCTGTACATTATGCGCGTGCAGCTTTGTTTTCGCTCGACTTCCCATGCAGAGACTTGCGAAGAAACTCCCTCAACGAGAGTTCTTCATTGATCTCGCAGCTGAACGAAAGTAAAAACCGAGTCACGAGATTCGACTTCGAAAGCGACTACACGACGAACCAAGCAGATCAAGCTAAACGCGCGATCGTGCAAATTTTCCAGATTCAGGCAGCAATCCGGAAAGTGGTCCAAACTCACCGCCGACGGTCAACAATCCGCAGTCGTCGCCTACAGCAGGCGGTGGCTCGTCGACTCCGATACAGGAAGAGGGCGAGAATGCCAACTATGCCGGCCAACTCAGTAGTGCCAGTCAGCAGGGTAGCCTGTCCGATTTGTCGCTGTTCAGCTCGCCGTCCATGCCTAACATTTCACTGGGCCGACCTCATGTTCCATCCAGCTCGACGGTGAGTCCACGAGGATACATTCCGCCTCTGAAATAATCCGCATCGGTCGCTTCGGTTAAATTTACCAAGTTTCGCTGTGAAAAGTCGTTGCGCCACCACTGCGCCCATCAACTCTCATTCTCATTGCAGAGCGGCACAAAGTTAGCCACGGTATCGGAAGCCGAAGTCCGAGCAGCATTCGCAGCGCGACTTGGCACCCCATTGACAGGTCAGATGTTGACGGGTACGTTGCCGTATTACCCATCGCTGACCGTGATCGATGGCCAGCCGACGTACATTCACAAGCAGATGCAAAGTCTGGAGCAAGCGGTGGCGAGTGGCAGCGGAAACGGTAGTAGCGGTAACGGCACTGGTACTGGTGGTAGTCGGCACACGATTTACCATCCTACCCCAATAACCGACACCCAGGTGGCTCATGCGCGACTTCATAAGGCTGGTCACCGGCCTTTAGGTAGTATGTTCACCTTCCACTTGTCTTATCTATTCAACACCTGTAGCTTGATTGTCAAGTGACGCTGGCACCGCTTGTTTCTCTTCGTTTCTTCGTATGACCTGTACGCACAGTGGGCCCGCAACGCACCCCTCAAGCAACTCGTCAAGCGGGCTTTGTGGTTTCAGATTTTTCGGACTTTTCTTTACCGACTGGTCCTGCTCTCTGCGACGATGTCATTGCCAGATGGTGCACCGAGCGATAAACAAACCCAACCCCCTTTTGTTTTCGAATGCGCATGAATTCATTTCGTCGCGGTATAGATGTCTTATTCGGATGGTTATTTAATGCGTGCTTCGTACACAGCACATCTCGCGGCATCTCGGGAAGCATCCACAAAGCACAAAGCCTGCACCACCAATCCACCCGATACCGCCCGTGCTGATGTTATTTCTTTTTTGCAAATGCAGGTAGAACGCAATCGGCGCCACTGCCGCTGGGACACCCAATGCTGCAGGGTGGCATAATGGCCCCGCCAACGAGTCACTACTTGGCCGAAGATTATCTCGCTGAGAAGCAATTGCACGAGCAACAGCAAACGCACAATTACCTCAAGCAACAGATCCGGCAAACTGTGCTGACGCGAGTGGGCTCGCGTAGTCAGCAGCTTGACGAGGCACCGGAATCCGAGGAGTCCGAGGTTATCGACCTTACTGGAAAGAAGGACATCTCCGGTTGGTAAACTTGTCTATTCTCAAAGATTTCCTGTGGAAAAGATGTTAGACTGTCTGGCACATTTATTATTGAAGGATTAAGTAAAATGTTAAAGAATCGATTGTTAGAATATCGGGCTGATTTGGCAATCAGGTCGTTTTTTCAAATATAATGCATCGACGATAAAACGGCATTCACTAGTCAACGACGCGGTAGGCAAAGTTAACGAGCCCCCTTAATGTTTTGAAAGCAGCGGCGAGCGGAAGTAGTAGCGCCGGCAGTAGCATAGAAGAGAGCGAGATCTCGAAGCAGCAGCGCGACCGCGAGCAATTCCTTCAGCAGCAGCGGGACCTCTTGATGCGCCAAACACTGCAGGTCAACGAGCCAAGCGGCATATACTCCAGCGCGAGGAGCTCGCCGTCGGCGAGACCGCTGTCGAGGGCTCTCTCCAGTCCGCTGGTGCATTTGGGTAAGTTTGCGAGCGCACCCGATGATGACTGGTGCTGAGGGGTAATTAGTCCCAGCTACAATGATCATCCCTCGTTTTGTATTTTTAATGATTCTGAGTTTGCGCTGACGCCGCTTACGAATACTTTTCTTGCTTTCGGAAAGGTTCATTAAACATCCAAACAAATTTATCGCGTGCTACCCAAGAGCATTTGTTGGTTATTATGAATATCGTCATTCGCATACTCTATTCACACAAACATTAATATTTAATTGCATTGCTAAATCGTTTTTTTTTCTTGATGCGATACTTTGGCGATTAGATGTAAATGTTATTGTTATTAAGTTATATTACAGTTCAAATTTACGATTCGAAATTCTTGAAACAATGCAAATATAGAGAGAATAAAACGAAGGAAGAAAAGTTAAGGGTTGTTTCTACGATACTTTATTATAACTTTCAGGGCCACAAGTAGCAACAACAACGCCCGAGGTGTATACGAGAAGTCCGCGCGATCAACCGACAACGGGTCTAGCCTACGATCCGCTGATGTTGAAACACGCGTGTGCCTGTGGTGAGACTGTACGTGGTCATCCAGAACACGGTGGCCGATTACAAAGTGTCTGGGCAAGACTCCAAGAAACTGGACTGCTGCAGCGATGCGACAGAGTTCGATCGCGAAAAGCCACTCTCGAAGAGATTCAATCCTGCCATACCGAAGCGCACGCCTTCCTCTTTGGTAAGCTATTCGACATTCATGTGTCTATTAAAATTATTCGCCAAAACGTAAACATTATTTATTACATCGATTTACTTTCAGGTACAAATCCATTAACGCGGCAAAAGCTGGACATGTCTAAAGTACCGATAACGAGTTTCGTACGACTGTCTTGTGGTGGTATCGGCGTAGACAGCGATACTACATGGAATGAAATTCATACTGCACCAGCTGCTCGCATGGCTGTCGGTTGCGTAGTAGAGTTGGCCTTCAAAGCTGCAATGGGTGATATTAGGAATGGTTTTGCTGTCGTACGACCACCTGGACATCACGCCGAGGCTAACCAAGCTATGGGCTTTTGCTTCTTCAACTCTGTTGCTATCGCTGCCAAACTTGTATTGCAAAAACTCGATCTTAGGAAGGTCTTGATTTTGGATTGGGTGAGTGTTTCTTTATCCTTTTTCTTTGTAATTGTTCGTTTGATTTTTATTATCACGTATCAAATTTGATTCAATTTTGCTAAATAAATAAAAACATTTAAACGAATTATTTTTTCTAAATTAACATTTTTAATCTAAAACGGTATTAGTAATCAGCTATTGTAACATGCATACCCTGACAGATTGCTTTAATGTATCTTACTGTTATCTTACTGGCTTGGCTTAACGTGACAATAGACACCTCCTATATACTCTTGTTCTCCTAATACTTTGCTCCATCAGATGTTTCGTGTGCTGATCTATTAGATAACTTGCGAAAGACTCAGATATTTTGTATGTATACCGCTACCAAATTTAATCTTAACGATTACGCACTGAAGAACACAAAAATAATTGCAAAATGTCGTATGTAAATTGATTATGGAAAATTATTAGTATAAATTTTCTTTTGTAATAAAAGATTTCTATATTTATATGTTGTCGTTTAATTTTTTTGTATTAAAATTGATTATTAATTTATAACAACAAATGATTTAAAAAATGTCTACGTAGCTGTTGTTATTATTTGATAAATTATTCCTAAGTTTTTTTGGTGTATTCTTAAGAGTAATTGTTATAGAAAGTAGACAAATTTCATGGCGTAGTATTTGAAAAGAGTATTAGTTGTTATGATATCATGCTCTCTTAATACTCATTCTCGTTAAAAGTATGATTCGAAACGTCTTTGCGACGTTCTAGAAACGTTGCAAAAACCTGTAGAAACATATTTTTATGATGTAATAGAAAGCGTTTATATTCTTAAAATATATTCGAAGAATTAGACATCTTAACAATTATATTGTAAAGAAAATATAAAAACTAATAAGCAAAATAAAAATTAGGCTTGATGAATAATTGTCGCTAAAATTAAAGAGTTAAAAAGCAGAAATACCGTTAAACTTGTAAGTACAATGGATATCCTCCTTTTCAGGACGTGCATCACGGTAACGGCACACAACAGATGTTCTATGACGATCCACGAGTGCTGTACCTATCGATTCACAGGCACGACGATGGTAATTTCTTCCCGGGCACAGGTGGCCCAGCAGAATGTGGTGCCGGCGAGGGTCTCGGCTACAATGTGAACTTGTCGTGGTCGGGGGGCTTGAATCCACCGATGGGCGACGCCGAGTATCTTGCCGCTTTTCGTACCGTTGTCATGCCCATCGCCAAGGACTTTGAACCGGACCTCGTGCTCGTTTCCGCGGGTTTCGATGCGGCCGTAGGTCACCCTGCACCACTTGGTGGCTATACTGTTAGTCCTGCTTGCTTTGGACGCATGACGCAGATGCTCATGACTTTGGCTGATGGCAAAGTCGTATTGGCTCTTGAAGGTGGCTATGATTTGGCTGCTATCTGCGATTCGGCTCAAGAATGCGTTAGGGCATTGCTTGGTGATGAGCCTACGCCTATCAAGGATGAGGAACTTATGAGGATTCCTTGTCAGAATGCTATTGATACTTTGCAGAAAACTATCGCCGTTCAAGTAAGTTTTCGATTGTTATGTTTTAAATTCCGTTGATATAGTAATAACATTTATTTCCTTATTTTTGCCTTTCAATATCAAATATTTAATCATTTATTACAGTTCATACACGAAATTTATTAATAAAATGCATTTTCACTTATTTTCAAATTTATTTTTGAAGTAGTCATATTTGGAATTTGTAATAAATAGTAATTTAGTAGTGGAAAAATTTTACTCATGAAACTTTTTAAAATAACTATTTAAAAAGATTTGAAAAAAGCAAACAGGTTCTTTCGATCTTCTGTTCTCCTGATACCATGTAGCGCAAGGTTTCTTATTCTTATCTTCTTTAAGAACTCTTCAGGAATACTTTTACGATTCTTTTGGTGGTTATTCGACGGATGCATTGAATTTTATTTTATTTGAAAACTGTCTGATTACTATTGTTTATTGTTAACTTAATCGTCGAGTGCAGTGGTGAAACGGAAGTATTGTTTGTTGTATATTGTTGAAAACAGCAATTCGTTAAACAACATGAAGAAAAAAAGGGTGAATAGTTCCTCAATCGTACTGTTTTCCTGATAGATAGAAACACTCAACTTCTCACTTGAGAGTTCTTCCTCATAATTACAAACGAGATGACGCATGCGGAGCAGTTGGGCGTATTTTCGATTGCTGCTACAATTTTTTCAAATATTGCTATTTCAATTTTAAAAAGTATTTTTTATTGTTATATAAAATTTGACTTTTTCCTTGTTGCTTTACTATTGCAGATGTCACATTGGCCATGTGTAAAACTACTGGCACATACGGTTGGGATGAGTGCAATAGAGGCAAGTCAAAAAGAGCACGATGAGACAGAAACAGTATCGGCCATGGCATCTCTTTCCATGCAGCAACAGAGTAATCTCGCGTAAGTGTCTTGACTTTATTCATTTATTTACTGTGTTTGAAACAAGCGATATCGTAGAGTATTAAATATTATTTTTTATTCGCGGAGCAAGGAATGTAGTGACATAGATATTAATGTTGAAATAAAAATTTGTCATTTAAGGAGTACGCCAGAACATTCCCGCGAAGTGTCGGAAGAGCCAATGGAACAGGACGAGGCCAAGTGAACGGAGCAGCCGAGGCAACCGCCCCTATTGCGGTCTGAATAATTTTTGTACTGTCTGGCGAAAACTGGATCGAGCGAGGACGTGCGGCCCCCGTTCACTCGTGAGATAAGAAAATGCACGAGCGACGGTAGTCCATTCACAAAAGCGTATTGACTATGAGACGAGAATGAAAGAAAAATACAAGAAAATACAATGAAAAAAAGTATATATATTGAAGCACAGAAACATGGTCCCACAGGGCACTAAACTATTACGCCGCATCGCGACGTAAAACTGAGGAGCTGCTTGCTGCTCTATTTATTGTTGATGTTGATGTTGTTCTTGCACACATGACAGAAATTTGTAAAATTGAGAAAGTAAGTGACCTTCTGCAGATGCGGTTGGTTTTCTTCTTTCTTTTTTCGTTCTCTTTTTTCTTGGCAAAGTCGAGCAAGGGGGCAGGTATTTATTTTTTTTTTCTTTTTCCTCCTCTCTTTGTTCGAATTTAACGAGTAGAGCACTGGATTTTGTCGTTATAACAAGACCTGTGTACGCGCCTACGTACGTCAAGTGTTCAATCCTATTTTTGTTGTTACAACGTCCCCCTGTTTCTCCCCCCAAGCAAGTGTCTTTTTAACGTCGCGAGACAACGAACGCTAATTTAACGTCCAAGACATACTGCAGACGATGAATTTACTTTTCAAATATGAAAATTGTCTCCTCTGTTATATGCAAAAACATCGCTGAAAATGGATACATTGTAAATATGAAAGAAAAAATAACGTTTAAACTAAAGGTATAAAACAAAAGAGCGATTCGTTTTATTGGATAAAACAATTGGTGTTGACTGATTATTTTTAAAAAAGGAAAACAAAATGTATACTGTGCATGCATATCATGCAAAAATTCTTTTGTTAACTTATAATTATGTATCTAATCAGTGATTTCTCGTGACTTGTTGTCAATCGCAAAGCTAGCAAATCATGTTAATCGACATGATTGTGCACAACGTGCTTGGTGAGCTCTCGATAAAAGAGAAAATTTTTAATCAAGCAGCCATGCATCTGCTTAGATACGTTTTAACTGTGTATTTGTGAATAAGTAAGAATAAATATATGATAAAAAAACTAACATAAGTGAAGAAAGACAATAGAATTTAAGATGTTTTTTGTAGCGTATCGCGCTGGTCGCGGGTACGCTTTTAGTTTTTCGCTCGACAGAGAAAAAAATAAAGGTAATGCGCGCTGCACGATTACATTAGCTTTAATGAAGAAAATGGGAAAAAACTTACATGATACACGAGCGCGCACGTGATTCTCTAGGATTAACTTAGTTTCCTGCTGCGAACAAAAGGTGGTGCGATTTTTGTGATATTTTGTAAAACTGTTAAGTAAAATTAATCTACGTGGAAAAATTAAAAAATCGTCGATAATAGAAAGATTGTTCAGGGATAGAAAATGATTAGCTCGATGAAAAGGTAGGAAAAAAGATATGAGAAAAATTGTAAAAGAAGCTTAAGACGCGTTATGATCATTAGTGGAAACAATACGAGCATTTATTTTTATGTCATGCATTTTACAGTGTTAAAGAGAAAAGAGAATGAGAGGGATGGAAGATGATATGATATATGTAAAGGTTTATTACCGAACGAATTAAAGATACTATATGTTTACATAAATTTTGTCATACAAATGAAAATTGTATATTATTATATTATACATTAAAGTATATATGACATATTATATTGAATATATGTATATTACGTAATAATTACAATATCGACGGCTTGTAAACAAAGCTACAGGCAATGTAAGAATCTCAAATGTTTGATAATGTACGCATTGCTTGTATAAATATTTTACTTTGGAGATGAATTATAAAAGCAACTAAATTTACAAAAGGATACAAGTCGCGTTGATATTTAAAACACAAGTGCATATGCGAGTGCGCAGCCTATGCTTGTATACATTGTATGTATGTGTGATGTTACATAGCTCTAAGCGCAACTAAACGACTCGCAAGCACATTATTTATTTATAAATTGCATATATAATACATAGATATTAGTCATAAAGTTAAACACACTAATCGAACACTATCTTTTAAGAACAAAAAGCTATATTACGTCATGATTATTTTCCAAGTTAATTGAAACAAAAAAATCTGAACGATAAACGAGACACTCATTTATTATAATTCTGTCAAAGCATTAGGAATAAAAATGTATATGCATGCGTACAGAGAAGCAAATGAAAATTCGTCCTTCGCCTTTGAAGAGAGAAAACAGGCCTACAAACTTGATCATTTCGCTCTTCAAATGGCAAACTCATCTGTTTATATTTCCGTTGTTCAAGCTTTAAATGAAATCATGAACTCGTGACATTCCGGTATCATCGTTAGTAAACTGATACAAACTAGCTTTTAAAGCGTGCCTGTCTGTTTTTGAATGAGAGGCAATGCGATGAATGAATACATGAACGTATGCAAGTGAAGATGCAGCAAATTATATAAATTAATTATTGAATAAATAAAGCAGACCCATAATGTTATTGATCGTGCACGAGACGACGTCTATGTTAAACATGCCGTTAATTGTAATAGTCATACATTTTTTATGTATATAAATGTACCTCCTGAATTAATTTTAAAAATAAAATTATAGTGATTGTGTTACAACTGCTTTTTCATTTACAACTCCCAAGCAATCGTTTGATTACTTGATTATAGTAAATTATAAATCAATAATACTTATACTAATAATAATTAGTATATATTTCATTACTCTGATTACTATTGAACTCTTTCTTGTTAAATACTATTTTGAATAAAATTCACAGATCTAGAACCGCCCTTGCTGTACTCGGCCGTTTATTCGTCGTGCTATTACGTCTCTTTTACAAAATTAATGTTGTTATATGCTATAAAAATAACAAAAATAATAATGGTATTAATGATACTTTTAATGTTACTATTTTTCAATGTAAAGACGGAAACGATTCAATGCTTGTGTATATTTAATTTACGTACATTATTCAGGATTATTTATGGCAATCACTTTGTCTTGGCTGTAATAAAGAAATAATAATTTATTATGTTTGACCAATTTATTCCGAATGATTTGATTGATTAGTAAGTTGAATCCTGCTTTGCCAAACCTGTAAAAATATCAAGGCACTTCCTCAAGCGTTCAATCGTTTTCTATCCGATTGAATCAGGCATTTTCGTGTTCGGAACGTAGAGACATCGCGAGACGCATCGAGCTGGTGCACGTAGTAGGAGCTCATGATGTCGGAGGAGCTGCTATTTAATATGTGCCTCTGTCATTGTCTCAGTTTATTTGAACAATCACTTGCTTCAATCTGTTAATTTACAAGAATTTTGCTTTGTATTTTGAAACGAAAATGGAAAACATTAAATGATTTAACAATAATAGAGAAATTTTATTGATATATAGAGAAATATAATAATATATCTGCATTTTTCATCAATGGTTGAAATAAAAAAAAATTACTTTTCCTCTGAAAATTCTTAATAATTATAACATAAATAAACTTTAAAAAAATGCAATAAGTTAATAATAACAATTATAATATAAGTTAGCTGGTTCAATATTTTGTCGCCACCTAGCCCGCTTAGAAATCCGTGTTATAAAACCGTTAAATATCGTCATGCATACGACCTTCTCTGTTAATATAGTAAACTTAATTAAATTTATTTATTTGATTTCATTTATTTGTAATGCAGTCGATATATATTTGTTGACTTATTGGCTTATAAGAAAAGAAATGTAGCCTCCGTAAAGGGACCTCTCATTGGTTTCAACTTAGCTGCCATTTGGAGAGTACGTCAGCGAAGGATCTAGGATAGTTGTTGCGAAACTAGTCTAGGCGTTGAGTGTTTGAACGTAACAGGGTATCATGACAATTGAACGGGGATCTTGACCGATCGGTCGTTTGTTACAAAAGATCGTAGTGGTAGATTCACGGGATATTGAAATTACCTAAGCTATTCACTTACACTTGTGTCTGGCTGACAAGCTTGTTTGTAATTGAAATGTGCTGTAGTCTAATGTGTAACTTTATGTCTAATAATTTTCAGTCTTAATTAACTCGTATAACCGTCGTACGTGAATAACATTTGTTTTTATTAACGATTGTTTGTAATGGGTAATTGAAATTGATGGCAAGACGTCCGCAAGAGGACTTGACGCACAGGCGTCTAATACGAAGTGACAAAGGAATGAAAATAGCGAAGAATTCGAAATAGAATTTCGACACTTTCTATTCTCCTGTTACATTTTCTTCAGATTATTCTTTGAAATGTCTTCCAGGAGAGTCCCGCGAAGAATTCTTTTGAAGCACGCGTGTCTGATTGAGATCTTTTCCAATACTTAGCGCAGTATTATTTTGCTGGTGCATTTTAATGTGCGCGACGAATCTTAATATCACATTTTATATCTTTAACAGTATAATATTGGAAATACAAATGCGGTGCAAGTAGGTTTATGGTACTACACGGGAATCCAAATGGGAATCTATAAAAATTCTAGGTAAAGCATTGCCAGCAGATATTTACGTGAAAAAATGCAAACGTCAAAGAGGCCATGGCACGTGCCTACGCAATATTCAAATTGTGAAACGCCTGCGCGGTACGTGGCCGAGCGGCGTGCCACCTCTTGAGTCGGCCGAGTCGCCTGATGCGGCACAACCGTTTCGGGATTTTCGTTGCCGCATTTACTTTCTGTCGCTTATTTCGCGCCGTCGCGGGATTCCCAGAAGGCGCACGACTGAGAGCCAAGACCAAACGCGCATGCGGAAAAAAGAAGAGTTTCGCCTCGCTTCGTCGAGGGAAAATGGAGCTCCTTCAAAAATATGTGTTCCTGATCGCGTTACCGATGCGATGTCTCATTCGAGAATTCTTTCAGACGTCGCCCAGATGACTTTTTACAGGACTCTTCCAGATAGCTCACCTTACCGCATGTCGGAGCAGGTACCTAGTTTTATTTTTATCAGTTAACTGTTGAGACTCGGCGGCTGTCGATTGATCACACTAACAAATTAATATATATGCCGGGATATTATGCTGATTTGGACGCAAACAAATAGACTACACGTAAAAAGGAGTCTCGTAAATAATGATAACAACGTATCAAATCCGTTGCAATATGCGCAATATTATAATTGTACAAGTAAAAATAAATCGACAATGGCATATTCCAACTACAGTAATTGGCAGGCTTAACTACGCCGACAATTTCAAAATAAGGGTCGATGATTGAACGTGAAATGTTAAGGAAGATCTCGATTTATAGCACAGCAATCGTCATTGCCGGCTTTGATAAACAGTATCTAGAAAACCCCAATTGTTACCATGTAAACGTATAGTTGTTACGGAAAGTCCGTGATATCATATTGAAAAATTAAATAAAACCACGTTTAAGAAAGGATTAATGTCAAAAATATTATAAAAATATCAACGTAATGATAATCAATGTTATGAAAATGTCGCAGCTCTAAAAAAGATCACAGCAAAATACAAAGCAAAGCGATTCAAACAAAATGGAGAATGGATAGCAACTACGACAAAACGTGAACAGCAGTATTACTGTTGTAAAAATCAAACATTCACCCCTAGTAGATGGATCACAAAGATCGATTACAAGGTTTTCAACATTTAACTCAAATGTGGTATCCCTAGACAACGTCGAATACCACAAGAAAGTGAAAGTCGAACTCACTAAAGAGGCAGCACCTTTTATACCTACATGATAAAAATTAAAAGCCTAAAACACACAGTGCTACAAAAGACGTTTAACGTGCCGAAAAACGACATCAAATAAACTATCGAAACGTAACTTGATGAATTCATGCCTCAAAGTCACTTTGATGAAGAAAGGGACTCCTCCACTACGTCATTTGCCACTGTAAGGGTGCTCCATGCTGTTGACCTAAGTGACATAAGACACATAAAGGGTCTCCTGGACTGCCTAAAGAAAGTCAATCATCAATCGGTAGTAGTTAGCAAAAAAACAATATGCTAGCCATGACGACATTACAAAACGGCTGCTATGAAAAATTCAGTATCCGCAACAACAATATTATCCCGGAGCGCTGGCAGACTAACAGACAACATAATAGTACTCAAAGATTATTTATATAAAATGATATAGATATAAACGAACATAAATTACAAAGTACACCTGCTACAAAAAGTATCATCCCTCTAACTACTCTCAAGGAGGGATCCTACTACTGGTCAAAAAAGAGATGCAATGTATCCGAGTACAACTTAACATCAGCAAAATGGAAGATCTGGGTATCCAATTTAGCAAGGACCTAACCATTGCAACAGTCTATAGCTATCCGAACAACATAATCGAGGCTATCTTCCGAGAGCAAAAAACTTACCTTCCTAAACTGAGTACATTATCGTAGCTCACACAAGACATGGGCGATAGCTAAACCAAATGCGAAATTAACAAGACACAAAAAAGTAGATCCCATGGAGGGTAAATTTAAACGCGCAAATGAAAACCATCAAAAATCCACTATACCACGATTTTTCTAACAAATATTTGTTAACTCAAACTTTAAACGAAGCTACTTACCTGTTGATTTGAAAAAAAAAATCGCCCATATTGACTTATTCCAACATCCAGGTAAATACATGTTATTTCCACGAAACTATCGACCAAATAAGCTTACTTCCGATCACGAGGAATATTTTCGAAAAAATAATATTAAATTGTATTGATAAACTCGAAAAGCATAACAAAAATCTAACTAATGAACGATTTAAATTTTGAAATCGTAAAAGCACAGTACGACAACTCGCGAGCATAACCGATTCGGCAAGTATAATAATTTTTATAGAACTGTGTGACTCAAGTACGCACTTATGTAACGTCTTTCCGTAATGTAAGTTGTTCATAATGGCACCATACTTTATAGCCCTCGCTGTGCTCGGGCATTAACTCGCTATGCCGTCAAGTGTCAGTTACGGCACCAGTATCGTTATATGTACAAACAAATCTACGGCCACGCTCCACCTAGATTATTAAAATTAACGTTCACACAAAACTTACCCAATTGTGCAACGTCTTTCCATGATGTAAGTATCTCATAACGGCACCTTGCTCTGCTCGAGCACTAACTCCAAGTAAGAAAAATTATTAAAGATTAGAATTCGTACAAAGTAAAATAATCAATATAATAATAACAAAAGTGCAAATGTATACCTCGAATGAATTTATTCGGGACAAATTAGAATTATAGAACTATTAGAAGATTATATCTATTGGTTAATGAAAAGCTTCTATGAAATGCAAACCCGAAATAACGAGTTCATAAGCCACTTAAGAAAATACAATCAAGGTAATGCTTCTTTCAAAATAACATATAGTCGTCGATAAAAGGTGCAAGTAATAAATTAATTACTCACGTTAAACGTAGATATGGCTTTTTCAAATATTTCCATCAAACCGAGACGCAAAATTAAATGTAACAAATGATATGTAATGAAAACAAATACACTGTAATTAAACGGGACGGAGGCCGATAACTACTCGACAAAACAATCCATTGTAGATTTATACACGAATAAATCGACCATCACGTCTCGGGAAATTCAAACCACTCTCAGACTCCTCCTTCCTGATAAACTTGACAAATACGCCGTCTCTGAGGCTATGAACACTCTCACTAGCTCCAAAAAACAATTCATTTATTCGCAACAGTATTTACGTAAATTCAGCCCTTTTCAGAGCTACTACATTTTCATTACGTATATGAAATCGTATTTTTTTTCATGCGATTTCTCTTCAATAACAATTCTATGATTGACAAAGTAACAACAGACAGTGTCGGCAAATTTTTCTTTTTAAATTCCACGCCGAGAAGCATCTTGAAAGAACGATCTAAAGCATACTTCACAAGTATGTACTCAAAGCTGAGTATACAAATATTTAATGTGTGCTTTTTGTTTCTCGCGAATTTGAAATAAAAATAACAGAGCCTTTATGGTCTACTTTTCTAATCAAGAAGGTTCTATAGCCAGGTGCTCACTGTCAAGGTTTACTCCCTCGCGTTAAAAATATTATTCAAGTTGCTCGTATCGGAACAATTATTGACGGTTTGATACGAAAAAATCTGAAGGTGCTTCTAAGAATGTTGAGTTTTTTGTGGTTCTTACGAAAAGCCGATAAGTAAGTAATAACGAAAGGAACGGAAGGCGACGGCACAACTGCTCATTCATTGTTGATCGACCGTCTGACGACTTGCTTGTACACCCTCGTGGGACAGGTGTCCGCGTTGTTTGACGGCGGCGTGTAGTCGATCACGAAGGTGTAGTTCTCGGCGATCGTGCTCGCGCTGGGCGGGCACTGGCGGTAGTTCGCCGCGTGCCAGCCGTGGCAGTTGAAACACTCGTGGGAATAGCCAACATCGTGCGCGCACTCCGGGGACAGATGCTGCCCGCCGCAGTTGTAACACTTGGGCGGCATGAAGCGGTATCTCGAGTCGTGATGAAGTCTTAGGCATCTGGAGCACTGGACTGGCGTGTACTTTTTCGCCGTGTACCTCTTTGCCAGACGTGCTCCGTACTTTCGCCCGAGTTTCGAATGTTCTCCACTCTGTCTTCAGCAATTTCCTTAATCCTTCTTTAATGATATCGTGAATAACGATGGGCGGCGGAGACGAGTCGTCGTAGTTGTTTAATTTCAGAAAATCCATGCCTGGAATTATTACGCGACATGCGTATTGCTAGCTGCACGATAACCAGTACACGCACTCGCTACAACGTTGTACGACAACAATGGCTTGCTTAGCCCGACGGCAGTGGATACACAAAGCTGCCGCTGAGTCGAGGATACCAATGCTTCGTACGAACATACTTGAATGTTGCCCCTCGTTTCTAATTGGAAAGGCGTATGTACGCCCGCGCCGCGAACTTGATTCTGCGCTGACTAAAGCGACCGACTGGCGCTGATGCTTTGCGTCCCTTTCAAACACTTACCCGGCCCCTCTGTTGATATGATAGAAGGGGAAATCCATCGGCATCGCGCGTATTATCGATAGTTTTAGTTTGTATCTTTGACTCGACGATTAATTAAAAAGTTCTGTAGCTTTTGCTTCTTCGTAATTTGCACGTATACATTACTTGTCGATGCAGTGGCTCGAGCAGAAGTGTTCGCAATAGAACAGAAGTAGTTTGCAGTCCGAACTGTCGAGATCAACAAATATTACACAAGAGCGAAGAAAGTTAGATCTATCATCGACTCTATTTTTTCATACTTTCGTAGAATTTAAATTTAAGACTACAATCGTACGTGTGAAAGTTGGGGACTGTGTCGAATTTCATTGGCGGCTAATACACTTTTGAACGAAAGATGCTTACAGCTTGCAGAATCCATCATTAAGGATGTACGTACAAAGCTCTTTTTAACGTTCTGTTTCAATTGCTCATCCAAAGTCTAGATCAAAGACAAATTGATCCAGACTAGCTGCTTGATGAATATGCCTATTGCGTACATGACGCCAGACGTACATAATAGGGCGAAATAAAACAGCTCATTACGAAGTCGTTAAATACTTGCTGCTATGAGACCGACAAGCTTACGACTCACGTGATCTTTCCTCCGCTAGATCGGATTATTCACATGTTGAATATTTGTATTAAAAAAGAGATAAGTGAGATTAATGCATTTCTACACCCACCCACCTCCCAACGGCACAGATTTCTAGCTGGATAATAAAGAGTAGTGTTTCCCGAAGAACTGTAGAATTGTATGTACACTCTAGAATTTTAGCTCAACAATAATGAGCTGAATGCCGATTGGGCACTAGATAATTTAAACGCCACTCCATTTTTTTCGGCAGGTTTTTAGTATTAAAAATACAATGTATGATGGAATGAAACCTTTTGCCATTATTATTATGGCCTTTCTTACCTTCCTTCTATTTTTTAAATAGACAATAAAACATTTCCACGATAGTTTTATAGATAAATCAGGTTTTTTTACTTATGGTTTTCTTAGATACTTCAATATGAAGTAACTTATAACATTCATACCTTTTTTGCTTTCGTTATTTTCATTTACATCCATGGCGTTCGCAATGGTTATTCGTATGTATCGTACGAAAAAGTGCTTTAAATCATATTATTTTCTTTTTATGTTTTTGGAGATTTTTATTTTATAACTAATTCTAAATGATTCCCATTACTTGATATCTTTCTTTTTCTTATTTATTTATTCACCAATCAGCGGCAATCGGATTGTTTTATAAAACTCCTATTCTACTGATTTTTTGCTACATTGGTCTGCGTTTTAACAATAACAATACGACAGATCTTAACCTAATTCACATTTGAATTCTGCCGCGAATTACCTGCGCGCCACTCGCGACTGCACGCTTCTCTTCACATTTGCGATGAAAAATTGATACGTACACACATGTATACGGGATGACTCTCATGTAACGAATAGAGTAGTGCAGGGACAATATTTAATATGGCTACCTGACGTGTATCAGCCGCGCGCGACAGCAGACGATGCAACTTATCTACCTACATCGACTCTGTCTTGGGCAGGTGGTATGCGTGGGAAAGAAAAGGTGGTGTTTGCGTGTTCGCGACTGTAAATAGGGATTAGGGAGGTCGACGAGTCGTTTCGATAGTATTTGAAAAAAGTGACTGAAATCACGTCAACCTAGGCTGGCTAAGGCTGCTGGGAGCTTGCAAGCAATAACGTCGCCCGTCGTCGTGGGTGGCCAACTTGAAGAGCTGCTCCACTCGGCCGTGGGCCAAAAGCTCTGCAGCCGAGCTCGCCCCAGCCGCAATGAACGACAGCCACCAAGCTGACCTCCCTCCTCATCCTGATGTCTCCACCATCAGCGCTCCAGGCGATGTCGACCGCCTTGACGACGCTGTCGACCCAAGAGTCCAAGTATAAACCTTCAGTTACCCTATACTTATTCTGGTCGTATGACATTGGCAAACGATTTCTTTATCCCACGTTATTTTTATCTTTAGATTGAACTGGAACGACTTAACACGGCTACCGATGATATTAACAAACTTGAGGTGGACTTGGATGTAAGTTAAAAGACTTTTATAGTTGCTAGTTCAAAACTTTACATCAGAGCAAACTAATGATTAAACTTGATGACACCAATTTCAGGAAGCAAGAGCCACATTCAGAGAGTTATTGTGTGAATCAACTTACAAAATTGAGAGTTTATCCAAAAAGTTAGGATCTTGTATAGAAAAGTCTCGACCATACTATGATGCTCGGTTTAGAGCAAAAGAAGTGAGAAATATTACTGAGTTGATTTAAATTAATCATAATTAATATTATTTTTAAATCAAATAAATGCTAACTGTTCTCAGGCTTTAACAGAAACTCAAAAAGCTGCTATAAAATTTGAAAGAGCCAATAGCCAACACGCAGCTGCTAAAGAAATGGTTTACCTAGCTGAGGAAGGATTGAGAACTGAAGGCAGATGTTTTGATCATGCTTGGCAGGTGTGTATTGTTGGTTGTATATATTTATTATTATCTTTACTTAACTTTTAAAAATTTATTTGAAATTTTTTCTTTGTAGGAAATGTTGAATCATGCAACCTCTAGAGTAAATGAATCTGAACATGAAAGGGCAATTTGTGAAGTGGAACACAGGCGAACTACTGCATTGTATCATAAAACTGAATATGAAGTTCAAAGGTTACAGAGAGACTTGAAAAGAACAATTGCCAAGTCTAGGTAATATATAAATCTAATATATAAGTCCTTGATGAAAGTACTTCTTATTCTTTTCTTTACTGCATGTTTATATATTATGCTTTTTTCTATTTTTGGCAATGTGCATTCTTAGTTGTTACTTGATAAGTAACTTAGTTCTTGAACATTGTATGTTGAGTATGCATTTCTATGCTTATTTCAAATCACAGATACACAGACCACTTGACGAATTTGCAAGTTTTTTTATAGTTTTATTGTTTCAAAAATTAATTGAGTTACTCCATTCTCGTTTTTAACGAGAGCATTTATGTTTTTTTGACTATTTATTTTGGCAGTATGGGTGCACGCCGCAGTTTGCTTCTGATAAACAGTATTGCCTACAGGCACAACTTACTGATGTTGTAAGTAGTAGCTATTTCATTTTTAAGTTTTATAGCACTAATTCACCTATCTGCATGAATATTTTTAATATATATAATCTTTATTGAGTATTGTGCCAAAACAAGCTATAATGTATTCTTAAATGCATAAACTAGTATAAAGTTTTAAGATTTGATTGTTTTATCTAGGCCATACTATGAAATGAAAGCCCATTTCAACCAAGTTCTAGAGGAACAAAAATTAAGAGTAAGTGCACTTGAAAAATCAGTTTCTGATGCCAAAATGACTTATGCAGAAGCTTTGCGGAATTTAGAAAGAATAAGTGATGAAATTCATAGAGTAAGTTATATCATTTGCGTTGAATTTTTGTTAATATAAATTTAATAAATTAAATAAATTATTTTCAGACTAGGAAGTATGATGGTACAAATAATTGCAATAAGCAAGTAGATGAATCAAAAAATACATCTTCTAATCCGTCAAATTCAACTGGATCCAGTACTACTGAGTCACCTGACAGTACTGATTACACAAGTGATGAATATTTACGCCTTCCTGATAAAATGAATTACAGTGTAAGCTCTACTATTTCAGTGGTAAGAAAGTACTTATCATTGCGATTTTTATTTTAACTATTTTAATTGATCCTGTTGATTTTAAAGGGAGAGAATAATCCATTAACTTCTGAGTACATTGCTAAAAGCACCATAAACATGTCATCAACAGAGCCTAGAAAGTATATTAAACGAGATAGACCTCGTAGTATAGCCACTACTGATGCCAAACATATCACAAATGTTCAAAATCAAATTAGTGCTTCTACATCAATTTTACCAGATATTACCAAAGTTATTTCGCCAATAGAAAAGAAGGTCACAATTCATCTGCCTGAAAATAACAAAGAAACTAATGGTATACCAAATGGGGATGAATGGACTGAAATTAATTTAAACAAATCACCAGAAGAAGTGCGCTGTTATAATAAAAATACTTATTCTGATGAAGAGGATCCAATTCCTTATAAACCTTTGGGTACAGACTTGAGTCCAGAAGTCACACAAACTGGCAATGAATCTAGTGAATGTGTTAAACGAAAGAAACTGGTTTCACAAAAATCATTACCTGCTATGACTGAAAAAAATGAAATAAGTTTGAGTCAAGAAAAAAAGGCACAAATTACCAGGAGTCCTTCTTTTAAAAGGAAGGGAAAATTAGATAGCTGTATTGCTACATGGCTATCACGTAACTCTATAGGTAGTGAAGCTAGTGCTGAAAGCTCTAGTAAGTACGCTAATTTTCCTGTTCAAAAATAAAATTATTAAATTTCACGAAATTATAATTTTTGAAAAGTTAATTACATAATTTGTTCTTCTATCAGCTAATTCTAGTCGAAGACAGTCTTTAGATGTATTATGGAATTCAGGAACTAGTGAACGTGTTAAAGAACTACTTAGTCAAGGAATGATGATGCTTAATATTTCAAATATAACTGAACGACGATTTAGCGAATCTAAATTGGCGGAAATTGAAAAAGAAGAAAGAATTGAGAAAGACAAGGTAGAGATAAAAGGTAAAAAGGTTCCCAGTCCTCTAGAAAAAACATTAAATTATTTAAATGCTGAAGATGAAACTTCAGATAGTGAAAGTATGACCAGGTAGAACACATTCAAAATTCAAACTTTTTACTATCTAAAATTTATACTTGATTTGATATAAAAAATTTCTGTTTAAGTGTTGAAATGTTGTCAGAAGATCAGATATCTTCCCTAATGATGGAACCTGATATAAATCAAGTATGTCAAGAGATTCTGGGAACACCTCTAGTCGAAGTCTGTCCATTGTTGCAACAACTTCAACACCAACAGTAACTTATATTTAAAATTGTTGTTCAAAAATAGAATTAGTAAGAATTCCTTGGGTTATAGTTCACTGCAAACTGATATTCAGTAGCATATTCTTAAACATTTCTGACTCAACTATTTACTGATTCTTCATCAAAATCAAGGTTTATTATAATTTGTTAATTGTTAAATTTTTTAAGAAATGTGTTATTTATTTGGTTTTTAACAAAAATTTAGTTGGTACTGAGTGAAAATGTCGATAAAATCTTGATTTAAATCAAGCTTTAGTTGCAAATGTTGTTTATAAGATAAAAAAAACTTTTTCATTTACAAATTTATTGTAAATATTCTTAGAATTCCTGGTAGCCAATTTTAAGGTTTGCTATATAAGGTGATATGCTATTATTTAATTATTATATTACACAAAGTATCACAAAGTAGTAACTTTGAGTTTTGTAAAAAGTTGAACTTTGAAAAGTATTGTGAATGATTTGTAGTTTATAAAAGCCTAATATTCTTATTCTACTTGTTAAAAATGAAATGTCTGATTAAATTTTATTTATAATAAGTATAAAAGTAATATAAATTTTTATACCTCAATAATAGATTGCAGAATCAAAATCTGTTCATTCTTTATTTCATAAACATTTCAAAAGTTAATAAAAAACAGTATTATTTCGTTTTAGCTTTTATTAACTAAAACCTAAATTATCAAAATATCAATGCATTCATATTTTAATAATTAAAAAGTAGATTATCAACTATCAGTAAAAGTTTTTGTGATATTTTACCAAATGATGCAAAATTTTCATTCACGAATATGAAAAATATTTAATTCTGCAGCATAAGTATCATTATTACAAAATCATACATATGGGACTACTTCAACAATGTTTTGCAAATATATGATTTTTAATTACTTTTTATTATCTTATTGTGGAAAATTAATAAGTATTAAAATTATGTACACATTAAGTTAAAGTCAGGAGTACAAAGTGTTTAATATATTATAAATTTTTATAAACAGTACTAAGAATTAATAATATGTAGAATCATTAGATAGAACAATTAATTGAAAATATATCTAGTTGCCAAATTTATATATTTGTGAATATTTTTAATGAACTAATAATATTTTGACAAATTCCAAATTCTGAACAATAGAATGTTCTTTTGCTAATAATACTTATGTACTAACCATTATGTAATAATCATTTAACTAAGGTCAACAATCCTTGTAAAAAATATAACTTTTACGAATTAGCTTACATTCCAGAATATAGAAAATTAAGTTTATTTGTTGAACACTAAGTCATTTTAACTGTATATATTTTTCAATGTTGTGCTATAAATTCAGTAAATTAATATATAGCTCTGTTATGAACTTGTGAAGAAAGTGGTAAAAAAGTAATAAAATCATATACAACATTTATTAATATAGCAATCACTTCTATGCATTAATTGAAATCGAATTGAACATTTTGTAAATTAGAAAAAATATTCATGCAGAATTAATATTATGCTAAGTCGTTTAAATAACAAAATTAAATATATAAGATAAACTTTGGAAGTACAATTTAAAATAAATTATATTTGAGGACTTGTTTGTAATGTAGATGAATACTATTATGTACAGTAAAATCTATTGATAGATAAATTATTTGAGGCTGTAATTGTTATTCTGTAGTTTATTTCTTGCAGTTGAATCAGTGATTTCTGTATAAAAAAATTTCTAAATTATTCAATTTTCGCAAATTTAAAAAAAGATTAAATTAATCTTAGATAATTACATATATCAAAGCATAGACCAAATTGATGTAAATGATATTGTACATGTATACTGTAACTATAATGTACATACATATAACTTATTCCTATCTAAAATATCTGTACTGATTCTACTCTTACTCTGCTCTGAAATGAATTCTTGAAATTCTAAATTAATTTGCTCAAATTTGTTATGCATAAGTATAATCATACAAGTATACCTTTTTCTTTAAGGAATGTTTGAAGTCTAAAATAATAAAGTTATTAAATTTTTTTCTTAAGTGCATTTTTTCAGTTTTTTTCTATTTTGTATGTGTTATCATCTGCCATTTTTTTATTTTAAATTTATTCAATTTCATATGAACAATTATTATAATAGAAGTGTGGTTATCATTTGCGCAATTGTTGGAATGAAAATAAACAATGTATAAAATTTTTTTATAAAGTGGATTTTTATATTTTTGACGTACTTTCTGTATAACGTGCAATACTACCTGGCATTTATATAATTTTAAACTTATAATGATGATGGGAAGGATTGTGCTTGCGAATCGAACGATGAGAGACAAGAAGTATTTCCCGCACTGCCGGATAACCATCATGGTGACTACCCACCGTTAATTAAAAGCTTGAACAACTAGAAATAAATAGTATTTCCAGATCTTTAATCTACATTATAAAACAAAATATTTTACAAAAAGGATGTATATTCCCTTTACATTTTTTAAATTCTCTTACATTTCAATCCTCGCGGAGATAGGCAAAAAATTATATTATTTTTAACTTTTACCTTTATTATTATTCAAACTTTCAAAAGTAAAGATGTATAACATATAAAGCATCTGCTTCGTCATATAGTAAATGTTTGTATTCCGTAAATGAAGTAATGAAGAATCCAGTAAATGTTTACTTGCGAGGAATTGTAGACTCTCAAATGTGTCAGGGACTGAGCGCCCTTTTTTCGGTGCGGTGTGGTGGCAGTCAGCTGGTGGCCAGTTTTGGAACATGTATCTATTAATAAAAGGCAGCAACGTCAAACTTGTGCGCCCTTGGTACATCTTCAGCACTCATCGCAATCAGTCTATTATGCTTACACTTCGAAAAAATATGGCTTAGACACTTTTATTTATGAATGGCTTTCTGATTGCCGTGGTTGTTCAACGACATGAATTGGTTTATGACTTTTCAAATGCATAATTTGTTTACGTAAGGAATTGTACACTGTCAAACATGGTAAGTTTTTACTACTTTTATTATTAATTCACTTCTCATCCTGTATTTTTTAGATATATTAAATCTGTACATTACTTTACGGAAAGTTTCTTTTATATGTCTAATTAACTAATGACATCAATCATAACCTCGATCTAGCTTGGATCTATTTATATTTAACTTTCCAGGCCCTTTTAGGAGCACAATTGGTTATTACACTGATTATGGTCAGTGTAATTCAGAAATTAGGCTCACACTTTTCTGTAGCAAAATGGATTTTGTGTTCTACTGGGTAATCTTTTTGATATATTAATTTTTTCATTGATAATTTTATTAGAAATAAATATACCCATTTGTTGGTTGCAGATTAATCCGATATTTGTATCCAACAGATCAAGAATTGAGGAGTCTTGTTGGTTTTTTCAAAGAAAAACATAAAAAAGGAAAGCACTCAGAAAATGGTAAAGTGTCTGATACTTTCCAGATTCCAAGAAATTTAGATATTACGCTTGAGTCTGCTCCTGTCACTGCTCTTGATGTTATACATTTAAAATACTATTCTGATTTTCAATGGTTGCTTGATTTTTCTATATATGGAGCAATTGTCTATGCTTCCACTGAGGTATATATATATTTTTTTATTACAGATATATCTTTGTATGTTTTCTGATACTATATATTTATTTATACAGGTGTACAATAATTGGTATCCAATCAAGGATGAAATCAACTTGAGTATGCTTTGGTGTTGCCTGGTCATTGGATTTGCATTGTATGCTTTTCAAAGAATATTTGCAATAAAAAATTTATTACAGGCACTGCTCTCATGTATTTCTTAACAAACATATTTTTAGTAAAGTGTTAATTATACTTTGGATACAATATTTCAAGGGTGAAGAAAGTACTGGAGAAAGGTCAACATGTATTGTAACTGGATTTGTTTTTCTTTTGACAGCAATGATAATTCTTATTATAGATGAGAATACACTTGAATTAGGTTTAGACAATGCATATGCAAGTTTTAATCATTCTGCTTCTATATTTTTAAAAAATCAAGGACTTTCATCAAGGTACATCGATCGTGGTTATTAGATTACCTTTTTGTACTGATTAAATTAAAGATTTTTTTTATAATGTCTAATGATTTTTTTTCAGTGGGCCAGCTTCAAAACTAATAGTGAAATTGGTCTTAGCTGTAACATGTGGATTTATTGGCTCATTGTTTACATTTCCAGGACTTCGAGTATCAAAAATGCATTGGGATACTTTGAAGTAAATTATAATTTTTCTTAAACTTCTGCAATTTTTCTTTCGAAATTTTATAAACTTAATTAATGTTTTTAGGTACTATAGGGACAATAAACTTCTTCTCCTTTTTGCTAATCTTAGTTATGTTTCTCCACTTATCCTAGCAAGCTTATGGTTAACACCAGTCAGTCGTAACTATCTTACTGTGAGAATTTTTTCTCGAATGACAAAACCAATGTAAGTAAAGAGTGTAGTTTTTATTGTTTGATTTACAGCATCATTAAAACTATAATTGCCATATAATTTTTAGAATGACACCAAATGCCTTTGAGAGTATGAGAATAATTGCTATTATTGTGGCTGTTACTTTAAAGTTAGTTTTAATGCCTATTTATCTACAATCTTATTTGAATCTCGCTAAACAAAGATTGGAAACTCAGAAGAAAGAAGCTGGTAGAATATCAAACAAAGAATTTCAGAAAAAGGTCAATTTTCCTTTAAAATTGTCGAAAACAATTCTTTCAAACAAAAATAGTATTTCTTTCTATATTTTTCAGATAGCAGCTGTATTTTATTACCTTTGCGTCGTGGCATTGCAATATATCGCGCCATTGATTATTTGTTTATATTGTACATTTATGTTAAAAACATTAGGTATGTAACAGACAATAACGATAAATAAAAGATAGATTTATTTTTTTACATACTACAAAATTGTTAGGTGGATATTCGTGGGAGGCTCTTTATAAAGATATTGATTCAGGAGAATGCTTAGCGCCAGAAGCATTACCAGAACCTAAAATTTTCTCGGACGATGAAGAGAAAACTGTAGCACAAACTGCTCAAGAGTTTCATTTAGCCTTGAGTTCAATAAAACAGGTAAAGTTTTGTCTATAATAAAGATTAATAGTCATTACTTTTTTACTTATACATTTCAATTTGTTTATTTTAGATATTTACAACCGAAGTATTCAGAGGAGTTTTCGGTTTAGCAACATGGTGGTCTTGTTTCACGTTATTTGCAACAACGGCAATGGGCATGCTATATCAAAGCTATTTTGCAAAGATTTAATGCCTCTTTGAGAACCGTCGAGATTCTTTCAAATTTCACAAATTTTGTGTGTCGTTAATGAAAACATTAAGATAAAAGTTAAAAATTCAAAAAAAAGCAGTATGGCATGAAATGTTTTTATAAAATGAGTATGTGAAAGCCGAAATACAGATAAGTCACAAAAGAACTGATAATCGCTATATCGTGACAACTGCTAAAGATTCAACTGAGAATTCAAGTGCACAATAATAATTCATTGTATTGGTTGATTGTTAGACTGTTGATTAATTGTTAATAATTGATCTTTGATTTCGAGCGCTATTTCCATTTGGATAGCCATTGTACATAATCATATTTTTTATCGAATCAGTATATTTAATGATATTTGATTAAAAAAAAAAAAGAAAAAAGTTAAAGAAAATCTTTTCTATATAAATCAACACCAGAAAAAAGACTCGTGAATTGACTAGCTTCACAATTTGTACGTTACCGCTATACATCAAACACGTTAAAAATAAAAATGTTTCTGACAATTCTATAAGACTTTTAAAATATTCGAAATAAAGAGCCACCTTTTGGCCGAAAAAATAAAAATATTTCAACAACTATCTAAAAATAGATTGATTATACATTAAAATATACCCTAATTACTATACCGCCGCATTCCATAAAAATTTGATGAAATACATGTATAGTAGTGTATACGTATGAGTACTCACCGTTCTCCAAAAGACTGCCAAGATAGCCCTCAGCTATCAAGAGAAATTGTTACAGAAATTTGGAAAATGATATTAATTGCCTTAAATATCCCTAATATCCTTGGTAATTTTCCTTTTCCAATTCGTCAACAGAGAATAGGCGAAAATCACAATTTTCCTCTAAGTTACGTGATGTCTAGGTACTCTAAAAGTTATTGTTGATTTTTTAAGATAAATGGTTTAAGATTAAGATCTTTATTTTCTTCGCCATCCTTCGTATTCGTATTAAATGTTAAATGCTATTCATTTTACATAACATTTGTTAATAATTTTGATGTTTTGAATGACGAGGGAAGGGAATTAGTTTATATTTATAAGTTGTGAACTAATGACATTCCCCTGCCATTCAAGGCATCAAAATGATGAACAATTCTTATGTACAATAAGTAGTATTTAACATTAAATACAAATAAGGGGGATGACGAGGGAAATTAAAATCTTAATTTTGAGTCATTGATCTTAGAAATTCAATGATTTTTGGAGAAAATAGTTGTTATGTAGGTTAGATAAAAATCACGATTTTCACCTATTCCCCGTTGATAAATCGAAAATGAGAAATTATCAAGGACATTAATGCTATTTTTCAAATTTCTGTAACAAGTACCAACTTTCCTTGGCTGTGACATGAACGCGTTGTTTGATTTTAAATTAAATTTGGCCGTACCGTTAGAACTGGAGTAAGAACCAAGGGATTTGGTCGAAAGTTCTGTCCAATTCCATTTTCCTTATGCATTAATTGAGGGAATGTCCACACGTGATCCTTCTTCCTTTTTGACCCCGGGGCCGTCCCCGTCCGAGATTTTATATGCACACGCCATCTCTATAACTTCGAGCTCAGTGGTAAATTTCATAATGAATGCGAGATACGCATCTTAATCTATGAACTTGAAATTATAGAGATGGCGTGCGTGTACAAAAACTCGGACGGGGACGGTCCCGGGTTCGGGAAGGAAGAGGGATCCTGTGTGGATACTCCCTTAAATGCCAAATTGAAGAGCTCTCGCTTACTTGTATCCATCTCCAAAAGCAACAGTTTGCATTATCGTGCGTTGTAGGACTTTTAGCTTGTAGGCAATGGGATGGCAGAAAGTTAGTTCGCGATTCTCCGCTGGACGCGCTGCTCCAACGGGGATAAGCCAGTTGGTTCTAGTTCCGATCTTCCCCCATGGGGAGCGTAACGAACGCTTATGTCCAATAAAAAAGATTAGTCTGTGATGTATGTAAGAGCAGCGTGTGCTCATCTTATACGATATCCACGCGCTCTCTTAGTCTATGGTCTGTGATGGTTGCGTTTGTCTATTAGACGTTGCTACATAACAATTCTAATATATTTACTTTTTTACAATCCTGCCAAGGATAATTTGGCAAACATGGACATACCAATAACAGAATGCTTATGTGGTCATCCTTTCGATCCAGACCAATTCATGATTCAGTGCTATCTTTGCAGGATTTGGTACCATGGACAGTGCGTATTCTCTCCTCTACTTTTTATCTTTCGATAGTTTTATTTGCTTATTTTACTCTTCATACCATATCAATAATTTTACTTCCTTTTTGTCCATCATTCATTCTGTTATATTATTCATAAATTTCTTATTCAAATACATTTGCATTTGTTGTCTCAATCTAAGAGTGCTTTGTTATTGTAAACATAACCTATTTACATTGGATTGATTGTATTCTTTACTCATCTAAATTTGTAATCACTACTTACAACATTTGACCATTCACATTTATCATTTCAACAAATTTACTTAATATTGTACATTCACTTGTGCAGGTGTGTATCCATCAAGGAATATATGGCTACTGAAATAGATAAATTTCATTGTCCTCGATGCGTACCAATTCATAACCAGTCTATAAGTGCGCTTTATTATTATAGTCATTTTTTTATAACAATTTACTATGTATATGACAATGTTTAAATATTCTTTTAGTGAAAGTCAGAACCAATTGGCATCGGCACAATTATTCTGAAATGGAAGCAGAAGGAAAACCTGTTCAGACGGGCACTCCAGTCTTTATCAGAGAATTAAAATCCAGGCATTTTCCCAAAGCTGATGACATAGTTAAACACTTAAAAGGACAACAATTGACTATGCAATATTTACAAACAAATGGATTCGATATTCCTATTATTGTTGACATAAAAGATGGTCTGGATATGGTTGTACCACCTCCAAATTTCAGTCTTTATGACGTACAAACCTACATAGGTATTTAGTTCCTCCTGTATTGTAAGGCCTTGTTTATTTATTAAATATGAAACGAGCCAAAGCCTAAATTCAAAATTTGTAATAAATTAAATTGAACCATGCACTGGCAAATACTGCCAAAAAATAAATATAAAATTTGATTATCATTTTCTAATAAAACAATAACAAAAAAGTTAATCTTCAAATAAATTTTTTATTCCTGAAAATGAGATATGTTTTAGGTGGTGAAAGAGAAATGGATGTAATTGATGTAGCAAAGCAGAATAATGTTAGAATGTCATTGAAAGAATTTGTTGAATATTATTATGATCCCAATCGATCAAGAATTCTTAATGTCATAAGTTTAGAATTCACAAACACTGGGTAAGCATAAGTTTGCTACATCATTTAATCATTCTGTGTATTCATATTTATGATATAATTAAATATGACTGCAGTCTGTCTTCTATGGTTGAGGCACCATATATTGCAAGAAAACTTGACTGGGTAAATTATGTCTGGCCAAGAGATTGGCCTGAAGATAGCGAACTGAAGAAGCCAGAAGTACAAAAGTACTGTTTAATGGGTGTTAAAGATAGTTTCACAGACTTTCATATAGATTTTGGTGGTACATCTGTGTGGTATCACGTTCTGAGAGGTGAAAAGGTATTCTATCTGATTAAACCTACAGCAGCAAATTTACATCTTTACCAGCAATGGATGTCCAGTTCGACTCAGAGTGAAACTTTTTTTGGAGATCAAGTTGATGCCTGTTATAAATGTGTTTTAAAACAAGGACAAACAATGTTGATACCTACTGGTTGGATTCATGCAGTTTTAACACCCATTGATTCTTTAGTATTTGGTGGTAACTTTGTACATAGTTTGAATATACCAATGCAAATTCAGTGAGTACTCGCAAATAAATCTGTCAATTATTTTCGTAAACATTTCATATAATGACTCGTTTTGTAGAATATATGAAATGGAAAGGAAATTGAAAACACCAGCCAAATTTCAGTACCCTGGATTTGAAACTATTAACTGGTTTGCAGCAAAAAGACTCTTGAAAGAGCTGAAAGATCTCAACAGTGAAGAGAAAAAATGTCCTCCTTACTTTTTACAGGGTGTCAAAGCTTTGTTGAGTATATTAAAGCAGTGGAATACCGACAAAGACGTAAGTAAATGGATGCAAATATCGTAATTAGTTTCAAATGCGGTGACTTATACTTTTATTGAAAAGGGAGAGAACGCAAAAAAAACCAGTTTAGTCGAATGTTTTATCTTTCATTACAGTATAGTATGCTGAGTAGATCGCAAATACCACAAACAATTAGTAGCCAAAAAGTACTGAAAGATTTAAGTAAGGAAATAAGACATGCAGAGCGCTATTTGATAGCTTTGAATCCACCGAAACCTGAGCGCGAGAGTAAAAGAAAGAAAAAGAAGCCAATGAATAAGGATTTCGTTGATTTCCACGTAACTGATCGAATGAGCGAAAGTTCAAAACTGAAGTCCCTTGCGAAAGAGCAGTCGGTGAAAAAAGAGACAGTATCTCCGAAGAAGGGCCTCGTTCATCGACCACCACTGAAACTAACCTTACCAAAACCAGCAGCGTTCCCTTACCATGGCGAGCTTAATAGCTCGGTCAATGCGCAAGAAAGAGCAATCGCAGCTGTCGCAGCTCCGATCAAGACGATTAAAACATTGAGTCCCAAAAACACCAGTGTCAAAAAACCGAACACCAGTAAGCAGAGCAGCTCACATAAGAGTATAAACGCCAAAAGACCGGCAGGTGTGAAAAAGCTAACTAGCGAAGGTAAGAAGGGAGCCAAACACGGCAAACAAAGTCCAACTGTGATTAGATTCAAGTTGGGCGACAACGAGGTAGTGAGAAGCACCAAGGATAAGGGTAGCAATATCTACGGGAATTTCGTGCTGGATCAAAACATCGAAACGCGTAAAGAATTGACCTGGAAGCAAACGACTTCGGTGTATGACTTTCACGATGGCAGTAATGAGAGTGATTACGGCGGATTCACTATCGACGAGGCTCCTAAAAGAAAGAAATCCGTGAAGGTCAATAGCACTGCGAAGAAGGCGAAGACAAATTTCGATGTTGGCCCTACGACCAATACTGTACCGACAAATGGCATTGAGGAGTTGCTTAAAGCTTCAGTATATACGTTGGATGGAACAGCACCAAGACTGGACGTTATGTAAGCTGTCACTCGCATGCTTTGTTGTCGACTAATTTAAAAAAAGAACCATCAAATACATTAAGCTGGCCTAAATAACCTTGAACCTAAAATACTTTTAGCCCCTCGGCGAACGTTACGAGCTTTATGCAACAAGCACCCGTGACGACAGGGTAAGCCCTCTTCACTTGATTCCAGTGTTCACGTTGTTTGATTAATTCGATGCGAAAAGTCAGCCGTCACGAAGAAATGAAAAATATGTAGTTTCTCTCTCTTTCTCTTTCTCCTTCACTCTCTCTTTGTCTAATTGTTTGTTTGGAAAGACGCCGCACTAGGAGATACAATTTGTATTGTTTCTCGGTGTCTTAGTACTTATAAATTGAAAACGGTCAGTTCTGACAGGGCTTCACCGTCGACGAGGGACGCCATCGCGGGAATGCTATCGTTCAGCGCCCAGTGCTACCCGACAGCTGTAACTCCGCAGCAGGTACCGGCGAAAGCGAAGAGCAAAGTGGCGAAAGCTCGAACCAAGGGCACGCGGCCGGAGAAGCACGAGCTATCAGGAGAGCGCGACCGGATGGCGGACGACGAGGACGACCTGCTGATTGAGAACATGGACAAGGTTCATCAAGACGACGACTTCAGTGAGTAGTTGAGCTTTTGATCGCAATGTCGAAGCCGCGAGGTCGATGATCAGACGACGATGGTTGGCTGTGTCAACAGTCTATCCGGCCCTGGACGTGTCGGACGAGGACGAGTTCATGTTCAAATCCAAGGGCAAGCGCGAAGAGGACGAGGCATGGAACCCGAAGGCTCGAGTGGGACCTCTGCTGCCCAAGACGAACAGGCCGGCGCGCGAGGGCACCAAAAAAACCTCAGTGGAAAAGGGTCTCGAGGCTGCCGCAAAAAAACGAGCCAGACAATCCGTAAGTAACGACCGTCGCCTTGCGACTGCCCTGCCCCTCCCCCAATACCTCGCCACTTCTTCCTCTATCGCCCGCTATCTTTATCATTGCTGCTTGAATCTCTTCTATCCTCTATTTCTCTTTGTCATTTGCAATCTGTCTCTATTCGCGCACGGTTGTCAGGATGCTGATGAGGATTATCAAGCATTCGACGATGACGACGATGACGATGACGACGATGATTTCGATGAGGATATGGAAGAGGAGAAAATAGTCAAAAGAAAATCGGTAGGCCATTATCATAAGCATGCGACCAAGATAACCTTAGCCAGTACCTTTAATGCTATGCTCGAGAGCCGCATTACCTTGACAATCCAATTGTTTATTTTCCGTGCGCAGTGTTCTATCTCTCCTTATCCATACTTTTTCAAGCCCCACTTACACCTCTACTCTGCTGAGCCTTGCATGAACGTCTGTCTCGCAGTTAACTTGTAAACTTATTTGTTCATTAGTATTTTGCTCTAAACAGACAAACTTTTCAATCGACACAGTAACTTTGACAATTGTTCAAATAAAATACTTTTTATCGTCTCGCTCCGTTGATTACCTTTCGTTTAACTTTCATCTTTCCCCTTTTCGAACAAATTTGTCCTCCTATTTCATCTCACTACTACTATGTCTTCCTTTATCTGTAACGCATTTAAGTGAAATTTGAAGAGATTGCTTGTTTGCGGCAAATCTGTGCTAACCGACGTTGTTTTCATCCAGAATTCGTCGAAAAGAACATACAAGAAAAAGCGAAAAGAGCAATCAGCGGTGCAAGTGACAGCTACCGAAGACGACCAATTATCAAGTGGAGTCGCACTGCCAGCGGTAGCCCCGCACGACGGGAATTTAACCCCCGCTAAGTCTCCTGAGCAAGTTATTAAACACATCCCCTACACCTCCATTTTGACAAGTCCCAACCGACTGAAAGACGTTAAAGCCAAATTGGCAGCGCCTATACCTGTAGGTTCGTATTTTGTCCAACCGCCGGTAACCGTTTGTCGCACAAATATATTTACACATATATCTATTCGACGTTCGATTTGTTTATGAGTAAGCCACGACAAATTTATAGTAATCAGTTTATAATTATTTTCCAGAACGGAAGCCAAAAAAAGGAATGAAAACTGCTAAACAAAGACTAGGGAAAATTCTCAAGATTCACAAAATGCTGCATTGAGTCAAAACAGTTACTGGAGCCGGTTTTTTAAAATTAAGTTCTATCGTTATTGCGAGCAAATCGGATCAATTTGCTTCGCGATGTATAAAATTAACCTCATTTATTAATATTCTTGTAAAAACTTGACCCGTTAAGAAATTTTGGCTCGTCGCCATCATCTTGTTGATTTTGATCTATCTTGCCAGATGTCATTACGCGAACATTCTTGTAAATTTTCATTCACGTTGAATCAAGCGCGTATATTACGTGTAATTGATGCGTGTGATCATTACATTACACACTTATACTTGAGCATTCACAGTGTTGTATAAAAATTGTATAAACTTAATTGTAATTTAGAGTAGGACAATTATGGGTACTAGAATCAAAATTCTAATGTTTTTATAAATCAATTCCTGTACATTGAACTAAGCATTCAGGTCATATTGAGTTGTGTAAAATTGCTTAAAAACTAAAGGTATTGAGTTTTCTTCGTGTCGCATGCGATAGAGACATTTATTATAAAAACAAAATTAGATAAGACCAATCAACATATTTGCATCGCATTTACGTATGACTGAACTGCTATTCATGCTTTTAGTTGATTATTTGTTAAATATTTTTTTAAGTTGAATATCACGCATTGAAATTTCAAAATAGTATATCTCGTTCTCAGTGCAAGACAGTAATTTCAGTTTCGTGTATACATTTGCACATGAACGAAGCGAGAGCGGAAAGGCCACGCGAGGCTGAAATTACTTTCTCGCACATGTATCTAACTTTATTTTTCGATATGACATGAAGGGACAAAATTTGAAGCATGTTCGATTTCTCGAGCACGCGTGAAGTCGCATGAAGTGTCGAAAAATATTATTTTTATTTGCACGGAAGACATCGACAATAAAAATGAGACCACACGCTATTATATTTGCATTTGTCTTCGGCATCATAACTACATTATAAATAACCATGTGTTAGGAATTTATAAAAATATGTAAGTTAGTCGTTTTTAGTAATTTGTAGCAGCCTCGAATAAAAATATAAGTTATGCAAAGACGATTACAACAAATTTTCTTTTTTGTTCGATGCTACTACGTTACTTTATTGTAAATTATTAGCGCAAAAGTACATATGTATATTATATATAAAGCTCGAAAAAAATTGAAAGCAGTATTATGATAGAGTTCAAATTTGTACGTTTGTTCAAAAGCAAATATTAAATAATTGTACTTTCGAAAGATTTTTTTATAAACTTTTGAATATTTCAAATATACTGCAAAGTATAGACAATTTTTTGTACAAAAATATGCCAATAAAAAGTAAAAAAATGTCACTCAATTACTAATTGACTTGACTACGTAGCCTTAAAATATAACAAAAGATTAGAATGTGTTAGAAAAAAATGAAACTAATTTGTCATTAAATTTTTCCATTGCTTTAAGTGTGTACTCACTAAAGTATCTCATTTTAATAGGTTTTGTGTCAACACAAATAACAAAAGCAGAACAGTACATAAATAAATACTCTTGCAACTATTAATTTTATTCAATGGATGAGGAAAAAATAATCGTTACATTCAATTTAATAAGAGTGTACATTATGTAGAGAGAAAATTTGAAATTCACAGAAATTAAGTGATACTGTCTAAATTTCTGGCTGATAAGCGTATGATAATAATTATTTATTTATCTGCAAGACTGTCAGAGAAAATAAAAATTGCATATGTTTATTGTAAGTGGTATTTTTCATTCGATATGTTCAGGCACAACTATGGAAAGAATCAGGAAATGCGTTTCGAGGTATATAATAACAAAACGATTTATTCTAACAATTACGAGTGTGTTAGAAATGTGAGTTTGAAAGATATATTTAAGTTATGAGATGCACACTTTAATTGTAGGGATGCCATGATAGTCGATTTGCATTTGAAATTAATTTTAGAACGACTCACTACGATCACCCGATTGTATGGAAAAAGTAAAGATTCAAATCTCTTCTAATCTCTCTACACGCTCGTAATTTTTCCTCGTGTACAACATTGACGAAAGTGCACATATGAAAGCATGCAGCAAACTGGCAAAGATCAAAAAGACTAGATAGAATAATAAGTTTTTTATTAAATTCCGACGAGGTAAATAAAAAGTGAATGTAAGAGACAATGATATTTGTACATGTATCGTAATAATGCACGGTGCAGTATGTAATAAAATAGTATTAAAACTAGAGAGGGGTATTTAGGCGGAGAAGAGCGTTGAAACGAGGCGCTTAAGCCTGAGCGTGCTCGAGCTTGTAGACGTCGTGGTAGGCGTTGCGGATGAGGGCATAGGGGAAGCAGCTCTCGAGAAGGTCCATGGTGAGAAAGGGCGACTCCTGGACAATCTGGTCGAGGAGGAGATAGACGGAGTCACGATTGCGAGTGGTCTCCTTATCGGCCTCCTGGCCGAGGCGTAGCAGGCTGGAGGAGGCGAGCGCGAGAAACTCCTTCATGCGGTCCTCGATGTCGCTCTGGCCGCAGATAGTGAAGAGCGCGCCGAAGACGTTGTTGATGGCCGTGGCCATGCAGTGGATGTTGTTGGAATGGCCCTCGAGGGAGGCGCGGTAGAAGGAATTGTCGTTGCGCGCCAGCTTGGGGATAGATACGGCAACGAAGACCATGAGCAGGCAGACGAGCATGTGCTCGTCGTCGTCGGCGAGCTCGGGCTTCTGGCTGCGCAGTGCGGCGGTGAGCGCGGGATCGACGCGACAGCCGAGGCCCGCGGCGGAGCTCATCTCGGAGACGACGCGCGCGGTTTCGCCGCCGCTCGTTGGACCGCCGTTGACAGAGCCGCCGCCGCCACCGGCGCCGCCGTTGAGCGAGCCGCCGCCTCCGCCGCCGCCACTACTACTGCCCCCGCCGCCGCCTCCGAGGCCGTTGAGCGAGCCGGCACCGCAGAGAGCGTTGCCAACGGTGATGCCGGGCAGCTGGTGGCGCAGGTCCAGGATGGAGCTGAGCAGGAAGGGGATGCGCTCCTCGAGCGCGTCCACGAGCGCCTGCTGGGCCAGTTGGCGGAAGCTGAGGATGACGCCGATGATGGTGACGCGCTGCAGCACGTTGTCCACGTACTGCAGCCGCTTGAACTGCTCCTTCATCACCTCGGGCTTGTCGAAATTGGTGCGCAGCGAGACGAGCACGTCCTTGTTGCTGGCCACGAGCTTCTTGAGCTCCTGCACCTGGCTGGCGATGTGCCACATGAGAGTTTCGTTGAGCAGCTTCATGCCGTAGGGGCCGATGAGCTCGGCGAGGGCGCGCAACTCGTTCAGGTCGCTGAACTCCTCGGCGTTGAAGGGGATGGCCGACTCGACGGAGAGCGAGACGAAGCTACGCTGGTTGGCCGAGTAGCAGATGTTGCCGGCGCTGACGCGGCGCAGCAGCACCTCCGAGTACCACTGGGTGTAGAGCGCGGCGATGGTCTTCTCGCCATGGCTGTCGAGCGCCTGGGTCTGCTGCAGCAGCGCGGTGTTGAAGACGCGCGTGATGTCGATGTGCACGTAGTTCTCCACGGTCTGCAACACATTCATGTAGGCGCGCACCGAGACCAGCAGCTCCGAGGGCTTGGCGATTACATTGCTGTCCGCGTCGTACATGACCATGCCGACGAGGGCGCGCGCGAAGCGCGTTTCCAGGTGCTGGTGCAAGTACTCGCGCGGCGCGAACGTGTACTCCCAGACGTTGATGGTGGGACAGTAGTTGATGGCGTAGCAGAGCTCGGTGAGGGCCATGTGCAGCTTGTCCATGGTGGTGAGCTCCTCGCGGGTCTTGCGGTAGCTCTCGGCACCCGGGCGGCGCAGCTCGGCCGCCGCGGCCGCGCCCGCAGCGCCCTTCTTCGCCTGCTTGTCCTTCTTCTTGCGGTTGACCAGCTGGGAGATGAGCTGCGCGCAGTGCTTCGGCAGCAGCTTGTCGCTCATCGAGCACTGCTTGTCGCAGATGGTGGTGATGATGTTCTTGGCCTCCTTGGCCATCTCGTCGAGGAACATGTTGACCACCGAGAGGCTGCGCTCGCGTATGTGGTGGCGCTCCTCGGGGCAGAGCTCGTGCGTGCAGCTCTGGAAGTGGCCGCAGATCAGCGGGAAGGCCACGATGTAGCGGTTCTGCGCGGGGAACTCGAGGCACATGTGAAACTGGTCCTCGAAGATCTTGCTGTAGAAGCAGAAGACCGAGAGGTCCGAGACGTCCACCAGCACGTCGTCCAGGCTGTCGACCATGCGCGTGTGGAAGACCGTCGCGTCCATGAAGGCGGCGAGCTCGCGGTGGTCGGCCAGCTTCATGGCGCTGCGCCCGACCGAGAGGTAGGCCTGCAGCCGGTACCAGTCCAGCCGGAACGCCCGGAAGTCGAACAGCTCGTTGTCCTCGACCTGCTTGACCGTGAGGCCGGCGATGCTCGCGCACATGTCGCTGAGCACGGCGCCCTCCTCCTCCGGGCACACGGCCAGGTTCTGCACCATCTGGTGCATGGCCGGCGCGTCGAAGCCCGCGAGAAACTGCACGTAGTAGCGCTGCAGCACCTGCGAGTACTTGCGCACGAGCGCGCGCAGCTCCTCGCAGTGGAAGAGCAGCTCGGGCAGCTGGCGGTCGACCAGCTCCTCGCCGCGGCGCGTCTTGGCCTTGCCCTGGGCGGGCGGGTTGTCGCCGTGGCGCAGCAGCCAGAGCACCTCGTCGCGCGCGTGCGACAGGCCCATGAGCACGAGCAGCGCCTTCGGGCCCAGCAGGCCCGGCTGGTCGGTGAGGATCAGGCCCAGCTCCTTGAGCGCCGTGCGCAGGAACTTGCGGCGCTCGCGGTGTCGGTAGCCGGCCTTGAGCAGCGCCTGGCTGTGGCACTCCTTCACCTCGCTCACGCGCTTGCCGTAGCCCTTGATGCCCTCGAAGAAGGACTGCACGTACTGGTGGATGTAGATGACCTCGTCGCGGAAGAGCGCCAGCACCCAGCCGCTCTCGAGGGCGCTCTGCCAGAGCTTGGCCGGCTGCTCCTGGCCGAGGGCACCGTGGCACAGCGCGAAGCCCAGGATCAGCCAGCGCTCCAGCCGCTCCAGGCTCAGCGTCTCGCAGGACATGCTCTCGGTCGCGGCGGCCTTCAGCAGCTGGCCCGGGCTGCCCACCAGGCTGAGCCGCTGCTCGGCGCGCCAGGCGTCCGCCGAGGCGTTGCGCGCCGGGTAGACGGCCCACAGCGAGCACAGCGCGCCGCGCAGCACCTTGGCGTGCGGCACGAACTCCTCGGCGAGCTTGCGCAGGGGCGCGTCGTACTCGACGATCATCTGGCCGAGCCGCGGGAAGCTGGGGTCCGACTGGCTGTGCACCAGCTCGTGCGCCGCGTTGAACAGGCCTAGCACGGCCTTGCGGTCCTCCACGCGCGACAGCAGGATCATCAGGCTCGCGTAGCTCGCCACCAGGTCCAGGTAGCCGCGCGTCAGCTCGAAGTTCACGCCGATGTCCAGGTGCAGCGCGCACGCGTCCACGCTGCTCAGCAGCTCGCACACGTTGTCTTTGAAGTCCAGCAGGTCCACGAACGTGTAGTAGTACAGCGAGAGCGACTTGATGATCTCGTTGCGCAGGCTCGTGATCGTCTGGAGCCCCTTCACGTCCACGTTCGGGAACTTGCGCACGATGCTCTTGATCGACGACTCCAGGCTCTTGTCCGAGAGGAAGCCCGGCTTCGACTTGGCGTCGCCGCAGGCCTTCTTGATGTTGTAGATGCGCGTCAGCATGCCGATCCCCCGGTCGTTCAGGATGATCAGCTTCTCCGCGAGCTTCTGCTGCGACGGGTTCAGCGAGCGCGCCATGGCCGCTCGGACTCTCGCTCTCGCTCTAGCTTCGTCCCTGGCACCTTCGCCGCTCGTCCTCGCTCGCTTTCCTCGCTGCTGCTGCTGCTTCTTCACCGGGTCAGCCTCTTACCGCGGTCTCATGCTCCGTCCGTCTGGCTTCCTCGCTGCTCGCGCTGCTGCGAACCATCCGGCCTCTAGGTATCGCTCACCGACGACCGGCCCGACGACTGTTGCCAGCTCATCTCCGGCAACCTCTTGTCTCTCGGCTTTGCGTTTGCAACGACGCTGTGTTGTTAATGTTGTTGGTAAACGCCCAAGCCAACCCAATGCCAGCCAACGCTCTCGATTTCTCCAACGTAACAACTCTGTACTCTACCTGACTCTACTCACTCTACTGTTGAGTTTGCAGGTTATGTATAGTATGTTTTTATTGGTTTGGTATAATACAACTTTTTTACTAAAAAGGCCACAACCCCAAGCAGTGGCGCCACGCTTAAGCGCGAGATACAAAATCTTGACAAGTAGAAGTAAGAAGTTTATTAATTATACGTGGTAAGTCTACAAGTATATTTCAACATTTGAAATATATTTTTTTAAATCATTGTGGTGTCGTGGTGAAAGATATTTTTTTATCTATATTTATATTTTTATAGTATAATCTATGCAGATTTATTGCTTTCTATTATTTTTATCTACTTGTATTTTACTGATTTTTTTTTCTGTGCATAAATATAAAATCAATTATTTGAAGCTGTACTAATCATTACCATTGACTTTAGTTGACTGTGGATCTATCTTAGTTTATGCGAAAATGGTACAAGTTTAGAAGTGCCATGTCATAATTATCAATCCTCATAAATATTATCCACGCACTGTCACTTGCTCGTAAACTCCGAAGACGTAAAGTAATCAGTCTCAGATGTCTTTTAAATACAAAATAGCGATGCATCAATATATATTAAAAAAAAATGAATTAAAGCTCGCATCAATGTCAATAAAATAATACATTTAAGTGGAACGCGTGAAATAAAAGTAATCACGAAAGTTGTTGCTTGCGTTCAAAGAGTCAATAACAACAAAAAAGCATCAGTCACGCTCTTCTAGTATCATAACCGATCACAGAATCTCTTTGCGTGTAGTCATCCAAGCAGATAGCTGCCCGCGATTATTACGCATACACACACATGTATACCTCTCAACACAGTCCATATAAGTAAGTCGTAGAACGAGGAGGTGGAGAAGTAAGAAGGAGGGGACTGGATGCATCACGGACACGCTTCCGTAAAGTCGGGCGTGCTCGCGGCGGCGAACGTGGTGGTGCGGAATGCGCGAGAGTGTGTGCGTGTCGCTCGGTGCCGTTAGTTGCTGTTAGACGGCTACGATCCACTTCTCGTTGTCTGTAGCTACAGTTGCCTCTCGCGCTTCACTGCGCTAGCGTCTAACCAGCGGTGTTTTTTTTCACAGAGAACAACGATACACACGCCAGAGAAGATGCCCGACGTAATCGAGGACGAAATCAAACACGTGCTCAGCGGGCAAAGTACCCGCGTGGCCGATGACCTCTGCGATTACACCCTGGAACAACAAAACATGCACGCCGGTAAAAACAAAAACGAAAAAAACGAACTAAATAAACCGTGTCTTCTGCTCCTCCGTCTGCGCGTGTGTTGTGCAGTGCCGTGTAATCGTCCTACCTATCATATATACCGCTATCTACGTCTTGCAAGGCTCAATCGCGCGGCTCTTTTTTTCTCTCTTTCGTGCTGGTATGCTCTTTTAGGTTATAACGTGGACTAATTGCTAAGGTGATGCTTAGAAAGTTTTCTCTCCTGCACCAAGTTTTACTTTTTAAGCAGTTGTAATTGTTGTCGAGCTTTGATTCATGGTTTCACTTTGCGTGTGATTGCGGGGTTCCAATGATTGCTGCACGCGCGCAAAGGTGTCTTGTTTGTTTTCCATCTCTTCTCTCTCTCTCCTCTCGCTGACTCTTGTGCGCGCGTGAGATGAAACGTGATTGTGCAACTGCAAAATATGTACAATATACGGACATTAATAATCGTACTTAGTCGTGTTGAAAGATTGCAGGTTGCATTTGAATAATTGTTTTCTTTATAAGTATAGACGATATACACACTTAACTCGTTGATTGCAAAAAATATTATATGTAATTATTTCCAATGGTTCTGCCTACACTTTTTGCATTCGGTGTTGTTAACTAAAATGGAATGGAAAGGTGGGAGAGAAAGCTATTGCAGTCAGAGAAACACTGCGCATTCAGGGCAGTCGAGAAGCTGCAGTTTTCTATTCCGAATAAAATTTCAGCGCGATTGATTTCTCTCTGGCAGCTTCTATTCAAGTTTCGTGAAAGCTCAGTGATAAATTTTATGCGCGAAAGTAGCTCGATAGATCGTGTCGCATGTGCAGTTGTCAAAATTGAATTACCTCATTTCACTGCGATCTGAATTACTTTGAAGCAAAAGCTCCTTTCAGCCGGTTTCTCATGACATAGACGTTTGCAAATACGCATCGCCAAGAAATAACCGAATCCATTCGTTCTGCCTGCAGAGTCGAACGGGATAAAGCCAGCGGTAAGCTCGTCCTACGTGCCGATATGCCAGAAGACAGTGACCTACATCGTGGCAGCGGTGCTGATCAACGAGCACGACGAGGTGCTGATGATGCAGGAGGCCAAAGCGTCGTGCCTGGGAAAGTGGTACTTGCCAGCTGGTCGGGTGGAGCCGAACGAAAATCTCCTGGACGCTATGAAGCGCGAGGTGCTGGAGGAAACCGGTTTGCTTATCGAGCCCAAGTCGTTGCTGATGGTCGAGTGCGCCAGCGGCTCGTGGTTCCGCTTCGTGATGAGCGGCAGCGTTATCGGCGGCACGCTCAAGACGCTGGACCAGTCGAACGAGGAGTCGCTTCAAGCGTGCTGGGTACGCGAGGTTACCAATTTGCCGCTCAGATCCAGCGATATACTCACTCTCATACAGAAGGGTAGGGATTGGTTGAAGAAAATCAACGGGCCGTGGCACGCCAATATATTGCCGGTGGAACGACCGCGCAGTAAGCTCTATCTACGGCTTATTGTCTGCATCAAGAAGAAGGCCACGTGAGTCGAATGCTTAATTAAGCCTTTCTCCAGCTCACATTAGATGTCAGGCAGAATTCTTGAAAAATTTTAATTGTCGCCTTGTCATTTTGCCAAAAACAGAAATAGACTACACGTGTTGATGTCTGAGAAGACATCGTTACACTTGCCAGTCACTGAAATCAACTCAGGCAAGAATTTACATTCCACGCTTCACAGGTTCTTAGTGGTGCGTTGCCTTTTATAATACCTTCATTTGAATTTCAATTACGTTGCGAGAATAACAAATACCCGTTTATATTTCTCGTTTAAATTATCATTTTTAAGGAGATATTTGGCGAAGGCATACCCCAGCACAAACCCCACGGACTGCTATCAGTGGAATTCAATGGGAACGGCGAAGGTGATGGTCTGTGTCTCACTCTACTTATATCGTTTAGGCCACCACTCGAAGAGGTATCGATTAGTGGAAAGTACATCTGGCACGAAGTACCGCAGTCTCTTGCCGACACTATCACGTCACGGCTACCTCGCAATATGACCATATCGCTCAACGTCGTGCGCTAATTTTCTCCATGAGCTTTTAATTTCTGTACAGTTTAGGACTAACACACAAGCGAAAAATTATACCGTGGTGATTAGTAATATTTATCTACCAAGTTAATCCTCGCTCTTTTTTCCTTTTATTTATATAGTCAAATAGAATTAAATTAATTAATGGACGAAGAGTATACATATCTATTAGGTACGATGTCATGATTGACATTAGGTGTAACATTGTGAATCTAATTAAAATTGACAATTGTAAATACAATATTTGAATGCATACGGTGTTGTCATAAATATGAATACAGATTATCGGTGTACGAAATTATGAACCTCGATAAAAATTTGCGAATGTATGTTTTAAGTATCAATTGAAGTGATTTTTGGACTAAAGATTTTTTTTTGGAACGTTAACAGATTTGGCTGTGACAGCACTGAAGTCTGAAACTGATGTAAATTTTTTTAAGTGAGAGATTAAAGATGGCGCAACCAGTTTATTACCATTTTTTAGTGTCAACTACGTAATAGCTATACATTCCTGTGTATCAGAGAAAGTAGTACACATAGAATCTTAAGTTCTCCAGAGAAAGTATACGTTAAGTAGATCTATCTCTGGTGAAATTTTACATAGAAAATTAATTCCATATTGCAGATGAATTTTACGAAAAACTATAGACTTTTATATTTAATAACCATTGACAAATTACACAGTTATTAATTATGTGCAATTATTATAATCATACCGCACAATTGTTTTGAACAATAAATTATATTTATTAAGTTTTCTAATTATTTAAACATTTTAATAAATGCGCTATTTGATAGTTTATCGTGTATAAATTGTGTTTTAGTTATTTTGTATTGTATTTTGTTAATAAAAACCAATATTTTAGTACAAAGTTGGCAAACTCGGTTTATTCTTCCAAAAACATTATAAAAGTACAAACGTAACTTTACCATATTGTTCACATATGGAAAAACGTAATAATTTGTAAGTCTCTTATAAAAAATATATCTTTAAGCGTATTTCAATCACAGCACACAGTACTTCATTAAACTTTAAAAATACTATGAAATAAGGTTAACAAAAAATTAATAACACGGTTTTTAAATATAAAGTTTAATATTACATCCTAGTCGAAAAAGCTATTCTTTTCAATAAAAGTTATGCACTGGAATATCGCGTTTCTTTCGTGTTGAATCGAACGTGAAAGTAATTTATTCAGTAATCTTAATCTACCATTACTGTACTGCGAATCATTTCGTTTTCTATTAAAGCTATTTGATTTCCTCTCGAAATCTTTCGATTTTTGAAATCTTTTATCGCGTTGCTTTGTACTTTCTTCCGATGACGTCAATCTTACATCTGCCGATTTGATAGTAGAAGCATTTTCTTTGGTAGGCACTTTAGATTGAATATTATTGATGACTTCATTTGATTTGGTTTGCAAATCTTCCTCTTCTACTTTCATTCTTTTAATAGGAACTTCTTCTGGTGGTTCGTCTGGAGATGAAAATTACACCATGAAAACAATTCGCTCGTGAAAAATCATTAAAGCCTAAAAATTCATTGATTACAAATTGTACCATTATTGGAATCACTGCCGTAATCAGCTACTAAACTCATCAACCGTGAAACTGCAGGCACCACTGCAACATCTATTGTTGATAGATTATTTAATGGTTCACTGGTTGCTGGTAGCTCGTCAATTTTTTCATCTTCGTCGGAAACCACGAAATTTTCTATGGCTTCTTCTACTTCATGTTTTTCAAATGTTTCTTGATCTACGAAGTTGTTGCGATTACCGTTTTCAACATCTAACGTTTCTGTAGAAAATATATTTTCATGATTATATTTTATACTCTTCCGAACAAAGTAGTTAAAGTAACGTTGAAATTCACGTACGTGTTCCAGCAAAAGGTATTAAACCTCTATAGAGTTCTCTCACAGGTTCGTCATCTGGGACAATAATTTTAAACTGTTTGGGTCTTTTGCGGTTTTTGCGTCTTTCTTTTTTTGCCTGTGGTCGGGTCAGTTTATTAGCTTGACTTTCTACAACTTCGCCTCGTTGCTTTTTCTCTAACTGTTCTGCTTCTTGTAATTTTGTGTTGGCAGCTGTGGGATATCGCCTAAATAAAAAAAATGTATTAGAGTACATAGATGTTTTTGGATAAATAATAAACGCACTATTATACGTAAGCCAAGCTATCATTTGAATTTGCAAGAAAATTACCTTTTTCTCTCAGCTTTCCACTTTTCAATATCACCATCGCTCATTACGCTCTTCATCCTCTGATAGAGTCCCGTACAGTGCTGCATGCTGATATGTTTTTCCACGATTTTAGGGTGAGCGGTGAAGGTGCATCCATCAATTTTGCAAGTCTGATGCTCATTGACATGTTGCTGAAGTTGTTCTACCGTGCAGAATTCTCGATCACAAATTTCACAATATAAAGATACTTCCTCATCATCCTCGGAATCGACGAAACATGACTCGTTGCTGTTGTCGGACTCAACGACTTCGTCATCTTGATAGAGATGTGCCTAGAAACGACAAAGTAACAACTAGTCGCTTGAGTTCAAATAAAAAAGAAAGTCGTAAGTGTGTGATGCAACCCATTTTTAAGAAAATCATGTTTTCTACGTCCATGTTCAATTTTTTTTTGTTCAAACTTTAGGAAAGGAACAGTTTCTGGTTTAACGGATATGCTGTTTTTAGTTAGTATTTCGTATTTTTTACGACATAAAGACATGTTTTATAAAAAAAACCGTTAAATGCTTTAATATTTTCAGCATGAAATGGAAAATGATAAATGATCTTTATTTGGATGGATGTGCGAAATAGAAATTGAATACGTACAACACAAATACAAATATGTAGCGCGATACGAGAGTGTAAATTTGAAATACAAATTATAAAATTAATGTGTACATACGTTTTCACAATATAAACGATTGTTTATCTGATAATAGATATTCCAATTATATTGATCTACTAATGAAAAAAAGGATTATAGTCATTATATTCACGAAAAAATCTTGTCGATGTATGATTGGCACATACAAAATTTAATGGCTTAAATAAGGAACACGTTTATTCGAATTTGTACAAATATTTATTTCTACGATAATTGGACTTAAATACAAAAAAGATGCCTTCAGCCATTTTTTTTAATTTTAAAAACTAAATACTTGTATTTGAATTAATAATGACTAAGGATAATTCATTATTTTAAGCACAAAGTAATAGTAATAAAAATTATAGTTCTGATGGAATATATCTGTGTGTGTGTCTGTGTGTGCGTGCGTGCGTGTGAGTGTGTGTGTATTTATAATTTTTCTTAATATTGCAAACTACGTCGTTACTGTACGAAATTCACTGGAGTGACAATTCGTTAGCATAACTACAGATTAACGTAATTGCAATTGATTTTTTACTGATATATAATTGGCCTAATGATTAAACTGAAAAACACTTGTAAAAATAATTTAAAGCACTGCACCACTGGCCAAAGAGCAACAGAGGAGCATATCTGAAATCACCATTTTATCATTCTTTACACCTATGGGCCAGCTAAAGTGCAAGCTCTAGATTCAATATTTGCAATATCCAGATAAGCACTGACAAGATGAGTTCATTTAGTTCGATTTATATATTTAATAAACGACTAAGATTAAATAAATAAAATAAAAATTGAGTTGAATGTTTTATCGTCTTCTTAATCTCCTGTAAATGTTGTTACTTGCATCCCATGCACTGCATATATATCGTAGATACATGAATAGAACGGCATTAATATGAAATTAATTATTGTAATTTTTTTTATAAATTTCATCATTACAACTCCAAATCAAATAAACTACAAAAAAACTAAATTTATAATACAAAGTTCAAATACAAGAAACTGAAAAACAAACAAACCTTGTCAATGTGCTGTCTGATTTATTATTATACAGACGATAAGGTTACATTTAGTTGACACTAAATTATTATCGTTTAATCATCGCAATGCTGTTACATTCATTTACTTATCTAATTCGTGTCTAAGGACTATTAAAAAAAAACTCAATGATGCAAATAGTAGTGTTTTTTTTATCTAACATAGATACCAAGAACACGCCAAGTATGCATATTAATTCTCTTTACTTATGAAGAACATCAATGACGGATAAATTGATGCATATATATGTGTCAATATTACTGTTGATCTCAAAAGTAACAAAAAGAGAAAAGCTTGAAAAGTGAGAAATGGTAATCAGTCCGTGGCTTTTGAAGAGTGGTGTTTCAATAATCAACCAATCGCTCGATTAATTAAAGGAGGAATAGCCTATGAAGCTTAAGACTGTGCCTGTTCGCTGGAAGGCTTGTTCTCCTCACTAAGCTCCATTTGCTCTGTTTGCTCAGTTGTGTTAGTAGTGTTCTCAGTGTTCTGAACACTTTCATTTTCAACTGTACTCTTTTCAGCTGTTTTCTGAGCAACCTGTAATAAAACGAATTTTTAAAACTATCAGCTCTACCTTGCAGATGATTAGATAGCTGTAAACAAAATTCTGCATTTTATATCAACTTCTAAGAAAAAAACTAACAACGTTGTTTCAAGCACACAAAAATCTCTATATTTTGTCTCTTGATCTGCAACTGGATTTAGAAAAACTTGTTTTCATCCACTTATTCAACTTTATCACTGCTTCTATCAACTTTCATATTGATGCAATATTATAGTTGAATTTTAAAATTTAAAAAGCATGCATCAAGTATAAAAAAAATATGTTTGTATTTAAAATTTGACTTTGCTATTACATAAAATGAGTAGTATTAATAACTTCTATACAGTTTGATTATTCAAAAGAATTCGTTTATACTAATTACTCAGCTTAAATTTAGCTAAATCAGAATGAAATGTTATTGATTTAATAAAAATGGTTGACAGTTTTGGAAATACCTGGTCAGGATTCTTTGCATAATACTCATTCTCAGCATTTCTGATCATACGAATTACTTTGTTCCTAAAGTGTTTGAACTCCTTCCATTCATTGGTATCCTTATTCTTCTTAGCTTTAGCATATAGCTTGTTCTTCTTCTGAATTTCAGTGCGAATCTCCTCTGTCATCCATGGCTTTTTCAATTCTAGTTCCTGTGATAATTTAACAATTATGTAAAACTAAAGCAGCATGCACAAAGACTATATGCTTCATTGTTAATGCAAAGAAAGAAAACTCATATAAAGATAAAAAACCTTTTTCATGAAAATGATTCGTTTGTTATCAAAATTAAAAAATTATTCCACCTAACATACCTTAAGTTTATTATTTTTATTGTTGTTCATCTTCTTGCCATTAGTATGATTAGGAGGAAATCTGGGCCTTGTATGTGGTAAAACATGTGGAGGAAGTATACCTCGTGGGCCAGGTCTCATCATGGGTAATACACGAGGTCCCATAGGTCCTCTCATAGGTCCCATAGGAGGCATGGGAGGCATAGGTGGCATGGGCCTACCTCTAGGTCCAAACATTGGTGGAAGTCCTGGAGGTCCATTGGGTCTGCCCATCATAGGTCCAGGCCTTGGTAGTCCGGTTGGAAGAGGCCTACCCCTTGGATGTCCAAATATTGGAGGGGGTGGCATGGGTCTACCCATTCTCGGTGGTGGAGGCAACGGCGGCGGCACTCGTCCGTACCTCGGCATCGGAGGACCTCTCAAGGCAGCTGGATTACCGGGAGCCATCATAGGTCCTTTGTTGAGTGGACTCATGACTGCGCTTGTTAATTCAGTTTGCACTTGATGATACTCTCTCACCTGTCTTGCACTCAAAGTTGGTTCTGATTCTGATGACGGCGTTGTTGACGAAAGGCTTCTTGGATAAACTTATACGCTATCCCAATTCAACCGTGACATTAGAGGGGTTTTGACATGCATAAGGTTGCTACCAAATGAAAACGATGTTTGTACGTAATTCACACGCCGAACGGATTTAGGTTATAGTATGCACCGCCCCTCACAAAAGTTACACGTTTCTTGATATTTCGCACTGTGATAATGTTGGCTGATTTAGCCTTCGTTTCGAACGATCAACGAGCCTATTTTTGCGGTTTTCGATAAGGGTTCGCGGTGGATTTTAACGTTTATACTCTGCACTGTAAAAGCTATATGATGGAGCCACAAATCACTGAACTATAAAATAAATGCAAGAAAATGCGAAGTAAGTTTCGACGCCATCGTTTTTCCGGATGGTTTCCCGGAAGTACCAAAGATTGGCGGTAAATATAAAATTGTTTAAAATTCAATGACTGAATTAGTCAGTTCAATATCTCGAAAGAGCTTTAATATTAATTACCATTAACTATAATAAACGTTTTTTTTTTTATTATAAATCAGTTAATCGAAAAAATTATCTTCGATAAATATTTATATCTAGAGCCTATTCTATGGTGAAATGTTTTAAACAGTAATTTTTTCATAAAAATCAAAAGAGCCAACTGTAATTTCCAGCTGTCATTTAAAACTATATTCACGATAAAAAAACAAAACGTTTTTGTATCCTATAATCAAAGCTGACCTGAGGGATATAATTGATTTTTTAATTTTTTTATAAAGACACCACTGCTCAATACACTCAAAGATGTATTAGTTGCAATCTAGGTATGGACATTAAATAAGATTTTTTCAAGCGGTTTTGATTTACAAATTTTAGCAAATGATTGGAGGGAATTTGCGACGAAATTTCTCTTTTGATATATATGGATATCAATTTCTATATAATTATTAATATAACCCTTTGCGGCACACATTTTTTTTCTAAAAAATCGTCATTTTGGTGCACTTTTCAGCCATTTTTTAAAAAATGGCGACTAAAAATCGATAATTTGATATAGTTATACATTCATTAACATATTAGAAGGATAAAATATTAAAAATCCCCGTGAGCAACGATTTATTAGAGCCCTTCATACATGAAAATCTCATTTCAAAAAGGTGGTAAGTATACTTACCACTATGCCGCATATAAGGGATAAATGGGGTGCCTTAATGTTCTTATTAATAGAGCAATAACTTTGATGCAGCCGTTTTTATCAATAAGTCTTTAAAAAATTAGCTTGTGATTATAAAAAAATAATTAGAGAAAATAATAAGGTGGATTTTTTTTCCTGATATTTATAAAATACCCATGACATTTTCCAAAGTGAATAAAATTTCCTGACATTCTGAGAATTCCCTGACTTTCCAAGTTTATGGTAATCTTGGATATTCATAAAATCCATGAAATTAATAATTTGAATTACATTTTTCTTTCTAAGACAAGTTTGATATTGTAATATGAAATTAAAAGCTTTTAAAACGAAGAAAATACAACTGGAGAAACATAAACTTATTTTGCATTTGTAAATAAAGAATTAAATGATCAAGGGCGTAGAAAATAAGAACTCACAAGTTTCTAGATTTGTAAAATTTTTTCGATTTTTTTTTGTTTCGTTTATTTCGTTATAATGCACATGTTTCGTGAAAAAATTAATATCCATGTTACGAAAAATTAGCATTAGAGCTTCACGTTTCAACTTTTTTTATTTCATTTTTCTTAAAGTTTTTTTTTATTTTTGTTCACGGTACAAAATTCACTGGGTAATACTCTGCGCAACGCTTAACGCGGACGTGCAACTTTCGTTCCACAAAACGAACAAATTTTGCCGTCTGCGATCAAATCATTTTTTTTTTCGTTTTCTTTTTTTAATCGTTTTTTCTTGTTTTTTTTTTAAATATTTTTCACATTTTGTTTTCTGAAGTCGTACAAGAGATTTTGCTCAAAAAAAAATTGAACACCACCTCACTCGACCAACATCATTATGTTCTAAAATCCTTCCTTATTTTTTTCCGTATAGCCAGTTATTTTCGACTAAGGATGAAACAAGCGAAAGAAGGCGGTGCATGCTTTTTCTTGTATTTTACTCTTTTTTTTGTGATTATTTAACTGTTTTTTCAGTGATCTTTAAACCATTGGCTTTGCATGGCAAAACACTACATTTTTAGTTTATCGTATTATGAAACTTGCTTTTAAAAAACCGCTTTTTTATACTTGAGATTTCTTCACATGAAAAGGAGACGAGCTAAAAGATCGAAGTTAAAGTCTCCCTACGATCTTAAATCAGTCTCTCCCCTTGAGCTTTATCCCGTTGCTTTTATTAAACTGTATCAATATTGTTTCTTCTAAGATTGTTAGTAACTATGCTCAACTTTGTAATTTCACTTAACACATGCATCTTACGTTTTTTTTTTTAATCTTTAAGTAGTATAATTTTTCACAGTCAGCCACGACTTTCTCTCTCTCTCTCTTTCTCTCTCCAATGGATTAAACACTCGGTCTCTTTGTCAATAGTAGTAATAATAGTAATAGTTGTTTTTTTAATTAAAACTAACCTTCGAATTGCTTTGACGAGTGCAGCTCAACTGTGCTTTTTTATCTCTTTTTAATTCATCCTTTCAGGATATTTTATAATAAGTAAATGCGTGTACAAGTTTTTTTATGATCAACATGTTGACAAAGTTATTTATAACGCAAGATTTCAAAAACATAGCACAGTAGAATTTCGTAAACTCCCCCGATAAAGCAATTCCTAGATTATTATATTTTTTTCTCTCCTTGATTTCGCTTTATAAGCATGTTTGCCTTTTTTCGACACACAAATCATAAAGGATTTCAATAAGATTTTACTCATTTTCTTCACGAAACAAAGAAACTTGAAAGGATACGTCGACGACCGACGAAAAACAAGGAAGAACGCATATACTTACTCATAAGTAGGGACGCGAGTTGATGGTGGTAAAGTTTGATGTTTTATTATATAGAGAAAAGATATCGTGTGTATGCGTGTGTGTATGTGTACGTGTGCGTGTGCGCGCGCGCCCGTGCGTGGTGTGGGGGCGACAAAAATTGTTCGTCCCACATTACATTGTTCTGACGAGACAAGAAAACGGATAGAAGTATACAGAAATAAAAATGATGAGACTGAGACTCGATAATTGTACATTGACGAATGATATTAGCTCTCTTATAATTTTTTTTTTTTAGAATGAAAAATTGTACACTTTATTGTTCTGTAGACACTTACAGATTATGATTGTTCCTTTTTATAAAAAAAAGACCATGCAAAACTTCTTCACAAACATTTTCATTTTCTCCGCATTATTCTTTTGACAAAATGGCGCATAACAATTTTATTGGCGAATTTTCTTATAAAAAAATGCATGCGAACGATTTTCATGATTTAGGAACGGTACATGTATAGGGTGGTCAGTCGGCATAATTTTCAATAGAATACTTAAAACCACCATCAATCATGCACACATTTACTTCGTAGACGCAGAAGCGACATTCTTATCGAACTATTACAAAATATATTTTAATCTCATTGTTCAATTTGATCATTTTTATAATTATGCGCATTGAAAAAGGCCAGTTCGATAAGCTACAAAAATTACAATTTCATTTCAATTCTATTCAAGAAACTTTAAATTACACGTGTAACCCACCAGGGGTTTTACGAAAAAAAAAGAAAAGGATGGACGCCTTTCTGTCAGCGATCAAGCGAAAGTTCTACATTTTGTTCTGTATATTTTCGTCACTTACAACAATATTAATCGACACATTGCTATTTCATCTTGTTCAGATTTTCTTGTTATTATAAATACAAATTTTGTTTATCCATGATTTTATAATTGTAGTTCGTTATCTTTATTGTACCGAGTTTTGGCAAAGGCAATAAAGGTTGTACATGGTCATTCGACGAAACGTAAAAAATAGAAAAAAAAATAAAGGATCGTTGCAAGGGCGAAAATGTTTAAAAGTAAAACATAGAACGATAAAAAAAACGAGAACAAAAAAGCGATTAATCGTCCGATTGAATGAAAAATTTGTCATTTTTTTGCATTAACGTACAACACTATACGTTATACAGTCTCGGTCTCGTTTCTCTCTAGTACGAAGATAAGTCTGGTACAAAATCGACCTAACTTTCCTTCGACCGTACATTTTTTTTATTGCTGTCAATTGATAAATTTGATCGAAAATCGGTTAATGATTTTCTCCTTTTTAAACTTTCTTACATTTTACTATTTTTTTCTTCTTTTTTCTATATCTTATAATTCATAAATTCGACTATTCCACCGCTAATTGTCTCGTTTCTCATGTTTTTTTTCACACCACGAAATAGTAGTAATAGTAGTAATAATGTAATCTGACGTAGTTTAGCATTAAATAGCAAAAATTACAGTACTAATTGCTCGAGTTTTCTGACAGCAGTAATGAAAAGAAGAGCAGTTGCGCATCTTACAGATGGACATAAGATTAGTTAAAGGAAATTCACATTTTTTTCGCGAACCTATTTGATCACGAGGTTGACTGGAACGAGAAAAGAAAAACCGACGAACGAAAACGCAGATTGAAGAAAACTTAAACTATCCAAGGTTCATGGATAAACGCGTTCAGTAAAAACAAGGTTTTTTACGTGTATAAGTGTGTCATCGTCATTAGGACTCTCTACACTGATCTAACTGCTTTTTAACATCTCGCTCTAATTACCAATACTTGTTTTTTATTCGCTCGCTGGATTACCAAAAACGCTTCTTTTTTTCTCTACGTTACGTACCGTAATTTTAGCTTGTTGCTTCGCATAATTCTTTTCGATTGAATTTCGTGGGGAGACTGTGGAGTAGTGTTTTTTTTGCTGGTAATCTTTCTTTTCTCACTCTTTTTTTTTTTTTTTTTTATTTTTTTTTATAGCGATTGTTATAGAATGTTGCTTTTGCTTTAGTTGCTGCTGCTGTTAGCTGATGTGGTTGGTTTTATTTTCTTTGTTTCCGTCGCCTCTTTTTCTAACAGATAGAAATGTTATGCAGAGAGGGATGGTGACTTTACGGTGGCGACGAGTGTCGTTGGTTAAGCAGTGCCTTCGGTGTTTGAATTGGATGCGTTCTGCGCCGGCTGATTATCCTAGATAAGAAACAATTTACATCTCATTAGAATTTAATTTCGTAATTGCGAAAGCTATGTTTACTCTGAAAATCCAACTAATTTATTTACTTATTTATGTATTCGTATTCGTATTCGTGTGTGTGTGTGTGTGTGTGTGTGTGTGTGTGTGTGTGCGTGCGTGCGTGCGTGCGTGCGTGCGTGCGTGCGTGCGTGCGTGCGCGCGCGCGCGTGTGTGTGTGTGTGTGTGTGTGTGTGTGTGTGTAATAAATTCATTCGTGCTTAACAGGAAAAGCTAGTTCTATCTGTAAATTTTCATTTATCATATGGATTTTCAGAATAAAAAAATTTACATATTATGATAATCGTTACAATGCAGTAGTTTCCGACAACCAAACTGCTGTATGAAAACGAAATCTTGAAGCGGTAAACGTATATACATATATACATCATACATGAAGAAAAAATAGCAAGGATAGAAGAGAAATAAGTCCAACAAAATAAAATCTACAAAAAACAATAAAATCTAACGTGCTACAGCTTGGCTACGTACGAAAAGAAAAGTCGTGTAAAGCAAAAAAAAAAAAAATTAGTGCGAATAAGTTTACCTGTGCGGCAGGTGCAGCGGTGGGTGCATCCTTTTCCGTGGGTGCATCTGACTTTTGCTCCGACTGAAAAGAGTACAAGAGATACGTGCAGCAATGCGTGTGTGTGCGAGTGTTTTGTGTATGTGTATGAGTATGCCAAGCTCTACTTTGAAAATTATTTTGTGTTGAACTGAAAGGAGCTCCTTCGCTTGAAGTCCAAGATTGTGCTATTTATATGTATACTTATCAACTAAATACTACTTATAGCAACGAAAAAGAAAAGAAATAATTTAAGATAAAACTCAATCACATCAGAAGCATAAAAATTACATTTTTAAACAGAATCATGCTTATGATATCATTGTAAATACTAAGTATATCAGCTTCAAGCTTTGAATAATAAAATTAACTTCATTTAGTTTGGAGAGAAAATCGTTCTATTGAGCTTATAAAAAACTTTTTTTTAAATATTATATATGCTCTGCAACGCAGTGAGCATTATATCTAGGCAAACAGCAAGATCTAGTCATAAGGTTAAAATTAATCAACGCGTTATTCGTCATATACATAAAAAGGAATCAGTATCATTCAAGGATTAAGAAATCATACTACTGATATAGCAAATTGTTTACACTGATCATTGTAAGAAACAAACTTGAAAGTTCATATTTTCTCTCTCAAAGTAAACTCAACTATCAGTCCAACACAACAAGACTATAACTAAAATAATTTTTTTTAAACTGAAAAGATGATAACAGAAAAATGATTTCTACTTATTTCCAATTGGTCCCATTAAAAGAAAAAGAAATACTACGTAAAACGTGCTAAAGAAAGTATGAATATCGCACCTGGCCATCCTGGCTACGTGGACGTCTACCGGGTCCACCACCGCGTCCACCGCGGTAATTGCGTCGGAAGAAGCGACGCGGTGGTCCGCCACGTCCACGATTGTTACCACCACGCTGGCCACCTTCGCCGTCCTGGCCCTGATCTCCTTGGTTGCTCACATCGCCTTGACCATTTTCACCTTGGCCTTGACCGCCGCCACGTCTACCACCGCGGTAGAAACCGTCATAATGACGGCGTGGCCTGTAGCGACGTTGCTGCTGGCTACCCTGGTTAGCGCCACCTTCACCGCCGCTCTGCTCGTCTCCGGTCTTACCACCTTCGCCTGCAATTGAGAGAGAGAGAGAGAGGGAGATAGAAAGATAGAGAAAGGGTTTGTTGTGAAAATGCCTTGAAGCAGAAATATGACATACCGGATTCGTAGCCTTCCTGGCCCTCACGGTTGCGGCGTACCGATCGGTTACTGGGGCCACCGGAGCCCTGTCCTTGTCCTGGGCCACCGCGCCGATTGTAATACTGGCGATAGCCACGACGCTTCTCCGCGGCGTACGGCGAACCTTTTACCGCCTCGCCGTCCGGCCCGGTCACGTTGGCCGCCTCATTGCCCTTCTCGCCAATCACCACGTCGAACTCGACTACCTCCCCATCGCCTACGCTTCGCACTGCCTTCTTCGGGTTGTTCTTAATAATTGCCGACTAAAAAATCAATTGCATTAGCATGCTTGAACATATTTGCTCAGTAGATATAAATTACGAAGAGAAACTCACCTGATGGACAAATACATCTTCTTTGGTGTCATTCCTGTAACATTAAAGACAAATGCCGCATAAATGCATTGTTATAAAAGTACATGTGCACAGCAATCACGCGCTGCGGTACGCTTTGTAACATGACAAATTCAGACACTGACTGCTTTTGCATAACCTAATCGTAATGATTCTCGTTAATACAAACTGCAGTTGGCCACGAAAAATATAAGCCGCACGAAGACAAGATTAAAGTCATAAAATTATTACATAACGAAAGGAAAAAGGAAAAAATCGGGGCAACGTGCGCTGCTACCTTGAAAAATCGATATACGTCGCCGCCTATAATGAAATAATCGGCTAAGAGATGTTGGTGATGCGAAAAAGAAAAGAAAGAGCGAAAAACCTGTATGCGTGCACTAGGTGAGGTATGACTATACGTATGATAAGCTTGGTAACCCCGCGAGCCAAACATAACCTATAAGGCTTCGCGCGCATCATACACACATACACATACAATTCCGGATATGTCGACGGCGTTCAGACTTCCTGCACGCAGCGACGACTACGGCGACGGTCTTTAATTATTAGCAGCGGGGCCATCGATTCAGCACACGCGAGGTATATAGAAATAAGGGCAAATCAGACACAATGCAGGGAGTTTTCTTCGCTACTGGCGAATTTTAATAGAACCGCCACCTTTTTGGATTCGCTCCAAAATTGAGAATTGATCACGAGTGAATTCGGTGGGAATCCATTTCGATTTTCGCGTTCGCCGAGGCATTTGGAATTGACGCGGTCCACTTGCGATCACCGAGATAGAGAGAAGAAACTTCGCTACAGCCAGTGTCATCATTGCGCCTCGGCAGCGATAATTAATCAGTCGTGTACGTGCATGCAAAAAAGGGGGAAGGACGAAGACGACGAGGCGATTGGCCAAATGCCACACGGGCTGGCGCGCGCACACATCACCGGTTAGGGAAGCCTAGAAATAGGCTAAAGCAAAAAACACGTACACATCATGCAGCCCGACAGGGATTTTGGGGTGGCCTACTTTCCATTATATTCTCTTTTCTCTGGTTCTCTGTCTCTCTCCAGGTATACGCGCGAATCTCGGGGGAATTTTTCGTATTCGTGCATTACTTACGTTACACGAGTACGCAATTGATGTAGATGCGCGAGTATCGTTCGAGATAAGTGCACTCAATAAAGCGAAGATTCATCAAATATTGGGCGATAGTTGGGTTCGGATTTGTTTGCTTCTCAATCGAAATCCTCAGCGTTATTTGCGCGGATATTACGTTGACAAACGTAGTCGAACGAAAACGTTGATCATGGAAATCGTCGAGCGATGGCGCTCAAACGTAAGATATTCGAATAACTTCTCTCTCCGTGTATCTAAAATTACATTTTGACCGACGAATGTTCTACAAAAATAGATAGATGCCCGAGAGTGTGCAGGTCATACGGTAATCGAATATTTATCTAGATAGCGAATGTTTCGACTTTTTCGCTCGCGATGATATGCAGGGCGCTAGCAATGACATACGTGCCGTATGAATTTTTTATAATCGTGCTGCCTTGCCGAGCTGCAATCGTGAATTATGAAGCGATGGAATACGGCTACGGAGCACGCGTCGACGTCGTATTGAATGAAAAACAACCGCGGAGATCGAGTGTTAAATGAACGAGGCGATAAACCCTCTTTTTCCGAAAAGCTGCACTTCTCGAGTTTTATCGGGCGCTATGCACAAATGCAAATCGAGCAAAATGCTGCCATCGTCTCTTATGTGAAACGATCGATCGGCGATGAAAAGAATATTGAGCGCTTGAATGCTGACCTGTTGATGAACCCATAGCCGCTCTTCACGTTGAACCACTTCACCGTGCCAGTAACTTTGCTAGCTGAAAATAAGAAAGAAAAACAACATTATTAGTAAAATACTGTTAGATTTATCGGAAACCTCATCTTGGATTTTTTTCAGGAAATTCGCTGCAAGTAATGTCGTGGCGTGTCATAACAATCATTTAGTACATTAATGGCTTTGCACGAAATTTCGTGACATATTACTTATTGGATGTTCGCGCGCTTTAAAAGTTCATGCATTCAACTTGGATGGACGAGAAGCGACGCGTATTATGCTCCGTTGTAGGTATAATTCGCGCGACACCAACTATCGAAAAGAAATCCCGGATTGCAGGCTAGTCTGCTGAAGTAACAAATCATTGCAAGTGCTGGCAATGGAGCTCGAAAATTAAATTTAATTGTATACGTGAATCCCGCTGTTCCGAAATTTCCTCGAAGCTTGTTCAAAAATGTCGGCGAGCCGAAAAATTCAAAACACCTGGCATGAAAATTCGCGAAACGGTCTATACGCGCCTCTGCGGTAAACAAACAACCGAACGAAATTCCTGAACTCATTGAACCTAAACAACATGCGTCCAATTCTTTGCGTCGTTGGTTCGGACGCTAGCGCAGACTTACGTAATCGGGGAAGGGCGCGACGAGAATAGTATCATGATCGTGCTGCTGCGAAGCCGATAAGAGAGTATTAGGGCGTTGGAGAAACATATTTTTTTAAATCCAAATAAAGCTAGCGTCTACGCATCCAAAGCTCAGACGAGGGAGAAAAAGAAAAAAAATCGCTGGCGGATAGGTTATACAGCAAGCGTCGGCGGTAGTATCGGCTGCACGTGTCGGAAATTTCGAGAGCGAAAGCGCCACATGGCGTCTACGCGCCATTACGGCGTCCGAAATCCGTTCGCGAGCGACACGCGCACTCACACAATTTTACACAGGAAGGATATGCGAACACGCGCTCGCGCTCGTGCGCACGGGGTGCAGCGACAACGGGAAAAAAAAGAAAAAGTACATAAAAACAAAACGTGGATGCTAGCCGATGATACTCACCAATGACCATTTTTTGCTGCTGCTGTTGCTGCTGAGCTTGCTTTGGCTGCTGTTGTGGGCCAGCAGTTGGCGATGCCGCTTGGGCACTCTGCTGCTGCTGCTCGGGCTGCTTTTCTGAGTCGGCCATGTCTACTCTTTGAAATGTACGCTTGTTGCGGGAACGACGAAAAGCGCCTTGTCGCTGTTCTTGCCCCGAAAAAAGTCGGTTGTTGTTGAATTTAACGAAACTTGCTTGCTGTTTTGCTTTGATTGAGGGTTGTTGATGTTTCAATAGTTTCGATGGTAAAAATACGTCGTCGGACTCTCTCCCTCTTTAACAGAAGTAATCTGAAGAGATGGAGAGTCGGTGATGGTGATGGTGGTGTGTGTAAGGTGTTGGACACGCCGCTGCCGAACCTAGATGTTCTCCCGTCCTCACGCTTGCACTGTTGGTTCCCTTCTGATCGGCGGATCTGCGCAGAGAGGACACCCGGCAGCTCCCTTCCACGCCGCGCGCGGCATCTGTCTCTATCTGTCTCTCTCTCTTTCTCTCTCTCTCTCACTCTCTTCTCCCAATATGGCCGCGCATAGCCGACGCGATGTCGACGCGCTATAAAACCGCGCGGTGGCTTTTCGCATCTCCGAGAGGCGGGCGGGAATTACAAAGTTTTTTGCTAACCATGCGGATGTCGCCACGAGCCTTTCGCTCACTGAAAACACAAAAGTCTACTTGTACTGGTATTTTGGGATAAATGAAGGCGATGATTGTAGCCTTTTGTTGATCTTTTATCACCTAAATGTCAATACAATATTTTATTAAAGCAACCAAAGTGTTTGCACTTTACTTATAGAAATTCCTGTGATTCCGCGGCTATGCTCTGCCCATTCGATATTATGATTGTCACACAATAATTTACGTAAATAAGATGTCACCTCCTGATATGTCAAGAGATAACTTCAGAACCTTGCAATTTCGCGGTATACGAAAAGCAACGTTCTCTCTTTGCTTACGGCTATCGTTACAAACGTCATTCCAAAAAATTGCACAAGTATCAGCGCAGTGCCATGCTATACGCTGCATTCGAGAGTCGTCTTTGCCGAATTCAAAAGTTGCCTTTATCCGATTGAAACTATGAATTGTTCGTACCACATTGATTTAAAATAAGCGAATGATTTCCGTTCTAATAATAAAAGTATATCCTCGATCGATGTGAACTGCGTTCAAAGTCGTCACGAAGCACCGCCAACGAACGATCAAGGATTTTCCGCGCTAGAAAAGCAGTCCGCGTATAGACGCCCGCGAGGAACTTGCTCGCAAAAGAGAGTTCAACCAATTAGAACGTTCCAGAGGGTCAAAGTGTCTCAGCACTGGGGCGCAATGATATATGGAGCGACGCCGCGCGAGTACTTGAAATGGGACTTTACGCCAAGTTTTTCCGTTTAATATCGTTCGGCCAGTCGATCAGCGAGGGCTCGTTTGCCGAGTTCAGTTAGTCGATTCTCGCGAGCCTACATTTCTCGATAATTCGTTCGCGTTCGCACGGACCGAGCTGGTCGGCCCCGCCGAGATAAGTTCGCCAGGACGAGAGGAGCGACGTGCTCTCTGTCGTGTGCACTCGGCGAGCTATCCTGAAATATCGGTCGGTTGGTACGGGCGTAACGTGTCGTTACGTGGACGCGCCAAGTGGAACACGAGGCTTCGACGATCGCAAAAAATTGTCATCGCGGGCATGGGTACGGTCGCGTGCAGCTTGCTGTACCTGACTGCGATACTACCGGCCGTCAAAAAATACCAAGTGAAGAGAGTGAGCATAGACGTCGAGACGTTGCGCGAGCGGAAATATAATCGCGTGCATGCGTTGCGCGCAGAAGGTGGCTCTGAAGAATGGCTGGCCTATGAGGGACATATGGACCAAGCTGCCCTTCACCACGGAATTCCACGTGTACGTGTTGAACGTGACTAATCCCGAGGAAATCGACGCGGGAGGCAAACCGATCGTTCACGAGATCGGACCGTTCGTTTACGAGTACGTAGCAGCTTGTTTCGTTTGCTCGTCACACCTGCCGCGTGAAACGTGGATTTTGTATAATTTGAAATAGAAAAAAATGCTCGCCAGCGTGCACCAGGAAAAAATCAAACAAATAGACCACGAGGAGGACGATACGGTGTCTTACGTGCCGAACAACTTGTACTACTTCAACAAGTACAAGAGCGAGGGTCTGTCCGACGATACGGAAATTTGCTATCCTCATCTGTTCATAATGACAGTGTCGAACGGGCCGATGAAGGAAAAGCCGCAACTGTTGTCTTGGACAAGTAAGAATAGTCCCGGTGGTTGATTGAATTGTATCGAAAGTCGAAAGAATTAAGACGACGCAAAGTCACACTATATTGCCACTCGGCAAGAGGGACGAGCGTCTTCACGAGCGTCTTCACGCGCGTTACGCGCACTCTCTCGCGTCCTGCAGACCTTCGGTCGATTTCTCTTTTTCCAAATGCCGCATAACGATTGCTTACTAAAAGTCGAGCGCTGCTCTTACTTGGCGCATGGAAAAATAAACGTATATTAATACCGGCAAAACGCAGATTCCGCAAAGTGGACACGATACTGAATAGGCCGCAGAGCGCATTCTATAAGGTGAAGGTGGGGACGGCGTTGTTCGAGGGTTTCGAGATTCCGTGCGCCGGGGTGGAAGACTACTTTGGCAAAGCTTTGTGCAACGAGATGAGAGAGAACTACTTCGAGTACACCCTGAGGCGGAAGAACGACACGTTCTACGCGTCGCTGTTCGGCTACGTAAGCTGGACGGAGCGCGGCGCCGAGCGCAAGCGGATCGAACGAGCGCGTGCTTTGCAGCTGAGCGGCACCTACGACAAGGAGCGGCGCATCCGGATCAAGCGCGGCGCGAGCAACCTCGAGCAGCTGGGCAGACCGGTGGAGGTCGACGGCCGGGACAACCTCGCGACCCGGGGCGACGACGAGTGCGACGCGTTCCGCGGCACCGACTCGTCCATCTTCCCGCCGTTCCCGAGGCGCGAGCGGGGCGTGCCCGTGGTGCTGCCGACGCTGTGCCGCAAGCTCACCCTGGCCTTCCTCACTCCAGCGCCGAGTTCGTCGGTAGGTCCGCGAGGGGCTAGGACTGCAGCTCGACCGCTACACCGGCGCGATCGGCAGCGACGGCGAGCACGTACCCGCGGACCGCTGCTACTGCGTGGACCCGGCGGCCTGTCTGCGGCGCGGGGCGCTCGACCTGTACCGCTGCATCCGCGTGCCGTTCGTCGCGTCGGGGCCGCACTTCTACCTGGCCGACCCGCGCTACTCGGCGAGCGTCGCGGACGCCGCCTTCGCGCCCGCTGAGCGGCCCGCCGCTGCGCGTCCACGCCAGGTTGCAGGTCAACGTCGAGCTGCTGCCCATCCGCAGGTTCCGGCTGGCCGCCAACTACTCGTACGCGATGCTGCCGCTCGCCTGGTTCGACACCACGTCACCCTGCAGCCGAACGCGCGCCTCCCCGTCGCCCAGGGCCCTCGGATACGCGCTCGCGCTCGCGAGCCTGGCTCTCGTCGCAGCGGGCGCCCTTCGGGAATACCGAGCGGCCGCGTCGAGGGAGGACCGGGCTGCAGCGACGCCGCCGGCGAGCCCCCTCCAGCCTCGGCTAGTTCGCTACGTCTGTCGGCAGTTCTCATCCGCGCGCAACAATTAGTCAGCTGCGATCGCGCATTGCTTGGATCGTAGATGTGCAAAATTATATATTCCTGATGCGTGCCGGTGGTGATCGTACAAGAGGCAAAAACGTTCGTTTGCATTCGCGTCCGACGTCGGAAAAAAAAGTACGGACGTACGCAAGACGCGTAGAACGCAAATGTTCCTCCCTCCCGTGGTCAAGGATATTCTCGAACAATTGGATTCGCGGTGAATCAATGCGGGATGTTCGGGCGTAGGAGGGACGAGGCGCCTATAGCTCGCGCGCTCAAAAGACGTTCGGCTTTCCGCGTTCTGCTCAGTATCGCCCGGACTCGCGCGCCCGATACTTGCACCGGCACTTGTATTTATATGCCCCTGTCCGTCGCCTCGTAAGTGTCGCCTAGAAAGTTCGTTATTCTTGCCGACTCGTAGAGCGTCGTAGCGCTCGCATGGCAGAGTCCCTTAGTGACCCTGGCGTTGGGTACTCGTATTTTTTTTTCTTCTTCTTTCACTTCTTCATCGGAAATCATTCAGTTTCTTGCACTAATGGTCATTCGATTCTACCGATGCGAGGCTTATGCACATCATTCTTCCCTAAAAGTAGTTTTTATGAAGCGGTATAGTTTTGCCTTTGAGCGACACCAATTTTATCGTGCATTACAATAATTTTTTTACACGGAATTGTTGTTCCAAGCTGAAATTCGAACATTGCAGATAAAACCACCGTAAAAGTTCTTCCTATAATTAAATCAAGTCAATTGATATTCTTCATGTGCATGCAAATTTATACTTACTTTTGTAGAATAAAAATAAATAAACAACTACACCGCAACAAAATAAAAAAAAAGATTAGAAGGATGATCCAACACTCCTACATAATAATCGTATGATATTTAGTAAAAAGGAATAGCGTAGCGCGAACAAAATATCTTGATGTCACTGCATCGATTTAAAAAAATCGGTTTCGCTGGTGTTTTCACCGTCATCTTCAGTATTCTGCTCCAATTTGTGATACTACCGCCTATTATGAGAGTCGAAATGAAAAAAGTACGTCCCAAGATGTGAAACTTTACCGTGATAAAATATTCTATTTTTTGTTTCAAACTAATGTGTGTTTCAGAAAGTGGCATTGAAGAAAGGCTGGCCTATGAGGGACATATGGAGTAAGCTACCGTTCGTCACAGAAAGCCATATGTACGTGTTCAACGTAACGAACCGAGTGGAAATTGAAAACGGAGGTAAACCGATAATCCAAGAGATTGGGCCGTTCGTTTACGAGTGAGTTGAATGCCGAGTTGCAGTGCAAAGTCGACGGACTCGAACGTAATTGCGACTGAAATTGTTGTAGCATATACGAGGAAAAGACGCAGCAGATCGATCACGAAGAAGACGACACTGTTTCATACGTACTGGAAAACATATATCACTTTAATCCCGAGAAAAGTAAAGGACTCTCCGTCGAGATAGAAGTATATTTTCCTCATACTTACATCATGACAGCGTCCACTGGAATTTTGAAGGAAAAGGCTCCTTTGGCTTCGTTCGCGTGTAAGAATGCGACAGTGTTATTTCCACGCAGACAAGTCAATATCACGAATTATTACAACTAGCACTCGTATTCTAAAGCGAGATCTGTCGATTCATTGCTGAACACTCCGGAGAGCTTATTCTACAAAACGGACGTAAAAACTCTACTGTTCGATGGTTTCCCCATTCCCTGCGCCGGAGTCGAAGAATTCTTTGGCAAATTGACGTGCAACCTGTTGAAGGAGCGCTTTTTCGACTTCACCGTGATGAAAAAAGGCGACGTGTTCTACACATCGATGTTCGGATTTGTAAGTCGTGGAAAAATACGGGGATCCTTAATAATCGTTGCCGAGGTTTTTTCACAGGCTGCTCTTCTAATCCCCATGGTTTAGACAATCGTAAAAAGAGAAACGCGCGACGTCCTGCTGTAACGAAACCGAAGAAAAAAACGCCATTTTTCTGTTATTTTCTTCAAGCTGAACGGCACTTACGAGAAGCAGAACAGAGTTCGCATTCACCGTGGAACGAAAAATCTGAAGGACCTCGGGAAAATAGTGGCGATAAACGGTGCAGCAAATTTGTCAACCTGGCACGATGACAAATGCGACGCGCTCGGCGGGACCGACGGCACGATATTCCCGCCGTACTTGAGCAAGAGCGACGATATAACGATGGTCAATCAACAGATTTGTCGAAGGCTCAAGCTGACCTACGACTCCGAGGTCGAGTACTCAGGTGGGCATTCGGTCGAGGCGCCGCGGCGCTTGGCCCAACACGTTCGTGACGAGAGGTGGCTTTCGTCGTTAGGCTTGAAGTTACTGCGCTACACCGTGGACCTCGGCGTCGACGGCGGCCACGTGGCCGAGGAGAAGTGCTACTGCTTGGCGCCGGACCGTTGCCTGCGCAAGGGCGTGTACGACATGTTCAGATGCTTGAACGTGCCGATAATCCTGTCGAATCCGCACTTTTATCTCGCCGACCCGTACTACCTGAGCCGAGTCGAGGGCGCGAAGCCGGACATGGTAAGTTCGTTGCCCGTCTCCGCGAGGCGATCGGTCCGCGCGACGCTCGATCTGTTGTCCCGGCGACAGGAGAAGCATCGCTCCTACGTGGACTTCGACGCGCTGACCGGCACGCCGGTGCGCGCCCGCATGCGGGCGCAGTTCAACATGGAGCTGATCAAGATCGACGCGTTCCGGCTGATGCGCAACTACAGCTACGCGATGCTGCCGATGGTCTGGACGGAGCAGGTGGTCGTATTGCCGGACTTCCTCGTGGAGAAGATCAGGCAGGGCCACGGCACGCTCAAGCTCGCGAGGTGAGTGGTCGCGCGACCCGCCGCGTCCTCCGGCCGCTGATCGCTCGCGCGGCGCGCCCACAGGACGCTGGAGCGCGCGCTGATGATCGGCGGCCTGGCGATGTGCGCACTGGCGGGCTACCTCGGCTACAGGTCGCGCAAGGTGGCCGAGGTTCGATCCAAGCCAGCGGAATCGACGTCGACGCCCGAGTGAATCCTCTTCCTCGATCTGCAGTACGTATGTGAGCGACGCGACGCTGGTAAGTATGGGTCGACATCCGTGGTCTCTCTCACTCGATCTCTGCGGCAAACGAGCTCTGTCGAAATGTCCACGCCAAATTTCTATGGAGATCCAATAAAACGTTGAAATCACGTCGAATGACGCACGATGTTTTGCTTTCGTCAGCGTTCCGCGCGAGCGATCGCCGCGGCAATTTCGAGCTGCAGGTTCGTCGCTTTCGATTGGGCGCTCACCCGCGAGGAGAAAACGACAAGAGACGTACATAGCACGCGGTAGGTAGAGGCAAACGCACAGGCGTCAGCTATAGGGTGTAGCGCGCCTTAGCTGGCGTTGCGTCGTGGATTTTAAATACAAAGGAGCTGCGTATCAGCCAGTAGCGGCCGAGTGGCGCGTCCGATACCAGACCGAACGAGCTGAGTTTCTCTCTCTCTCTCTCTCTCTCTCTCTGATTTCGCTGGCTGATCTGACTGCGCCGCTCGTCTTGGTACGACTGTCGGTCACAGGTACGACTGTTTTTCCGCCTAAGAACGACTGCCGTGCGTCGAGGATCTTAACGAACCGACGAAAACTCGAGAGCGCGTCGTTCGTTCGGAAAATTGAAATAATTTTTGTCGTTGTTCTTTTGATTAGAAAAGAAAACAAATAAAAATAACAACAAGGATATAGTTAAATGAGAATCGCACTTGAAAAGCGATGCTCCACGCGTTCGCTCTTGCTTGCAGCTTTCCGCTGGGCGGCTATAAATAAGCCGCAATCGATCGGCCGTCGCGTGAATAATTCGTGAAATTTAGCGCGTGCGGCGGTGCGAAGCGCTCTCAACGCACGCGTAATCATCGTGCACGCGCCTATCAGCGGCGGTCACGTCGATTTGCCCTAGTAAGAGGCTCGCGGGGCTATAGGCGCGTCCTCGATCGGCGCACGCGTACCGGCCGCTCGGCCGACTTGGAAGGGCGCCGCCGCGGCACTCGCGGCGATGCCGATGCAGCGATCCCGAGTCGTCGGCCTCGCGGGCCTCCTCCTGCTCGCCACCGGCGTCCTGACTCGATTCGCCCTGACGCTGCCGCTCCTCAAGTACGCGCTGAAGCGAGTGAGTGAATCCCGGCTCGGGCTCGCGAGTCGACTCGAGCGCCCGCAATACACACGGGGACTGTTGGCCTGCGCCCAGAAGCTGTCGCTGAGGAGCGGCTGGCCCATGAGAGAGTTGTGGAGCAAGCTGCCGTTCGTCATCGAGAACCACGTGTACGTGTTCAACGTGACGAATCCCGCGGAGGTGGAGCGCGGAGCCAAGCCGATCGTCCGGGAGGTCGGCCCGTTCGTGTACGAGTGAGTGACGGCGAGCCGCGGCCGCTCGGCTGGACCGCGAGGTAACGCCGCTCTCCGGCACCCGAGCAGCACGTTCCAGGAGAAGGTCGACCAGGCGGACAACGAGAAGGACGACACGCTGTCCTACGTGCTGGAGAACACCTACTTCTACAACCGCAGGAAGAGCAACGGCCTGTCCGACGAGCTGGAGGTGTTCTTCCCGCACCTGTTCATCCTGGGCGTGGCGGGCGGGCCGCTGAGGGAGCAGCCCTCGCAGGCCTCTTTCACCTGTAAGAGCGACGCGCCACGCGGCCGTGTAGCCGACGCGTAGAGCCGATCGTACTTCTGCGCAGCTCGGGCGATCGACGCGATACTGGGCGCGCCGCGCAACCTGTTCTACAAGCTGCCGGTGAGGACGCTGCTGTTCGACGGCCTGCCGATCCCCTGCGCCGGCGTGGACGACTACTTCGGCAGGCTCATCTGCAACGAGATCCGCGACAAGTACGCGCACTTCCTGGAGCACAGGGGCGAGGTCTACTACGCGTCGCTGTTCGGCTTCGTGAGTATGGGCGCGCCCGCGTGGCGGCCAGGCCGTCGTCCAATCGCAAGCGCTGCCGACCGCAGAGAAACGGCTCGAGCCCGGCGCAGAGGAGGGTGCGCATCGCGCGGGGCTCGCGGCGCCTCGCCGACCTCGGCCGGATCGTCGAGGTGGACGGCGCGGCCAACCTGTCCACCTGGCGGGACGACCGCTGCGACGCCTTCGCCGGCACCGACGGCACCATCTTCCCGCCGCTGATGAGCAGGCGGCGCAACAAGCGGCTGGCCCTCGTCTACCCGGCCATCTGCCGCAGGCTGTCGCTCGTCTACGAGGCCCAAGTCGAGATCGACGGTGACTCCCCCCCCCCCCCCCCCCCCCCCACGCGTCCGAGGGCCGCTCGCAGCCGCGATCCTCACGGGCGCGCCGTGTGCCGCAGGACTGAAGCTGCTGCGCTACACCGGCGACCTCGGCACCGACGGCCAGCACACGCCCGAGGACCGCTGCTACTGCGCCGCGCCGCGCGACTGCCTGCGCCGGGGCGTGTTCGAGCTGTACAAGTGCCTGCGCGTGCCCATCGTCCTCTCCAACCCGCACTTCTACCTGGCGGACCCCTACTACCTGACCGCGGTCGACGGTCTGCACCCGGACAAGGTAGGCACCCGCCGTCCGGCAGCTCGGTCCTCTCGCACCTGTCGATCGCTGCCTGCCTCCTCGCCGCAGGAGCTGCACCAGACGCGCGTCGACTTGGACCCACTGACTGGCTCGCCGGTGCGCGCCCACGTGCGCGCCCAGTTCAACATGCAGCTGATGCCCGTCGACAAGTTCCGGCTGATGCGCAACTACAGCTACGCGATGCTGCCACTGGTCTGGACGGACGAGATCGTCGCTCTGCCGGACTTGTTCGTGCTGAAGATCAAGATCGGCTACTTGCTGCTGAGGCTGGTGGCGTGAGTGTTTGCGCGTCGCGCGACCACTCCTGTGTCGATCCCCGTTGGTGACTCGCCCGGGCGCGCAGGCTCTTCCAGTACGCGGCCATGGCCGCGGGATCGGTGCTGTGCCTGCTGGCGGCGTTCGCGAGCTACGCGGCCAGGAGGAGAAGGAGGGCGGCCGCGGCCGACGACGACACCGCCGCCGGTCCGGGCGAGCGCGCGGCCACGGCCGCAAACGCGGCTCCCGCCGGTCCGGACGAGCGGCCGGCCACGGCCGCAACTGCGGCTGCCGGCGTCGTCGACGACCACGGCAAATACAACATCGCCAGGTTGCTGAGCGCTATTAGGCCGGCCGCTATGCCGCCGACTGTCGATTGACGTTGTTCGCATCCAATTTGCTCCAGCAAACCAACTAAAATATTACGTAGCCGAAATTACATAATATTAATTGTGTTTATAATTGATCCTCGGCCTATTTCGGGCAATTGAAATATATATCACGATGTTCACATTTCGAATAATAACTGTGCACGTTCGTTACTTCGATTAGTAGATAATGGACCTGTGCGTCTCCGAAGAAACCCAGCCGCAACGGTCACTATTGTATCGAGAGAAAACGTTGACATAACGCACCATAAAACGTCTTTGATTAGCCGCTCGACTTGTATATTTTCAAAAGCCAATTAATTTGCCGAGCGAGGCGGTCGCTGCCGTCAAGCGCAGCGCAAGCCGCGCGCACTCGGATTCCACGCGGCTGTAGCTTGCACTTGCGCAGAACCGCGCGCGCTTCTCGCGTACGTATATATATAGGCTACTGGCGCGATAAATACACGCAGCTGCAACATCGCGCACACGTTCGACCGGTCGCAATTATCAATTGCTTATCAAGCACCGACGAATATCGAGTTGTTAGCTCAACAAGTCTAAAATGCCCGGGGATCTACCTTGCTGATAAGATGGACGTTTTCACGCCCTTCGTCTTCTGGGCGCAGACGGAAAATAAGATTACCCTCAAGATTGATCTGACCAACGTCAAGGTAGGCTTATTCGCTTCCTTACATGTATACATATCCAGCAGAAGATTTTTTCCGTGAGACGGTTTTATCCAGCGAATCTGACTTTCACCCCTCAGGATCCTGATGTGTATCTTGAAGATAAGAAGCTTAAATTCTCCGCGTACGGGCAAGGTGCTAGAGGCTCAAATAAATATGGGTTTACACTGGATTTACATTCAGAAATTGATCCTGATGTGAGTTTTTCTATACTGTATGAAAATTGGACTAATATTATCTTGATAAGTATGTGATGTTCTATAGGACAGCGATTATAAGGTGATCGATAGGCAGGTGGATTTTGTGTTAAAAAAAAGGTCAAAAAGCTGGTGGCCAAGATTAACGGGTCAGCCACAAAAGCCATCCTGGCTCAAAATTGATTTTGACAAATGGAAGAGTGAAGATACGGATGATACAGAAGAAGTTATGCGTGATATTTGTCAGGATTATCCTGATCTCTATGACAGAGTACATTTAGAGGAATTGGGTTATAGGAAAGGTTTGTCCATTACAAGTTCAACTGTTATTTTAGGACCTCCTTTGACCAATGATATTTATTTACCCTTACAGAGGACATGAAGAAAGTTTACCTGATATTTTATAATTTGTTCCAATGTATTGGATTCATATACGTTGTTTCTGTGATGGCTATAAGATATTATCGTGATGGTCCAGGTGTGTTTTTAAAAATAAATAAATATTCTTTGTGTAAAATAAACATAAAATAAAAATAAAAGCTAAAATATTTACTTTGCTTTTACAGATTCAATGAAAGAAACTTACGAAGCTGTTGGTAATCCCATGAAATTTATACACTTACTTCAATTTTTAGAAGTTATGCATCCCTTATTTGGATACACAAAAGGCAGCTGTTTTATTGCTTTTCTACAAGTTGGTGGTCGTGCATTTATATTATTTTTCATGATTGAAGCTGAAGAGAGAATGCAGACTAAACCAGTTGTTTTTTACCTTTTCTTAGTATGGACTATAATAGAAGTTGTTAGATATCCCTATTACATTACACATTTATTGGATATTGAAATGCCTACTTTGACATGGCTTAGATATACTATATGGATGCCATTGTATCCACTTGGATTTGTATTTGAAGGGATAATTGTTCTTAGAAATATTCCTTACTTTGAGGAAACTGGTAAATTCAATGTTAGTTTGCCAAATTCGTGGAATTTCGCGTTTCATTTTCCAACTTTTATGAAAATTTACTTGCTCATGCTGTGTATACCAGGCATGTTTGCTATGATGTCACATATGAACAGTGTTCGTTACAAGAAACTTAGTAAACCAAAAATTAAAAAAAAAAACCAATAATTCACATCAGGGATAGCTTTTAAAAGTTGTAATCAATTTTTAAGTATAATTTTAGAGCAAAAAGTTGAAAGTTTAATTAACTTTGTAAGTGAGTCAAAATTTTTTAAGAACATTTAACAAGACAAAACAATTTGTTATTAATTCTAGAAAGCTAAAAAGGAGCTGTAAAATAGGGTCCTAAAATAATCGTATCAATAAATGTTGTTAACAATCGATATTTTTTACAAGTTTCTTGTAAAAATCAATATTGTAATAGTGATAGAACTTTTCTAAAGTATTTCAACTCTTTCCAACTAAAATGTATTAACTTCACATATTGTTATTAATAACAGAAGATGCATTTAGCTATTAAAGAACAAATTATTTTATCAAGTAAGTTTTATGAAAAACATTGTATCCAATAAATCGTATTATATATCGATTTTGAAACAGTGATCAAATTTTGGAACTAATAATTCATATTTGTATATTGAGCACGTAATGTAATAAAAAATTTAAATAATTATGTTATGAAATACTGTTATTGTATTGTCTACCAATGTGTTCTTATAAACATGTAAAAATATTGAAGATGATTAACAAAAAATCAAAGATACGAGTGTACCCTATTGTAGTATGTATTTAAAAGGCTACTTAGTTATAAGTAAACTACGTTATTACATATTTCTAAGTGGGCTATTTAAAAATTTGTAAAGAAGTGATGCCCAAATAAACTTTTCTTTCTTAACAAATGGAGAAAGTTAAGCAATGAATTAATCAGTTGTCTGAAGTTTTTACCTTTTCCGTAATAATTAGGCCTCAAAAATTGAAATTATATTACTTTTAATATTAGGTTGTTGAAATTATAAAATACCTTTAAAATTTGATGTTAAATTAAATCAAGCGCTAATAAATAGTTTTGTATAGTATTATCATAATTCAATGTGTGAAGGCACAATGAATCAAAATGAAGTTATACAAATTATCTTTATTGTTAAAAATAGGAGCATCAAATTTGATACTTACAAAAATTCGAGGATTTCGATTTAATTGTTGAAGTAAATAATTTATTCAATGTTTAAAATTGTATCAAATAAAAAAATTTTGTCCTAACAAAACAAACTTTCAAGTAAAAACATAACAATTTTTAAAATTCCACAAAACTGGTCACGGGATTATTCATTAAAACATATATACTTCAACAATCTACGTAAAAACAAATGATACAGTGCTAATACATCGAATATTCTCAAACAATCAAATAAATAAATTATAAAGGAAAATAAAATAATAAAATAATAATAAAGTAAAAATAAATGAAGTTTTTCAGGGAAAGTTTTTCATAAGAAAAGTAAGCAAGACAAGTTTTGATGTAGACAGTACAAGAATATGTTTTATTTTCATTAATAATATGGTAAAGTACGGTATTCTGTAATATGATTAATATTACTACGCCTTGCCTTACTAGAAAAAGTTATTAAAAATCTTAAGCTCCCCTTCAAGTGCTTAGACGTTACATCAAATCCTTATTGACTAAACAATCTTAACACTAAGTTCCATGATGAGCTTGGCATCAAACATTCCTTGGTCTTGTTTCGTTATATAACAATAAGACAAGATTAAGATAATTATTTTGATCTGAACGAGCTTAAGATAAATCAAACAAAGTGTAATCAGAAATCATTACACGTTGTTAGACGCAGAAAAGAAGAAAAAACCACAATTGTTCTCTAGTCGACGAATCATTCCTCCTACTCTTATCTCATTTTGCACTTGATAAATTACAATCTAGTCACAGTCCGACAAAAAACAATGGCCGTCTTAGAACAGCCATTGAATTTTCTTAAAGCTTTGAGCTTGATCTGGACAGTAATGAAATAATTAATAAAAAATATTTACTTTCTCTTTAATGATGCATGCTTTTCATCAGTCATGTTTTCTTTTTTTTTTTGTACACAGGAAGAATCATTCATTCAATTCATCTTTGCTTGAGTAATTGTACAGAAATTTTATTTATAAATGCTACTCCTTGCTACTTGGTCTACTTAAATTTTCTTAGTATGTACATCGAGCCCAACCGTGTACCCATGTGGCAAGTAAAACTAGCACCGTCAACGAACCTCACCTCTTTACGTCGACGTATGAACACATTATATTTAATAAACGGTGATACGTTCGTTGACCTTGCCATTTTATTAAGAAAAAAGGGGGCTCATCCCAAGTACGTAAACTGAGGTATCACTTTCATTATACTCATTGACTAATTCGATTAAAAAATTACGAGGGCAGTGTGTACGTCCGCGTACGCGGATAGAGTCAATTATAATACGTTAACCCGGTTACAACCCCTTTCTTTCGTTATTTAAAAAAAGTAATAAAGAAAAAAGAAAAAAAGTAGCGTTATTTCGCACTTAATCTCCTTCGGTACAAGAAAAAAAATTGCCTAGAATATAAGAGACTACAGAGAACGTATAGAGTCAGCCCGTTAAATTCTCCATCATCTCTGCCGCCTGGCGCGGCTGGTTCGCGATCGAGGTGTCGACGAACCTGAACCTATGCTAAACATGTTCGTTCCAGGTGGTTGGAAATTTGGTGCTGGAGCATTGAATGATGGCGTTGCTGTTGTATTGCCCGTGAAATTAATTTGCGGTGCCGCGGTTGGTGCATTGAAGTTGAATCCGACTGCAAGAAGTAAAGCAAAACACATTTGATACCAATTCAGTAACGATTACAAAAACTGAATAATTTGTCACATTAACAAATTAACCTGGCTTAGCTGCACTACTAGCAGCACCAAATTGGAAAACTCCGGAGCTGCTGCCAGCATTGGCCGTCGTCGATCCAAAAGGGAACGATCCACCAGTAGATTGTGCAGTTGCAGGTTGTGTTGGCTGATTGCTTCCAAAGCTAAAAGTACTACTTGCACAAGTTGTGGAAGTACCTGCCGGTGCCACGTTACCAAACAGTGAAGGCGTAGTAGTAGTCACTGGTTGCGTTGCACCAAAAGGTGATGTAACGTTGTTAGTAGCAGAGCCGAAGCTGAGTGTGTTGGAAGCTCCAAAGGCTGGTACACTGGAATTTGCTGATGGCATACCAAAAGTATTGCCTGTCGAAGTAGTCGATCCAAATGTTGGGGTAGCGTTGGAGTTAGCCCCAAACGCGGGTACAGGGTTTGCACCGAAACTATTTCCGCTAGATGTTGAGCCAAAAATTGACGTTCCAGGACTAGTTATCGATGGTTGAGTAGCAGCTGGCGTGCCAAATTGTGGCGTGGACTTTATCGATCCAAAAGCTGGTAAACTACTAGATGCCGGCGATGTTGCACCAAAGGCCGACGTTGAGCTTGTAACGTTTGGTGCTGGAAAAGTTGCAGTGGTCGAGCCGAAGGCCGATGTTGAACCACCAAATGATATTGGCGTTGGTGACTTTGCTTGACCAAAGATGCTGCTAGTATCAGCTGGATTTGTCACTGGTGTCTAAAAGAATAATTAAAATTTCATGTGTTTATTCTATTATCATACATTAATTAAAATTCATTTATCAGCTCTTTCTCCATTACCTGATTCGTGAGACTGGATCCGCTAAACAATCCGCCACTAGGCACAGAAGAAGCCGTCGCTCCAAAGATCGACGTCGTCCCAGCTGTAGTAGCATTCGCGCCGGAGAAAATGCTAGACGACTGGGTACTTCCGAATGCTGGTTGCGTCGTTGTTGCCGTTAATGCATTACCAAATAAACTTGTGTTGGGAGCCGGGGCCGCTGTATTACCAAATAAACTAGGTATTGATGTTGTAGCTGGTGTGGCACCGAAACTCGCACTGTTTGATGAACCACCAAAAATTGAGGTAGTTGCTGCCGTTGTTATTGCTGTTGGCTGTGGTGCTCCAAAAGTAACCGGTGCGCTGGGAGACTTGAAAATCAGATTTGCGGTGGTGGTGGACGATGAACTACTGAACAGACTCGGTGCACTAGTTTTCCCACCAAAGACTGATGGCGTCGGTGTGCCAAACGTCGGAGTTAATGCTAAATTATGGGAAAATTCAATTAATATCTGTTTAAAATCTTTTAAGTATTGATTAAGCAGGCACTTGCTATATTAAAATACAAATAGAAAAGCAATTATTTTTGATACAACGATAATGAAATTTAATGAAAAAATCATCGTAATGCGTATTAAGAAATATTATCGTTAGTTGATTATGAACGTTTTGGTGTTGCAAATAGATTAGCTATCTTTTTATAAAATAATATACATACACTGCGGTGTACCAAAGAAACCTAAACGAAAAAAATAAAAAAATTGTAATAGCAATAGCAATAGAAAATAAATATACAAAAAACCTTGCTCAAAATTTGGAAAAATTTCATAAAAAAGACTTATCCAGTACTAGAAGAAAGCGAATTAAAACTTACTTGTAACAGTAGGATTACTAGCACCAGTAGCAGCCGAAGCGCCAAAACCCGTAGCCGTCACAGTGCCACTTACAAAAGTAGGAGTTATAGTAGTTGCAGTAGTCGTAGCAGCAGGAGCAGTCGAAGCACCAAACGAGAATGTAGCTGGTGATTTACTAGTACTTCCAAAGTTAAACATGGATGTAGTAGCAGCAGGTGTTGACGTAGTAGTTATGGTAGCATTATTAGCATTATAAACGGTTGGTGGATTATTATTGCTTCCAGCTGAGAACATCGGACTTGATGTTGTCGTCGAACCGAATATCGCAGGTGGTTGGCTAGCGGTGGTGGCTCGAGCAATGCTGGAAGTTGACGATGACGCACCAAAGGAGAAAATTGGTTCTTTTTTGCTACTTCCAAAGCTTGGTAACGAGGTCGTAGTTTCTAAAATTATCGTGATACAGATTGATATGATTGAAAGTAAACAAATTATTTTACCAAGTAAAAATGACACTAACGTGTAAGAGACATGGTGATCGGACTCTTTGTCAGCGTGTTTCCGAATGTTGCTGTTGAAGAGCTAACACCGCTTAAATCTGACTCCGTGGTTTTAGTAACGGTAGATGGAATAGAAAATCCGGCTGTTAGCGCTGCAGATGACACAGCAGTTGATGCTGATGTAACTGCCTTAGATGCAGTAGCACCAAACGAAATCGTAGAATTTGACGTCGTGCTAGTACTCGTTTCAGTTGGCTTGATAGTGAAGAGCGAAGTACTAATACTTGAGCTTGCAGTTGTTTTCGCTGTGTTGATCGTAGTTTTTGGTGAAGTAACTGATGATTCTATACTACTGCTTGTCGGGAAGGAAAAGCTACTGGTCGTTATTGATGTGGGCGCGGAATTTGACGCAGTCGTTGTAACATTACTACCAGAATTGAACGTCGGCGCAATACTTGTACTTGAGCCAAAGTTCAAATTCGGAACTAAAGTCGGAAGTTTCGTTTCAGCTGGCTTGGTTTCTGTAGCAATACTTGAAACCGTGCTAGCGGTACTGCTTAATGACGATGATGAGGATGGAAGATTGAAAGTAACATGCTTGTTCGTCGGAGACTTGGTCTCCGTGTCCGTCTTTAAAATCGGCACCATTGTTGTTGTAATTGGCGAGGTATTCACCGTCGTCGTTGAAGTCTGACTGCTGAGGGAAGTATAAGATGAGGTAGTTGGAGGATTCACTTCCTCAGCTTGAATTACAACATCTAGATCGATTTTACTTGCTGTAAATGAATATGAATTAGAATTTGAAAATAATCCCTAAATTGATAGTAAAAAAATAAAAAGAAAACTTACATTTTCCAGAAATAGCATCAAACATACTCTGAAGTCTCAAACGCATACTGTTTTGTCTCATGTTAACGATATCTTCTTTTTTAATCTCTTCCTTGTCATCTGTCGTGAACTTCGCCTCTACTTTACCTTGCTCTTCAATCAAATATTTAATTTTTTCATTAGCTTGAGGTTCAGCTCTCATGAACAGCTTATCCGTAAGTTTAATTGGTGGCTTAATAGCTGCTGGAATATTCGGAATTTCTCTTCGAACTTTCGGAGTTGGTAAATTCAAAGTATTATGTAATTTAGACTTTGATTTTTCTGGAGAATCAGGCTTTGTAATTTCCAAGTTTTTCTCCTTGGGTTTTTCAGGCGAGATATCTTTATTAATTACAGGAACTTTCACATTTAGCTGCTCTTTTGACCTCGCTAATTCTCTAGTAGATGGTAAAATTAAAGATAAACTCCTTGTGGGAGAGGTTGTAGAGGGTTTGAAATGCTTCTCAACACTTGGAGTATTACAGCGAGATGTATCCACTAAGAAATAATATAAGCTATTAGTATAATTTGTAAAATAATTATGATAAGGTAAAAGATGGTGGAGTTTAAAAAATGTACACACTTGCTTTTCTCTTAATGCCAGTGTAGACACTTGTGCTTGAACTGAGTGAATTAATGACATCGTGACAGGAAGATGCTTTGGATCTCTTCAATGGTCTTTCATTTTTTGACTGAGGTGATCCATCCTCATCCGAGGCTGTTGATTCTTCTCTAGTACGTTTCTGCATCATTTCTTCCAAATTTTCTAATTCACCATCGAAAATCCTTTCAAAACGTTGCTTTTTAGCTAAATCCAGCATGATATCCTCTCTAGATGTGTGTCGTTTGAGTGGAAGTTTTTTTAGTGACTTGGCAATACTAATTAAAGACTTTGATTCTTCAAGTTCCTGCGGAGAAGAATTGGGCCTTTCTTGATGCGTATCTACAGATGAATAGTAGACTATTTCTGGTGGTGCAATTCTAACAGTTACTGGAATTCTTGCTCTTGCAACCTTAGGACTCAACACGGGTATAGGACTTGCATTGAGATTAACTTTTGGAAATTGTCCTGCTCCATATTGAGATTGATGAGTTAACTTATTACTGGCTTCAGCTGCATATTTTGTAAGACGTGATGTAAGACCTGGTGAACTTATATCTGTATATAACCTAGAAAGGAATACATTACAAATAAATAACTTATCAGTTTGATTTAATATTAAGATTTGTTATATTCACTTAGGATCAATATTGTATCTAGTAGATGCTAAAAGGGGACCAGCTACAGTTTGCACAGTCTTAATGCCTGTGGGCCTGTTCCTTGTTTTGGGACTACTGCTTGCTCCCCAAGGTGAGCCTTTTGGTCCGTATAATGACTCATCACTACGTATTTGTGATGGTGACGGTTGTGAATTCTCAGTTCTTGTTGGTGACTGCTTCTTGATCATGGGAGTGCTCGAATGTACAAACAATCCTAAGTCTCCATTTGGTTGAACATCCTTTTTCCATGTAGAGCCTTTAGATAGAGGAGTGGAAGTCCTAGCAATATCACGAGCCCCATTGAAGGTAAATGTGTGATATTGGTCTTTGCCTATTGGACTAACTTGATTCATTAGTTCATTCCCCTGTTAAAAAGATAATACAAATTTGTGATATACCAAGTAGGTTGCATAGCTTTGTGAAATGTTGCATGTACAGTTTGAAACACGTCAAGGATGAGAGAAATATAACCTCAAATAAGACAAGTTGGCTGTGTTAATAAAACTATTGAAAAGCGTTGAGTTTAATGCAAATGATCAAGATTACATCTGCAAAGATCATGAACGATATTCGCCAATAGCTGACAATTTATAAACATTGCCTTATCTCTGTGTGCAAAAACCAAAAAAATCATTTACCGTAGTGCTGAGACTGTAGGTTCGCCTGTGTCTGCTGTCCATGTCTTCGTCAATATTAATGCCGACAGTATTTACAACAGATTGTCTTGTTGACCAAGTGTTGTAATGCGTCCTGAGGTAGCTCAGTAACTTTTTGAATTTCTTAATCGCTTGAACAGTCAACAATCTGAGCGTTACGGCCAATTCCCAAACTATTTGTCTGGCATGACCGAGTAACACGAGAGTGTATGGTGCGAATAAGCTGTCGTTGACGAGAAGCGAGTAACACGTGTGCACGACGACGACGAGGGCAAGGGTGACGATGAGCAGTGGACCCCAAGCGTTATAGAGTAACACGCAAAAGAGAAATGCGCCGATCAAAAGGTAAATGCCTCTCTGGTTTACAGTGCCGGTTTCGGCGCCTTCGGCGCCGTTCCACATTCTATTATACACCACACGCACTAATGACAACCCGCGTCGTAACCTTTACACGTCGCGGGCGCCACGAGATGCTCATCGCCGAGGCCACCGAAACTGCTAAGGCGCCAAGGCGGCTGATAAAGCGCTGAGCTATACAGCGATACTAACGACATCGGACGTCTATTTTTTTTATTTATTTGTCATTTCCCGCGTTCTTCCTGCCTCTTTGAAAATATAAGGGGTCAATTTTTGTTGTTTTTTTGGGTAAGTCAACAAGTTTCTCATAAATAATAAACTGTTCTAAAAAAAAATAAACAATAACTCATACGGATAAAAGGCTGTATTATCTACATATATATTTTAGGCACCATATTTTACCAAAGTTTCATGCTTTGGAAAACGTTGAAAAAATATGTATTTTTTTAATAAAAATAAATTACTTATAAGTAATACTTTTCAATTCACAGAGCATCTACAGTCACCTCTTCATCTATATGTAATTGAAAAATTCTACATAAACACAAAATACTATTGATATGTAGTATATAACAATAAAAATGTGTAGCAAATTAAAATTAGAATGAACAAACTAAAAATTCAAAATTAATTTTCAAAATTAGTAATTACTGTTAATGTTTACTTTCAATGAGAGGGCGCTAGTCCCGACTAAGTCGAAAAAAATAAGCAGTACGCAGAATCAGATGGTTAGTGACCGCACAGTGCAGAGACTGTGTGTATGTACTTTAATATCAAAGTATAAGCAGACAAAGTGCAGTAGCAGCCAGCTGCAGCATAGTGATATCAACAATAACAAGTACCGTATGGCAACAAAAATGTCCGCATATTGTTTCGCAATTCTAGTTGATCAACTGGAGTTGCCTATCTTAACTTACTCAACGCTGTCGTCGTACAAAATATGGCACTAACAGGCGGCACCAAAGTGACAAGTTGTCAATGCGCGCCGAACAAATATTTAATTCACGATATCAAAATGATGCAATACCTTGGTTTTCATAATTTATGATAGAGTGACTACTGTTACTTGTGCTGACAGTGAATGGTATTTGTTATTTTGATAAATTTAAAGTAAAAAAGAAGAAAATTAAATCCGCGAGTGATGTGTGTAGTTTTGGAACATTATTGCACGAGTGAGAGTGCTGGTAGACATAACCTCGGACATTGTTAATTCAAAGTCAAAGCGAATAAAAAGAAGGAAAAATTTAGAAAATTCGCAATGCCGGCAAGTAAGATTAAGATGAGCAGATTGCTCTACCATACGTTTTTTTCCTTTATCTGCTGCACACTTGGACAGCAGGCTACTGAGGTGAGTGCCATTGTTTTGGTATAGTAAATAAACACATTGTTCACCTTTGGACTTGTACATTTGTGTATATGTTCACGTTTGATTTTTTAGAGCCCTAGTACTGGTTTAATACCTGACCAAGAAGATGCTTTGCTCATGTTTTCAACGTTGGATGGCTCATTAATAGCCGTGGAACAAAGAACTGGAGAAATTAGATGGCATCAAAATGATGGTAATAATGTCATTAACTGTTATTTATTGATTTATAACTTGTAATATATTCTTCATTCATCATTTTTATTTTTTAAATGATAGAACCAGCTGTCAAGGTTCCTCGAGAATCACTACAGTCATCAGGGTATGATGAATATCTAAGTATAATTAAAAGTCAGTTTTAATTCATAATCCAATCAAAATTTTTATTTATCTCTGTGCAGTCCTCTATTTTTACCGGGTCCGATTGATGGATCCTTGTATTTATTTGGTCCTGAGACAGAAGATTTGAAAAAATTACCATTTACTATACCACAATTAGTAGCAACAAGCCCTTGCCGTAGTAGTGATGGTATTCTATACACAGGGCGCAAAATTGATACATGGTTTAGTGTAGATCCTTTAACAGGAAGAAGAGAACAACTGCTTGGATTTACCAAAGCAGAAAATACTTGTCCTGTAGATACTAAGAATGCAATATTTGTTGGCAGAACAGAGTATAACATAATAATGATTGACAGTAAACATAAAGATAAGAAATGGAATGTGACATTTTATGATTATTCAGCTATTAAGATGGATCCTCAGAATGCAGAAAATTATGGCTTAGCTCATTTTACTGCAAGTTCTTCTGGACAAGTTGTTACGCTGGACAGCGAAGGAAATATTTTATATGACATTGATTTGGGCAGTCCTGTAATTGCAGTTTATGCTATTAGTAAAGATGGCTTGATTACTGTACCATTCACAAGTGTTGCTGAAAGTACTATCAATGGATTACTGAAGCATATTAAAGTAAATCCAAAGGAGCTGAAGTTTTTGTGAGTTTAATTATTTAAAAATATTCATTTCTCCCTTAAAAAAGATGTTTAATTCATAAAAGTGTTCTTCTATCTATCTCCCATCTTCTATCTATAGCCCATCCCTCTATATTGGAGAGCATAGCCATGGTCTGTATGCTTTACCCTCTCTGGTGGATGCTTCAACCCCTACAATTAGTAGCAAAGTTGGTTCCTTATTACTAGAGGGTCCACTGACATCACAGTTGCAAAAAAATGATTCGCCACCACCACCATTCGACAGTGATAATGAAGATACGAGTTTCCAAATGGTTCTAGGTAATTAACAAAAGCTCAATTTATCTCAAACTATTTCACTGTAATAAATATTATTTAAAAGGACATTACGAAGTTCCCGCCGAATACCAACCGCACAATCAGCCGTTACAAATCACAGGACGCTCGGATCCAATAATTCCCAACAATGAAAACATTTCCAATGCGTCCAAGAACATTGACGTGACTATCGGTGATTTGCAATCTGGCAAGGCATTCTATGACAAAGAATGGAGAGAAATGATCAGTACGACCTATATTGTTTGCAAAAACTTTATCAATCAACAAGAAAACAAAGGTTTAAAATTAGGCTTGATCGTACTCTCTGGAATCGTGATTGGAATGGGTTTCTACTTTCATCATTTGTTCAAGAGCCAATTCAAAGAAATGCAACAGATGTCGCAGGTATTTATTTGGATTTATTTTTCTTGAGTTATATTAGAGGCCGATAAAATTAAAGATTTGAACTACTTTACTCTACGTCTAATATCAGCACTTTGATTATCAGGGCTCCCGCGATAGTAGTCGCTCGGGTAGCAACGGACGCAACGGTGTTATCTACAATCCTGAAGAACTTGAAGGTGGTTTAGTTCGTGTTGGGAAAATAACTTTCAATGCTGAAGAGGTCCTTGGAAAAGGCTGCGACGGCACCTTTGTTTACAAGTAAATAATTGCCCAATCTTTCCGTTCGTATCCGTCTTTAAAAATCAATACTAACGCAACGTGAAATTGTCACATTTCAGAGGAGAATTTGATGGTAGATCTGTGGCGGTAAAACGCCTGTTACCTGGTTGTTTTGATTTCGCCGACAGAGAAGTAGCGTTACTTCGTGAGTCTGATGCTCACGCTAATGTCGTTAGGTACTTTTGTACAGAACAGGATAGATTGTTTAGATACATTGCTCTTGAACTTGCCGAGGCGACTCTGCAAGATTATGTGGCTGGTCGTTACGACCGTAGCAAAATCTTGGCTAAGAATATTCTCAAGCAGGCTATTTCTGGACTTGCTCATTTACATTCCTTAGATATAGGTGAGCGAAGTTTATAAATTTATAAGATGATCAGTAAGATAGAAATGTGAATCGATTTGGCTCAATATATAAAATTTAATTCAATAGTACATCGCGACATAAAGCCTCACAACGTGCTCCTCTCAACGCCAGGACCACGAGGTGAAGTACGAGCAATGATTTCCGACTTTGGGCTTTGCAAGAAATTACAACTAGGTCGGATGTCATTTTCACGTCGTTCCGGTGTAACTGGTACTGACGGTTGGATTGCTCCAGAAATGCTGAATGGCGAGAGAACAACCTGTGCCGTTGACGTCTTTTCCATGGGATGTGTGTTTTATTATGTGCTTTCTAATGGCAAACACCCATTTGGTGACCCGCTGAGACGACAAGCTAACATTTTAGGTAAGCGCATATATGGTTTTTTTTTATCGACTCGTACTGCAAACTATTTTCGGATTTTACGAAATGCTCGAAGCAATCCATCACATGATTCGATAATGCTGAAATCATTGATTGTATTTGATTTACCGTGTATGAATTCTATTCGCATAGAATTCTCTCGAAAGAAAATGAATATTGACGTCTAGTTCGCCGATTCAATTGAGTAAAAAATTTAATTCAAATCATTCATTTGTCTCAATTAGATTCAACATAAACTCCTTTTTCTATTGTGAAAGCAGCCGTTTAAACGTTTTCCAATAACACCTTTACAATTTAAAAACTGTCGAGCAAATAGCTATTGTTATATTTGGAAGCGAAACTTAAAGAATGAAAAGTTTAATAGCACATCGTAAAAAAAGCGATATTACGTTCTGTATGGAAATGCCCGTTATCGTTAAAAAAACACGCATGTGAACATATGTAATATATAGCTTCTGCTCTCACCGGTCTCCCATATTCTTTCTTTCTGTTGAATATTCGATTTATGATAATGAGTCAACGATTACGTTATTTGCCGGCAGTGTAATATACGAAAACGCACGGTATCATGTGTTTACGTAGTATAGACTATGACAATTATTTACAAGGTTACTACAGCGTTCAATAAAATTGTGACTTTGTTTAATGCAGATAGAAATGTTTTAAGTGTAATCTTTGACTATTTTTGTAAAACTTTCGGACGTTAGACGACACGATGACTATGCAGTTTCTCAAGTCATCGTATTTCATCACTCGCCGCATTACTTTGAAGGCTTTCGATCAATGTTTTTTTAATGAATGATTTTACAGGTGGTGAGATTGATTTGTCATCTCTGCAAAATATCTCGGAAAACGACAAACAAGTTGCCTTAGTTTTGATCAAAGCGATGATCGCTAGCGATCCAATCGATCGTCCACCAGCTCAAGCGATTCACGATCATCCAATGTTCTGGGATGCGGCACAAGTGCTCACGTTCTTCCAGGTAATAATTGCATCTAGGAATAGGAGGGTATTTTTCCCGCAGTTCACAAACAATCTTTATTCTCTAGGATGTGAGCGATCGCGTTGAAAAAGATGGACCTGGAAGTCCGGCATTGCGAGCTTTAGAAACAGGTAATCGAATGGTCGTTCAAGGCGACTGGAGATTACATATCGACATTCAAGTTGCTACCGATCTCAGAAAATACAGAAGCTATAGGGGTGAGAGCGTAAGAGATTTACTAAGAGCCCTTAGAAATAAGGTGAGTTGTAATAATTCACATGCCGTGTATAAATTGATTCAACTACGATCGATACTTTGCAAAAAGTTGACAATAATGGAAAAATCAATCTACGGTGGTAGTTATTGTCGATCGCCGTTCTACTTTTCATTTTTGTTGGATACTTTATTATGGATTGATCGTGAACTATGCATCATTTACAGAAACATCACTACCGAGAGTTAACAGCTGAAGCACAACAAAGCCTCGGTGAAATCCCGTATAAGTTCACTGAATACTGGCTATGTAGATTCCCGCATCTTCTCATTCATTCGTGGTGCGCGATGCAAGATTTCCGCACCGAAGCAGCTTTCAGACATTACTATGACGAGTCTTATGAGTTTAAAATGGATAGAGGTAATGATAGCATTGAATACGAAGAAGACGAAACTACGATGCTATTGCAAAACGAAGAAAGACACACGGTAGCTCCATGGCGAAATCCAGAGAATAATCATCATGTTGATTGGAGCCCCAATCGCGCGAGACTTCGAAATCAGAGAAGAAAAAGACAGGATAATGATAAAAAAAAAGGTGATTCTCCTGTATGGACATTGCCACCTGCCAGTTAGATTCTGTGTAAAATATTTGTACTTTTTTATACAAAAAGGAGAGACTTTTTCTAACAAGTTGATGATAGTATTTTCACTTCAAATGTTTTATTTTTATGAGTGTGCGAGTTTTTGTTATGCATGTGTATGTGATTTTTGTTTTTTAAACATTTTCCAGTGATTTAAAAAATTGACTTAAAGTATAATTTTTTTCAAATTATTAGATCAAAATAAATAATAATTGTATTCACTAATGAATATCTACATTTTCAATAGTCACGAAAATACATATGAATGGTTGCGTGCCAATAATAGAAACTGATATGATTAATATATCGTTTAAGGCAAATTTACAAAGATGTACATGAATTCTTGCTATACTATTTCGGGTATTGTATATATAATACCCGACCGATATTAATAGGTTCTTGATAATTTATTTTGTATGGTTATTAGTAGTAAGAAATCGGTGCACTTATTTTAATAACTTAAGATATTTAATCGACGAATATTTGTGATACTTGCGTGTAGGTTTGCAATCGATAAGAAATTAAGAAAGTTATATAGCTATTGATATGATGGCATTGTAATTTTTGTGTCATTATTAAACGTCTAAGTATAATGCATAAGTGTCTATCGTGCATTTGTTGACATTACTGATTTTATATGAAGCGTTAAGTTTACACGCTACTGTGAAAAAAAGAGGTAAAAACAATGAAAAGAGCGCATCATTTCTAACTATAATTTTTAGAAGTCTTTGAGGACGCCGTATTTGTACATAATTTTTCCGTAGTCATTTTTAATTGCACAAAAAAATTATTTGTACACGGGGTTCACTTCTATATGACTTGCAATGCATTGTGTATAGAGAGAATAAATACAATGACTTATATTTATATAATATTTTATTTAAATTTAGAATAAATTTTGAACATACATCACTACATAATTGTTTGCAGTTTCGACATTGCACTTTGCTTAATGTGGAAAAAAGGTTATTTTTCTTTCGATGATCATGAGTTTAAAAAACCATAATAAAACAAGTAAAAAGTAATCATTCTGATGTATGATAATATCACATTTTTTGATTTATGTTAACACGTACATAGAGAGAAAAATATTAAAGATTGAAGACATGATTTATATTCTTGTAACGTGAAATATTAGTTTTTTACAAAAAAACAAATAATTCTATTAAATTATGTACAAGAATTAAAAATAATAAAGATATGTCAATGTTTTAATATATAAGTCTACTTTCATTGTGTATATATTTTCCTTGGCATCTTGTAGAAAAATAACTTATTTGATTGCTGCGGGCGTGTGAATTTGCCCCGCAAGGCTGTAAAAATTGCTTTCTGGATTATAATAGGACTGATTGGACTTCGATTGAGATTCTTCCCTATAAATGTTGGCACTGTCAACGTTAAAAAATGTAAGCTGTATTTCGTTCATTCTAATTGATTATCTTTGAATACATAGTTTTGATTTTATTTTTGTCTACAATCAATAAAATGACTAAATATATATTTACTTTATAATACATTTATACGTTATCACTTGTTTCTAGGCTCGATAAAGTACATATTTTCTCACTAAACGTGGCAAGTGTATGCTTCGATAATTTTTAAGGCAAAACTTTCATATTATCCATGGTAACAAAGCAAATAATTATTGTAAGTACAAAGTTATAAAAGAAAAACATAACTGGGCATTTTTTTGTTTAAATTGTTCGTTGATTTCGAAAAAGCGTATTTTGTTTCAAAATTTTACTATACCTAATTAAATTTTAAGCTTGTATAAAAACGAAGTTACATTTTTAAAAGATAATAATTATTGCACTGGATTTTGTGCATCAGCGCAAGGAGCTGATTTCAGTCAGATTGTCCAAGACGTAATGATTTTTTTGAAATATTCTTCTAGACAATACCCAATTACATTGTCCGTAGAACAATATATATATATATATATATATATATATATATATATATATATATATATATATATATATATATATATATATGTATATATATTTATTTATTTATTCGTGTAAAAATGATTCTTACTCCCTAATATATTTTTTCGTATAAATTTATGTATAAACATTATCTCAAACAAACTATGTTTTGATTAATAATTCGTTGAATCAACGACGATATTAGGCTTGCTACTTGTAAAATCTAGTAAATAACGCTTTATATAATTATTGTACAAAGAACGATGTTAAAGTACGTCTATTTTGTCCGTTCCTATATCTAAGTCGTATAAAAAGAAAAAAAAACAAGAACTCATTCAATGTAAGATTGTGTTGATAGCACAGCATCCGTTGAAGTAATTAAAAAATTCACAACCTTGGGGTATACAAGTCGCTTTGAATTTACTTTGAAACAGTTGAAATTTGGCAAATTTTAACATCTTTCTTTTTTTATTCTCTCTCGCTATATATATTTCATCGTCTCATCTAAATATATTTTCCTCGAAAATGCTACAGCTGAAAAAGACGATTGTCAAGACACCGAAGAATTGAATACTACCCTAACGGAAAAAGGTACTCAGTCTAACGCGAAGAAACTTTCTCCCGATCACATCACTTTGAATATATAATCTCGCTTTACTGACTAGTAATGGCAGCGATAGACGATACAGCATCATCAGCAGCAGCAGCAGCAGCAGCAGCAGCAGCAGCAGCAGCAGCAGCAGCAGCAGCAGCAGCAGGGCTACTAACGTTTTTCAAAATCTTGATAATATTATTGAGCGCCAGCGAGAGAAAAATATCATCAGTTTTGATTCTCTCGACTTCTTCGAGTGCGGTGTAACCGGTGAGATTACGCAGTCGGTGATTGGCACCATGACGTATCAGCATTTCGACTATGCGCACGTTGCCAGCACGCGCCGATAAATGCAACGGTGTGTCACGAGCGTTGTCTTTCGCGTCCGAGTTACACGAACCGCAATTTAGCAATAATTTTACGGCCTTCACATGATCGTTCATGCAAGCTAAATGCAATGGAGTACGTCCTTCGGAACGGGTCGCCAAGTTTACTTTAGCTCCAGCGTCCAGGAGTAGCTGTTACAAAATAACAATTCGATGGTTAAAAAAATATACATAAACAAAGCTTTAGCTTGATTTATCATGTTTACCTGGATAATTTCAGTACAACCAACGACGCTGGCAATATGCAAAGCAGTCTCTCCCTCACTATTGACAGCATTGATTGAAATCGGTGGTTTGTTTTCACGCTCGTATGAAAGTTCTTCGATGGACACGCATTTTTCACAATTACATAATGGATGACAGAATTTCGGTTCGTCGCGTTCCGATACGAATGTTCTGTTACATGGGCCTTGAAGATTCAGGTAATAAGAGGCTAATCTGATATCACCTTCGGCTATTGCCGCGAACAGGCGATCAATTTTGTGCATGCCTTCGGTCACTGTTCGATACCTGGCGTTCAACGATTTGTATGAACTTTATAAATCGTTGAAAAAACAAAAGCGGAGTTAAAAATCAAAACAACAAAAATAAAAAATGTTAATAGTGGGCTACCAATATTAAATTAATTAAAAAGCATATTTAAAGCATAAGAAAAACATTAGTTTACGAACAACATGCTGTTAAAAACAAACAGAAATTAATCTGAAAACTTACTTAGCTCTACAAATAGTGCCAGTAATAGGTGTTATTTTAGGACTATTTCCCTTTTCAGCTTCCTGCAACGTGGGATCACAATAAGACAGAGTCCCATATGACGAGAGACCAGTTGGTGTATTTGTCCTTGAGGCTGTACCCTCGAGGAGTCTCGTAATGTGACTGCTGTGCGATAAAGTTAGCGGCGTTTGTCCTCTTCTATTTTTGCATTGCGGATCTCCTCCGTACTCCAGTAGAATTTCAACGATTCCGGTGTAGCCCCATTTCGAAGCAAAATGCAGTGCTGTATCACCTTGATGGTTTGCCCCACTAACATTTTGAAAACATCATTCAGAATAATTCCACGTGATATTTATACTGAAGAACTTTCAAAATTATACTTACTTAACATTGATCACTTTCCTTGTCTGCTCAGCGAAATATAGTAAAGCTTTAACGCAAGTATCGTGTCCATGATCTGAAGCTAAATGCAAAGCACTATTACCTCTTGTATCGACAAGATTGACATCTGCATTTGCATGTAACAGCAGTAACAATGTATTCTGATGACCTCGCGATGCAGCGCAATGCAATGGTGTAATACAATCGGCATCGGCATCGTTGGGATCAGCACCACGTTGTAAAAGAAAATCGACGATAGCAACCTGTCCGTAAAGACTGGCAACGTGTAAGCACGTAAGACCACGATCGTCGCGCGACAATACGGTTGGTGTCGATGATACTGCTGTTTTTGATAAGCTGTGCTCGCATTTCTCACAGAGACACAGAGGGTGACACAGCTTTGTCTCTTTCAATACACCTAAAATTTATACGCAAAAATGAAATCGATTTTTCCGTTTATCAGCAAACCTAACTTCTTAACAATAATAGTGTACCTTCGGTTTTTTTAGATAATATTTTTTGTACTTCCTTCAGATTTCCATTCTTCACGTACTGAAATAACTCACTCATAAATCCTTTCTCCATTGCATCAGTCGCTTCAAACAACTTTTCTTTCTCGTAACTCGCTTTTCCGTTTGATATCTTTTCACCTCCAACTCCGGCAACTCCATTTTTAACCGATCCAGATTTCACATGTTCCACTGCTGCTTCCAACGACGTTATCAAGAATCCCACCTCATCAGCTTCGTGCATCGAGTTGGCCGAGTAACGAAAGTGTTTCATAAATGCAAGTTGAGCGCACCACGTCGCTAAGTTTGATTTGACAACGAGATAAATAAGGACTGGTAAAAGATCGTCCGAAGAGACAGAAGTTTCGCCCTGTGAGACAAAACGTACTGCTCTTTTTAGGCAACCGACTTTGCCAAGCACTGTGAAGTAGCTGTCCAGTCGAGATAATTCTAGAATAGTTCAGCACAAATATTAACTAATTCATTTGAAATAAATACCGTGATAAAATGTTGTGTAAATCTACCTAATTTACCCCTCGATACACCGTCATAAAGATCTGGTCGAACGCCTAGATCTTCCAACTGTAGATCATGAAGATTTTTAATAATCTTGTTTAAACTAGCGTCTTCCGCAGCAGTACTAAACGACACCGCACGCGGCAAAGTTTTTCTGAGTCCGTGTAAAATATACGTCTCTATGGCAATTTTGATCGTTTGCAAGATATATCTATTCTCGATAGTTCTCTGGCGAAGTCTTGAATCCTTTAGCAACGTACGCAAACTTTTGGCATAGAGCATACTAACGACATCACTTTGCAGCTGCAGACATTCTTTGTCCAAATTCTTATGATTCCTCTCGAAATCTTCAATCGCCGTATCTACTTCTTTCAACAGATTCTTATCTAATACCTCCGTTAATAATACATCTCGGCACTCCTTTAAGGAGGTTACTATGCGCACTTCGTCGAGAGATGTGTTGTTGATTTCTTGCTCTAGTTGACCTTCTATACACCTGGATTACACAAGTCGAGGATGTTTAGAAATTGCAGATTTAATAAAAGTCCAGTTGATTTTATAAATAATTTATACATTATACTCACCATACGTGATACTTATTTAAATCATCCGTATAAAAAGTTTCTTCAAACAACAAGTGTAGAGATCTAGGTTTTGCTATATCATTATCAATTGTCAAGGCCCTGTTGTACAGTCTTACTTGTTTATCAGTTAATGTGTGAAAATGAGTACCTGAAGAATTCATAATAAACATCTTATAATGATATTCTTCACAGAATATTGATAAGTACGGAATGAAAGGTGCCTAGAAAATTACCAGGAAGTTCTTCATCAGGTATCAATATATGACCTAAAAAGTCGTCCTCTGTGAGGGTACTTTTGTTGAAGGTGCCAGCACGTGGAACACAAATGATCCAGCCTTCGCCAACAGCTCTGTCGAATATTGGCTGGTGCTCCTGCTGTAGCGTTTGGAAGAACGCATTCAGTGATAGATCCTCGTCGTAGTTGCCTTCCATGATGCAATCGAGCCATGTATCTCGTTCGACAAGCGCCTCGCGACGTCTATACCTGAAATATGTACTCCTGTCATTATTAGTACGATCATAGATATCATTACTTTGAATTTCATACATCTGGCAATTAATTATCACTTTGAATGTAATTATATAAATGGTTATGAACTAAAGAGGTGTTAATTTCCTTTCACAAATGTGTTAGTCACTTTATTTAAATGTGATAATGGTATTGAACCATAATTTTTTTATTATAAATTTTCAGCAAATTACTTGATGTAAATCTGTATTAGGTTCATATTTATTTTGGAGGAAGCAGTCGACAAGACCCTTGTAAATCTCAAACTGGAGTGCAATATGAAGTGCAAGTAATTCAATATGTGTAATTAGAACACATGTACAGTTAAATTTAACAATTCATAAACTGTGACAATCAACAAGTGAGCTCATCGTTTAAACTGGCAAAAAGTATAAATATCATCTCAGCCTATGTGTATGATCAATTTCAGTATCACTTGCACTCCAAAAATAAGCACGAGGTTTACATTTGCCTCTGTCGAAGCACTTTGCACTATCAGTGAAAATAAGTGATTGAGACAGAACTGAGTGCGACTTACGAATGCAAGGAGATGCCTTTAAACCAGGGATAAGCTAGTCCCTTGCGTTTCGGTGGCAAAGCCTTGCTGCTACGTCCTCGTCGTCGCCTCCTTTGTCGCCGCAGCCGAAGCGGATAATAATAAAGGGCCGCAGGTCCAAGTAAGCAGGCAAATAGTGAGGTTGCATCACGGCACATGGATCACTCGTACGACACTTGTGGACGTTTCAGTCGCTCGGACACTTGTGCTGTTACGATGCTTCATCGTCGGTCGTCGATGATAACGCAACGAGAAGCCTTTGTGTCTATCTTCCACTTATCTTATGTACTCACTAAGCTATGCACGCGTGTGCGATATTGCAACGTATCTTAAATCTCTCTCTCTCTCTCTCTCTCTCTCTCTGTCACTGGCGCTTCTTTATGCGTGTCTTATTTACGAGGCGAACATAACCTGCAACATAACCTGCAACGGTATAAGCGCCAGGACACGCTAGGCGCAGGTATGCGCGCCTATGACAAGATGCGTGTATGCGCTGCACCGACTGGAAGAGAGAGGTACAGGGACTCTGCGATGCTTCGCTCCGCGATGTGATGTACACGTGTGTGGGCGGCCCGCAGCTGACAGTCGGGCGACGTGGGAATGCAAGCCGAACACTCTATACGGTTGAAAGGAAGTACGTGTCGTAATTAATTTTTTTTTCTTCGTACGAAGGACGCGCGCCCGCGTCTAAGCCAGGCGTAAGGGTTTTGAATTTCGAGCCGCGGAATGGGGACCAGGGCTGGCTCACTTTTTTTTATTTTTTGCGATGTACATTATATTAGCCCGCAAACGAGCTTTTGAATGCCGCACGCCTTCAATGGAGCAAAGGACGACCAGCGACCAGGACGGCTGTCGGTGCAACGAGCGCACATTGGTTTGTCTCCGCGAAAGCGCAGGCGCGGCGGCGGCGACTGTTAATCAACTCTGTCAAGCGCAACGAGTAGGGAATTCATGCTAAATCGGTTATACAACCGTGACTTTTTTCTCGGATCTACGGAGAATGGTTGGTCGGGCGTGTTCGCGAGCGTAATTGCGCAACGTCGTTGCGAGCTAAATAACTTGCTGGTACGTCGGCGAACGACGCCGCGTTTCGGATTATAATTGAAATCGAGCAGCGGCGTTCTCGCATAATTCGGCGACTTTATCGATTAGCGTTTCGCTTTAATTTACGATTTTTCGCCTCCTCCCTGCTGTGTCTTTCTCGAGGCCGAGAGATCCAGCAAGAGCATATAAGGTTTCACTGATTTTGCGCAGAGAAGCAACCCGATATCACCTTTGCCGGACGTTCACCTTGTATCCCTCTCTCTCTCTCGCGCGCGCGCGCGGCGGACGGCGCGCGCCAAGCGCCGAGTGACACGTTAAAGACGCGCGCGCCGTATGGATTTTTACATATTTTACGTGCGATCGTCTCTCCGCTCCTTCGATGATTTTTACGAGGGTTTACAAGCATTCGCGGTCGATTGGACGTTCCCTTCTTCTTCTTCTTCTTCTTCTTCTGCTTCTTCTCCTCCTCCTTTTTTTCCGGCGTTGAGTTACGATGCTATTTTTCGGTTCTCGGAAGATGCGTAAATTGGAAACGTATATAGGTAGATTTATTCAACGCTGGATGCATATAGCCTGAGTCATCGAGAACGCATGCGCCTCGTTTGTTTTTACGATTCATCTAAAGTTGCTCGAGAGAACGGCGACCCGGCCGCCGGACGACATTTATGAGCGGCGCTTCTTTTTGCTCGTCCTCGCGACATTTGGATCTCCTCGAAGTTGAAGTTTTTACGAGGACGCGGCGCGGCCCGCGTTACGGACAGCAGCGGAACGCTCGTTTTCGGCGATTGTCGCGCGCCCGCGTCAGATTTCGAGGGGCGCGCGACGATTAAAGCCAGGCGACCGTGGAAATCGTAAACGTGGACGTTCCGACGGCTCTCAAAGGAGATATTGCCGACGCAAGGCCGCGCGCCGGAAAGCTCCCTCGTTCCGAAATTAGCAATCTTGGAGGCAGATCTAGAAAAGCTCCTGGCGAGACAGCGACGCGGAAACTCGAGAAGCCCTCGAAACGACGGGACAGCGCGCGGGGAGCTTTCGCTCCACGAAGTTCGTCCGAGCCACCGACGCGGACGAGACGACTCCTCGTCGCGAGCGCCGCGAGGGATGGCCGCGGGGTCAACGGAATTACCTGCTCGAGCCTCGGCGATCCCGTAGATCGGTGCAGCGGCGGCTCTCGGCGACGACTGCAGCGAGAAAAACAAGCAAACGCACACGGGCCAGCGCGCGCACACGACGAGGCAGCGCGAGCGCCGAGAGGCGTCTGAGCGCGGCGGCCGCGACGGCGAGCGAGCGCGCGCGAGAAAGCAAAAAGGGAAAAAAGAGCGAGCGCCCTCCCCACCCGAAAAATCCGGGGGCAGGTCTGGATGGTGGGGCAGCGGGCCGCCCTTTGAAAGCTCGGCGAGACGGGATTATCGACTGGCGGCGGGCGAAAAAAAGGAGAAGAGCGCGACAGACGCGTAAGCGCCGGCTCGCGCCGCATTGTCGCGCGCGCGCGCGCGCGAGAGAGAGAGAGTGCCCGTAACGACGAGCCTTTATGCGACACCCTCGGAGTGCCATTAAGCGCGCGCATCATCGTCGCTCTCTCGCGCGCGACCGGGGACGTGTTTATCGCCGTCTCGAGCTCCGCGCTTCGCGGCATCGAGGACACACGCGCGTACACAAATATTTCCTCCCATCCGTCTCCGCGCGTCGGCAACGCAGCGGACGAAGGCGCGCGATTTCGCGTTGACACGCTCGTGGCTCGCGGCATTCAATTCCGCGCGATCGACACTTGGTGGTGGCAACTGACGGATCGCCGCGCACGCACCGTTCGTTGTGTCGTCGGAATTCATAGTTCGATCCCGCCCCCTCGGGGTATTTTAATGGCAACCTACAGGAAACGAATTTCGTTGACCGAAGGGAAAAACAAATGCTCTCGAGTTCGCCGCGTTCTTCAAAAAGAAGTTGAGAATTCTTTACTTACTCTTTCCCTCGCTAAACCATTGCTGCAGAGATTTAAAAAAGAGCACCGGCTACTCGAATTCTAAGCGTGGGTAATGGGGTTTGAAAACATCTGTCAGTTACAAAACATTGTTCTTTGTTTATTCAAAAATAACATACTATACACACAAAAGTATATACAGGCGGTTAACAATACGTCCGCGATGACAGGTGTACGAAAGAGCGAGCGAGAGAGAGAGAGAGAGAGAGCGAGCGAGCGAGAGAGATCCCTTGGCGGCGCGCGCGGACGTCTGGCGTCACGTTTTCCCGCCACTCGAGAGGCGTGCGGCCGCGCCGCGCCGACGACAGCGGGGATGATCACGTATGCCAATTACGCCGTATCACGCGCTCGAGCGTGTTTCGCGGGCGGGAGCAGTCGCGTTAGCCCGAATCGACCCGATAAGCTCGGCAATCTCTCTCGGGGAACGCGAGAAGGAGAGCGTAGGACGGCGAAAAATAGCCGGCGAGGCTGCGCGTGCCTCGGCGCCCACCGTCGCGCCGTACGCGTATTTACAAGTACGCCTTCCACCCGTTCGCGCTGCCAACGTCGGAGTCGCAGCAGGCAAAGAGACAGAAGGAGAGAAGGGAAGAGGGGAGGGATAGAGAGACGTCGAAGGCCGTCTCCCGGCGTCCGTTCTCGCCGAGGGCGGTCGGGGGAGCGACGAAAGGGGAGAGCCACTTCCGGCGTCTGGAGTGCCAGCGCGCCGCGCCGCGACTCCGCGGTCACGTGCCGCCGAGCTTCTCGTCGCGGGCGAGCTGCGCGACGGCCGGCTGCTGCTTGGGCTTCTCCGGGTCGGCGCCGCCGCGGCAGTCGGGGTCGTTCCACGGCTGCACCTCGCCGCTCGCGTACAGCACGAACAGCAGATTGGTCGCCAGGAAGACGGCCAGCACGATCCAGAAGACCAGGCGCCACTCGCCGACGGTCTGGTGGGGCGTGAGCACGCCCACGATGTAGGGGGTGAGGATGCCGGTGAAGGCGCCGATGCCGTTGGTGATGGCCATCAGCGTGCCCGAGTAGTTGGGGCTGAGGTCCAGCGCGTTCACCTTCATGCCTGCGGGCCGGGCCGAGCAGCGCGTCACAGCGGGCCGAGAGGCGGCGCGAGGAGAGCGCGACAGGCGCGAGGCACTCACCCGGGTAGAAGGTGCCCATGAGCGTCATGCCCACGGTCATGAGCACGACCACGGCCGTCTGGTCGCAGCCGGCGTAGGAGGCGGCGATGACGAAGAGGCCGGGCCCCACCGAGGCGACGCTGGTGCCCCACTTGCGCACGCTGGTGGTGGTCATCCAGCCGCGGCCGATGGCCAGGTCGGCCAGCCAGGAGGCCAGGCAGCTGCAGAACCACATGCACAGGTAGGGCAGGGACGAGTACAGGCCGTTGTCCTTGATGGAGAAGTGAAGCACGCTGCTCATGTACTTGGGCAGGTCGGTGACCATGGTGAAGAAGCCCCAGTCGTGGCCGACCTGCGCGGCGATCAGCGCCCAGAGCGGCGCCGAGCGCAGGATGCGCCGCCAGGGCACGGGCGGCGCGCGCCCGAACGTGGTCGCGCTCGTGCGCTCGTGCAGGTAGGCGGCCTCGCTCGCCGAGATGAACGGGTGCTCGCGCGGGTTGTTGTAGCAGAGCGCCACCCAGGCCACGAACCAGAGGCCGCCCAGGCCGCCGAACACGTAGAACACGGCCGGCCAGCCGACCGTCGAGTGGTGCAGGATTATGCCCGACAGCGTGGTCGCGAACACCGTGCCTGCGGCGGGAGAGCGTCAGCGCTGCCGGTCGAGGGGCCGGGGGTGGGGCAGGGGCGGGGGCACTCACCCAGCTGCGCGCCGGCGAACACGAGCGAGCCGATCTTGGAGCGCTCCTCGGGCGGCGTCCACTGCGCGAGCATGGCGTTGAGCGCCGGGAAGGTGGTGCCCTCGCCCAGGCCCATGAGCACGCGCAGCGCGACGAGGGCGCCCGCGCCGCCCCAGCCCACCGCCACGGGCGTCAACGCGGTGAACAGCGCCGTGGACAGGATGCCCAGGCCCAGCGAGTACTTGCCGCCGAAGCGCTCGGCCAGCATGCCGCCCGGCAGGTGCGTCAGCACGTAGCCCCAGTAGAACGACGACAGGATGATGCCCTGCGGAGCAGTCGGCCGCGGGCCTCAGTCGCGCGCGCGTCCTCGGCGGCCCGGGGGCGTTCGCGGCTCACCTGCAGCTCCTCGTCCCAGTCGTAGGTGCCCCGGCGAGCGGGCGCCGCGCCGCCGCCGGTCGCGTTGCCCGGGATCAGCTGGCTGCAGATCTCCTCGCCGGCCACGCTGCCCTCGCGCGGCAGCGTCATCTCCGTGATGGTGATCGACAGGCAGACCCTCATGGCGTAGGCGTTGAGCAGCGCCAGGAAGCCCATCACCGCGAACACCCAGCGCTGCGGCACGTACGCGCCTGCAACGCACGCGGCCGTGGGTGGGTCTTCGTTGGCCATTCCGAGCGCGCCGACGGAGGCCGAGCGAGCGCGTCGCGTCCGTGGAGTTGCGACGACGATCGGGCCTAATTACGCAATAAAAAAAGGAAAAAAAAAACAAACAAACGAACAAAGCCACGGGCGCGCGTGAAACACGCGATGCGTCAGCGCCGCGTCGTTAAACCGCGTACGCACGGCAGAGAGTAAAAACGGCGTGGGGGACCTTCGGGCTGGACGGCAATAAAAAGTGCGCCGGTCAAGTGGGCATAATCGGCCTAGTTTTCGAAAAGGCAATACAGATATACGCGCGCGTCGATTTCTAAAGCGGAAAGCCTTCGTGCGCTGCGTCCGTCGCTCACGCGCCGTGAAAACGTTGCGCGCTTCCGTTCGTGCGAGTCGCGAATGATTAATTAGCTCCGCGTCGTTGCGCCACTCCAGCGTACGTTTCGGCGTACGAGCCGCCCGGCGACGATCGCCCTTTGTTCGCCGTCGAGCGTCTCTTACCTCCGCGCGGCTGCAGCGGCGGCGGCGGCATCTCGTTAACGAGGCAACGCGCCCAAAACAATCGGCAGATTTTTCTTTCCGCCCTCGGAGAGAAAAAAACAATCATACGTATATAATATATACATACATACATATATATATATATATATACGTATGTGTGCGCGCGTATCCGTCATTAGAGTCAGCGCTGCCGCGAGAAAACGTTAACAACGTTTTTTCGCTGTCTAGCCGCTCTCTAGCGTTTCCACGAGAGCGAGCCTATTTCGCGAATGCAGCGACCAACGCGACGCCGGCGCCCTCGTTTTCTCCCTAATTAAAGGCCGTCTGCCACTCGCCCCGATCCTCCCTTCCGCCCCTGCCTCTCATTATCGGTTCGTTCTCGTCAACACAATGCGCCCGAGCTTTTTCCCTCTTTCTCCTTTATTTTATTTTATTTTATTTCTTGTCTTTCGAATCGCTCTCTTCCGTCGCTCTGCTGGCGCTAATTAAACCGCGCGGGATGAGATTCGCCGCCGCGGGAGCGAACGTTCGCCGCGATAATTTTCCGACGCCCGCCCGCCGTCAAAGTGATTTACGAGCTGATAAAGAGCGCGGCAACGACGACGACACTCAAGCGCCGTGTAAATACGTATCTTTTTTTTTTTTTTTATTATTACTGTTATATATTTTTTGCACGATTCGCGACGGACAAGAGCGGTCCGGAAATCGACGGCGCGCCTCTCCGCGCCGATCATTCCGCTGAAACAGACGAATCTCCGTTGTTTCTCTCTCTCTCGGCGAGACGCGATCGATACGGACTTTAAAAGCATCGCGAGCACAAAGGTTTTTCGGTCGCGCGCACGTTCCTCGTTTTTTCCTCCTCGCGCGTGCTACAACAGCCGCGAAACGGAAGATTCTTCTCTTGCCTTCCTCTTTCTTTTTTCTCTCGTTCTCGGTGCTTCTTGCTTTCCTCTTTGCTTTTTGTTCCTCGTTTAGCCACCCTTTTTCCGCTCGCTCCGAAAATGCTTTGATCATCGTCGTCGCGGCGGTGAGCGACGACGAATCTCGACGCGGGCGAAATCGGTCGTGCGACACGGGCGACGATGGTCGGCTCGTTCGGGAATATCTGTTCGTGCGCGCGCGCGCGTGCCGAAAAAAGGCACACACGTAACGCGAAGGCTGAGCGTGCAGGTGATACGATTGTTTGCTCAGAGAAAAAGAAGAATAAAAAAAATGGGAGCTGTACGCGCGCGCGCGCGTCGAAACATTGCTACGTCGACGCGGCGACCGAACGACTCTCCGCTTTCGAGATAGCGCAAAAAGCCGAAAGCTCGCTAATTGCGCTTCGCGATAAATGCCGCGATTCGCGGATCTTTTGTTCGAGCGAGCGCTCGGAGGTGCGCTCGTTGCATAATAACTGCATCTGTCTTGGGTTTTTTACTTTGCCGTAGCCGATAAGAGCGCGGATCGCGTCGATCGAACGAAACGGGGAAAAAAAGTGGTATCGGAAAAATACGCAGACATCCCGGGCAGTGCGCTCGCGCTTGTTCGACGACGTCCAATCCCCGGCTATCGCTTTCATCCCGAATGGAGTGCGTTGATACGATCGCGACGCATGGACGACGATCAGTGATCAGCCAAGATGCGTTCTCGTCGAGTTTGGATTTGTGGCGCGACTTCGTCGTCGGTCCCTGCGGCTCAGGGCGAGAGAGGGGCACAACTTACAGCACGACTTCCACGTGGCATACATCCTCTCGAGACACGAGTATATCACAGCCAGATAGAACGAGTAGTCACCGAAACTCGCGGGCACCACAAACTTTTCCCTTGAAACGGCAACGACAACGACAAGAACGACCACAACGACAAGGATGGAACAGCAACGCGATGCGCGCGCCAACTGACCGCGTGCCGCTGCTTATTTCGCCTTTTATCCATTCACGTGGGGGGATAAGCGATAACGTTAGTTTGACGGAGGGAGACAGGTGCGCGGCACCCAACCGCGAGCCAGCGACTTCCATCGTGCCGCGGACGAGTGCTCCTTTACCCTGAAAATGGTCGCGAGCCCTCGTCCTCCACTCCTCGCGCTCATCATCGCGGGCCAAGCTGCTCCCTTGCGTTGTCGTCGCGCCGCTCGGAAGCGCGCACTCCAGCTCCGAGGGAGCGCTACGAAAAGTTCCGTTTTGCCTGTCGATCGCGTTCCGGATTAACGAGCCTAGCCAGCTATTGCCGGCGCGTCGAGATCGCGCGAACGGTCGCGGACGGCTTGCTTCGCCCTTCTCACGGGCGGGCAGCAAAGGAAACGAATTCATGTTATTTTCAGACAGCCATAAAACGCTAGTAAATTAGCCACTTTTACATGTTTGTCATTGGCGCGCCTGTAGCCACGAAAACTTTCGAGCCGCTGCGAAAATGACAATGAACGCAATGTCAACTCGGCGATGAAAATAGACTTCCGAGAGGAAATTTCTAATCGTCAGCCTTTTTTCCTCTCTCACTCGCTCTCTCTCTCTCTCTCTCTCTCTCTCTCTCTCTCTCTCTCTCTCTCTCTCTCTCTCTCTCCCTCCCTCCCTCCCTCTCTCACTTTGATTTGTTATTTGATGGCGACCGTTGATAAACCAACGATTCAAAGCGCCACGCGAATGGCGAAATGTTCAAGGAAACTGATAGCCAATCGACGCGTACTCAAATAGTTGAAGCTCGAATTGCAATGGTAGAAGAAAAAAAAAGAAAAAGAAAGGAACGCGCGCGTAACGTAGCCAGTGCGAACGTTTGCCAACGCAGGGCTTTTGCCCGTCGACGCTGGTCCGAACGCCCAGCTCTCGAGGATCGGCGCGCGATTTGCGATGCAAGCATAATAATAAACGCATCGATATGCTCCCTTTCCTTGCCACTGACGTGGTACTCGAAACGGAAAGAGCGATTTCGATCCCACCGGTACTATTCGGTAAGACCAAGTCATAGACTCAATGACACGATGGTATCGCACGATACTGCGCATTTGAATGATCGAACGTAATACCTGCTATGGATCATCGTTCATCAATCGACGAGCAACGATGGCACGGGATCAACGAAAAGTCCCGCGAAAATCGAGAAGCGGCAAACTCATTATTTCGTTATATCGCGCGCAGCGTTCGAAAAAAAAAACAAAAGAAAAAAAAAAGAAATCACGCGAATATTTCCTCGCTCGAGCTATTGCGATGCCGGCATTACGCGCATACGTCACACACGACAATCCGCAGCACTCGGCGAGCGATTACAGCGCATTTACAAGTGCCTAATAAATGCATTTGTCGAGATTATTTCACGGGGATTTTCGTTTGTTAATCCTCGTTTCTCGCTACAGGCGCGCGGCATTCCGCGTTCGCTCGCTTGCCGAATCAATATCTCGCTCTTTGCGCATCGCCGCGTTATGAAATTAACAGAGATTAGCGGCACATATCTTCGATGATCCGTCGTTATCTATCTCGAGCGAACAAGAAAAAGAAGAAAAAAATATGCAAAGGCGACGATCATTGTAAATCCAGATTGAAGATAAAAGTAATCAGGGAATTCCACGGCACCACGGAACTCCGGCATGAAGGGCCGACCCGCGACTGCCATTTCGACGACAAAACCATTTCGACGCGTGTTTTTATTCGTTCGAGCGTTCGGAAGAAGCAAAATACGTCGAATGAATTGCCGGCTTTTTGCCGCGCGCACGAAAAACAATCGGAACATTCGTCGTCCGTAAAAACTGATGAGTCACCCCGGCGGTCACGAACACTTGCGGCTCCGGGATTTCGCGAAGGCAGAAAACTTTTTTCCCCTTGATTCACAAACAACGAATCCAAACTAATATGACGAGAAACTAAAAAATGGATGTCAGGCATAGTCCAATTCGAGAACTGAAATTCCAAAGAAATTGTCGTTCTTCTCCGCGACGTTGATTCGGGAACTTGAGGTTGCCGAAGCTGTAGGAAAATTTTCCGTTGACAAAAGCGCAAAACTGTGCGAGGAAAATTGTATCCAAGTACGACTGTTCCATTTTTCGCATTTTCGTTCATTCGCGAAATTCGAACGAACGAGATTGCAAGCTGGCACGCGTGGAAATAGGGATAACGAGGAGGTTGAGACAAATTTCTCTACCGTAAGACAGGAGAAGCTGCCAAAGTCTTCGATCGCGACTGCACATACCTTCGAGATAATGTTACACAATGTAGCGCGATCGCGACAACGAGATTTGTCCTTCTGCTCGATTGCGATTCGTCGATAAGAAATCAATCAACCGGATCGATCACTGAATAAAACATTCCGCGGGCATGCAGAAAAGCTGCACGCGCGACAGCGCCGCTCGATACATCCAATCGTCGCGACGCGAAATTTAATTAAAGCGGAGCACTTGGGCGAAGAGAAAGGAACGAACGCGCGTCATTTTTTCCGTGTCGCGCGCGCAGACGTGAAAAGCGTCGAACGAATCGACGCGCCCGCGCCGCGGCTGCCTCGCCGAGCGGCTGCTTCCGAATGGATTTTTACGCGCGCGCCGGGAGATCGCCGCGACTCGACGAGGACGAGCTCGGCTCGCTGGAAAAATTGCGATTAACAAGGATAGCAAAGCTCACCGACGACTCCGCGCAATTTCGTTCTCCTTGGTAAACGAATTTCGAAAGCTGAACCCTCCCGCGTCATAGCGTTGTCATTTTGATTTTTTAGGGATGAATGAGCCGAGTCGTTGTTCTATAACCAACGTATCGTTATAACTACCCGTTCAAAAGTAAATATTGTTTCTCATTTTCTGCGGCGATACGTGCATCTGAAATCCGTCTATACCCAAGAGGATGGGTTAGTACTCCAACACTTACCTGGCCTAAAAGAATCCACGTATGGATAGTAATATTAACGGTTATTTAAGAGAAGAACTCATTCCTATCGGTACAGCCAAGTACAGATAAGCTAATTAGAGCAGAACACTTGGAATTCGTTTACTAAGAAAAACTGAATTGCGCAGAGTGGTTGCACAGTGAGCTTTTCCCATCCTTCCCAGCCACGCGCAATTTTTCTACAACTTTTCCGGGTGGATTTTCTTCGATTTCTCGCTGAGCTCTTTCATCCCTTTTCAGCCGAAGTTGTTGCATAGACTGGACGAATGGATGTCAAACGGATTGTCGTTCAAACGGAAAAGTCGACCCCGAGATAACGAAGGAGGCCATTATCATTGCGAAATTAATGAAAGTGGAGGTTGAGATATGGCATTCCGAGAAAAAAATAATAAACGAACTTGGTTTCTCAACGCTCGAATGTGTGTCGACAATGTTTGTGTGCGATTCTGTTATTCTTTTATTCATTTAGTTGTTTTCTTGCCGAATTGTCACATATCTATCCGTGAGAAAGAAGTAAGCATCGTAGGTGATTTTTCCAGAATCATTTGTAGCGCAATCTTTAATATAAGTTGGAAAATATTCCAAACGACTAGTTGCTCAATTTTTCTCCTTCAATCTTTGGCTTTAACGGCGTCGTTGGCTATTATCAAGATATTTTACGCTGCGTTATCGGTTCCTCATCTTGCTTCATTTGATAAGGACAATATAAAAAATTGTTAATTTCTACAGACATCGTAATATTTTGGATACAAATCTAGTGCTCCGATATCGTCAATCTATTTACAGATTACTAAAATGCAAAAAAATATGACAAATCCCTTCGCACATAAGTCTACATTTGTCAATAGCCACTGCACAATATTAGAAATCGTGCATATCCTTCTCTCTCCATATTATCAATGTTCACTTTTTAATTAACTCTGATTTAGCTTGTGTGAAAAGGATGTCAAAGCCGGTAATAAAGACGATAAGAAATATTATGACATTTTACATCGGACTTTTCCATATTTTTCCCGGAATGATCGAGGATTATATTACGCGTTTGAAATTGACAATCCCATCATTCAACAATCTCTTGTGCAGGAAAAAGACAAAGCATCGGTTTGAAATCAACGCACAAACCAAAGAGAAAGTGTTCCTCGTAAAGGCAGGTAATAGCAAGGAGAAAAATCGCAAAGCACTTTCGCAAATGGAGGCGTGACCTTTTCTTAAATAACCACGTGAAGCCAATAAAACGCGAACGCAAATAAGAATAATAATTAAGAAAAAAAGACAGGTGATGATTGTTAACGATAAGACTGGCTGCGCGTATACATACACATAGTTGGAAAGCGGAAATTTACCAGATAGACCGAAGAAGAGGAGTCTCGCACTCGCCGTGAATTATTTATCTATTAATCGACGCGATGCTATCTGGCCGCCGTTATCTATGTATAAGTACGCGGAATAGTGTACGTCGCGCAGTCTGTCAAAGATTGATACGTACCTCGTCGTCTATAAGTGGGCAAACAGCGCGGCTGCGGCGAGGCCGCCGTCCAATTTGCCAACAACGGGATCTTCTCGCTCTTGTTCATCTTGGCATGCGAGCCGTCACCGTTGTGGCTGTCGTTGTTATCCCGCGGATCGTGATTATCGATTTGAATCTCGCCGATGCACCTCTTCACCGATCGACTCATTTGCGCGCGCAGACTGCAGCATGACGGCGATGAGTGCCAGGCGTCGGTCTGCCCGTAAGGAAGTAGCGCGATGCGTTATAAACGTGCACGGGCCGTTGCGGCGACTCCTCGTTCGGCCGTTATCTGGTCGCCTAGTCTGCCTCCGCGGCTATCAGCTCTGCTCTTCGCATTTACAGCCGGGAGGATACGACGATCGCGACGAATCACTTCGCGTCTGGTCGCCGCCGTCGCAATCATCGCGCTCTGCGCCGGCATGCAAGCCTGACAAATAAACCAACGCGATGCGCGCCAGCGGAAAACTTCGAACAATGGCGGATCTGCAATACCCCGTTGAAAGATAGGATTGTGCGGCGTGTCGTTTCACTTGTTTCGTGGGCTCTTGTTTGTGTTTATTGTTTTGCGATCGGCGCCTCTTTCCTCCCCGTCGTTATAATTCATTTAAATTATCGCGTGATGTAGATTTTTTTTTAATTTCTCGATAAATAATTCGATGGAAATATTCCTTGTAATCAAATCGTCGCGTGGAATCAACTTGAGACAAAAGCATTAATGTAATTAATTCCGAGTCTAATGTGTGAATACGAGCATTTACTTAGCAAAGTAACTAACGTCATTTCACTTCGTGTCAATTACAGATGAATTATTCGCATCTTTCTTTTAGTAACTAAATATATCTTTATCTATCAAGTTTTCAATCTAATCATCAATTGAATTCTTTGCCATTGGAAGCCAAATGAGCTCTGTAGGTTCGTAACGTTGCAAGACAGTAAAATTTAAGAAAGTGTGGCAAACAAATAAAGAACTGTGTTGAAATTAAATGGAAGATAAATAAATTCATTTTTTCAATCAAACTTCAATCGTAACAAATTTTTATATTTACGGTTAATTGATATATGTGACGTGGTGACAATGACAGCTCAACTGACTAGGAATCATCTTTGAATTGAAATGGCGATAAGTGTTACTTTTCCTACATCCTTGTAAAGTAGAAACTTGGTGACAAAGACTATCTTGCAGGTCCTGTCGAAACAAAAACTCTGGATTAACTATTTAAGGGAGTGACGTATTGATCCTAACGAAAATGGAATATTTGAGTCTAAATTATGGGGTGACTTATGAGGAATCGCAAGCTAAACAGAAAAGTTAATTTTTTTTTATTTTCTTACTTTTATTTTTATGTCTATCTGGATTATATCCTTTGATATTTAATTGTACTGACCTCGTACCGCTTGCTTCTTTTTTTTCTTGTTTCTCGGTTACTGCTAAGATGAACTTGAGTTGTTGAAAAGAACTTGGTTGAGATGAACTGCTTCTTGGAAAACACGAACTGGCGTTTAAGCGCTACGTAAGGCCTTTTATAGTTAACGGGGGTGGTAGGGTAGAAATGCATTCTTCGAGCCCATAGGACGAAATTAACTCTAATTTTTGCATTGGTGAATAATTTTTTTGTCCACGGCAGAGCTTGCGATTAGTCGGAGTGCGCGAATTGACCTTTGAACTTAGGTCTTTATTCTTCCACAGATGGTTCTTTAGAGTTGTTTCCAAGGGCGAAAGAGACGCCATTATTTATTGTTAAAGACGCACTGCCATTTACAAAAATTACATATTACAATTAATTAACTATAACTTTTCTTGGATAAAAATATGTAAAACAAAAACCCCTTTATCCCCTTATCAAAAAGTGATGGATACCATGTTGAAGCATTTTATTCGTGATCTAATTGACTGAGATATAGTCACGTGATATACTGTTATAGCAACAAATCTGCCTGTCGATGTGGTTTCGAGCTGAGATTTTAGTAATAAAAATTCATTTTATCATAATTGCAATGTTATTATTTTTATACTCATTTTATGAAACGAACAGCGAGTAAATTGTTTGGTAGAAGCAAGAGGATGTTATACTTTGGAATTATTTTGATAATCTGATATTTGAACGTGTAAAATTGAAAAAATGTTATATCTTAATCTTTATTCAAAGAGTAGGATAAACGTTTAATAGTAGTTTGACCCGTACAGAGATTGTTTATATCAGTTTTCGATACGATAAGTCATGAATTTAGAATACTCGGAACTGTTTTACTAATACATGTTTTCCACTGTGATATATGTTTTATAACAAAAATTGAAAAATCCACCTTTGAAAAAAGTGATTTATTGCATTAAATTTGTTATCAATATAACAAGAAATAAAAAAGAAGATGAAACACGCGAAACGCGTCTGATGTCCCTAGTGTTATATAAAAAGATATACACGTGTGCCATATTATAATCATAAGTTTTATCTTGCATTAACATAAACAATGATATTTAACTACTTATTTTTTAAAAACAAATTTTATATTAATTCTATAAATTATACTTGTATATATTCCGATACTTTAATTAGGGAGTGCTGGTAGTCGCAATTTTATGACGGACATACGATTTTTATATTCATTTGATATATTTAACTGATATAAAACAAATTATGCCATAAATAACAATACTGATACATCAAAGTATAAATTCAAATAGTAAGAATAATCAAAAAATCTCTCGTAAATTTTAATATACAGAAAATTATTGAAAAAATTCAAAATTGTTTGACTTTATTGATTATAAAGTACGTTGCTAAATACATTTGAAAAAAAATGTTTAAGTAAATTTAGCTGTACCAATTTCAAAGCTAAATTAATTAGAGAAAGTGGTAGTTTAAAGCATACAAATTAAGTCACAAATGGGGAAATATTTGTGTTCCTTCATATAGATTTTTAGATGTATTATTTACTGCATATAAAGTATGTATTTAAAATTTTCAATGCAATATATGTATGAACATAAAATAAAGTTCTTCATTAAAAACAAAATTTGTAATGAAATATCAACAAATCGAACAGAATTTTTGCAAACATTTGTCGCATGCAATTCGCATTACGAATATTTGATTTCGATTGCTGAGCCACTTATCGCAAGTTTTGTCACAAATATTGATTGTACATAAATTTTCCATGCCTGTGATTTCATTTTTCTATTCTTTGTGGCTAATAAAGTCAATAATTTCCTTTAATTTGTTTAACGGTAAAAGATGGCTACTGGTGTGCCACTTCGTATTTCCTTATATTACGTGCTCATTTTTTATCTACTCAACACTGAAACTTTCTTTGTTGATACAATTGTTTGATTGTAAAATTTCAATGTACATAAATAATGATATTTTAATTTGTTTTAGTGAAGGAAAAGAAAGCGTCATTTATGACGAACTCAGTTAATTCGCAATTAATTCAATTACTGATTTTTTTTAATTTAAGGGAGTATGGTGGCTAGGAGAAATAAAAATAAGAATCGATTTACTCTTGGAGGATATGTCTGTTGGTCATTATTTTTCATATATGTACTACTTTAAGAAATTTTTTGAAGATTATAAGAGCACTATGACGATAAATAAATATATTTCAATAATTTGTTTGTGCGTGAAAAGTATCGTCCATAATTTTATTAATATAATTCGGTAAATATAAATCTAAAATGCAAAAAAAAAAAATTATAAACATTTCTTAAAATGACGCTCATATATTATTTATTCTTGACATTGCAAGATGGAATAAAATAAATTCTAGTATAGCTACATTAAGATTTATCATCTATGAATATATAAAGAATTTTATAAAAATAGAAAAAATGTTTGTTATCTGTACAATTTAATATATGATAGCTATCTTAAAAACTAAGCTCTAACCTTGCTTATAATCAATCTAGACTCTTCTTACTTTTCTTTGCTGACTCATATATTCCAGGAATAGTATCAGCATTTGCTTTCCATTCTTTTTTCATTTCTTCAATGCACTTTTCAAAATCGCCAGTCTGGAAAATATGTCATTGCATCAATAATTTATATTATGAACAGTACCTAACCATTTTATAATAATATAATATAAATAAAAAAATTATGAATACCATCTTCCTTTTGTAATGCTTTTCCATTAAATGGAATAATTCTTTGACAGTCAATTGACTCTCGTCAGTTTTGTTAATCTCCACAAATGGACAGTTTGGTTGATGTTTCTTGTGTTCTTGCCTATAAACAAATCATTATCTATGTAAAGATGTCTATCCCTTTCAATAAAACAAACATTTTGTATGATGTAATGCAGTGAAATAAGATAAGTATTTGAAAAACAATAGAAAATAGTTGACCTACAAAAGGAGAGTGAAAATTCATTATTCTTTTACCATGGATCATCTTCTGGCTCCCATCCATCAAGCTGCTTACTGCACATGAAGCATTCGGCAAGATCAGGCTCATCTTCACCACCGACAGCATAAAACCCAGCAGCTGCCATGCTTTCAGGATTACAATGCTCGTCTGATTTAAAAGGCCAATGCTTGAAAGTCTGTAATCGTCCTTTTTTCCAAAACGTTGGACTAAGATTCCTTGTGAAATATTACAGAGGTTAGATTCTCACTGATCAATTATTTGTTAGCGTCATGATATTATTTAAGCTTACAACATAACAGTGAAAAAATATTTTACTACTTACTCCATTAAATTTAATGATTCAGTTTTTTGTGTCATTTTTAATTGACAAACAAATCGTTGCAAAAATTAAAATAGCACTTGGCGCGTCTTTCTACTGTTTACGCTGCTTAAACAACTCAAATTCGAACGAAACTGTCATTCGCACTGTATTAGTCAAGTGCGTAATTACGACAGGAAAGAAAATTGACGAATGATTTGTTTAAACTCAAAGTACGAGATAATTAATTAGAAAACGGTCTTTTTAGCACGGACATCTCATAAATAAAAATTGATTTTTCCTTATTTCGTGAATAATACGCTTGTGTATTTTATTTTGATTATAGTTGCGATGTATGGCGGTAAATTTAAATCTGAGGACGAATACAGCAGAAATCTATTATGCAGTGGCAATACGAAAACTACATTGGACGAACTATAACGTTGATTTTTCACGAATCAATTACGATTAATAACATGCGGGAAATTGACTGCAACTCATCAGCTCTTCTTTTCTACCCGTAATTCTCTAAGGATGAACGAATGAAGGCTCGTCTATTTTTTATTACCTCCACAGTCTGTGAATCTAGAGATTTCACTAATCAGAAATTCTCTTGGTTGAACGACGAGATAAGGGTAGTCGTTGCAGTGATTACATCTAGGTCGAATTATAATTATATTTATTCTTTAAGAATGAGAATTCTTTTCTTTTTCTTCTGCATAAAGATCAATAATTATCATTTCCGCTGCAATTAGTAAAAGTGTCGCATCCCCGTTACTTTGTCTGTTCGCTCGTTTCCAGCAGTGCCAAGTCTCTCTCGTTGCCCCAAATTAAAAGTGAGCAATAAAAAGCCAACAAAGCGAATCTCATTACTTAGACATCGAACGACAGGGCAACTTACAAAGTGAGATCGCACAGCACACGCGGTGCGAAATCCCCCTATGGACGGAGCTGCTCGACGACTGGCGTATACATCGATTTCACGAAACAACCGGCCGTCACTGCAATCCTATTAAAAAGTCGCGTCGGGGGAGACGCGCAAAGCAATATGCCCATGAACGTTCGCTTCGGTTTGACGCCTGTTTACACGGTTACCACGGCAGCCTGTTCACGGGAGAACGCTGCTTGGAATTGGCCGTGCGACTCGTTAACCTCCCTTTGCGAGTCCACCTTCGTCGACGCGAGCATGGACATTCAGGATTTGGAGCCGAGCGGGATAATCGCTTTCGACGGCGAGTGTCCTTCGTCATCCGCGGCGAGGCTGATCGTGATTATTGGCGACGTGACAGCCAACCGCTGATTGCAGGTCTGACGAAGAATGGACTGCAGCTGCACCCGGACCAGCAGCACTTCGTCTACCCGATGGGCAACAAGGTGACCATCAAGCACGTGGCGACGGGGGCGCAGAGCTTCTTGTCGGGCCACACCAACCTGATATCGGCGATGTGCATCTCGGCCTGCGGCAAGTTCGTCGCCTCCGGCCAGATCAACCATCAGGGATTCAAGGTGAGGCGACGAGCGCGAGCGCGCTTTCGGAACGTTCGTCGTGACGAGGCTGGATTTGGGGCGCGCAGACGACGGTGATAATCTGGGACTACCACGCGAGGAAGCTGCACGCGAGCCACGAGATCCACAAGGTGCGCGTGGAGGACCTGTGCTTCAGCTGCGAGGGCAGTTACCTGGTGAGCCTGGGCGGCAAGGACGACGGCAACGTGGTCATCTGGGACGTGCGCAAGGGCGACGCGGTGTGCGGTGATCGGCGCATTCTCAGCTCTCTCGCGCCGAGTCCGCCGGGCCAGGGTGAGTGAACGCGCGCGCCTGTTGCAGGTTCGTTCGCGAGCACGGAGATCGCCGGGAACGCGTACGCGCTCTGTCGCGCCAACCTGCGCGACCGGTGCTTCGTCACGGCCGGCGACCGCACGCTCAAGCTCTGGCGCGTCGACCCGCACACGCGCAAGATCAGCGGGCTCGACGTCCGGGTGGGCAAGCTGCGCAGGTGCTTCAACTGCGTGGTCGTCGACGAGAGGGACGAGCTGGCCTACTGCGGCACCACTTCCGGCGACATCGTCGTGGCCCGACTGAATTACCACCACGACTTGGAGCGCGCGGAGCCGGCGCAGCCGCCCCTGATGGTCGGCTGCTACTCCCGGATATCGAGCAGTCCCAAGAACCGCAGGCTCGGCGTCGGTGACCTGTACTCCGGCGGCGTGAGCAACCTGCTGCTGTGCAAGGCCGACCTGATGATCGTCGGCGCGGGCGACGGCACGCTCGAGCTGGTGACGATCGTCGAGGGCAAGACCAAGGCGGACGCGAGGATCAAGTGCCCGAGCACGCCGCAAATCAAGACCGTGAGTCTCGCTGGCCTCGCGCATTCTCCATCTCCTCCCCCTTCGCCTCGGCCTTCTGCGTAGATCCTGTCGGAGCACGTCCGCGGCGGCGTGACGTCGCTGCTGCTGCACAAGCAGGAGTACGCGATCGTGGGCACGAGCCTCAGCGAGATCTACCAGGTGAAGCTGGCCGACTTCGACATGCGGCTGCTGCTCACCTGCCACACCGCCGCTATCTACGACGTCGCGTTCCCGCAGTGAGTACGAAGCGGCGCCCGCTTGCCGCTTGGCCCGGCCGCAGCTCACCTCGCTCTTCGTCGCAGCAACTACTCGGAGATCTTCGCGACGGGCAGCAAGAACGACATCCGGCTGTGGCGGCTCGCCACGCAGAAGGAGCTGCTGCGCATCACGCTGCCCAACTTCGTGTGCACGAGTCTCGGCTTCTCGTGCGACGGCCGAATGCTGCTGTCCGGTGGGTAGAGGCGGTCCGCCGCACGCGCCGTCGAGTACTCACACGCCGTGGCCTCGGTTTTCAGCCTGGAACGACGGCATCGTGCGCGCCTTCGCGCCGCAGACGGGCAGGCTGCTGTTCGCGATTCTGAACGCGCACGTGAAGGCCGTGTCCGCGGTCACGCTGACGAGGGACGGCAAGAGGATCATCAGCGGCGGCTGCGACGGTCAGGTAAGTCGCCGCGGCGCGCGCGACGTACGCGTCTCACCGCTGTAATTGCGCCCCAGGTGAGAGTGTGGGAGATAGGGCCGCGAGTGCAGAGGCTGGTGTGCGTGATGAAGGAGCACCGGGGCTCGATCACCTCTCTGCACGTCAACCGCGACAGCAGCGAGGTGATCAGCTCCAGCACCGACGGCACCTGCATAGTCTGGGACCTCCAGTAAGTCTGCGCGCGCGCGCGTCAAACGCGAGCCTCGCTCACGCTTCCTCTTCGTAGGCGCTACGCGAGGAAGCAGGTCCTGATAGGCAACACCATGTACATGGACGCGTGCTTCAGTCCCAACGGCGTGCAGATTCTTACCTGCGGCACGGATCGCAAGATCACCTACTGGGAGACCCTCGACGGTTCGCTTGTGCGCGAGCTCGAGGGTTCCGGGGCCGGTGCGCTCAACAGCATCGATGTCAGCCCCGACGGCAAGTACTTCGTCACCGGTGGCAACGACAGCGTCGTCAAACTCTGGTCCTACGACGCTGGAGAGACCACTCACGTGGGAATGGGCCACGCCGCTATCATCACTGCTGTCAAGTTCAGCCCTGATGGCAAGAACATCGTGACTGTTAGTGCCGATGGTGCGATTATGATCTGGAAGAGTCCGTTCGAAGCGAAGAGTGCCGGCAGTTACGTCTCTAAAAAGTCCACGCCGAGCATCAGCACGAGATCCACTTGCAGTTTGCGGGAGGAACAGCTGAAGAAACATTTGAGCTTGGACCTTGGCGACGAGAACGTGACTGGGCTTACGCCCAGGTCGGACACCGTCGAAAGTGTTAAAGCCGTGTATAAAGGTAAAGTAATTGTTATCGCATCTGGGAGGCTTGAGGAACAGTGATTACGAACATCTGACTTTTAGGTAATACAGACAGCGCCTTGTGCAGGTGTGATCCGATTCAACCGCTACCGGACAGCTGCCGATGCAAAGCTGAAGAAGCCAAAACGCCAATAATTGAGACTACTAGGTCGTCCAAGTCGACGAAGAGTGACTGTTCTGTCAAGAGTTGCAAGTCCATCGAGAAAAGCCTAAATAATTGCAGCTTGGAACGAAAGTCCTTAGTGTAGAGTGCTTTCCTTAGAGTGACTTAGTAGTCATACTTTTTATAATAAAACACAAATAATAGCAATCAATCCTATAAATAACAATATCAATTGACCTTTTTTTGAGAAAAACATTTTCTTTTCATTATTATTGTGTGTATGGTCAATCAAATGACTCAGTTCATTTTATATGTACATGTATAAGACTTTAATATTTAATTTTTTGAATATAAAAAAATTTGTGCCTATTATCTATAGATTGCATATTACTTACTTAAATGTAAACTTAAAAAAAAGCTTCCATCATTTTAAGACAGTTCTTAAAATCTATTATTAGAACACTTCTATAGGAAAAAAAGGAAACAACACTGTAAAACAAAATAAATTATCACATAACTCTTCTTTACCACTTGAGAATATCTTGACTTGAATTCTTGCACGGAAAGCAAAACATAATCTGGCACAACTTATAGTCTGTTTTCTGCTTTTGGCATTGTTATTTTCAACCCCATGCTTGACTCTTACAATAGTGAATTATCAGTTTACCATCTGTCCCATAACAATCGTATAGATTCTTCATTGTTTGGTCTGGAGCTGGTGCAAATGCTTGATTTATGTACAAGAACTGTAAAAAAATAAATCTCATTCCTAACTTGCAATGTATAACAAGCATTCTTTCGATATATTTCATTTTTTACTTACTAATCTTTCCTCAACTCCTAACTTTATGAACTTTTTGATAAACTCAGAAATAGAACCTATAGTTTGATCAGGCTTGACAGCCCATTTCTTTTTGGTCATAATTGGAGCATCCCCAGTGGCTTTGAGCAATATTTCAACTGGAAACAAGCAGAAAAAAAATTAATAAAAAATCTCCGAATATCGATGCAAAAAAATCAATACACAATGGTTAATGCTCACTCTTTTTATCCTTTGTAGGTGCTGGAGTTGCTTCACTGTTCGCCGAAGTAGTAGAAATGTTGACATCCGAAGAAGTTTCAGCAACAGGACTCTGAGGCGGTACATCTTCGTTGGTCGTAGATTCTGGTATTTCTGCTTTTGTTTTTTCGCTGCCATTGTCAAGTGCACTGGTGGCGTCTTCTTCCTTATCAGACATTGTTTTATCTTTCACTAATATTTTTTTTCTCTTGTCTTTTGATTACAATTGCATCATGCTCACTACTTAATCGCATTACGCTTTCGATAGTAATAATTTTCTCTTCATTTTGGAATTTAGTGGACACTCAATTGTCATTCATCGACTTCTTTACCAACGATGAAGAGGAACTTTCGCAAATAGGTTATGTTCCGAATGACAGATGCACCACAAAACCACAAAACTCTAGTACTCTACTGTACCAACCAGATATTATTGCCTTAGCCTACCCACGCGTGCCTATGTATATGAGTATGAATATGTATGTGTGGTCGAATGACTTTAATAACCTCAAGGAGCTCTTGTTTCAAGATAAACCATTGAAACCTAACACTGAATGGAGACACTTGGAAATTTTTTAAAGCTTATTTTCTATCACCAAGAAGTCGCTCAATCGCTTCGTTACAACGCAAAGTGTATAAATAAGTACACTCTACAGGGACCTATCTTACCGAATCTCAGAAAAAACATCACACCAGCAACAATGTACTCACACCATTGACAAATAAATACACACAGCTGTATTGCCTTACTGCTTAAGTCATTGTGAACGATTCACGTAAAATTTAGATTGTATTTTTTGTCATGTTATTTGTACTCGTTTCGATAATATCACAATTTTAGATTAAAAATAATTTGAAACTTAAATTTATTAATTAAATAAAAATTAATTCTCGAGTAATTTACGATTGATAAGAATATTCAATCAGAATAATAGTTCAATTGACCCGAGGAGTATCAATCCTCGGCTGACGATTTGACGAGGCAAGTGTGTTGGAGAATTCAGAAGTTTGTGAAACTGCTGAGCCGCGTCTCTATATTTTGATCGTACAGGACGGCGACAAGTCCTTTTTTACATTATTGTATTAGTTTTGAACGTTAAACTTTTTAGTTTTACTAATTGCTTGTGTAATTCAATCAAGTAAATATATAATTTGATCGTTTTCATTAAATTCAAATGTGATAAGATACATTTTAACAACACCGATTTAAAAGAATAACCTCAATTACGTTCTGCTATTTTAATTATATTTTTGAGAGTGAAATACATTTAGAAAAATTAAAACTCATAGTTTTATTTTATGTTTGTAGTTTACTTATACCAAAGGTTATAGCTTTTCAGCAGTGAAAAGATTTTTTTTCATAAATGCTCCAAAAAGTGCATTGTAATCATATAGCCAAAAATAGGCGTTTGAAGCAGTTGTTAGAATGCATCTGAAATTATTCAAATGATAAACCTAAATATAATTGTTGTTTGTACATGTATTTGAATAATTTAAATAGTTCAAAATTCTAAATCTTATTTATAGCAGTTATGGCAGATATAACAATAGTGGATGGAGGAAGGATAGTGAAAATGGAGGTGGATTACAGCAATAACTGCGATACAAAAATACCAGAATGTAAAAAGTTAGCTAAAGAAGGGAAATTGCATGATGCTCTAGATCAACTTTTAGCTTTAGAAAAACTTACCAGAACTGTAAGTGTAGCTTTATAATTCATAATTTTCAGGCATTATTACTATAGATATATTTTTCAATGAGCTGTTTATTGTTTTGTAGGCCTCAGACATGGTATCAACATCTAGGGTTCTCATAGCAATTGTAGAGATATGTTTTGAAGCAAAGAATTGGGCTGCCCTGAATGAACATATTGTTCTTTTGTCGAAAAGGAGATCACAATTGAAGCAAGCTGTTACAAAAATGGTACAAGAATGCTGTAATTACATTGACAAAACTCCAGATAGAGAAACTATGATTAAGCTCATAGAAACCTTACGATCTGTTACCGAAGGCAAGGTAGGATATCAATGGTTATTTTTTAATAATTCTTTAGAGTGACAGTGTTAACAAATTTTTGTTTTCAGATCTACGTTGAAGTTGAAAGAGCAAGATTAACTCATAAGTTAGCAAAATTGAAAGAGGAGGATGGTGATGTATCTGGTGCAGCTACAGTAATGCTGGAATTACAGGTGGAAACCTACGGTAGCATGACAAGAAAAGAGAAAGCTTCTTTAATACTGGAACAGATCCGTCTTTGTTTGATAAAGAACGATTTTGTGCGCACCCAAATTATAGCTAAGAAAATAAATATCAAATTTTTCGAGGACGAAAACGATGAGGAGACACAAGCACTAAAATTGAAATACTATGAGTAAGAGTCAAAATTACAGAATATATCTTGAAATGAAATTACAGTTTTTTTAATAATCGCATATTATTTTTTTTAAATTTCAGATTGATGATGGAATTGGCCCGTCACGAGGGTTGGTATTTAGAACTTTGCCGTCATAACAGAGCAATTTTGGAAACTCCTACTATCAAGGCTGATGCGGAGAGAAGGCATATCGCTCTGTCTCGAGCTGTTTTGTATCTCATCCTTGCTCCACACGAACCTGAACAAGCTGATCTTACGCACAGATTGTTGGCTGATAAACTTCTTGAAGAGATTCCGATTTACAGGTACGTATTTTGTTTTGTCATGACTGTGACAATTTGTAATTGAGCATTGAATATTTTACGTTACTGATTTAGAGAGCTTTTACGGCTGTTTGTTAATCCTGAGCTGATAAAATGGTCTGGTCTATGCGAGATTTACGAGAAGAACTTACGCTCGACCGAAGTATTTTCCTCGAATACAGAAGAAGGACGTAAGCGCTGGGGTGAACTGAGGAATCGAGTAGTCGAACATGTAAGTATTGCTTTTTAAGATTTAATTTTTTTAATTAGAATATGTTCCATTGTGACAGATTTTTATAATAAATTAATATTTATAGAACATCAGAATAATGGCCAAATACTATACACGAATTACCCTTACCCGCATGGCCGAGCTTCTGGACTTACCATTGGATGAAACTGAGCAATGTCTCTGTCGGCTTGTTGAGACTGGAGTAATTAGTGCTCGTACCGATCGACCTGCCGGTGTCGTACGTTTCACAAGAACACAAGAACCAGCTGCTTTACTCGACGAGTGGGCAAGTTCATTGTCGAAGCTCATGAGCCTCGTCAACAATACTACTCACTTGATCCACCAAGAAGAAATGCTTGCCAGCGCCAAAGCGTGAATGGCTAAATCCTACTACTATTATTCTTACACAACTATTCTGCCGTGGGACTGTTTTCCTTTTCCTTTTTTTTCACCGATACACCAACACAACACACAACGCTCGCGCTTTACTTTTTCCTTCTTGTGTCATTATTTGATTAACGTGCAGAATTTAAAGTAACAACTATTACATGTTATTTAATAATAAAATCAACGTAAATTTATTTGAGTTTGTATTTATTTGTTGTCTAGATCCTTCTTTGCAATATGAATTCTTTTACTTAACTACTGTGATCATTGCTCTTTTCATAGAAAATGTGTCATGCTTGATCCAATATTTAAATCTATAAAGTTTTTAAAGTGATGTAATTGTACGAGACATTGAAATCTTGGATTTTATTTATATTTATATTATATTATATTTATAGGGAACTCAATCGCTTTGACATTTCGAAATGCCATAAATATCATAGCATACACAAATGGTTGACAAATAATTTCTTTGGATCAAGTTCTGCGAGAGCATGCAAAAAATAACATCGTAAAAGTTCAGTAGATTTGTACATCAAGCAAAAATGCTGACGATCGACAATATTGATATGTGCATAACTGATACATCGTCGTCGTTTTTACAAACTGAATTGAATCGATATTGCCGACAACGGTATCCGTAAACTCGGCGCACCGGATATTGTACATATTTCTACACAACAAAAGCCACTGCATCGCGTTCGAATCGTTGACGAAAGCTTTAGCAAAGCGTAACCATCAAGTCGACGTAAACGCTCACTATCCTATTAACTAGATCGTTTCTAGATTCACTTGTCTTAATTTAAACAAGTGGAATTTATATTAAGATTAACAACGAATAGTCTATTTGTTAAATTTAATGAAAACAACAATAGAGTTTAGTCTTGGGTCATTGTTTTGGTAAGAATGTAATTTGTGTAAGATGTAATTTTGTGCTTGTGATGAGTGTCATTGTTATATTTTTCGACTGACAACTCATCTTAACATTGAAATATTTATCGATCATGAAGGACTGGGTGGGGTTCGCATAACTTTTTGTTACGGAACTATTTGTAAAAATACGATTTTTCTTCTACAAGTTTTTTTTATTAATAAAATGAGAACAAAACTTGTTGATAATCTAATAAAGATGAAATTTCAATTTATTTTAATTTTTCCAAAGATACTACGTATGAGATAAACTTATAAGAAATCACTGTTTAATAAAAGACTGCGTATTTTATATTTGTTTTATTATAATAATTATATACAAAACATCACATGGAATAATAAAAATTAAGTTGGCGACTTCGTTAAACTGGTATTCAGTAATTGAAGAGGGTGATATTTGCTCGTGACTGAGCACTTGTGGTGTTTACAAAATGAATCATGTACACAGAATCATCAAATTTTAATCTCACTTTAGATATTAATTTGCGCATGTAAGGTTTATCATAAGACACAACAATGGCGTTCGTTTTCTTTCCCTATAAAAATATACGTTTTCAGAAGTACACGTACATATTCGAACTGTGTGCACTTTTGCGTTGCGTCACTCGTTTAAAATAGCTATAGTTACATAAACTCAACACATGGTCAGCAATTATTCCGACGAGCCTTTATCCGCATAGCTGAGGCTCAAAAGTAAGTTAAAAGAGCATTTAAGTGTAATTGCCCGTAATGAAAAAAGAACGAATTTGTGTGCACCATTGGAAAGAAAGAAACAAAATCTGCTCGAGGCGTTATTCTCGAGTCTGATCGTTTGTTCAGCATCGACTTAATACTGTTTCGAATTAGTGGTTCATTATAAATCGCTAAATCGCATTTGATCTTCGTCGCCCCTTCCCTCCTTGTTAAAATTATATACGAAGAGGAAAATCTGTGCATCATCTTAGTACGTAAGGCATTAATAGCAGCAGTCTTAAGATTTATGCGGTATATATAATACAAAAATACGCAGCCATTATCATTTTGGCTTTTTCATTTTTAATTACCTATGTACAAAGTTGTCTCTTAAGCGACTGTAGGAGTTGGATTAATCAATAAGAGAAAGAAAAACAAACGAAAAAGCATCGCCTACGAAGTAAATATCCGCGTGATATAAATCATAGTCTCTCGCTCGCACACATTTATTCGCGCAGTTATCAGCAGTGACAAACGTCGTGTTTTTTCGATCGCGAGGAGAAAACTTTCACCTCGTTCGCGCACTTCGGCGTGGACAAAACTTAAGGGTTACATTGTATATAAAAAGGCACTTAAGTAAGTAAGTTGTGTCATACATCATCATCATGGCTTGCAAGCTGGCCTCGGCGCATCCACCGTCGTGGTCATGTTATCGGCAGTGCTGCACGGCTTTGCGTCTGAAAGAAGAGGCAGACACGTGAGAGAAGGCAGTCGTGGCGAAGCTCGCACGCTCTCGCGTGATTGCCGTTGCTACGAAGGGGGTTGGCTTAATTTGTAAGTCTGTCGTGGCAAGGGAGTCGTACGGACTGTGGGATTCGAGAATCGCAAAGAACTCGTTTAACAATTAAATGTAAATTGGCGGTTTGCACGACCGAGAATGAACGTTGATTTCGAGCTGCGCGCGTGAGTTTCATTGCCTTAGCGATATTTTTTCTCGAGTTATCTCTGTCGGCACGTGGACTGTCGTCGGATAAAAAAAAATAGTTCGAAATCGCGAAGTAATGAACGAGGAATTTGCACTGCGTTTCGAAAGATATTGTGACGAACGGGCACGTGTTTGATAAGGCGTTCCCAATTTCAAAACGCAGATTTCTCGTCAATTTCCAGCCGGATGCACTTCTTTTTCATTTTGAAAACAACGAACTTTACTTCGCGTCTTCGTTTTAACACAAATTTCTCGCTGTAATACGGCTTACCGGTATGAATATTTATTGCGCTTTAAAATCATAATTTCCATTGAACCTTCGCGACCAACTTGAGCTTCATTGCGGAAGACGAGGCTCCACGTTTCCTCTCAAAGCAAGGATATTTTCTTCTCGACCACGGTCAAAATGAAATTTAAACGACGATATATCTGAACGCACGCAGACAACCAGCAAAACAAAGAAACACAACGTCAAGAAGATCTGCTAGGCTGAGAAAAGCGCACGGCATTGTCGTACGGACAAATCACAATCGCAGGATCCTTTACGTAAGGAGTTATCGCGTTGCTTCTTTTCCAACATCCGCCGCGAATTTCAAACTTTGCCGGGTGAAAGTTCTTGAGGATGGAATAACGAAAGTGAAAGCAGCGGTGGCGTCGGCGGCAAGAAAAAAGAAAGAAAACAGTTGGCGTGGCGCGCGAAATTAGCCGAGGATGAAATTTGAGTGGGATTACCGACGCGGAATACCGAGGAGGCGCGTTATTACGGCGATTGGCGAAACAATTCCGATTCAATGTAAATCTCGCCGCCGTGGCCTGCCGTCGTTCAGGCCTTGGTCATGCGACGCGTGGAGCGCGCTCGTTCGGTCGGTTTGTCCGGGGCGCGAGAGGAGAGGAAGAGCGCCGTGCCTTGTTGCTGGAGCAGGGCCACGGCTTCGGCGTAGGTGGGCGGTGGCAGCTCCGTCTGATGTATGAGCGGACCTTGACTTTGCGCGATGGCCTCGTAGGCCGGCGGCCCCGGCGTCATGCTGCCCGACGACGACAACGCCTGCCCGCTGCCGAAGCCCTGCAGGTGCTGCTGAAAAGACAAGACAAATCATTTGGTGACGGTGCCGGGTGACAGTTCGACGTTGACATCGCGGATCGTTCGATATCCAGGCAATGGTACAGCGCGGAACGCCTCGTAATCTCGCGCGAACGCCGGGGAACAGGACAAAAAGTCGCTCTGCAATTGAAATCGTACGCGCGAGCGAGATTTCCCGCAAGCTCGGCGAACAGACGGCCGATTGTGAGAGAGTTTCGTCGAGAGCTGCATCGAATCAACGCATCTGCGCTCGGACGAGAGTTGCGCGACCGACAGCATCCCACGCGTACGAGGATCCGATTGCGTGCCGCGCTGCGCCAGTTCGACCACCGTCAGAGCCGTCTCGCGCTTCCTGTAAAAGTCGCTCGACGCGACCAAGTCCGCGAGGCGCGTACGAACCAGAGCTTCGATTGCTCGACGTTATTATGCAACGATACCGGTTTCCGAGCGATGATGCGCGCACCGCAAACTTCGAGATAAACGGATACGTATAACGCGCGCACGCCGCCTTTAACTGTCGCGCTCCTTTTTACTCTCTCCGAAGAGCTCTTTGTTCCTCAATGAAATCATTCCTGTGTGATTTCGCGACGTCTCTTCGGAAATGCACGTCGCTGCTCAAGTGACGAAAGAAATTTCGATTGCCGAAACGCCGCGGCGGCTATGTTTCGTCGCTATGCCCGATGATTTGGCCCAAAGATAACTGTCGATCGACGCGCGCACGTCGCCTCCTCCTCGCCGGCGTAGCGACGGATTGGTGTCGGGCGGGGATTCTCACGTTCGGTGCGTGTGTAAGGCGATATCGATTCGATTGTCGCGGGCTTAACGAGCAATCAGGTCGTGAAACCCGGAACGCGCGGAAAAAAAAAAAAAATTAAAAAAAATAAATCCGACACGGACAACCGTTGTGCGCGATCGTTCGCGGCTTTTGTACTATACCGAGTGTGTAATAACGCGATAGCGGTACACTAGTTTTTTTTTTTTTTTTTCTCGGTAACACTGTGACGTGTGAATGCGGATGATATCTTTTCTCGAATTCTTTATCCTTGCGGTGCGCCATGTTGTTTAACACTATTCGCGCAAAAAAAAAGGCAATCAGGCAGCGGATTTTCCGTGGCGCGAAAGGTTCCTACGATGACGACGACGATGTCTTTCGGTCTTTCGTAGTTAGAAACGCACAATGTCCGTCTCCAAAGTGTAGAAAGTCTCTTTTTTTTTTCACGGAGAAGTGAATTTCACTCGACAGATTCAAATCCAGACTCGCGCTAATAAACATTAGATAAACTCTTTATCTCGTGTCATAAGCTTTTCCGTGGCACTCGCGCCAGGCAATAAAGTGTGTAAACGATAATGAAAGAAAAAACGAGAATAAGAAGAAGAGACAAGCCAATATATTTTGTCCACTTCCGTGCGAACAAAAAAATCCTACAAATCTATAATTTTCTAATTGTCGCCGTTAATTCAGAGTTGTTTTTTCTCTTAATTAGGTAAACAGGTTCTCAATTGGGCCATAGAAAGAAAAGTGAAAAGAGAGGCAGAGGTAGTATCAAGTGAAAAGTGGGGTATTTGTACAAATTTTTTCTTGAACGGTTTACATTCACTTGAACTTGAAGCATTGAAAAACGCGTCGGCTGACAATTGATTGAATCAGAAATTTATAAGGAAAGATTAGTCCAATCATTTCAGATAAAAATGTCTTGTAATTAATCATTTGAACAAAAGCTACCTGAATTAAATATTTCAATCAGAGCCAAATGTCACGTATAGTTTTTTCCACAAACAATTCACTTTGTGGTTTCTGATGTCAGACTTTCAATTAACATTGATAAACTTTGATCACTTATAGACACTTTAAGATACTTGAGGAGATATAATAATAATAGGCAATAACTTGAGCAGTAATGACCTTCTACATACTTGTTAAAAATTCTTATTCAGCAGGATTGACAAAAGATGATTGGTTTTAATGTATGCAAACATTTGATAAAACAATGACACACTTTTATTATTGCCAATCATCGAAAAACACAACAATATCTGATGTTCACTTCGAACTTCTAACAAAATGAAAAACTTTATGCTTACCCTAAATAGTTGTCGCTGGTGGATGATCATTTGAATAACTGATTTTCTTCTGAGGTAGAGTATACACTTGACTGCAACCATGATGCCCGAGCATATGAAAATTGGTCCTACCAACCACATGTGTCCCAAGTGTGAGAATATATGACCATCAACGACATCTCCTAATGCCAAAACAGTGATGGCAGTGCCAATGGTGCATAGTACAATGCTAAGTGCTAAGTAACTGTAACTGGTGCAGTCGCACTTGCCAAAGGTAGTTGGCTCCTCGTATCTTTCCTCGATCTGTCGGAGTCTGTTAGAGAGGTAAGGGCTTTCGAAGAGAGAGGCCATGTTCTTCTTGATCTAAGCTAGAAATAGCAACAGCATGCCCAACCAGTGTGTGCATCAGATTAAGATAATCTGGGGCTGCAAAGATATCCTCCTTAGATACACTTCCTAGAGAATAAAAAATCTCACAAACTACTGTTGTGAAGAGGCGAAGTGCAAAACTAAAAATAACTTGCTCTCACTCTCTCACTCCGTCTTATTCGTGCGACAAGCACGATCGAACTCTCGAATGAACAAAAAAACAACGATAATGAAAACAGCTTCAACGAAAACGAAAAAAACCGAGTGAGAAAGAGAGAGAGAGAGAGAGAGAGAGAGAGAGAGAAGAGAGACAGAGAGAGAAGGAACGCACGTTCGCAGCACAACACTTGCACTAAAAATACACCTTGCAGAAAGTTCAAGTGTACGTACACTTGGCTTCACGCAACACGTACCTTACATACACGGTGCATCCTTAGTGCGGATGCCTTTTTGCGTATATAATTTTTATTATTCTTCTCTTCCTCTTCACGGAATCGCTCAGCTGGGCGTCGCGTAAGAAACGCGATCGCACGCCTTGTTGTGCTACTCCTGCCAGCTTTCACGTATAAACCCCAAAATGCGATTGCCTCGTGTTTACACCTTGCCGCCTGGTTTTGCATACATTAAACACTCACACTACGATACACGTGTCTCGCACGACAATCTCGCCTGGTAACTTTGAAATTTTTCGACGGATATGTGTGCGCGGCGCACACGCAGTAGCTATCAATTCAGCTCACGCGAGCCTCGCTCTTGAAGGCTGATCGCGCGAGTGGCGAGTGCGCCCGGTTCTCATTTGCGGCGACTTTTTGCACTTTGCCGTTAAACGACCGTATGTTACGTTGCTTACTCGGTATTTTACTTTGGCTCGACATTCACACACTTAATTATTGAGAAATACAGCAATGATTATATTTTGCAACGTTACATTTATTCCTTTATCAGTTGGTTGTGAAACAATTTTATTTTCGAGAAGATTACATTTGGATTATCTTATGAATTGCATTTTGGAGCAGACGAAAACATTATTCGGGGCCACGCATAACAGACAACTATATCATTATGTGCCTGTGAATCATTTTGCACGACAAAATACAGTGTGCGCATGCGCTGCACAGATCATCGTTCCGTCACTTTACCTTTAGACGGAAAAGGCAGTAGTAATACAGAGTACTTTTGCGTGAATACGTGCAAATTGTGTTATCGAATTATTGCAAAATACAGAAGCTTGTCGTCTGGCACTTGCCATCGAGGAATTGATTAGCCACTACTCAGTTTATAAATGATTAGCTGAAACAATGTCTCGTCTGGTTACTGCTAACTGCTTGCTAGCTACAATTGCCTGTCTACTGTGGCAAAGTGAGAGTTTTTTACTTTTTCTTATTTTATTCGTTGCAATTTTAATACGTTGCATCCATTAGTTGTACACATTTATAGAAGCAATTTGGAATATTCCATGTAATTCTGTTATATATGTCTATATATATAGCTGAAGCTTATGGAGACGTAAAACTGACGAGCGATGGACCTGCAGTACTAGGGAGTGTTGTCACCTTCAAAGCAGAGGTGGTTGATAGCAACGGGGAAGTACCACCAGGAAAGTTCGGTTTTACATGGCACGATGATGCCCTCCGTCCTCATAAAAATAAGGTGATTTTAGAAATAATCTATAGTATGAAGCATCCTTGCAAGTCTCTAATTAATGTTGATCGATATAGTTAGTGATAAGTGCCCTGATTGAAATCACAACTAACTGTATTTTTTATTTGATTTCAGACTGATTCAACAACAAATACTATAAGCTATTTCAGAGTAGAATACAAAGCTCCAGAATATCATGTAGGTGTTTATCACATGGAAGTAATTGTTTGCAATTGGATACTAGGTGGTTTGTTTTGTCCTGAATATGCCAGCAGAAGGATACAGATTCGAGTTAGTTGTGAGTAATTATTATATATTAAACAACCATCTTCTAGAGTAAGATTTGAAATTATTTTTTTATCTGTTTTACAGCCAATCTCAATGGAAACCTGCATATAGAACAAAACAACAAAACTATGGAGGGTAAATTTATATCAACTAGCAATGAAACGCATTTATCGGTGGATTTACGTCAAGGAGATTATGATTACATCACGAGTACAGCCACCTCGATATTGACCTACTGGTTTATTGATTGCAAGCCTTTCAATTACACTACTGATATGAAATTTAATTATAATTTTACCAAACCTAGTGAATTTCATACCATACAAGCTCTGGTGATAGCTTCTTATGATCAGCCAGTAACAACAACGATAGCACCAACTACTACTACCAGCACCACATCTTCACCAGTAAATCTAACAATTCCAGTTCCATCTAATTCTAATTCTTCTATAATTACAACCACAACTACCACTGCTATCACAACTACTACTACTACACCTACTACTACTACAATCACAACAGCTAAGCCAACTGAGAGTTCAAATGAAACAGCGGTTTTAGGAAATCTTACATTCCCATTTGTATGTGGCTCGACTATTATTCCAATTACGAACAAAACATATGGTTACTTTCAGAAGGAAGTTAATACAAGAGGTACTGATAACGTTCTATTTTTAAATACACTAACATATTCATTTATAATGACTATAATAATCTCTTTTTTCTGTTTACAGCTCCTATTTCCAAGCTAAATATTGAAGGTGCAACGTATATCGATGCGTTCCAAGAACTTCAGTTGACACTCACATGGAATGGTACGCCTCCATTTTACCAATGCATTGAACTTCATACAGGAACATACAATGTTACTGGCAATGAAACTTGTGATAGTAGCAGAGGTACCAAACTAGATGTTTATCAATATAAATTCTCCCATTTCTTCTTTGATTATCTGGAATGGACTGTATTGATAATTCTTAGCAACGACATAAGCACAGAAGTTCATCCTGTGGCTGTAAATATTGTTAAAAGTAAGTTTTTGACATTTGATATTGAAAATCATTGTATAACATATTGAGTGCTATTCTGTATGCTGATTATGTAACTAAAATTCGAAACAATATAAGAACCATTATAGAGTGAAAATTATTGCCTGTATAGCACTTGATGTGTAGACGTCAATTATTGTCAAAATAACGAGTCACTAGATGACAATGAAAAGATGTCTGTATTTTTTTCTCGGCCATTACCGAGAGAAAAAAATGATTCTTCCGTGTCTCAAGTTCACTTAATCACTAACAATTTTTCAATTGTTCCTGAGCAGAAGTACCACAGCCACAGTTATCAGTGATAGTGGTGCCAGTCTCGTGTTCCCTAGTAGCCATTGTGGTGGTAATCTTTGGTATCGCTTACTGGGTACAAAGCAGAGCTCGTTTCACGGTCGAAGTGGCGGATTTTGATTTCGGACAGAGCAATACTGACATGGAATACAAGACCTTCACCGAACGGCTACGCGACTCATTCAATAACGCTGTAAGACCCGGACAACAAAGTCTCTTAGGCAAACGGTCACCTACTTACGGGAGCATGAACAACTGAAATGAAGCACTTGAACTTTCAGACTTTTGATGAACTCACCTTTTTGAAAAAATGCAAGCAAACTATTATCTTTAGTTTTTTTCGTTATATTTTCTTTTGTATTTAATTTTATTGTTTGTTGAACTGTTCTGCGCTGCTTCAAAATTGGTGGCTAGTGCATGAATTATGAGACAAAAAAATGTTATTGAATAATTTTTTTTGGCTTTACTTTTTGTATTAATTTTGATCTAAATTTATAATTAATCTCGTCAAGTTTTTTGATGAAAATATGTCGCTTTTATATTTCAAAATTTTTCAGAATCTAATAGTGCTAACATTAACTCATTATGAGTAATTTACATTTACTCATTAACATTCAATTAATGAGCTTTTTCTGAGCTCATTAATTGAATATTAATGTTAATGTATATTTTTTTATTTCCAATTATTGCTTCAGTAATCGTAAATGTTTGTATTATCAGATGTCTGGTAAAATATTTATTCTGAATTTCAGAATAGCTTATTTTGTACATGGCACTTTTATATTCTTGAAACTTTATCAAATATTACGGTTGCAAAATATTTATACAGCTTTTGCGATAATTCGTTGAACTGATAATAAAAATAGTATTTTATTTATAACCGAAAGAAGCATTTTAACATACTATTTACGTGCACGTACTGTTTTTGCACAATTATATTCACAATTGAAAAGCTTTTTTCAAAATCACAAAAGCTATAGGTTACCAAAAATTAGAATATCATAGCAGGTTATCAGTTGCCACTTTATATGTGCTGAAAGCATCAAAAACAAACATTTCAATGGCTGATTAAAGTGGTATTTGCTTTATAGGGCTACAAACAGCTGGATGAGAATAAAGACAACGCGCAATGACAAAATAATGAAAAGGCAAAGCAACAGCGGTGAACGCAATTAAAGAAAATAAATAAATGAACCAGAAGACATTACAGTTTCCACAATTTTGGGCACAGTATTATCAGAGCAGATTTAAGCGTGTTACCAGCCGGTACGCAAATCGTCGCTATAACACATTGAAGAAGAAAAATTGTACATAATGAATGGAAAGGCAACCTATAGGCTGTGAGTGTGACGATAAGAGAAAAAAAAGGCGTACGTAATAATTGTTAATACCGAGTGATAACGTACGCATATATCGACGTGAATGTTTTCTAGGCGAACGTTTTTATCGCCGAAATTCTCCTTTCCGAATCTCTTTAAAAAAAGTATCTTCGATTATTAAGAGTGTTTGTTTTTCAACGGTGTATGGCTTCGAAACATACAAGCTAATATGCATCCATTTTTTATGGTAAAACTTTACCATATATAAGCGGTTGTTTCTAGTTTTTTTATTTTTCATAATATTAATGTTGATATATATACACTGTACATTTGTAATACATCATTGCACTGTTTATCACTTAAGTCAATCAAAAGAAAGCGGAAGAGAGTGCAATTGAAATATATATTTTTATTATTTATGATACAATAAAAAATAAATATCAATCAGACGTGTACGAATCGTAAAAAGCTATCGAATCGTCTATCGTAACTGATGAAAATTATTACTCACGCAAAAATAATGGAGTAGAAAAAAAATTGTTGAAAATAAAAGTCGAAGCATTCATTCGCAAATAAACAATGATGAAGCTGAACTCAACGAGTCTAATTCTAGCGAACCCAACACAAAAGGCAGACCCTCGACACCACAAAGTCCGTCGCACGCGTCTGCGTGCAAATCCCCCTTGAAGCTTGTTATTCCTCATCAGTGGACAATTATCAGTTGTTCGTCAATCAATGGCGCATTCACCCTGCACTCCCTTTTATGAACGTTTCTTTTTCTCTTTCTTTAGTCTCATTGCTGACATAGCTCGAAACTATATGAGTTAGGAACTTTTCAACAGTGCTTTTGAAACTATCCCATAACATTTCGTAAGCTTTGCAAAGTTCTACAGTAGATTTATATGGATTAAGCAGCTTACAAAGTTCTTAATTTTATTACTTATGATTGATGAAATAAGTTTTATTTGGCGTTTGGAATGTGGCACGTAGTTTAGCTGCTTTTGGTCTCCTATTCATGAATATCTGATTATGGACAAAAATAGATTTCAAAGTTAACTTTTTATCACAAAAATAGTACAGTGATAGAAATAGAACTTGTTAATAATTAGCAGTAAAACTGAAGTATTTTCGTTTGAATTTAAAAAAAACAAAGTTATTTAAGTCAGAGACAAAACACAACCTGTTACCTATATATTTTCAATGATGTGACATTTCTAATTACTATACAAATTAATTTATCATATAACCACAATGTAGGTTTTAGAGTATCATCAATTTGCTCATCCGTTGTAAACAAATTTCAATCTCTTAAAAACAACTAACCCGACGAGAATCATATTTTGTAGTTTAATAAACATTAATTGATTTAATAATTAAATGAAAGAATTGTTTCTATACTAATAAATTAAACTAGTTATAAAAAAATCTATTGACAAAGGTAAATAAAAAAACAAAGCTGGAAATCAATCGCGGATATTTCGTTCCCACACATATATATACAGTACGCATCCCCGGAAAAAGAAGCCCCCCTAAGCGCCATAAGGGTGCACACCTGCACCACCGCTCATTCAAAGCGTATGCAGCAGTAACATCGCGCAGTTCACACGCTGCACTTTGGGATAGCATGGGGGTGGGGGCAGGTGCGCTCTCACTCTCTCTCTCTCTCTCTTTCTCTCTGGCCTCCCCTCCCTAGCCGAGCTGAGAGTTCACAGTTTCCTCTTGCAGGCATACACACACGAGCTAAGAGCTCAGTGCCAGCTCAGTGCTCGCTAGATCGTCGAACGTGCGCACACGTTACGCGCCTGACATTTTTTGTGTTGCCCCCTCCTTAATAAGTATTCGGGTGGAACGCCGACCGAGAAAGGTGAATGTGTGTTATCGGTGCTCTTATCTACAAGAAAGTCAAAAGTGTGGTACGCAGCGCTGTATATCCTGCCGGGTAGAAAGGTGCTTTGTATATTTGCCGAGAGAGGAAAGAGAGGATTTGGGTGAGATCGATAAGAGAGGGCTCCGTGCAGAGAGTTCGCAGTCTCTCATTTAGCAGCGGAGAGTTTGTGGTGTGTGCGTGTTTTGTTGATCCTGGCGTATTGAGAGAGGAAATGACCGATCGCCCTGGATCTTGATATCATCGTTGACGACGAAGAAGACTTATTACGCCCGGATTACTACGTAGCTTTTTGGATAACTGTCCTCGTGCGCGCACACGTCGCATCGTAGAAATGGTCAGTGCATTCGCATTTCGACGTGTGTGTATATATTTACACACACATATAAATACATACACCTAGACATACTATTTGCTACGGAACACAGAACGTACCATTTTCGATTGGTCAAGTCTATGATCTGTTTGTTGTGGCGATGAGAGAAGGTTCTTACTCTCGCGAGTGCGTGCACTTTATTTTGTGAATGTCTCGTATGCATATAGAGCCTCATTCACATGGCAAAAAAAGTACAAACTCGCGTACGGACAAACTTACCGTCATTACGTAGAAAATATAATTGAAGAGCGCTAATTTGTAGAAATATACATCTCATTTTCTAAGTGCCAGTGCATAGTTTGGCTTTATTTTCATTTTCTTTTCGTGCTGGGTGATCGTGTGACGACACAAAACGCTTATCGAGTATGTATAGTTTGAAGAGTATGATTATGAGGGGGCCCTTGTTAACTTTTTTCCTTGCGTCGCATAGCACTCGTCGAGTATTTTTTTTCCAAGTCAATTGGACCATCGAATGATATCCGTCGAGTAAATACGCGTTGCTGCGCACGTGCGCAATCGCCAAAGTGTACATAACGTAATTAAATTGTAAAGGTGAAAAATTTGATTGTTTATCGTGAAGAAATGTCCTTTGCTCAATCTCTCGTGAGCGCGCGATCATGCACGCATACGCGCAGAGCCGGTACAGATCTATCAAGAGAAGGTTTTCCCACGACCCGGAATTGACAACCTTGGGTGTTTTGCCGCGGCGCGCGCTCGTGTGCGCGTGTACGTGTGTTTTGAAACGTCGTATCTAAGGAGATGCTTGCAGGGCGCGAATAAAAAGGGCACCGCCAAGGTTACATAACTCGCTGGAGAGTGCGTATACGGGGTAGAAATATTTGTTGCCCGCGAAGTATACCCACCGAGGGATTATCGATCGTAAGCGAAAAACAGAGTGGGAGGGAAATTTTCAGAAGGAAAAATTGGACATATAACTATGAAAACGAGGCTGTATAGAGCTGGCAAAGTGTGTCTACCTGCGTCTCTGGCCTCGCTCGCAGTGTGAAAAATCGGAAGCATCCGCTGCTTCTTCTGACAGATACTGTATATTCTAAGAAATGTACGCGCGCGTTTGGCCAACTTCAATATTGGCTAGGAAAGAGTGTATTGGACAGGCCGTGATGTATCAAGTGACTTGAAAGTTTCCCAGAGAATTTTTTCTTACATTTATTTCTTAAATTTAAATCCAAATACGAAAGCGATAAGACAGATGTTTTTTTCTCAAATGATAATATCGTCAATCTCACAGGTTAAATGGAACAAATATTGCTCACGACTTCATTCAATGTACAGAAATTTCTATTCCTGTGCACGCGAAACAGTAAATTTTCCAGCTGTAATTCTCTACCCCCCACGCCTACACACACAAACACGTACAGAGGCAAATAAGCTTTTTCCAGGAAGCAAAGGACTATTTGCTTGCTTCTTAAAACTCCATCGATCATCTATGCTTTCGCTCGACAAAAAAAAAAAGAAAAAAGAATTAGCACGCGCCGAAGGCACGGTCCTTTCCGTTTTTCCGCATTCGTTCTATTTTTCGTGAGGGACGGCGAATGTCACCTTGAAAAGCGTTCGCAAGGATTTGGAAAGCCTCGCGCCGCCGCCGCCGCCGCCGCTCGCCTTTTCCTTGCCGTTACAAGTGTACCGCCCGCGCGAGAGAGGCAACTGACCTGCTCACTTTTCTTTTCCAGCGAGCACGGCGCCGGAAGCATCGTTAGTTGCGCATCGCTAATTTAACAATCCAACGCGCGTGGATTACCGTAACACGGTAATAATCGGCGCGGCCGCGATCGCGTCTATACGCGCTGCATTGCGAAACGAACTTTAGAAATTGCTCTCCCGTCCCGTGATCGCCAGGCGAGGACAAAGGAGAGAAAAAAAAAAGCCCACGGCCCGTTGTTTTTCAGCGTCGCTTCGCTACGGGCGGGGGAGAGGTATTTTTGTTTTTGTTTCGTATCGTCCATGCCGTGATTGCGCGTTGAAAAGGGCCCCGCGCGTACGCGCGCGCTCGATCCCATTGTGTGCTCCGCTCGTTTCAATTTAGATGGCTCGTGTCCTCCTCCGTCTTTCCGAGAGCTTCGGTTAAACCAATGCGCGCGTGAACGGCGTTGGGTATTTTATTTTTCCCGCGTGCATTTTTGAAAGAACCCGGAACTTTCACCGCTTAAAATGGCACTCGCCTATGCGAGCAAACAAATCGGCGGATAATGCTAGCCAAGCCGAGGCGATCGTAAATCGAAACGGTATAGAGGCGCCCCTCGGATATAATAACAGCGCGATCCAGGCTCCGAGCGTAGGATCGAAGCGGGTGCCTCCGGGCTCTCAAATCGCATGTAATTTGGAGCGAGCAATGAAAAGCTTTCATTCATCGCGGCGTAGGAAGCAGAAAGGCAGGTACATAATGGAATCTCCTGGCCCTCGGTGGGTGGTCCGCGCTCCTTTCGGCGCGCCACGAGACTTCGCGGCGAACGGCGCGCTCGCGAGCGCGGCGTCGCGTCGAGATTGATTTGGCCGCGCTGCGGCAGCTGCGAGAGCGCGCGACCCCGCGGAATTAGATTTTTTACGAGCGCGTGGGAACGCCGTTAAACTCGACACGTGCGCTCGGGCGCTGGGCGTTTTATCCTCCGGATTCGAGGAAGCGACCGATTCGCCCGTATAGTCGCAGTTTTGGCGAGCTCGCGCGGACGACGACGACGACGTTGCTAACCGACCTCCCTCTCTCGACGCAGTCGAGTGATGTCGCCGAGGCTAACAAGAGGATACAACGAGCTCGTTGAATTTTCAACGACGCGCAAAGAGATGAGAGGAAAAAAAATGAAGAAGCGTCCTCCTCGTCGTCTCTCCGGCTTATCAGCGAGTCTTGTCTCTGAAAATAGCGGCTCTCGTGCGGCGGAGGTTGCGCATCCAAAATCCCAGCAGACACGGACGGACGGACGGTCATCGGCCTTGTCGCGAGCGCATTTGCGACTGCGTAATCCGCGCGCGCAGAGCTCGCGAAGGGAGGGCCGGAGGCTCTCTCTCTCTCTCTCTCTCTCGCCTGGCAGCAGCGGCATCGATCTCCCTCGGCCCTGCTCGACGACTGCTAAAAGCTTTACGGCTTTTTTCTCCTCTGTCTCTCTCTCTCTCTCTCTCTCGCGCGCGCGCGCATGCGTTCGTCTCAATTAAACAAATCGAACGGAGGATCCGTCGATGCCGGCGCTTTGTTCGTTGGCCCCGAAGCAGAGCGGCGGCGCATCGTTGACCTCTACTCTCTTCTGCCGAGTGGTTTTCCCGCCTTCGATCCGACGACCTCGACACCTTGCGCTCCTCTGCATTGCCCGTCGACCAACAATCAGTTCGCGCTCTTCCGAGCGACGCTCGTTACTCCGACATTCAGTCCGAGCGCGCGCTCTGGCTTGGCGTGTCAAGTCGACTGCGATCGATCGCAATGCTCCGCATTCGTCGCCAGGTAAAACTGGAGCGGCCCCTCGGCGCGCGCGACGAAGAAAAAACACAAAAGCAGGAAGAAACGAACGGCAGCGCGAGCGTGGTGTACCGATCAGCGTCTCGCCGCGCGCGGTCCTTCGCGACCGTCCCCCTCCGGAAAATCTCCACTCCGGGAACTATTTACGGCGAGACTATTTTCGTAAACAATCGGGTTCATCGCTACCGCCCGTTCCCCGTGTCAATCTCAGGCCGAAAGTGGAAGGAAAGGCCCGCCGGCGCGTTCCGAGAACAATATTTCCGTATACATATATACACGCCGGTGCGCGAGAGAAACGCGCAGCTTTCGCCCGGATGGAGGAGGCGTGTTGGGCTCGTTGAGAAGGAAAAGAGAAAAATGAAGTCTCGCTGATAAGGCGAAACCCGAGGAGGAAGACGCGAGTCCTCTGGTTGACTTTCCCTCCGAAGCCTCCCGTGCGGATTCTACGCGCCGGCAGCGTTTCCCGCTCCCGAGCTCCGGCGCTCGAGTTGGGGCTCGTTCCGCCCGCGCGCGGCCGCGTGCACGGAGGGGGAGAGAAAGAGGAGAGAGAGAGAGAGAGAGGATATCGGACGCGCGACTCGATCTCAAAGGGGATCCGCTCGCTCGCGTCGAGCACAAAACGAGTCGTGCGAGCGTGTGCTGCTCCGTATTTCCGGGCGGATGCCGCTAATAATCCGCGCGTCCGCAGAGAGCGTGGCGACGCGCGCATTCGAACGGAGAGAAAGAGGAGAGATGCAGGTGAAATTTGAATATCGTCCGGTCGGTGGAAACGATATTCGCCTTTGATTAGAATAGAAAGAAGAGACTGAACTTCGCTCCGATCCGGCGAGCGCTGTCGTATAATGTACCCTCGTGCTCTCCTCTGCACGCGAGTCACAGGCGCGCGCGCTCATGAATGATTCATCGGCGCGGCTCCATTCACTCGTGTTCATCGCGCGCCGCCACTCGAATGCACGAGCGAGAGGCCGAGCTGGCGTCGCGCGCTCACGGCTTTCCCGGCGACTACGGCGGCGAGGCCTGTTCGAAAGGGCCCCGGAGGCAGGCCGAGCCGCAAAATCTGTGTCGCGGTGGCTTCGTCGACGTCTCGATGCGCTGCTTGCGCAATACCGCGAGCGCGAATATCTGGCGGCCGAGCGCGACAAATCGACGCCGCTGGCGCGGACTTTCACCTCTCGACCCGCGCTGCTGCCGTGAGAATCGCGCGTGGGAAGTGCAGGTGACGAGGAAGGAAGCGCGCGACGCGGGTGGCCTCTCTCTCTCTCTCTCTCTCTCTCTCTCTCTCTCTCTCTCTCTCTCTCTCTCTCTCTCTCTCTCTCTCTCTCTCTCTCTCTCGTTTTTGGTGCATTCGGGTGCACGTGCGAAACGAAAGTACCGTCGCGAGGAAACTGGGTCGATAGCCCGTAAAACTCGTCCCCATTCAATTTCACCTGTTCGCTCGCCGACGGGACAAAAGGGAGAGGGGAAGGGGCAGAAGGAACGCGCTAAATTGCGTAGACTCGCCCGTGGAGTTGCTTTGGAAAGCGTCGCGTCCCGAAAGAGTCGGCTTTTTGCCTTTTCTTATGTTCTTTTCTATTTACTTTTTTCTCCTTCGCTCCTCGCGATTTCGCCGCTGCTGTTGCCCTCGCGACCGACTCGTCTGCGTTGCGTCGTATTTATAGAAGATAAAGCGGGAGCGAGGTCGGAGTTGCAGCGCGCGCGAGAGAGTGACATCGGTCCCCGCGCGCGCGCCTGTCTTCGGAAATAGCTCGCGAATGGGGGAGTCTCTGCTCTCGACGACGTTTTCGACGCAGAAGCACTTGGCGCGATCGCGAGTGAGAGGATGACGAGGATCCAGACGAGATCGCTGGACCCCCCCCCCCCCCCCCCCCAATGCACGCTCGTGTCGCTTCAACCGCGCTAAAGACACTTGGTCGGCGCGCGATTAGAGCTCTGATTTGCATGCGCGCGAGGCGTCCGTTTTTTGCCAACCTTGCGAAATCGCGCTTAGACCGAGGTCGCCCGAGGCTCGGCGAGCGCAAACGTCTTTTGGCTGACCGAGAGAGAGAGAGAGAGAGCGCGCGCGTTGCGTAATCCGAAGGCTACCTGCCAGGTATGGACGCGCAACGGCGAGCGTAGTGTCTATACACGCGCGCGCGCGCTTCGATCGCGAACGAAGGAGACCCGGGAGACGAGCGGAGCAGCGAGAAAGTAACCGTTTGAAAGCCGGCCGGCGAGAGAGCAAGCGGCCAACGGGCCGCTCAAAGGAGGACGAGTGATTGTACGCGCGGCCCCGAGTCGCGCGGGCATGCCGTCCGCGCTGCACGGCGACACGGTGTGTATGTGTGTGTGTGTGTGTGTGTGTGTGTGTGTGTGTGCGCGCGCGCGTACACATGCTTGCGCGTCGACGTCGATCTATTTACTCGCTCGTCAACGCGGCACGAGGACGCGCGCCCCTCGGCTCGCCAGAGACCGCGAAAAATGCGCGCCCGCCGCCCCGAAAATATTTCCTTTGTTCGGGCGCAGCGCCAGCCTCTCTCGCTCTTTCGAATGCGCTTCTAACGAACGCCGGCGCGACGCACCACTTGTCTCGCCGTCTAACCTGGAGAGAGAGAGAGAGAGAGAGAGAGAGCGATCCTTGTTCTTGATAAACCGGTTTTTTTTCGGTGCAGCCGCGTAGCAGGGCGACTGTCGCAGTTCGGGAAGCGAATCGGCGCGTGCCCCCTGGCACGAGCGAGTCGGGCGGCGAGCCTCCTCGCGACGAGAGAAAGTTTTAACGAGGAGGCTGCATTACGGGCGACGCGTAGGGTGCGCGCGATCGTTTGTCGGCTCCTTCGCCGGAGCGAACGCTGCCAATGTCGGTCGGGCGAGCCTTGGCGCGGCTCCTCGCTGGCGCACGGGACGCTGTCCGGCGAAAACGAAAGGGCGAAAGGGAAATCGCTGACGGCAAGCGCCGCGGGGCTGGCCGGATCCGGCTCGCCACGTCCGGGGACGCTCCTCGCGCGGGGAGGCTCGCGCTCGCGCCCATCACCGCAGGAAACGCGCCGCCGCAGCCTCGCGGCGAGACGGGGGTAAGAGAACGGCTGGTCCTTTTCTCTCGCGCGCCCGTCGCCGGCTTCCTGCGATCTCGCTTCGGCGATTGGCCGATCGCTGCGAAAGCCTCGCCGCCTTGTTATCCTTCGGTGTTTCCGCAGGGCGTCGAGTGTGCGGAGAAGGTCACAGCCGCTTGAACCAGTCCTCTCTCTCTCGTTTTGCAGGCGTGAGGAGCGCGAGGCCGCCAGAGCGAGGACAAGTCAGCACGAGGATGGGCGCCGGCATGGGGAGAAGCAGCAACGGCGGCGGCAGCCTGCTCGAAGCGCTGCCCACCGGCACGCCGCTGCACGTGGCGATGCTGGGCCTGGACAGCGCCGGCAAGACGACGGCGCTCTACAGGCTCAAGTTCGATCAGTACATCAACACGGTGCCGACCATCGGCTTCAACTGCGAGCGCATACGCGGCGGCATCGGCAAGGCCAAAGGTGAGTCCGACGCGGCAGCTCTCGGTCGGGTTCGCGCCGGTTCGACGTGCGTCTTTCTCACGCCCGCGGAGAAACGCGTGCGCGCGCGGCCAGGCGCAGCATCGTCGCCTGCGGTCGATCTCTGATTGCGCGCGCCGGGGTCCGCTGCTCTGGGAACGAGGTCGCCGAGTGGGTTCCGAACTGTCGTTAGTCTGCGGCCGGATTTGGCTAGCGACGGACGTGAGAGGAGAGGCGCGACCGTGGTGCCGCGATGTCTTCGTTTGTCGGCCGAATCGCAGGTGACGCAACAGGTCAGTCGGGACTGTCGGACTCTCCGTGGTGAATGTGTCGAATCAGCCGAATGCTTTCTCCGTCCGCCCGAGAGAAATCTCACTCGACGCGTCTCTGCCGAACAGGTGTGAACTTTCTTGTGTGGGACGTGGGAGGTCAAGAGAAGCTGCGACCGCTGTGGAAGTCGTACACGCGCTGCACCGACGGCATCATCTTCGTGGTGGACTCGTGCGACAGCGAGCGCCTCGAGGAAGCCAAAATGGAGCTGACCCGCACTGCCAGGAGCCCCGACAATGCGGGCGTCCCCATACTCATACTGGCCAACAAGCAGGATCTGCCGGGTAAGTCAGCTGCAACGCCCGAAACGACGTCGCTTGCCTTCGTTTTTGTTCGACCGACGTTGCGTCGAGAAAACGACCATAGCGATGATGATTCCAATCGAGCGGGGCGCCGTTGCTCTCCCAACAAAGCGCAATGGGAATTCGCCGCGAAGCTCGACCCAGATTCGCTCAACGCGAAATCAAAGAAGAGAAATAAAGGAACGAACGAACGAACGAACGAACGAATGCAGAGGAGGTGCGAGACAAGCGAGCGCGTCTCGCTGGTCAGTAAGAGTCGTGGTCTTCGATCGAATAAAGCCGAAGTCTGCGCCGCGGATCCGGCAGTGAGCTAACTGTACGGCGCGCATGCAGATTGCCGCGAAAGCCGCGGGGCGTCGCGCTCGCGGTCGGTCGTCGAACGGGTACGAGAGAGTCGATCCGTCGGTCGACCGGCTATGACGCACGCGCTCGTCGGCCGCCGTTCTCGTTCAATTAGCTTTAATCCGACGGCGACGCCAGCACCGAGTTTTAATATCGCAAAGAGATGACATCACGTTATTACGTACATCTGGCGGCGACGAGCTTTAACAACCTCTGATATACAGCCCGTCGTGAAAAGAAATATCGCTGTTGCGCTCGCCTCTGCTGTTTAACGAGGATACACACGCGCACGCCACCTCCGACGCCTACATTTTACGTTGATAAAGCGATACCGCGCGTCACAAGTGTCCCGCCTCTGCACGAAATTTTCAGGCCCAATTTATACGTCGGAAAAGTAAAGACAGTTGTCCAGGTTTTTCTTTTTATAAAAATGATTCGATTGAAGAGCTCGATCTTATTACTCGCGTTCCATTCCATATAGGAAAGACTGAGCTTTGTAATTAAAAGAGCATCGCGAAACCTCGAGGTTAACGCGACGTTTGTGACGAATCGCTGCGTACTCAATGCAAGAACTTTTTTGGTAGCGAATATACGTAACTGGTCCGAATATTGAAATTGCGGATTTGGTTTTTCAGGCGCCAAAGAAGTAGACGAGCTCGAGAAGCAGCTTGGAGTACTGGAATTGTGCGCGATGCCAGGAAGCTCGTGCATAAAGATCCAGCCGGCGTGCGCGATAACGGGCGAAGGCTTGCACGAGGGTCTGGACAGTTTGTACCAGCTGATTTTGAAACGGCGCAAATTGGCGAAATTGAATCGCAAGAGGGCGAGGTAGGCCAGGGTTGCCGAAGACTATTGCGCTTGCGTTTTCTGACAGTGCTCGCGGCCGGCGGCCGCGTCTGCAAGGACTGCCGCTGGTCCGTCGTCCTCGTCATCAATGTCCGTCGATCGACATCCTTGCCTCGGTTACGACGACATGGACGACGACGCCGACTCGGTTTGTTACTCGTGCAGCAGTGTTGCGAACGCTGCCAACGCCGAGACCTCGTCGTCGTCGTCGTTACCACCCAACAATTTCTAGTCTGTGCGCTACTGTCTCGACAATAACACTATGTAGCGTAGATAAAGTTGTTTGAACTCTCATTTATTTTGTCTTTTTTGTACCAGAGAAAGTGGAAAAGGATGGAGCGAATGTGTGTGGATGTTATATAACCTTTGTAAAACACGTGTAATCTTGCCACCTACCCCCTAATCGCCTTGTTGTTTTATCGATTGATAAAAAAAATCCTTGTTGCTGTATTTCGACATTTTATTGTAAAGGACACTTGCGCGCGAAAGGGAAAGAGTCAGATTGATTGTGTATATAGGATTGTAGTTTGTAAGCGACGAGTTTTTTAAACGAACACAAGTCAGCCTAGTGTCTGTCGTATAAGTAAAAACGAAGACGATGCCGTCGTCAAGGACTTGATTGTAACGGATATACTGTCCATGGCGTATTCAATTGTTGTTTCATCGAAATCGATTGGTCTATATTATACACGAGAGAGCGATCACCCCGTACTAACGGAATTTCGCTTGCTTCCATTTTCTTTTTGTGGATCGCTCATCTTTTTCGGGGAATCAGTCAATAAAGAAGAATTGAACAAAAGCAAAGAATTCCAGAATCATATTATATATATGAAAGATAAAAATGTCGTTCCTTCTGAATGTCACTTCTATATTTTCTTATATATTGTTCGTCCAAGCTTGTAAAACGAACGATCGAGGGAATTTGATGCTAATTCTTTTGCAAATTCCGTTTACAAGGAAAAAACATAAAATAGCGTGTAACGCGAACCACCCTTGCTATCTCTTTTCTACCATTAAAATGCTTGAGAGGGTTCGCTCTTATTTATAATTCAACAACGATAAAAATTTTATCGATGAAAGTTAATCGCTTGAACAAGAAAAACCACACATGCACGAACACGAACACACACACACACACACACACACACACACACACACACACACACACACACACACACACACACACACACACACACACACACACACACACACACACACACATATGTATATCACACCCAAGCAGCGCGGCCAAATCGCTTTTTTACCGTAAAGTACAATAGGTTAATATATAAATGATTGTAAGCAAAAGAGAAGCGAGAGAAAGAGAGATATATATGTACATGAAAAGTCGAGAGCTAAGTTATTGCGATATTTGCATGAAGAGATAATGAAAGAATTTGCAACGTCACAACTGCTCAACACACGCACGCGTAATCATATTGTAATGTCGCTATCTACATATATCTTCATTAAATCATTGTTACTTTCTATACACGATTGAGTTATTCATTTGCTATCTCCCCTTGTCCATCAACGTCACGCATGTGCAATCCCATTGCTTCCTCTCTTATTGTTAATCACGCTGCTAATTCAACCAATGATTCATATACGGTACTTGAATTTATTTTTGCCTGTGCGCGCGGCCAATCCAATAATCACAGTAATTTCTTTTTTTTTTTCATTTGAATATCCTCGGCATGGTGGGTGATTGAGATGACGTTTGCCAATCGACACGATTGCGCTTGTAAAAATAAAAATGACGTGACGCAAATATCCTTGTAATTTCCATCTTTTAATTTGCAAAATAATAGACGTTGCGATTAATCGAAGCAAAATTGCGTATATAAATTATACTGTCAGTTTACGTATTTTGAAGCCGAACTTTACCATTGGCTAAAGGATTCATCTCTTTCGCTTCGCCGGCGTCATTTTCCTTATCCCTCGAAGGCCTTGGATTGTTCCAATCTAGTACCGTGGTTTCCGTGAAGATCACGTAGTTGATGGCCGTGACGAGCGATATCAGCGCCAAGATTCAGAATACGAGCTTCCACTGGCTGATCGTTTGATCCGGCGCCAAAACGCCCACGACGTACGGCGCAAAGATACCCATAAAGGCACCAGCCCCGTTGGAAATGCTCATGAGTGTACCGGAGTAGTTCGAACTCGAGTCGAGAACGTTGACTTTCAGTCCGGTATAAGGACTGCCAAAGAGGATCAAGCCAATGGTGATCAGCAAGATTGCCCAAACGACATCGCAGCCCACGTACAGGCCAACAGGAGGAAGCAAGTCGGCCCGAGGCTCAAGATGGCCGTATTGATCTTTCGCACGCTTCGCTCTCGATCAGCCGGTTGGACGGCCAGAGCTCGTCAGATTGTACATGGACATCGCGTAACCGTTGCGCTGGACCGGCAGCCGCAGCACGTTCTGCATGTACTTGGACAGGTCCGACAGTACCGTGTAGGTGTTCCAGTCCTGATCGAGCTGGGCTATCACCACGGCTAAAAAGGCCATTGATCCAAGCGCCCTCCTCCAGGGGAACACCGCCGGGTGCTCGTGGCCGTAGGCCGATATCCGCTCGCGCAGGTAGGCCTTATCCTGGGGCTTGATGAGGCCCATGAGGAAGCGCACGCCGATCAGCCCGTACTTAGGACTGAATCTCTCGGACTGCAGGTCACCCGAGAGATGTGTCAGCGCGTCGCCGCAGTGGATATCGTTCAACGCCACTTCCACGGAAGGCCTATCATCCCAGTTATCCGAGTGTGCGCTCGCTCCACTCGAGCGCCACTGAGATTCGGGGGTCGAGGGGCCAAGATTTCACCTCCGCTGTCGACTTCAATTTCGAAGGGCAGGCACGCTCGCGTCGCTCTCGACATTCGATCAGTACTCGATATCGTTAGTGCCGAGTTTCGACGGAAAAAATAAATATACGTTTCGGCGAACGAGCGCGCTCGACGCTCGGCTCGCCCACGAGCTTGCAACTCGATCGGCTCTACGCTCGACTGCTCGTTATCTATACAGCTATGCGCAACGAGTTGATAAGACGATCTTGGAACTATCATCGAAGCCTCGCTATCGTTTTTGTTTCAGCGTAGTCTTTATTTCGCAATGAACTCTCAGTGACGGTTAGATGAAATACTTAGATTATGTTTTATGCGACTCAAGAGCACAGACGGACCTATACTTTGAATGAGTGGTTCACGAGAATTTTATCACTCTCTCTTTCTCTCTCTCTCTTTTTCTTTCGGTACTTTGCAAAATGTGTATGATGTTTTTGGAATATTATAAATGAATAAATAAATATTTTCAGCTAATTGAAGCTAAAATTTTAACTCGTGTTGCAAAAGCACACTCAGCTACAAAGTACTTAACCACTCTCTGCCCACGATGTTGGATTTGCTGTACGGATTGCCTCCTTGAATTGGACAATTTTTCCTTTCCGTAATTTTCTAATCTCAACGTTCTCGTCAATTCGAATCGTTGATTGGTCATGCACATTAATTCGGCGAGGGCAGCACCATTCAGCACGAGTGTTTATTCGCTGAAATGTCATCTGCTGTGTTATTTATAAAAATTTAAATGGTTCAATAATCCGTAATTCTCTTCAATTTACATTTCGAGATAATTTGGTTACGGAGAACAACTTGTCAAAAAATTTGGTATATCTTCAAGAGGCTGATGAAACTCAAAGGAAAATAAAAATCTCGAAAGTAACGGTCCCATGGTGTAATGGTAAGCACTCTGGACTTTGAATCCAGCGATCCGAGTTCGAATCTCGGTGGGACCTTCACAATTTCTTTTTATTCCAACTTCCTTGCAATCCCCTTTTTACCATCGCAGGGAAACTTTGCACATGTTTACGGTTGCAATATGGTGGTGTAAAGCTCTGGAGAAAGTGATTGTATTATTTGCTGCATGTTTGCGTGCTTATAACCTCAAAGTCAGTAACATTTTCTCTATTTTTTTTCGTTTAAAAATGAGTGACAGTGAACTGACAGTGACAAAAGATGCGTCTAATACATGTAATAATGAGAAAAAAGGAAATGAAGCTGGTGCGTGCTGCTTGGAATCGCAAGAAAATCACAAAAAAAACACGTTGATTTGTATGTCACAAATGAGTACAGCACAACCTAAAAGTGATGTTCCTGTTGATGATTCTGGGCAAACAAATAAAAATGACGAAGATTCAGTTGTTGTTGTAAAAGCAAAACCAGTGAGAAAAGTATATAAGGCACCGATTAGAGTTAATAAAATACCACAAGAAATTTTAAATGATCCTTTGATAAAAGAGGCTATATCTGTGTTACCGTCTAATTATAATTTTGAAATCCATAAAACAATTTGGAGAATAAGAGAATCTCAAGCAAAAAGAGTTGGATTACAAATGCCAGAAGGTTTATTAATGTTCGCACCTACAATATGCGATATCATTGAAAATTTTACTGAGGCAGAAACAGTCATTATGGGTGATGTTACTTATGGTAAGTATCATCAACAATAAACAATTGTTAATTATACAATTATAAACTGTAAGAAAGAATATTTTATTTCACAGGAGCCTGTTGTGTAGATGACTATAGTGCAGAACTATTGGAATTAGATTTTTTAATTCATTATGGCCATTCATGTTTAATTCCGATCAATAGAATGAGTGGCATCAAATTATTGTATGTCTTTGTTGATATAAAAATAGATGCAGCTCACTGTGTCGATACCATAAAGTACAATTTTCCAGTTACTACTAGAATAGGACTCGTTAGTACAATTCAATTTGCTAGTACTTTACAAGCAATCGCTACTGACTTAAGAAAAGATGAATATACTGTTATTATTCCTCAGAGTAAACCATTAAGCCCTGGAGAAGTATGAAAATTGGCTTAATTTTCATTTCTATTGATACTTTTGTTGTACTTTTTAATTATTGTAAATATTTATACTAATTAAATATGTTATTTTAGGTATTAGGCTGCACAGCTCCTTTAATAAAAGACGTAGATGTGTTGATGTACATTGGAGATGGCAGGTTTCATCTAGAAGCAGCTATGATTTCTAATCCAAATCTTACCGCTTATCGCTATGATCCTTATGAAAAGAAAATAACAATAGAAAAATATGATCATTCTCAAATGTTAGCTAATCGGAAAGATGCAATAATGAAAGCCAAAGATGCTAAAGTATTTGGCCTCATTCTTGGGACACTAGGAAGACAAGGAAGTTTAAGTGTTTTTGACACTCTTCGGAATAGGTTGATATCTCAGAATAAAATAGTCATAAATATTTTAGCTTCTGAAGTTCAACCTGATAGGCTGAAACTTTTCGTTGGTATAGATGCATTCATTCAGGTAATATTATATAGTAAGATTTGATGTATTCAAATATTTATTTAAGAAACATAAGAATAAACAGAAAATATTTATTTCAGGTTGCATGTCCAAGACTCAGTATAGATTGGGGTACACAATTTGAAAAACCTGTATTAACACCATACGAAGCAGCAGTAGCCTTGAAAATGGCAGAATTTGATGAGTCCAAACCTTATCCTATGGACTATTATGCCAATGCTAGTTTGGGACCATGGACTCCAAATCACAAATCCGCTGAGTTGGAAAAACGAAAAGAATTTTGTTGTGGGAAATGCAAAGACGAGGATAACACGAATAAACCGTGTAAATAGCGAAATTTATTTATCAAAATAATTATTAAATAATTCAATGAATAAAATGATCTATTTCAATTTGTACATAATAGACTTATAATAATGAAATTTTATTAATTTGGTAATAAAGCACATTTTGTTCCTTTGAAATAATGTTAAAAAAATTGATTTCATTTAAAACTGACCCACTCTTCATTAGAGTTGCTGTATTAAAAAAAACGTTAAGTGAGCAACTGTCGCGTATCGTTTACTTATTTATACGTGTGTTAATTAGATTTTATTCTATTAGTAGAATTTATTTTGAAATAACTAAAAGAAAATAAATGTACACTGGCGTTAACATGTTGGCTGGAAGGTAACTAAATAAAGTTAAACCAATTTACGTTTCCTATCCATTGTTTTAAATGTGTATTCAGTAAAATCAAAAACTGATGGTTTAGAAATGAGTAACATAAGTTTATTAATGTTTTATCGTAAAAACAGAAGTATTTACTTTACAATGGGGAATCTATTAATTTATTACTGAAATTTTGCACGCATATACGTCAATTTATTAAATTTAAGAAAAAAAGGACAAAAGGTCTAAATTTGGAAAATTTTTAAAGTTTAATGTATAATTAGTATTTATATTTCGTTTTGTTTAAATGTAAATTACATGCCTTAGAATCAAACAAAAGTATTGATTTTCTTTATAAAATGTCTTGCAGGCATCTCTTTGAGTGATTCCCTCATCAATCCATCGATTATGATGTATGTTAATTAATATGTATTGTAGAAAAGGCATTATTTCATAATGAAATATGTAAATAAATTCTAGAAATTAAATGACTGAATGTTTGATTAGTGACTTGACAGTGGTTACAACAAATCGCAAAGTAGAACATATTCTCTGAATATAAAAATTATTAAAAGAATCTCAAGCTTTCCACTATTGTTCATTCGTTAATAACGTAAGATTATAGACTCGTCGTCACTTTATTGCAATACAAAAAAGTTTTTTGAATTTCAAGCAAAACATTTGTCTTTAGCAGCAATGATAACTTCGTACTTCAAACGCGTAGATTCAATAATATTCGTATCTGTAAGTCATTGAATAATAATTTGCTATCCATATTTCGAATGTTTATTCAACTGAATGGATCACTGTTAGACATAGAGCAAACCTCCGCATATTTTAATCAAAATTTCGAAAAAATGAAAAGATTTTCTTATTAATTCAATTGAGTGCAATTATATATTTCTCAATGACGCAAGCGACATGTGTTTTTCCATTTCATTAATTCGTGTAATTTCACAGAAATGTGTTGTTGAATACAATCCCTGACGCATTTATTGTCTATATAAATCTGATGATATCGTTCTTCCCGTTTCAGACTCAAAAACAGGTAAATAGTTTTTATCTGTATATAACAATAGATGAGTTTTAAATAACTAGTGCCACTGATGATAAATTTCTATTTGCCATCAGACATCAATTTGACATAGCAGATGCGTGATTAATCCAATTTATTTAATTACATGGTTAAAAATGAAGTGACTTTGATAAACAAAAGAAAGGTGAAGTGGTTTTATTATTCCACTAAAATTGCTTAAAAATATTATGATAAATTGAAATCGCATGCACTTTATTTTAAATGTTGAAATTCAAATTAATACTCAACTACGTTAAGTACAAGGAGTTATGGGCAAAAATCATTTTCAGACGTAATACTACGTAAACATATCATTGCGGATTATTATCCTTTGATTTTCAAAACATAAATCTTATACTCAAGAACGTTCGGAAACTACAGTTTCTGTTTCTCGCTACTATTATGCAGATTACAGCAATCAACGGATACTTAGGTGCACGTGTTAAAATGGCGTTGTCACGACAAGTCTGATAAGCATATACAAGGCGGTCTTCAAAGTGTGCTATGTTACGTTCTTTTGTTCAATTATTTCAACATGGTCCATAAAACATTTACCAATTTTACTTGTCAGGTGTTACGTGTAAGAAATCGCACGAAGTTGTGCGAAGCTATCCAGGGGCTCAAAAAAACGTAACAGGCGATCGCGAAGGAACTCGATCCACAAGTGGGCAGTTGGAGTTTCATTCGAGTGCCAAAAATTGGAGAAGGCCGCGCATGGGCTATGGGGTAGCAATCTGGCAAGCTCTTTCCCCGCGAGGAAAAGCGGCGACGAGCGAGAATGCGATTTTCGGCCGAAACTGCGTGCGGAAATTCGCGCACTAGCGAAAGCCACTTGCAGCCTCGATTCGAGTGCGCGAGGCGGGCGCCGTAAGAGAATCGGATCGTTATTTCAGCGTCTGTGACGTTATCGGGCACGAAGACAAGCGAATCGATGAGCTTTCAAGTGCCAGCAGATACGACTGCAAGTAACCGATGATGTACTTGTAAGCGACTCCAAGCGGCTTGCGAGAGTAGGGATTTTTCATAAAGGAAACAAACAGTCGGCTGGATTTATAGCATTTGAAGCACCGTACAAATTCATCTTTATCCGTTTTATGCATCATACTCATTGAGATGTCGATTGCAGTGTTTAAATTTAAATTACGTACCTTCGGATGAAATATTAATCGTTCCACGAAACCTATAATTTTTTTACATAGAAGTTTATCGAGTTTTTCGCATCCACCATGCACATTTGATTTTCAATTATGCCAAGTGAGAATATGGTAAAAAATAATTTGTTAATTAATGTTATATCTACAGTGTCGGTCAAAAAGCAAGATAAAACCAATTAGTATAGAAAGATTTGGTTTTAATAAAAAGCGTCAATTTCATTGTTACCTTAAATAATAGTATATTACGGTACGATTGCGGGAAAAGTAGATTCTGGTCTTATTTAAACATAATGAAGTAGAGAGAAAAGGTAAGTAAAGACGATCCGTCGTACCGATCTTGGCGCACGTCCCGTCGGCGACCCTGGCAGCCGGAGCTGTGGCGCCGACGCGTACAAGTCGCGCGAGACGCGCACAGCCTAGATAACGAAAATCGGCGGAGGCCCATTGAGTCGCCGTTACTGGCTCGGCGCGCGGACGGACGAGCGGCAGCCAAGGAGGCGAGCGAACAAAAACAAAATCGATCATCTCCGTCGCGGTGACAACGCGTAGGTGAAGTCCAGCGCGCGGGGCTGCCGGAAATAGCCGACACGTGCGTCGAAAATAAGGGGACGCCCTCGACGCATCTACGTCATCGTCGTCGTCGCGGCGTCACGTCGCGCTTCAACCGTGCCGCCGCGGCCAATCGATAGTTCGTCCCGAACTCCCTCGGCGAATGTCGACCAAGTCTTCGGCGCTCGAGCACCGGCGTGCGTACGCAGACGCCCGCGCGAGCCGACTCGGATCTCCGCGCCACTCGCGCGAGTCGGCCGCGCAACGGCCCGCGACGCACGATTGTCGCGCGGCCCGCCGGCAAATCGCGTCGGCGGCGAATCCTCGTATCGCGGCGCGGTGGCGCCCCCCCCCCCCCTGTCGCGCCGCGCGCTCGGGGTGGCGATACGTCAGTAGCGGCTCGGCGCTGCCAGGCGCGTCGCTCAACAAGTGCCCGCTTCGGTCGTGGCCGCCGCCCGCTGCCGTGAGACGCGTGCTTGGGCCTCCGCGTCCGCCTCGTCGGCTCGGCGCCGCGCGCCAATTGAATTTGGCCGGGAGGCGAGTCGTAAGGGAATGGACCTCGACGGCATGAGGCGGCGTCGTCGCAAGGTCGGCCCGGCGTCCGCGGCGGTGACGTCGCGCGAGCGCACTCAGCGTCGCCTCGAAAGCAACGAGCGCGAGAGGATGCGCATGCACGACCTCAACGACGCCTTCCAGGTGAGTGCAGGCCGACGCTCCTGTCTTCCGGAGCGCGCTCGCGTGCCTCCTCGTTCGCCGGGGCAGACGGAAGCGCTTCGCGAGGGCCCGCGAGCTAATCGAGCGCGACGCTGCCTCTCGCGACGGCACGGGTTGGCCGAGTGCCGACGGCGCGCGTGGATCTCGCCGGCAGCGCGCGCGTGGCGGAGGCGGCCTGCGAGAGCGCAGACAAAGCGCGACGACCCGACAGAACTGCAAATCGCGACTCGAGCGAACGAGTGCACACGGCGAGCTAATTGCCCTTTTGTCCGTCGGCAGTCGTTGCGCGAGGTCATACCGCACGTGCCGAGGGAGCGCCGCCTGAGCAAGATCGAGACCTTGACCCTCGCCAAGAACTACATCGTCGCGTTGACCGATGTCATCTGCAGCATGCGCCGCGAGGACGAGCAACAGCAGCAGCATCAGCAGCAGCAGCATCAGCATCAGCAGCAGCAGCAGCAGCAGCATCAGCAGCAGCAGCAGCAGCAGCAACAACAGCGGAGCGCCGACGCCTTGTACGCGAACGGTGAGTTTGCTTTACACTGTTGAACTGCGAGCCCGAGGAGGAGGAGGAGGCAAGCAACGTATTGCCCAGCTAGAAGAAAATCGAAAATTGTCGCTTCCCGTTCGTCTTGAAACCCAATGAACGCGCGCGTAACCGCGTTAGCTGAAAATTCGTCCGAGGATGGGAAGTTGTTAGTGCCGCTGCTGTGGCTTTGACTCGCGCTAGAATGAAATCGGTTCGTTTGGATTGCGCTCGACACTTGTAAGATCCGAAGAGCGAAGCTGTTGCACGACAAACGATTACAGGCGGCAACGATGAGCTCGCGCTGCTGTGATCGTTGGCAGTCACGCTCCTCGTTGCAGCCACGACGTTAACGCGCGAATAAAGATAAAATTGGACTCGTCGAAATGGGAAGACGTTTCTCTTCGCTTTTCCGAGTGGGAACAAGTCGACCTGTCCTTGTCGGAATTCGAAAACGTTTGTTCGAGGAAGCTGCGCAGGATGGAACTTGTATCTTATCCCGTGAATTTCTAGTAGAGTTCACATCTGCATAGTCGCGTCTCGCTAACGGAAAATCGATAAGCGCGCGCGCAGCCTTATTTCAGCGAAAGAATCGGTCTCTGCAATCGAGTTTTCCAAATAATTTACTCGCGAGAGCGGCCTTGGCTGGATTGACGAGATCCGATCCGAAATTGCAGCGAGGCGAAGGCGGGACGAGACGACGCGCGCGCGTCAGCGAGATAGCCGTGGACGCTCGCGCGCACGCAGGTGACACTTTCGAAAGGGTCAGCGCCGCTCCGACGACGGGCGGCACGTGCCGTTCTTTATTTCCCTCCCCCGTTTCCATAGCCGCAGAGACTCGTCTGCCGAGCGGGTCCCGACGGCGCGGCTTTATAAGCGCGACGACGACGACGTATCGCAGCGGCAGCACTTCGGCTTTCGTAACTCCAATCGTCATTTCCGCGAATTTCCCATGGGGCTTTCGCCGGGGATTTCATTTTTAATATGCAACCCAAGCGACGCCGGCAGCAGCTCCCTCGGCAATCTGGCGCAGCGCTAATGAATTTCCTCTCGCGCTGCAATTGATTCAAACTGGTCTGTCGATAATATCGACTGCCACTTCGAGAATGATCCGCACTTTGGCTTCGATTATTTGGATACTCTTTAGGGTAATGCCAGTCTTTATGTGAATATGATTCTTGGAGTACTTGTGCCAGGCGTCTAATTATTGTACGCTTGCTGCCTATTTCAAGAAAGCGCCTTATTACGACGTATACATTCCGAAAATTATCACTTCTGTCAAGTTTCCGTGATAAATCAAACGAAAGACTATGAAAGGCTGGAGATACCAATTTGCCAAGTATATACGCTCAAAGAGGCAATTTAAAATATAGAAAAGAAAAACTGACTGTTGTAGATGTTAATACGCTGACCTGCTCGAGATCATCAAGCCCCGGTAGATTCTGCGGGACGAACGAGGTGGATTCTATATGGGACAGCGATTCGCTGTCAAGCTTCGGCACTGGCCTCTAACTCAAGTCGCGAAACAAATGAACCTTCCGAGCGAGAAAGGCATCGCGCAGATATTTTTGATATGAACCAGTTATAATGGAGCGAACGAACAAAAAAACCAAGATGCTTTCACGACGATGCCACTTTTATTCTGTATGTTTTCGACTCCTACGTCTGATTGTTACTTACTACACCAAATGATATATTATATAGAAGACTGCTCTCTGTATGTTGTAGATATGCTAGGCAAAAAACGTATACGCGAGAGGTGAAAAAAAGATTTTGCGCTTCTTTTTTTCCTTGAGCGCACAGTTAGTATTCGACGAACGCAAGCGTGCGATTTATTTATTTATATTTGCACGTTTATTTCGACTTTCCGTATAATCGTAACTCCTTTTTTAAATAGATTACAGAGATTTTATTTTTATTAACTGAGTTATTTACAATGATGTTGGTTTTTTCGTGATGGATAAACTTTAGTAAGTAAAGAATTTTGAAATCTCTTTGAAGAGCTTCGGATTCCTCAGACTCATGTGATGCTATTTAATATTAATAAGAAGTGCGTATACCAGCGCATCATGTACACACTTTTTATTAACTATATTCCCAGCGGGAATATTGAGCCAAAAAACTTTTAACCAAGTCAACGACGCTTGGGAAATATACGATAAGTTCTAGCCAAGTAAATTACGGAACAGAAAAAAATCTATACGCATGTTATACCATATACAAATATATATATAAATATTATATGCTAAATATAAGAAAAAGTCTATGTATGTAAAAAGATAAATTAAATGATATATCCACGTATAATACAAAAATAATGAATAAATAAAAGTTCCATTGCACAAACTATTGCAAACAAAATTTTTTACAAACCCTTTCGCATTGTCTCACAAGATTTACGGATATAAAATATTATTATTCCAATTGAATACTACCGAATGAAATCTGCTTTGCATCTAACGATTCTAAATCAACTAAAACCGCCGTTTGTGTTGTTGCAAATTTAGGGATGCAAATCAACCTGATTGGTTGCCCTTCATAATCGCCTTTCCCGTTAATACCTATGCAAATTCCGTTATCAAATTTACTACATGCTATTTTTAATTTTTCATTTCTTATTGTAAAAATATCTATAATTACTTACCTTGGAGTAGTTTTGTTTCAAACTTTTCCATATTGCCAGCAAAATAAATATTAGGATGAACATTCATAACAAGAGAATCCGACTGATCAAAAGGATACTCTGCTAATGTATCTGGTGCTGTTGGAGCAAAATGCATCCACTCTAAAGTTTTTTCCAACCAGTGAATTGGAGAAACATCAACATTTGATACCTTTATAATATCCAGTATTGGTTGACCACTAGATCCGCCAATTATTCTTGAACCAATTTTACCAATCCAAGGATTGGTAGCTCCATGTAAAGTTCCAACTCTGTGATAATTATCATATTTTAATATATAAAATAGTTTTTTCATAAATTTCATAAGCTTACTTGAGAGTTAATGGTAAAATATGAGGATGAATTGGGTGTTGAGGAAGCGAATGGCATGTTGGATCAAACTCTCCTGGCAATAATGTCACAGTGCAGGTATGTGCAATTCTACTGATAAAACTGTCAAATCTATTTGTTGCTACATTTATATTTGCAGCAAATAGAGAAAACTTTTTCTTATTCTCAAAATAACCTTTTCTAGTAAAGGTTTCTGGTGAACCTCTAATACTGTTCCCTAAAGATACCAACATTTTTTAAACAATTTTCACATATAGCTGTGTATATAGCATCAATTTTGTTCATTTTACCAGCTATTATCACACGCACTATACTAGCTGCTTTCTCTTGAAAAGATTCATCTCCTACAAAACCATTAATCCAGTCACTTAATAGTTGTTGAGCAAGGCAAGCTCCTTGATTTATAAAATCTAGTCCTGATATAAACAACAAAAACTTTCCATGATCTTTTGCACAACTGCTTGGAGTTTGAGTAAGAGGTTTGAGGTGCAATCCAGGAAAACAAAAATCATCTACCTGTATTGAAAAATTTTTAACAACTATACTAAATGTAAAGATTTTATATTTTTCTATCACATCTTACCCAAAATGTTCCATCACTCAACCCATGACCATTGACAGCACAAACTAGTCCAGTAACCAATGTATCTACATTTAAATTACCAACAAGTTTAACACGAGCAACGTCATCTTCCAAAAACAATGAGTCTCTAGGAGAACAATAATTTTGTCTTGGTGGCTGAGGAATAGTTTGGAGCTCCTCTGACATTTCTTTCAAGATTGATGGTTTCAATTCTTGATGTTTGTACAGTGTGCCAATAATGATGCATGGCGTTTCTTCGTACTTATCTTTTGTTAAATCAACAATTTGCAGAAAATCACGATCACCTATCGTACAAACATCATTTTCTTTAGCAGCATTAAGCGTATTTTATGGAATACGATTGAGGTTAAATAACTCACTCCACTTTAATTTCGCACGTTTCAGAACTTCAACTTTCAGCGAGGCTAATCGAGCCTTGTAAATTCCAGAAAACTGCCTAGAAAAACTTCTGGAATCGATTTTAAAGCTCTTAAAGTCCTCGAATTCGGCACTTTTACGTTTAAATTTAGCCATCTCAACAACGAACAGCTAAGCTTTACGCTTCTCAAAATACCCAGCATCATGAAGTCGCTCTATTTTACGTTTTGACGATCGAGTCGACACAAGATTTTTCTGTTTTTCATAATTTTTTCAGTTGTTTTTTTCTACCTTTTTCGTTAATTTGTTTACATATGAGCGACTGGTGTACACATAGTGCGGCTGCGAATCAGCTGATTGCTCACTGACAAGGTTGTCAAATTTATAACTTCAAAAATTTTTTATTTAAAATATGAACATTATAAGTTCTCTTGGAAATAACAATTATTTCTTCGTGTTTATCTAATGATTGATAAAATTTGATTTTTTGAGACATTTTTTACACAGATTGAAAAAAATTTTCATATTTAAATTTAGTTGTACTGGCAACTACGCTAAAAAATTTCATCTGTAGGTTATAAATTACTATACACTTTCAAGCTAGTGTATTTGTTCCAAAATGCGGCGTTTCATTCCATTTAATTACAGCTGAAATTTCGTCACTATTGTTAAATAAGAGTGTCAAATATTAAGCAAGATGACTGATAAAGAGGAAAATAAAAGCGACAACTTTTTGAGGTATGTACTTTTTTCAAATTATATAAATGGAAAGTATACAATAAAAGTAACCTTCACTTTGTTTAATTTAAATAAAAACTGAATTAACAATATATTAGCGTTTACATTTAACATTCATTGATCAGTAGGAATTTAAACAAGTAATTTGAACGTGTCATATTAATGAATTTGTATGACTTAGAACTTAGAAAATATTTTATTTATACACACACACACACACACAAAACATTCGCTTTTGTGTATCTATTTTAATCTATAAGTAACAATCTTTATAAGTAAACAATCATGTCATCTACTCCTAAATAAAACATTCTTCATCAATATAATAAATATTTTAAATTACATGTAATATTACAGTGCGAAACAGCTTTTAGAAGTTAGGGGGGTTGGCCGTGTAGCTTGGGATGATTGGGAACAATCTGAAACTGCATTGCCCACAATTGGGGAAAAGCATTTTGAACCAACACATTCATGGCTGGAAAATATGCAAATTGAGAATGGTTTAAAAAACCGTAAAAAGCTCCTAAAACTGGAAAGAGTAACTAGAAATTCTAAATTGGCTGTGGCTGAATGGTTACCTGGAATTCAAAAAGCCAAAGTTATTAAAAAATCTGGACAAAAATGGGACAACTTTGGCACTTACGAAAGAAGTAATTTTTATCTCCTGCCTGAAGAAGCTTTAATGTTATTAGAAATGGTAAATGCAAATCTCAATTATTTTTTAAATACTTTTTGAACATTTTATTAATGTGAATTAAATTACACTACTGCAGAATAATCTAGAAGTTCTTTGGAATGGAATGCCATTATCTATCCAACAAGCCTATGAAGTCATGATCAATGCAGAAAATTCAAAGTGTACTCTTGACGAGTATAGAGTATACTCACAACTAGTCAAATGGGGCTACAAGTTGCAAAGATTTCAAGATAAGTCAACAATGGATAACAAGTTTTCTAATGTTCCAAAAAGAATTATCATGAATCCAGAAGGATTGTGGACCCTAAACACATCTCCTACAATAGAAAAAAGAACTACAGACAGTAAGAATAAACTGTTCTCTTTCTTATATAATTTCCTTGATAAATATCTATAAGGATATTTTTTATAGATTCCAGTACAACTTCCAAGACTGATAATGGAGAGAATGATGTGATGCCAATTTCAAGTACAGATCAATCTGAGAATGATAAGTCACCTAAAAAACTAGGAATTGTTTCAGAAGAAACAGTACTGGGGAGTATAAAAATTATTAAAAATACATCACCAACTGCAACTAAAAGTTCTAGCAATGGAAGTGCATCTGGAAAATGGTCCGGTTCGCGTATTCAGCGTAACGTAAAACTTATGCCGAAAAGAACTGAGAAAGCAAAAAATGCGACTGACATAGTCTCAGAAGTAATAGAATCTCCTAGTTTTTCACCTCAGAAAAGGCAGTCTGATATGACACTGAGTCCCACAGCAAAGAAAATCAAACCCGAAGTAAATAATTTTTCAATTAATTGCTATGAAACAATCAAATTATTTATGTGCTCTCTAATAAACAAATTTATTCTGCAGGTCATTGAGTTATCGGACGACGAGATTGAAGAAATTCCTCGTCAAATGACACGAACGGAGATCTTAAATACATTCCCTAACTTGGCTCCTTCAGTTTCGGAGGTAATTGTGGAAGTACCTCGTCGTTATTTACCACCGGGAGTCAAGCCAAGTCGTGAGGTCTATTACTTCAATCGCAATGCTTTGATGAATCTTACGCAGACAGACAATATGTTGAGAGCAAACATAGAAGTGTCACAAATCAACAACGTATCCAACGGCCATTTCTATTCGCAAGGGAGTAGCAGTCAGTGCCAAGCGATCACCACATACAACTCCAACAATGGTTACTTGTATAGAGGGATGAGATGCCAACGTGACGGCAACTCGTACATTCAACAGAATGTATCTCACAATACAATTCATAATCCATTGTCGGGTACTGTGTTGCAGAGCAACTATTTTAATTTAGTACTCGAAGTGATGGGTAGCATGGTACGATCATTTCGCCAGCAGCAGTATCAACAAACGACATTTTGTCATCAGAATGTGCAAATGTTTTCACCGCGTTTTCCACAGCCACATGCGTCACAGCGAATGCAACCTTATTCCATGCATTACGATGCTTTGCCGAATAGAGATCTTTATTACAGAAGAGGAGGTGGAGGAGGAGCTTTACCTTCCACTAGTTACCAAAGAGGTAAATGTTCGTTTCAATTTATTTTCAATACAATTGAAAATGAAATGTTGATATTTGTTTTCTGTTTGATTACAATAGGCAGAGGGTATGCACATACGACTTCTTATAATTTTCAACGACCACTTCAAGAAGACATCGTGTTCCAACCTGCATTTACAAAACGACCAGGTGTGGATTCGTGGACAGATCTGAAAAAGAAGTGGCGAGAGGAAACAACCATCACGATTGAAGATGAAGAACCAATGCAAGTTAACGAGTCAGAGGACAACAGCGAAATTCAAGTTGTCGAGACCATCAGTCCGCTTATCAGCTCGAAAAATGGAATATCGAGTATGGCTGAAGTTTACGAAAGATTGAGAATTATAAAATCAGCGACAGACAAAACGGTCAGGTCGAGAAAAGTCGACTATTCTCTCTCCTACGAAGTTTTTTCCGTCAAGCAACAGTTTAAAAAGTCGGCTCCTGGTGAGCCCATGTGCCGCTTGTACGTAATAAAGTAAGTACTTTTTATTAATTTTCGTTTATTGTTAAAACAAATACACTTATATTCTCTAATTAAAACCATCAATTTGCAGTTCGAAAAAGGAAGCACTCTTGGATGCTAGTAAAATACAGAGACTTCAACAGGAGTCGAAGGATGTTCCACTGGTGGTGGCATTTGTCTCGCAATCTTGTATCTCGTACGTTCAACCCGGTGTAGTTCACCTACCGTATTTATCCTAGAAAGTAGAATTCTGTATATATATAATAATATCGACGTATTATATGGAGAACTGAATGAACTTCATGACTATCAGCGCAGCCCGAAGGAGGAATTATTTTTGTTTGTAATTTATATATATATTTCTACAAATATTTTTAGTGATTATGATTATGTTGATACAAAAAAAAACTACTAGAAATGCAGTTTTAACATTGAAAACAAAAAATTAAAAATTTGTTATTATTCAATAATCAACCTATCTTCAAATGAAAATTCAAATTCACAATCTCCTAGCTTCCCATCTCCCGCGCTCATCACTTCCGGTATGCAGCGCCAATGTGCGGACGAATAAAAAGAAAAGCCTACCTATAACAACAAATAGTAAGTCGCGATAAAAATCTCCGCGCCATACGTGATCACGCATTTTCTACATTCACAGGTGAAACGTCAGAGAAAGAGAAACAGTATAACGCAAGAAGAGGTGGATTCGAATCTTAAAACGAGTCTCTAAAAAGCAGAGGCGCATTTCTCTTACGCCTTTATTCGCGACAGTACATCGTTGGATTGACAAGTGCTACATATATCGCCATTCGTTTGACTGCTACCGTGTGTGCATAAAACTTAACCTCGTCGCAGTAGCAAAAGGGTAGTCAAGAAAATAATGTGTTATATGTTCTCTCATTAGTGCGCGCCCACCGCCCCGAAAGTTTATTGCCATATAGCGTACGATGGAAGCGAGCGGTGATCATCACTCGCTATTTACGCCGGGTTTACGTCCTGATTGCAGTAGTCGTCACCTCGAACGAGTCAACGATTCGTAAAATGGTGAGTGCCTTCTTGGGCCTTTGACCAAGGTTTCTTGTATTTTTGTTGTTTTCGCAATGCCATCTCCATGGAACCTCTTTTCACTCGTTAGCATTTTTGTCATACGTAAACAGTGTATTTGTACTTTTGTGTCTTTCTCTTTCAATGTCGCGATTGAATTTCAATTTCTGCTTTTGGCTTATCTTCCAATGGTTTCAAGTTCTTTTTTTTGCTTATGCCGTAATGTCGGCGCTGATAAGAGAACGATACTGTTTCAGTAGAAAACCACTGTTTGATCAACATTTTTCATTTTTAATAGCTGGTTTGATAATTGTATTCGAATTGTGTGCAGACTCGCAAAATCGCAAGTATATATAGTCATCCGAATGAATCAATGAATTATCGTTTCAGGGTGCCAATATATCTCAGTTAGAGAGGGACATTGGCTCTGACCAATTTCCTCCAAATGAACATTATTTTGGATTAGTTAATGTAAGTTACATCTGTATATATCATCATTATTATGAAGCTGTTGTAAGGTTTAGTTTATGTATATGGTTTAAAATTGAAAATAAATGATGCACTATGATTTATTGGAGATAAAATCCAATTAATTTAAGTTAATTAGATTATTTGTGAATTTTAAAGTCATGAAAATAGGTTTTTCTAAATTTTATGATATAGTGATATATTTGCATGGGTACTCTTGTGACTTGATATGGCTTCTTAGTTAAATATGAAATTTAATTAAGATTCTTACGAACTTGTTCAACTATAAATATATTTGATGACTTCACTAATTGTTTTGATTTTCCAGTTTGGTAATACATGTTATAGCAATTCAGTTTTGCAAGCCTTGTACTTTTGTCGGCCTTTTAGAGAAAGAGTTTTAGAATACAAGGCAAGGAACAAACGTACCAAAGAAACTCTTCTGACATGTCTGGCAGATTTGTTTCACAGTATAGCTACACAGAAGAAAAAAGTTGGCTCAATTGCTCCAAAAAAATTCATAGCTCGACTAAGAAAAGAAAAAGGTAGGTTGAGAAAAGAAACATATGAATTTTAGTCACTTAGAAAGACTTCAAAAATATGCTAGTCATAATTTGTTGGCTGATGAATTATCACAAATTTTGGAGAATCGATGAATTGAGATTAATAATGATACAGCTTTATGAGATGTTTCAGTAAAGATGATGCAAAATAATTGAAATGTTCTGTTCTTTGCAGAGGAGTTCGACAATTACATGCAGCAGGATGCTCATGAATTTCTCAATTTTCTTATCAATCACATCAATGAAATTATCCTAGGTAACATGAAATTTCTTTAACTATTTCCTGAAACAAAATCAGATAAAATTGACTAAATTATTATTATTACAGCTGAGAGAAATCAGAGTAAGCCAGCAGGTGGAAAAGGAGCAAATGATTCTGGAACCCCACCAGAACCTACATGGGTGCATGAAATTTTTCAAGGTATTTTGACTTCAGAGACTCGCTGCCTTAATTGTGAGACTGTATCTAGCAAGGATGAAGATTTTTTTGATCTTCAAGTTGATGTCGATCAAAATACTTCTATTACCCACTGTCTCAAATGCTTTTCCAACACTGAAACACTCTGCAGTGATAATAAATTCAAATGCGATCACTGTAGCAGCTACCAAGAAGCACAGGTAAAATTTAAATCAATAACAAAGAATATTTTGAAAAAAACTTTTCTTAATGTATGAATAACATTATATTTTATTTCTGTTTCTAGAAAAGAATGATGTTGAAAAAACTACCAATGATTCTGGCTTTACATTTGAAAAGATTCAAGTATGTTGAACAATATAATAGGCACATTAAAGTTTCACACAGGGTAGTTTTTCCATTAGAACTTCGACTCTTCAATACAGTAAGTTTTTGAAAACGGTAAAAAACGTGAGTAGTTTTATGACCAGATAACATTAGTTAAAAATAATTCTATTTGCAGAGTGATGATGCCGTAAATCCAGACCGATTGTATGATTTAGTGGCTGTAGTAATTCATTGCGGCAGTGGACCTAATAGAGGACACTACATTTCAATTGTCAAAAGCCATGGATTTTGGTTACTCTTTGACGACGACATGGTTGACGTAAGTTAAATGTTCAAATTAAAAATACAGTATTCAATTACCAAACATTTAATCGAACATTATTCGATATTTTTTCAGAAAATCGATTCATCTGCAATAGAAGATTTTTATGGATTGACGTCAGATATCCAGAAAAATTCCGAAACTGGGTACATTTTATTTTACCAATCAAGAGACTGCAGTTAAAAATAATTTCTATGGAGAGATTTTTATTCTAATGTCTATAAACGCTCTGCTTTCGTCGATTATCTATGGCTTTACAATCACAAAACAATGCAATGTAAATTAGCCAAGACGTTAAAATAAGCAGTTAAATATTGTGCGAAACTCTTATCTCTGTTAGATTTTTTATCAATACCGGATGGTATTTAGTTAATTTTTGTGCAAGATGCAAAAGTTTCTGTGATAATCTTCTGGATTTACGTACATGAGTTGAAGATAAGCAGAAACTTTGATCTCGCTCTTTAACTAATTCATAGTCAAAGGACGACATTATTACTATGGAGAATTTCAATGAATTGCACGTTTAGCGATGCTTCTAAAGTTTATCATTCTTTAACAATGAACTAGTATATGCTGTAAATTTACGAGTTTGTACAATGAACTGAGAATTTTATATTGGCTTCAAGTGAATTATTCAATTTTATTCTAAGTATTCAACGAGTCAAAAAAAGATTTTTAGCTTACGGCAGGTTACGCGTAGAGCGTCTTTCTTTAATTAATTCCTTGAAAACTTTTGGTACTGAGTGTGAAAGATTAGCAAATGTGCTAGAAATGTTTGTGCTGCATGTATACACAGTGGGTCTGTATATCAGACGTGAATAGGAAATAATATGTAGGATAATAAACACGAATACCTATTCACCTCTGTTTACATCCATTATGAGAAAAGATTTTAGTTTGTATTATTGATCAATATCGCATAAACTCGAATTACTTTTATATTAAGAAATCAAGTATAACGGAGATTTAATCATTAATTTTACGCATACTAAAGAAGAAGAAAAAGAAGCTAAACGGCGAGTGAAAACGAATTAAAATTTTTATTTTTACTTTTCGATTGTAACGGAATTCGAGCGATTGTCACGAATATAGTATTAGAAATTACTTTGAGCTATTTATAAAAGTTAGCCTTTTATCTATTACGTTCAAAGCTATTATGATATAAAGATAGATATTTTTTTAAGTAATTATAATTCTTATTGAAAGTGTTTTTAAAAAGTTAGGAAATGTATAGTCTTGTTAACTCGTAGTAACAATACATAAGTCATATTTGCCATGTATCTTTAATTGATCAACATTTGGTTGTTTTTGCTGTTAAACAACTAATCAATGATTCCAATACAAGAAATGAAGTGTATTTTCATTTTTAAATACACAGACATTTTTACATAGTTGAAAGTTTGATATTGATAGCCAATACGTGATATGATGCATGCTCTTTTGAATAGTAAAATGGTACAAAGAATTGATATAAATTTTCTATTTATTTAAAGAACTAAAAAGAAATGCAAAATAACAAATCTTGATTACTCAAAATGTAAGAAAAATAAATCATTGATTCTTAGATGCTAATTGTAGAATTTACTTTGTTTTAATTCGTTTTTACGTGCTAGGAGTAGAAGCTCATTCATTATATATAAGGTATATTGATTGTAATAATTATATGCGTTAAAGCTAGTCTACATCGAGGAAAGAAATCATGTCAACATCATTCATTCAAGCCATTGATTTCTGACGAACTCTGCGCTATCCGTGTTGGAGACATTATCAAATTCTATTAAATTGTAAAAAGTATGACTGATAATAAAATCATTGTTATGAATGTATGAGAAAATAATGCATTTATGAAAAAAATCTCTTAAATCCTATAATAATTTGATTTTTTATTTTAATAAACATAAAATATTGATAATAATTATTATCTTTTTACAAAAATTTAGTTTAATTTACTGAAGATATCACTCAAATAAAATAATCCAATATAAGTTTCACGCCTATGCTGTAAGCAGTATGCAATAACAAAATTCACCAGTAAACATGGTGTTCGTAAACATATTAATTTTGATTACACAATAAAAAACAATCCAAATGATTAAAAAATTTCCAAATTAACGTACTGACTTGAAACTTTGTATTCACACTTATACCTGCTTATACTAGATGGAACTCTTACAATGTAAAATACATTACGATGACATCACCATCTTCCGAGAAGTCACGGACTTATTGAACGATCCTCGTAATCTCGCATGTAACCATATGTTCACTATGTACGAGGGCTGTATGATACGTACCCATGTTAGGCAAGAAAACTCATTTAAAAAAATTGTCTTTACTTATTTCTCAATGTAGTCTCCTTTTAGTTTGATACATTTAGACAAGCGATATTCTAACTTTTTCAAGCCATCCAAAAAATATGATTTGTCGAAATCGCAAAATAGGCCTCTGTTTCGACGATGATTTTCTTTTCTGACGAGAATCACTTTCCGCAAATCTATTTTTTCAAGCTTGGAAAAAAAATTGCAAGAGGAAAAAATATTGAATAGAGTGGGCGAGGCAGCAATTCGTAATTAATCCTGCCAGTTATAATATGGCAATTGTGGATGAGTGAGCAGGTACATTGTCGTAATGAAAAAGGACTTTTTTCACCGAGTAAGGCCATTCTTTTTATTAATTCATCATTGAATCGATCCAATAAATCAGTATAGTACTGCCCCATGCTCGTCCTTTCTTTCTTCAAACAGTCGATGAAGGTGATGCCTTGTAAATCCTAAAAATAATGGCTATGACTTTTGCTGTCGATGAAACCGCGTTTTCGCCTTATGATTGGAATTGTTTCACTAGGTGAAATTCATTGTTTTGACTTCTTTCATTTCTGACATATAGTGTTGGATCTATGTTTCGTCAACAGTTACGAAACGCCGTAGAAATTCTTTCGGATTGCGTTTAAAGATGTCCAAACAGTGCTCTAAAGTTGTCATGCAATGATCTGTTTTTGCTTTACTGTTAGCAAACGCAGTACCCATCCCTCCACTAGCTTTTTCATGTCCAATTTTTTATGTAGGATATTTTTTATGCGTTTAATCGAGGTGTGTAAAATATCAGCAATCTCTCTGACTTTCATCCGACGATCTTCTAACACGATCTGTAGTCATTTCAATCGGACGGCCTGAGCGCTTTTTATAAAAAACGGATGTTCGGCTACGCTTGAATTCATTAAACAAAAATCCGATGGTAGTTATCGAAAGTGCATGTTTCTTAAAAATGACATGCAACTTAACTTTGATTTCCTCAAACGTCTTTCTATTTAAAAAAGAAATCGAATAAATGATGATCGATATTGCTCTTTCTCTATGAATTACAAATAAACACATACTTGATAACTCCAACAGCTGTCAAAACAAAATTACTCGATAAATCTGTTTAAAATTTTAATAGTCATCATTACAATGATGACGCTACATGTTGGCATAGATAGAGAGCTATTAACGTTATTGGCTCATAAGAAAAATATAAGAAAAACGTAAGAACATGTTGGAATTGAATTGAATTGAATGGTGTTTTTATTGGCTTCATAGATTTATACATCGCCATGATACAACATGTTGGAATATAAATTTTGCGTCAGTGGTGCCATCTGTCGATAAATGCAGGTAATTATCATACAGCCCTTGTAAGACGTACTTCGAGAATAAGGTAACAGCAGAATAATACTCAAGTCCAAACAGCCGAATTTCATTCGGAAATGGTGGGAAAGCCGGCAATCGGCTTACTGACTTTTCTGTGTTTTACAAGAAGACTTAACGCGGAAACTGTTAGAACAATGAGTAATTATACAGGACTTCACTCAGTGGCTTACGTTACTGTTCCATCAGAAGAAATTGCGAAAAAATTAGCGCAGTAAGTACATTTGTTTTCATTTGGCTTTTAAATAGATAATAGTAGTTTAACAATTATTAATGACATCGCTCTGTTTATTTTTTAAGTGGGATAGTATCGAAAAAGTTGGCGGCTTGTGTTAACATTATCCCGAAAATCACGTCAGTGTAAGTTGATTATTTGGAACATAACTGATTGAAAATAGTTTGTTTATAAAACATTTATTTTAGGTATGAGTGGAAAGATGAGATTAATGAAGATAATGAACTTTTGTTGGTAAATTATTTTTCTAATATTTAGTCTTTGCCATTGTTTGATAGAATTTTACTTAAACAATTAATAAATGTTTCATATAGATGATCAAAACAAGGACTGATACTGTTAATGCTCTGACTGAATACGTTAAGTGAGCATCCAATTTTTTTAAATTTTCTAATTTTGAAATAAACTTTATATTACATTTTTTGCAGGAAAAATCATCCGTATGAGACATCTGAAGTAATATCTCTGCCGGTGAGTAATTTAATTTATGTATTCTACAATTAAAATTAAAATATTAAATAAAAATGTTATTTACTTTTTTAGATACAGAATGGTAACGAAGCATATCTGAAATGGATTGGTGAAATAGTACCCCCAATTCATGAAAGAGAAGCAATGGAAAAAAAAGATAAGTAAAATATTGAAAAGTTATGACTGTAAATTATTAAATTATGTGTCCTCCAAATTGTATTTATGTCATGAATAATTAGAATATTATTTTTGTATGTAATCATGATTATATCTTTTCTTTTGAAAATAAAATAATTTAAGAATAATACAAACTTGTTTACGTTCTTAAACAAAAGACAACAGATGTTGTAAATACAAATGAAAGAAACACCATCTTAGTTATTATAAATTAAATTTATTCCAACTTATGCTATAAATTCATAGGGTATAGGAGCTAATAGTTGAGGCTTATCTTTGCCAGATATGTGTGCCAGGTTTGGTTGGGCTGGTTGCCTCTTAAGGGACACCTGGACCCTATTTTCTTTGGCTTCTTTACGAAGCTTCTCATTCTCTTTGACCCTTGTCAAGAAGTCTTCTCTACACTTGGAATGGTTAACGTGCTCAATTCTGACATTGATTCTTTTATCAATGATGCGTCCACGTACTCTTTTGTTGACAATAACTCCCAAAGCATGCTGGGTAACATTGAATACCCTTCCAGTCTTGCCATGGTACGCTTTATAGGGCATACCCTTCTGCACAGCACCATTGCCTTTAATGTCAACAATATCACCAACTTTATATACCTTCATGTAGGTAGATAAGGGGATGACTCCATGTCTACTGAACTTCCGCGAGAACAGGTCTCGCGTTCTCCTGCGGTAACCCTTGGAATTTGTCATTTTGGATCACTTAACTAGAAAATGCAATAATTTTAAACAATTAAACTTCCATACCAAGAGGGCTTGAAATTGACTAAAGTTAGGTTAGATTTATTGTGAGAACGAAATGAATTAGATAAGTTTTTCAGCGGTGTATTTTCCCAAAATAATTAAATTGAAATAAATGAAATCTAATTTCCAAGTGTAATTAGCAATATATCGCAAATTTTATGTAGAAACAAAAACCAATGCAAAACACACGTGTCAACTCGCGTCAAATTTGTTACAAAATACTACTTACGTTTTGACTATTACAAGATCATAATATATTTAGGGAAATTGATTTGGAAAATTGTTTGATTATTGTTTCGTGAAAGCCCACGATATTTTTTGTTTTTTTGACAAAAACAATAAAATATTTAGAAAAAAGTGATAAAAACTTACGTTGCTTAACCAAATCTCTAGGAAAAAGAAATTGAAGAACAAACTAAACATCTACTTCTTGAATCGATAGATCGAAGTGTGCTTAAATCGATGGGCTGTAGCAAAGCGTTTTTATAAAATTTCAAAATGCTAGTCGTGATATATCATATATTATATGATATATATAATATAAATATATATGTGTCAATCAACATCGACAGTATTTTACTATTATATAAAATGAAATTTGACAAGAAGAGCATAAAAATAAAAACCAAATTTTAAAATTTTAAATTTTAAATCAATTGGAAATTGAGTAATATTTACCAGTTCTTATAACCTTATTAAATTAGTTATTTCTAAGTGTAAAATGATCGTTGCGCTGTGCTTAAAAAATGAATTTCGATTGATAAATAACTATGAATTATTCTATATTTTTGATGTTATACGTAGTGCTTATATTCGGTTGGTAATTCTCGCGGCTCTTCGAAATTTTCCGGTTCGTTCTCACCAATACATCTTTCGTCGCCCTCGTCCTTCACGTCTTATTCGAATTTTTTTAGCTCGGAGTAGAATAATTCGTAACTTTTACCTGTAGGTAGTCGACATGTACTTTTGAAACAATTGAAAACGAAAAGCGTACTCGCTTGTTTCCAAAATTCTTGGTTCCTTCGGCACGGATTCGTTTATTAGCCACGTCGCTCTTTCATTTTAATTCTAGTTGTCTGTCAACATAGAATCAACAAATATTGAAATTCCACGACTGTACACGCAGCAGCGCGCGTTATTTTTATCCAACCAATCGTCTTGATTTTCGACTTCTCGACGTTCTTGTTGATTTCCACGACATCGATAAGTTTCGTTTGCCTAATTTTCTTGACTGAATTGCCTTGAAAATATCGCAACTCGGCGTAAAATATTTGATTCGTAAATATATTAGTGTTCGAATGTATTGATTTAATTTTTCATTCTTGCAGTAATGCTATTGTTTTTTATGATACAAATAATACATCTATTTTCAACGGATTATGACCGGAGAGCGCAATGTAAATAAGGGGGCATAAGCAGGGATGAGTTCTGACACTATCTAAACAAGAAGCAGTCGGTCGGCCATTCGAATTTCCTCTAGTCAGGCGCGCTTTCGTGCTGTCATGATTTGTATGTTAACCTTGCAGCGATTCATATCTGTGTCTGTAATGTATCAAATCTGTATAAATTTATCCAATAAAGCTTTCTATTCTCGGGCGACAGCAGAACAATATTCAGCTCCAAATTTCATTCGGCACGATTGGTACGGGGAAAAGCCGGCCCTAATCGGCTTACTTTTCTGCGCTTTGCAAGAACATTTCTCAAATTTCACGTCTAAACGAAAACCAATGTGAAGATTTGCTTTAAACATACGGCTTACGCGTGCACTATTACAAAATTTTATTTATGCCGGCAAATTTATATTTAGAAAATGGTTGTTTGGATTTTTGTCTATGACAAGAGCTCGCGATATTTTTGGCTTTTTCGACCAAAACCATAAAATAAATTAAAGAAAGACAAAAAAGCCGTGCGCGACGTTTCTTGATTCCAAAGCATAATGAAAAAGAAGTTAGAGACTTGTTGCTCCTTGACGCTCTGTGACGTCATCGCTCCCGGGTAAACCTATATCATAATTGCATTAAAAAAGCAGTGGAATAGTTTTTAAATCTAATTATTTTTCGCTATTGTCTCGGATAATAAACACGACTTTATCGTGTGCTCCAACCGAGCTGACAACACAAATATATAAATAATGCAGTATTTTGAATCGCACGCACTGGAAGATCAATTTTTCAATCAAATCAAAACACATCTGCGTGCGATGCGTGAGACTGGAAATATAATTCATCCGATGCAGCGTGTATAACGCAGGGGCTGAGCGTCCACATCTGAAGGAAAAAAATTTCACAGAGGGACAGTGAAAGAGAGAGAGAGAGAGAGAGAGAGAGAGAGAGAGAGAGAGAGCTGGCGCCAATGAGGCATAAAAATACACATCATCTCACGAAGCGCGCGTGAGAATCGCACACGTATACACATATTCATCAGAGCAACGACGGCAAGCGCGGAGGGAGAGGTGTCCCGGTGCACTTGTCGGCACTTTTAGCGTTCTAGCGTGAGCAGCGTAATATCCAGTCATAATTCCTGCCAGCGCGAGTTTCGGGAGCGACTCGCTGTATACGTGCCTTGGAAAATTCATCTGATCGCTGATGCGCATCTTTCACCGAAAATCATCATCAGCATCGCGGCCTCGCTGCTGCTGGATAATCCGATCGCGAGTGACCCCCGCCTAAATACTACAAGTGCGAGAAGGATAGTAAGTGTGAGAGAGTTGGTTGTCTCGCTCGGCGTGCCTCCTCTCTCTCTTTCTCTCACTCTCTCTTCTCCGCGCGCGCATTCGTACGAGCTTTGTCACGCTCGCCTGCCTTCTTTCCAGCCAGCGCCATAGCGCTCCCACGACGACGTCGACTACGTGCGAGAGAGGCATATAGTAAGCTGTCGAGGATCGCCGCCGCAGCAGTAGCCGGACACACTAAGGACGCAGCAAAATGCAAGCGATCAAGTGCGTCGTCGTGGGCGATGGGTAAGTGCTAATTACACTTCCACAGCTTCCTCGTATCTCGTCTAAAATCTCGCGAGGGGAGTCGGCTCTTCTTTTACTTGGGCTGGGCCTCCGTGTGTGATAACGACTATGAGTGAGAAAGACGGAGATATACGGAGAGACTATGCAAGAACTATGTAGTCGTTTCGATGTTCGCGAAGACGACGACGATAACGAAGATAATATGTCTCCAGAAAGCGATTCGCGATCATGGGCGTGGTGTAATTGTTTTTCCTTTCTGCAAGACATACTTGGAAGCATGCATGCATGGACAGCTAGTGAATCATAATATCTAGTTTCATTAGTCCGTGTGCCGCGTATTTGGCACAGATTATCCGTAATTCTAGCTGCAGACTTAATTAACTTTGTTTCTGATTCACTTTTGCATCAGTTTTAACATTGGGTTGGATTCTTGTGAATCAGTGGAATATGTACAAATGGATAATAGCCAATTTTCTTTTCTTTTTCAGTGCTGTAGGTAAAACTTGTTTGTTGATCAGCTACACCACCAATGCATTCCCTGGAGAGTATATACCAACAGTCTTTGACAATTATTCTGCTAATGTGATGGTCGATGGTAAACCTATCAATCTTGGTCTGTGGGATACAGCTGGACAAGAAGACTACGATAGACTGAGACCACTGTCCTATCCACAGACTGACGTATTTCTTATTTGTTTCTCACTGGTCAATCCAGCAAGTTTTGAGAACGTCAGGGCAAAATGGTATCCAGAAGTACGCCATCACTGTCCAGCAACACCCATTATCCTCGTTGGGACTAAACTTGATTTGCGCGAGGACAAGGAAACTATCGAGCGATTAAAAGATAAGAAGCTTGCCCCAATTACTTATCCTCAGGTATTTAAAGAATAAACTAACATATTACTGTTCTTTAAAATTTCTTGCGATTCCTGATGTGCCACTGTCAGTGTATCCATGTTATTACTGATAGTCTGAAAAGCATATTTTATCACAGTTATACTGTTTTTGTACTGACAACTGCTGTTCACGCATATTATTTTAGAAGACTTATGTATGATGTTTATTTTACTGTTTTTTCAATATGAAACAGAACTTATAGCTTTTTCTTGTTCGTTATATTAATTAGATGCTAAATGACCTTTTAAATTAAGAATTTATGTCAAATACATTTAATTTATGATAGAAAATAATGAATTTATATTATAGTTTAGTATTAAAAATAGAGTATTTAAATTGCTTTATAAACATTCATTATTTATCCAAGGTATACAAGATCGAAAGGAAAATGCATTAGCCTTTCTAGATTCGTGCTTGCTTTGATTAATGTTACTCTCAATAACAATCGCACAGTCATTCGTCAAACTAATTTTTATTGATCTGCGTTTCAGGGTTTGACCATGGCAAAGGAAATTGGAGCAGTGAAGTATCTAGAATGTTCTGCCTTAACGCAAAAGGGACTAAAAACGGTGTTCGACGAGGCGATCCGTGCAGTTCTTTGTCCCGTTCTGCAAGTGAAGCCGAAGCGCAAGTGTTGCCTGCTATAATATTAAATGTTGTTTATCATCGGCGCGCAACGCCACAGACGAAATGCGGCGCCATTCCTTCTCTCCATCTATCAGTCCCTTGAAAGTACTGAGGCAAACCACGCTGTTAATTAACCGTCAAGCCGCACAAAATAACGTCAAGAACCGTTCAAAAAAAGTGTATGTGTGTGTGTGCGTGTGTGTGTATACACACACACATATATGTATATGACAAAGAAAAGAAAGATATATTTCTGGCCGAGCGAACTAATAAAGTAAATTCATAAAAGTACGTCGAGGGGGAGGAAAGAGAGAAGAGACTTCTATGCCGGTAGCTTCAATATTTCCAGTGGTCGCGCGACAAAGGTAAAGGGTTTTAAAGCAAATTAACGCTATTCGTTTCCGTTTACTATTGAAAGTTTGTACCTTTTTAATAGAGGAACGATCGATTGTAGACAGAAACTATGAGAAAACAAAAAAGATAACAGAGCGTCAAGATATGAAAGCGATTGTGTACAGTATACTAGAGTATATTAATAATTATTATTAATGAATATCTATGAACGGTAAAAAAAAAATATATATATATATTACACATTCACGCTCTAAAATAGACGACTATGTAAGTTGACTGTGTAATTTCTAGGCTAGTTAAGGCGCGCACGTGAACAAACCAACAAAAATTCAAGGGAGCATGAGTTATACATGCGCGTACATGTGACACTCGTTGCTCCTTCTCTTTCTCTCTGCTCTTGTCATATCATTTAATCACTGCTCTGATACAACGTCTGTGATTCATCCACGCACAAAACGAATAAATAAAAATAAAATCAATTGTGAAAGAGCAGAAACTTTCGGAACAGCCTAGCTGGAGCGAATACGTGTTTGTTTAAAAAAAATTACAGAAAGAAAATTAAGGTCGTAAAAAATAATGAAATAAATAAAAAGAAAATAATACAAAAAAATTAACAATGTTAAAATAATTTTTGAACGGTTGTATGAATGAAACCGTGAGAGGAGCGTGAACGCTATCGTGAGAATCAAATGGTGTGAGGAACAACTAGATGCGATGCAATACCTGATTATTAATTGTAAATAATTGCTGGAGTTCAAATCTTGATCCTACCTTGCTATTGGCTATATCTTTATGAAGCTGCTAAACTAATCGAATCTAAAACGTTAATTGTTTTTTTATATATATTTGAATAAACATTCATCAAAAATAAAGTATATATAAAAGTCGAGACTGGATTGCAAAATGTTTGATGTAATGTGTAGTTTACACAAATGTCTCTCTTGATATGTACGTGTAATTCAACTTTAATACACGTTTTTAGCGGTAACGCGCGTGAAACGATAATCGTTTTCGCCCATACCGTAACTGTAACAAAAAAAAAAAGAAAATGGAAAATCCATCGATATTGTATAACTGAATTTTCTTTATTTAATGGGTGTTTACTAAACTCGAGTGATTCTTTGAGTCAACTATCTTGCATGTCACACGCTCTGAATAAATCATAAGTCAAACCACACCTCTGTAAGTTGTCTTTTGTAAATTTGATAAATTCTTTTTAATTGCGAAATTTTCAATAATCTAGAAATATTAATGTTGATTTACAAACTTTTTATACGTTTACATGTGTTATAAAAAAAAAATCAAAAAAAGAAGTAAACAATCATTGGGTCGCAGCGAAAATTTCATCGTTTTCTCAAATAACTAGTTTTAAATTATTATGTTATTGCCTCCAAGCAAATGTTTTATATAATTTTATAGCAATTACCCAAATAAATAAAGATTATGATATGGTATAACATTGTTTTACATTAATCATCACCCCGCATGTACAAAATCAGCTTACGTCGGTCACACCGCTCACGCAGATGTGTCAAAGAACGTGTCGATCGCGGCAGACACCTGTTCCGGACTAAATTTGATATACTTGGCCGGGTTCTTGGAGAAGGATGTGTGCTTGTATTTGTGGTAGAAGGTCGTGTACAGCGGTACCAGCGAATGCTGTAATTCCTTGCGAAGTTCCTCGCGAAGTTTCGAGTCTGGAACCGAGTATGTGCGTTGGAACTTGGCTGCCTCCTCGAATTCGCGACCGAAACCCGCAAAACGCTCTTTCAACACCTTTGCACCTGCATGCAGAAGAAAAGACGTGTCGTCAAATGTCATTTTCGCTTAATTGCACAATCAGTAAGCCAACCGTGTCATCGTAATAAAAAAACGTTCATTCGTATCCTTGAATGCTCGAATCCATGTCAGTGAGCACTTGCTCTTTCGCTGTCCATTCACTCGCTCATTCGTTACCACAGATCACACGCCGCACGAAATCCATGATCAAAAGCTCAATTAACCGCGCTCGCTCAATTGCCCATTCAGCGGATAAGAATCCAAGCAAGCAGTGCTTGAGTCATTCATCACGGATTTACAGCTAAACCTACCGGGCTCGTCGTTGTGATTTTCGATGTGATTTCGGGCTTTGGCGAAGGTCGTCGCCACGTAGCTGGTACGATCGCGCACCAACAGATCTTGGTAAGTTTGCTCGGCGCTTGGCTCCGCGAGCAGGAGTATCTCCATCAGGGCGCTTCGACGCAGCGCGTTGATCACGTAGTTGTGATTGTTCAGGCGGAAGAGTGCGCGCAGAGCCGGGTCCGAGTACGAGGTGTCGCTTTTGCTCACCAGCGCGAGATTCAGGAGGGCCAGCACGCGCTCTGCAACGTACAACGGCGGGTCGCTTTTGAAAGCTGTGGCTGCGCGCGCGAGCTTCGCTCACGCTCCGTCGCGATGCGCTCACTGATGTAATGTCCCAAGGCAACTCGGTGTTGATGCTCGGCCTGCTTGGCGTTAATGATGCCCACGATGTCGGTCTCGTTGTGACGCTTGAGAACGGCGCCCACGGTGTCCGCGTACTCGGTCAGCTGTTCCAGGAATATCAGCACGTTGCTGGTGCCCTCGGCGACCGTACCGTCCTTGGGCAACACGGCGCCCGACTCGTTGCGCACGTTTTCGCCAAAGCATTCCAATGCCTGTGCACCCTGAGAGACGAACGAAAAAGCGCTGAAACGAGCCGCGGACTACGTCCAAGTGAAATACGAAGGACTTACGGTATCGGTGAGAGTTTGGATGACCGAGGCAAACTTGGACCTCAGCGAATACTCGCAGCCCTCAACGGTCCTCTCGAGGTCGGGTTTGAGCTCCTCGAGGTGCTTCAGAATCGGGAACACGACGAGCACCGCGCTGAAGTCCTTTCTGACGATGCATCGCTTTGCTCTCGCGGCAATATTCTCTCCGTCGTGAGCCACCAGATCCATGGCGTCCCTGACCGTCGACTCGAGGACCTGCAGCTGCAGCGTCTGAGGAAGAATCCTACCTACGAGCACTCGCTCGGCTTGCATGAGCTTGTGGAGACCGGCGGCGAGCAGCAGGTAGTTCTCCATCTCCTGCTCGTCCGGCGCTGCGTCCTCGCTTGAGTGATGGTGGCCCGATCCCGCGCCACCTTGCTGATTCTTCAGGGAAAACGACAAGCCCGTCGTCTGGGAGGCTTTCAACAGCATCTTGCTAGCCTTTTTCTCGAGAGCGAGCTGCAGCCGACGCGACGTTCTGCGGCCCGCTGTCTCGGGGACACCCAGAGAGTGCCTGTGAGCGAACTTGGCTCTCTGGATAAGAAACATACTGTGCTATTCAAAAGTTAACTGTATTACGGTGAAGCTGAAAGTGCACCCACTACTCACTGGCATAGGACTGGCAGCATGTGTACTTCCACCACTAGCACTTCTCTGATGCTCTTTCAGCAGTTGAAGAGAACGAAGGACAATAGCAGATCTTACGGAGGCATATAATTTGGTATGCTTACGATGGCCTCTATCTTCCAGCCACCCTGATATCTTGATCAAGTCAGCTAATGCACTTTCAGGCAACTGGATCAAAGACTGTGGGGCATCTTCGTTACTTGTATCTTCATCTATTCCTATCAAGTCTAAGAGAACTATTGGAAGTACTGGTTTACTTTGTCGTGCTAGTATGTCATGGAATTCGGCGTAAATAGATTCAAGTCCTGTACTAAAGAGCGTTGAAACATTCTCTAATTCTACGGAGCTTGGATTATTCTTTTGGAAATAATGCTGAGCATTCCATAATCTGTTCATAGAGTCTAGGAAACCATCCAAACCACTAGCACCATTTGGCCCAGCTCGTACTGAACTTTCAACCTCTTGGCATACTCCATAATAGCCAATTGCATGGTCCAGTAATGTCAAAGTTTTTTCAATATCTGTACAAATATTTGTAATTAATGTTCAAACAGCCTGTTTTAAACAAATGATATATTATGGTAAATTTATTATTGTGTGTCACTTACTGTGTTGCTGCTTTTGGAGATTGCCAGTCTCATTGTAAACAGGTAGTATGGTACGACGTAATGTAGCTAATCGATCCTCTAGAGATGAAAGAATCGCTACCATACCACTTGTTAACTTTTTACTGTGTTCCTGTGCCTCTTTGATAGCCTCCAAAGAAGCTATTTCAGCTTCCAGTTTACATTCTATCTCAAATCGCCTTTCCGAAGTATCGTCGTTATCGAATTGCATTTCCATCTGAACTTTAAATTAAATTATGAATAATTTGTTCTTTACTTCATAATTTAAAAATTGTAAATATTTGTAATGGAAAGTTTTTTTTATAGTTTATAAAATCTCATACAAACTTTAATGAATACATTTGAAATAATTATCAAATAAATAAATTTTATTTAATTGTCACTAAATTTCTCACTATCTATTTCTAATTATTATATTCATCCTTTTTTTTAACAATTCCTAGTTTCAATAAATTGTTGTAATTGCACAACTATTGTACATACACGATGACAGCAACACCTCCCAAATGTCATAGCATAACCTAACAGCGGGTATTCCAAGTAGAAATCTACATTATCATTTCAACTACTTTAATTTAATTATAATTAATACGTTTTAGGCGTAGGAATGATAAAAATATGAATAAATTGATACGTAAATTATATTTTATTACATACGTACAGTTCTTTTTTATTAAAAAGGCACGTTTTTTTATGAAAAGAAAAAATTAATGGACATACAAAACTTAATACAATAGTCAATATATAAATATAATACGTTAACGTTCTATGTTCGATTTAGTAAATTTTTTAACGAATACTTATATTAAATTAAATAAATTGTGTTCAAAAATAAAGTAATGTAATGTATTTATCCTGATCTTTCTGGTGGAGTCATCCTGGAATAGACAAAAAAAAACCGCTTTTAGTAAAGTTGTATTGGCGATGCCATAATATAGTTACTTGTAAAACGTAGCTTACCTATGGATTGTGATAGAGTTCTTTGCTTTGAGATGAGAAGCATCTAATGGAGTTAAAAATGTAAATTGGCTATTTGGACTGGTTTCAGCGTGATGGATTAAAATATCAATAATCATTCGCCTATTGATTTTGTCCTGTAAAACAATAAAATTATTATATAGTGAAATGAAATTAATATTAATTATTTAAAGCTTTGTGTCCAAATGATTGTAACTAATAGTTATTTGCTTATTGGATTACATAAAGAATATGTATAGAAAAATAGTTTTATGGAAAATTATTAAACTATAAATATTTCCTTACCATAAATACATCAAACTCATCTAAGAAATAAAAGGGCAAACCAGTACAATGCCACAGAGCTAAGATAAAACCAATCGTCGAATAAGACCGTTCGCCACCAGACAGTTGTTTGGCATCGTTTGTTAGTCTTTTAGCGTCATTGATTGGAACCATTTCAAGCTCAAGTTTATGCTTTTTGTGGTCCACTGTTACTGTGCCTTCGTAGTTTCTTAGCGACAATATGTTCGCGAAAGCGGTCTGAACTTTCGCAGCAATATCTGCTTTCATATTGTTGAAAAAATGTTTACGAACTCGTACGCGCTCAGTGTGTACCTGCAAAAATAGATACATTATTCAAAAATTCCATTTTGAAGTGGATTGTTATAAAAAAAGTATACAAGATAGCCCTTATTCATTACTTCATTCAAACGTTCCAATTCACATGCATTATCAAACACCTTATCAAATTGCTGTTCTTGCTCTTGCAATTCTTCTTGCAGAGCCTCTTTGTTGCCATGCTCCCTTTCAACGTTCTCGATGAATTTCATCAGTTCTTTCGACCGAGCGCTTATTTCAGCCACAGTCCTGCAATGGAAAAAAAAATAGTTATATATATTTACAAATTATAAAAAGTAAAAAGTAATTAAACTATAAAAGTATAATTAAAATAATTATACTTTGTAGTGTCTATTCGAGGACAGCAGGCTTCAGCAAGCGTTGTTTTCGTCGTGACAACGCGCTGTTGTTGTTGATGTTCACCTTTCAATCTTTGCAACGATTGCTTGCCTTCTTGCAATCTCTTACTAGCTCCTCTATTAGTAACATTCAGTCGCTTTTGCTCATCCTTGAGCTCAAGAATTTTTTCCTAATCAAAACGTTATACGGTTAGACAATTGACAGTAATTAACATCTTAAAAATTTAGCTAGGCGTATATTTAAAATTGTACTATTATTACTTACCTTAATAGGATTCAATGCAACATCTAAATTTGTACTGAGGGTACGGCATGTTTTATATTCTTCCGTTGCTACCTTCGATTCTTGTTCTAATCTACGATATTCCTCCATCATTCGGGTCATTTCTTCTTTATGACGCACAAGCCATTCTTTTATATGCTCAACTTCTAATTTCTGTAAAAAAGTATGTATATTCAATATTTTTTATACAATCAAAAAGTGACAATTATTAAAGTTAAACTTACATGCTCATTTATTGTATTATTATTATGAGACTCTAAAATTTCTTTACTCTCTTCTATTTTGTTTTTTATTGAAGACTGCTTGCCCAATAAATTCCTCACTTGTTGCTGAACTTGATTAAGCTCTTGGATGGTTATCGCTTTTCTCTGATGAATTTGAGCATATTGTTCTTTATGAAATTTCAGTTGATTGCCAAGTTCGGCGATATCATCTTGAAGGTCGCTGTTAAAGAATTAATTGTGTTAGCTAATTGATACGTTTAAAATAGTATTCTTTAAACATAACAAATATTTGAAAAATAAAATTTGAGTTTCTACCGAATTCTCTCTGCAGTGGAAACCTGAAGGAATTTTGGCCTTTCTCCAGCAGAACCACCATATGTTTTATAGTTTGGATCGGGGAAGAATAAGTCATTCATTTTGGTAATGGCTCGCCTGCAATTTTGGGGTACTTTCCTGAAATCTGACATCACGTCACAAGCTTCTTTTGAAGTTGGTATTAAAAGAACTCGTTCAATTTCTCTCTGATCGATCAAAGTATTTGCTACTGTATTATCTGATATAATCATCATATCTAACATATTGTCATATTGTGGTGATCTAGTACAATTACACTCAACATCATGCCGCTATAAACGGAATATATCCACGTATAGTTTTGATATTACATAATGCAAAGGAAATTACATAATGCAGTTTAAAGTACATACATCATCGAAAAATTTACTAATGATAATTGATGGTGAATGCTCATTTGTGAAAATCTCACTCATTATTTTATTCAAAAGCGTTCTATCATGAAGATTATCAACGCAAAAAGTCCTTAACATTCCAATCCCAAGAAAACTTTCTATAGCCGGAATCCATGAGGGGTCTTTTATAGAAATATAGGCGCCTAAAAAGAAAAAACCGAACATAGTATTTAGATACTTTCAATAAAATGAACATAGAATTTGTCGATTTACCAAGTGGTCCTACAGGCTTTTTTCGGAACCTGCCTCTCTGGTGCTCTTCTTCAATTCTTCGAACTAGTCGAGGAATATTGTTTCCATAAACAGTTAAGGCGTTATCAGATTGCTTCTCACAGATTTCCAAATCACGTATCTTAGCGTCTGAAATAAAAAGAAATAAATAACTAAAAATACATTATGTCATCAAAAATTAAAATGTCAGGCAATACTCACTTAGTTCTCTTTTCTTTGAGTCAATTTCAATCTTGATAGCTTTTTCTTCTTTATCAAGACGATTACTGTTCTCTTCAAAGTGCATTAGGTCAGTTTGTTTTGTTCTCAAAGTCGCAAGAATTTCATCTAACTGCTGCTCACATTCTTCAATTGAATAGCGCGCTTCCTGTCTCTTAACATCAACATCACATTCCTCCCTATAAAAAGACAAAATCATCATCAATATAACATACAACTTATAATTTACTTAACGAAAACTAGAATTATATTACTTTTCCTTTTGGTTAATGTCAGTCATAAGTAGTTGCAAATCATTTTTTTTCTCACTCATATTTTTGTGGAGCTTTTGTACTTTTGTTCTTTGCTGTTCCAACGTATTTTTTTTCTCCATTGCTTTCTTCTTTAGACCGTCGCACTTTTCTTCATTAGCAGCTGCTTCAGCTTTATGAGAAGCTATTTCTGCATTGTGTTCTCTGCGAAGAATTAAGATAAAATCAAAATTAAAAAGACCAAAAAGTAATAAAATGAAAAATTATTACACTCACTCGATTCGAGAGATGATTTCTTTTTCCTTGGAAGCTTTAGTAAATTCAATGTTTTCAAGCATTTCAATTTCCTTAGATTGTAAGTCAATTTTCTGATCAATTTGTAGTAGCTTTTTCTCTTCTGTAAGAACCTACGAAAATATAGTAATAAACAAAGTAGTTTATGATTATTTTATAAAACTACTTACCTCTGCCCACAGCACTTCATTTTTAAGTTGTTGATACTCTTCTCGATATATATCAAGTGACTGCAGAGCTTGGAGCTTATGCCTAAGAGTCTTTATAACGTTTTCACTATCACTTAGATATTTCCTTGAATCTGCAAGTTTACATTTTGCGAGATCGCTAGCACTCTGAGCTGTCCTATAGTTCTCGCCAACAACATCCAGCCTAGTGGCTTTCATGTAAAATTTATACAGATCATCAGACTTTTTCGTTAATAAGAAAGACCTTGCAGCATCTTGGTTCAAAATAGAAATAGGATTATCTACTTGGATGTTCAATGCATTTGTGATTGCTTTAAGTTCTTCTTTCTTTGTGGAAATTACCTGGCCTGAAAGAACAAAAACTTTCAATCAGCATGAAGAAATGAAATCATAATATAAAATTAATAGATATTACTTTTGATAATGTAATAAAATATGTTAAGTAATCACATTATACATACCACTGTGAGATTTAATTCGGTATAATGAAGTTGTACCAATAATCCTAATTACAGTAATAGTATCTCCATACGTTTCCCATTTGTAACTTTTGTCACCTCTGTTTGTGATAGTGATTTCTATCGTAGCTGAGCTTTTTCCTTGTTTCACAAAATCTAAACAAAAGAATAAATATTAGGTTTGTAGTTGTAAAATGTATATTACCTTTAATAGTAGTATACAAAATAATTATTCTGTGAATTATATAGAAAATATTCTTTATTATTACTTTTTAGTGATACTCCTCTGTCTGTATCTTTAGCTTTAGCTCCCAAGCCAACAGTTAGAGCAGTTAGTATAGCACTTTTTCCGCTACCATTTACACCAACAAGGAAATTGATTCTAGAATTGAAATTCATCTCTAAGGCATCATGGCACATGAAGTTTTTTAGAAAGATTCGTTTAATCTTTCCAGGTACAAGCTGTAAAGTAAAGGCATAGTGAAATCTTTGATAAAAAAATAAAATCCAAAGTTGTACAAAAAAGTTTAAGACATTTCATCAACATTTTCTTCAAAAACGTTGTCAGTCAGAAAATGTTTAAAAAAAAACTGACATTGTACATACCTCATCATTCACCGTATCATCCTTTATATCGGACGAATTTTGCGAATTCCTGTTTTTGACTCGTTTTGACTGGATTTCTTCAGGAGTCGTGGTCTTTCTTTTTCTTGACTGACTTAGTGTTTCCTCGCCCATCTTTGTCGCGAACTGTCATACGTAGAAAAAAAACATATAATTATGAAACTCCTGTTGACAATATACTGATATCAACAAAGATGTAACGGCAGCGCGAAGGTTATCAAATTGACGGCACTCTACGCAGTGCGAAGTGTTTCCCTAAATTATTCTACATCTTGTCTAATGAATGACGCACAAAAGGCAAAATAAAAACCAATAGGACATTTCTCTACTTTAGTGGAAAACAGTATTAATCTTGTAATACAATACAATCTTGTTTTCCCGCTAAAGCATTACTACATCTGCCGTTGATTTTTGAGTCTCGGAAAAATAACGGCAACCTGCAGATGCCTTCAGTTTGTACACTCGAAGAGCTCTTTCCGATTTCGTTGATCCAAGGTTCTATAGAAACTTTGAATACTGAAAGGAAACGATTATAGAGTGTTAGAATGTAAAAAATTGTTTCCTCTTCAACAATTCTATCAATGGATATATTGTATCTACTTCTAATATGTAAAAAAAACAGATTTTTATTTTAATAATTATCATTTATTTCAGAATTAAAAATTCGATGGAACCTTGGAACGAACGGAATCGAAAATAGCTCTTCGAGTGTACAAACTGAAGTCATCTGCAGGCTTTTTTTCGAAATTAACAATCGATGCCAAACACTGATGATGGCCCTCAGTTTCCATGATACCAGTTCAAATTTGCACGATGATCACGCATTGCGTTCAAAAACACCAACTATTGGGACTTTCTTTGTACCGTAATTTAGAATTGACAGAATATTTTTTTAGTAAGATAAAACATCAATAGCTTTAAAGAAATCATAAAGTAAACGAATTTGGAAAAAACAATTTATAATAATACATATTTATCGATACTAATTCCGATAAACAGCAATTAAAATTTACGTTTACAAACGTTTAGGAAACAAATGAATGTCAACCAAGATTTTTTAGCTTAGTCGGTAGTCAAATTCATGTAACAGGCAGTTTTGAATTTCTATCAACAAATTTTTTTGCGGTAAATTCGATAGATATGTTTTTATCTTATGACACAGAGCGTACATCTCAAATATCTAAAGTTGCTTTCATTAAAATTCGAAACGATACGATGTATATTTAATAAATTTCACTTAAAACATTTAAACGCATTCATAATAAACAATTTAGACGAAGCAAAGCAAGCGTATCATATCAAATCCATGTACAAGGAAAAATCTACGATAAGTATTTCCGCATTTAATATTGATATAGAAAGTTACATCACAGTTATACGCACTCCAATGACAATAATAATGATTCGATAAAAAGTAAATTTGTATCAGTCTGAGGAATAGAGCAAGTAAGATTGTAAGAAGTTTACCAGTGCAATAAGATAAAATACTTACAGATTCTGAGTAACACACCGAAGAATATTAGTCTCGCGTCAGCATGCACAGTTAAAAAAATAGTCGTAAAAACACAAGACAAGAATTCACAACATTTGGCACAACAAAACTTCACAGAAAAGAATGAACATCAGCAGTAAAAGCAGCAGTGCAATAGCAATAAGCAAAAAAAATAGCTTAAGGATTTACGATAATACTATGTTGACTATTGCCTGTCAAGACACTGTAACAGCAGAGTTAAGTTAATGCGTCGATTGCACACGGATTTTATACACAAATACGAAAAACGAATACCGGTCAGTTCGTTTCGGCCCGCCACCATCAGCGCATTGCCGGCAACAATGGTGGGAGTAAGACGAAAGGAAGAGAAGGAAACAGTATCATAGTAGGGCGACCGGGAAAAGAAACAAAGGAGGGAAAAGTGAAAGCTATAGCTGCTTGAGAAGATATATTAAGTTACATCAAGTTATTACATTTGTTAATTAAGATGGTACGATGTTTTTGCAACAACATACAGGTTAAGAAAGTTTTATTGACACTTACCGCGATTATTTTACATAAGCTGCGAGGTTTCAGCTATTATATGCTGCGATTTAATCGGCAATTTTTTGAAATTAACCAACCCAAATGATTTTTTGAAAAAATTTTCTGATTTTAATTTACATAACAAATATACAATATTTCCGCAAATTTTCGTTGTGATCAAAATTTGAACAAATTTAAACAACATAAAAACGCGTGTCATCGCGTTATCGTCACTATCATCATCATCAAATATATATATTTTATTCATCATGCTATTTGTGAGCAATTTCAAAAATAAAATAGCACCTGCTCTCACTTTCGTCTCCAATTATAGTGGACTAATTAAGTGATATATCATTTCGAAATTTTCGGGTTTGTATGTATGTAAATACATTATTATAGCTATAAAACATTACCAGCACTGCTATGATTAAATAAAATAAGATAAAAAAGGCGGCTTTCGTAAACGCATCAAAAACGGTTCATTTGATCGTCGACTCAAAGTTGGCAGCAGTGACAGGTTGTGTAGCGACTGGCGAAAACAGCTGATCTTTTTGCATATATAGTAAATAAATTAATGGGATATCTTTCTGTTAGTGTCGATTATACAGTTGCATTTAGATGAAAAATATATAGTGGTATGTATATCGTTCATTGTGATTTACGATAGATTTCAACAGCATCAGGCATACCTTCATCATCGCATCGTATTAATAACGTTTTGACGATAACATGCCGTATATGTTTTCATGCTGATCGTATTAATTTTTAAGTGTTATTTCATGGTCGTGTTACTACTAATAACATCGTAATAAATAGTTTTCTATATTTTTTATATCCGTTACATAAAAGTCGTTATTGTGACAGCGGTTCATTGATCCGAATCCAATTTTTTACCAATCAACGTAAATGTTTTTTCTTGCAGTGTTCTACATGTGATTAAAATATAATTGAAATATTTTCAGGTTCAAATTCCTTGTTACAAAAAGAAAAATGGACAGGCCCATTGCTACTGATGTTGTCATTATTGCTGGAAACTCTCATCCAGAACTAGCTAATTTGATTGCTGAGTAAGCTACATTCTCTTTATTAAATTTTCATATTTTTATGAGACTTTTATACATATAAGTACAGATAATATTTCAAATATGCAGTTGAATTAGTTTTTGGTAAAGAATAAGATGCTTGTCACACATCTATATATGCATGTTCAACATCATTATTCATGTGGTTGCTGAAAACTTAACCTTTACAAATTATTTACATAGCAACATGCAAGTTCAGCCCATTAATTAATATTTCAAATATTGGCTTATAATCTATTTTTAATAAAATTACTAAACAACTGTTGTTAAGTCGATAAATTCAAATAAAAAGATATCTTCATATTGACATAACTGCATAAAAGTACAGATAATTCACAACTATATTCTTTCAGTTTGTTTTGTCAGTTTAAGTTACAGTCTAAAACCGCTTTTTTTTATAACTTATACTGTGTATTAAATTGAATGATTACATTTATGACTTGTATACATTCTTTTTATATAAAACCAGTCGGCTTGGTGTTAAAAATGGAGGATGCGCCGTGTATTATAAGACAAATAGAGAAACTATGGTTGAGATTGGGGACTCCGTTCGAGGCAAAGACATATACATTATACAAACAGGCACAAAAGACGTAAATAATAACATAATGGAGCTGCTCATAATGGCCTATGCATGTAAAACTTCATCGGCTAAGAGCATTGTTGGTGTTATCCCATATCTGCCCTATTCAAAACAGTGCAAAATGCGTAAACGAGGATGCATTGTATCAAAACTTTTGGCCAAAATGATGTGCAAAAGTGGTTTGACACATCTCATTACCATGGATCTGCATCAGAAAGAAATTCAAGGTTTCTTTGACTGCCCGGTTGATAATTTGAGAGCTAGTCCTTTCTTACTTCAATATATTCAGGAATCGGTTAGTTCCATTTTTTTTATTCTACTTATCATAATAGCTTGTACTACTAGAACAAGTAATAGAAATATTACATAATCATTTTGCATGAGCTTTTCTTTTATAAAAATTTAATTTCTATAATTGGTCTAACTTGCTTGCCATTACAAAAGGTCTGATTTTTTTCAAGTAAATTGTAAATATAGGTCTTTTTATGTATTTTGTTATGATAGGTCTATTGAGGTTACATCTTCAAAAACACAATTAAATAATACGTAACACTCGGTTATTAGAAAAAAATTGAGCATATTAAGAACGCTCATGATTTTTCCAGATTCCCGACTTTCGTAACTCGGTGATAGTAGCTCGCAATCCAGGCAGCGCAAAAAAAGCAACGAGCTACGCCGAGCGTCTTCGCCTGGGAATAGCTGTTATTCATGGGGAACAACGTGAAAGCGAGTCTGACATGAACGACGGTCGTTACTCGCCTCCAACGTTGTCCTCGCTAAGGACGATGCAAGTTGGAGTGGGAGTACCTGTGCATCCAGCTAAGGAAAAGCCTCCGATCAATGTTGTTGGTGATGTCGGTGGCCGTATTGCCATTATGGTAGATGATATGGTCGACGACGTACAGTCGTTTGTTGCTGCTGCCGAGGTGCTTAAGGAAAGAGGTGCTTATAAAATTTATGTATTAGCTACACATGGATTGTTGAGCTCCGATGCTCCGAGACTTATCGAGGAGTCTCCAATTGACGAGGTGAGAAATTTTTATTATTAGGAATTGTAAGAAAAAATTGTTGGTATCAACTATTTTACGTTATATTTTATTTGGTTTAACTTTAGGTTGTAGTTACTAATACAATTCCACACGAGTTGCAAAAAATGCAATGTCATAAAATAAAAACTGTGGATATTAGTATTCTGCTGGCAGAAGCTATAAGACGTATACATAACAAAGAATCGATGTCCTATCTCTTTAAAAACGTAACCTTGGAGGATTAAATTACGTTGATATTGGAAAATCGTAAATCGTTCGTCGATACTTGTATACATGTACATCACACGAGTCGTTAGCGCGTCCACTGTACCACACACAAACATAAAAAAAGAAAGAGAAAAAATTCTATTTACATACACGTTCATATATATCGTATATTTAACACAGAGCACGATTCTAATTACCTAATTTTTTATGGTATTTTTATATGTATATGATCTCGATAATGGGAAACAACCGCGTAGAGGAAAAATGATGGGTCGAGTAATTGATAAAAAAATGAGTACTTCCATTCCGTGTGGTAGCGGTTTTACAATCATTGTTATATTTATAATTTACAGCATTTTTATTTCGAATCAATATATTACTACATTTTTAAATACTATACGTAATTCTACAATTATATTAGCTGCTTCAATCAAACTTTTTAATTATTTTTGTTTCTACTATAAAACACAATTTTTTTTGTATTATCAGTTTTTATTTCTATAATTACCTTTATATAGGTATAATAATCATTTGTTTCATGAATTTTGATGTTATATCAGCGTATAATCGCAAATGGCGATTGAATGTAATCAAATAGTGATGATCGCATTAATGTGAAACTTGAATAAAACTTCATGCTGCATGATTTCCGTTCGAAATTTTCCACAATTCACGATTTCGTCGCTTATCGCAACATTATTATTCTTTACGTCACGTCATACTTGTCCTAAATTTAGGTACTCAATAGAGTTGCCATGGAAACGTTAATTTTGTTGACTCGCTTGACGATTAGGTATAAGCAGCTGGGCGTTTACTAAAGCCATCGAAGATGCCTGAATCATCAGACGCACAGTACACGCAAATATGCGCGAGTTTGCAATCGGAGGACAAATTTAAAAGAAAGCAAGCACTTCGAGAAATCCTTAAAGACATCCTGAGTTCGGTCGACAGCCTCGACGAGAAACGTTTGCTAGAGCTTTGGGAAATTTTTCATCGGCCAGTCGTACGTGTTTTGCACGATCCGGCGGAAGCCTGTCGGGACTCATCGCTGGAAATTTTGAAAGTATTTCTGATGCGATTGCCATGCTCCGACAAGAACATCGTCTACATCATTCCGATACTGAGCAAGCGCTTGGGATCTCAAGAGTTGATCGAGCAATCCGAGGAGGTCAGACTAAAGTGCGTTCAACTGTTGAGAGCAGTCGTGCTGAAGTATCAAGACAAGCTGACGTCGTACTTTGACGACCTGGTAAAAATTCTAACTAGAACGGTGACGGACAAGTATCCCAACGTGAAGAAGGAGAGCTGCGATTGTATCAGCGAAATGGCCAAGGTGATCGCCGCTGACTTTTATGCGAAATCGGAAGTTTTCGTCAAGCCGGTACTGACGAACATAGCGCACCAGCACCACAGAATACGGGTGACTACTGTGACAACGATTGGAGAAATTTTACTCGCTGGCAATAGCAAATCGATGGAGATTGCAGCTGGTCCTCTGGCTGAACGATTGTTCGATCAATCGGCGACCGTTAGAACAGGTATGCGAATGTGCGCTCTATAGTTACCGAAAATGATAGGTGTGTCCTATAAAAAATTGATGAATTTTTGCAGCTGTAGTAAACGTTGCCGGCAGATGGATGGTCGACTTGAAGGACCGATACAGCTGGTGGCACAAATTACTGCCACTCTTACTCACCGGAATGAACGACGTTCTACCTGAAATACGAGAAAAGGCATCCGCTCTGTGGATCGCTGCGGGAGAACAATACATCACTGAAAATGAATCGGACAAACGATTCAAGGACAAGCTAGACTTCTTTGACGATGATCCTAAGCATTATCCCCCAAATGGTACGATATACATGTTTCTTTGTTTCTTTGTCATTCACGTCGTATCGTGCAAAGAAATGCAGAGTATTTTTCCACTTGCAGTTGAGAGACCAAACCTCGGATGTCGCACTCTGGTCCAGCAGAATTTTTCAAAGCTACTTGGAGCCATAATAAGGGAGTTAAGTGACTGGATGGCTGACATCAAAGTTCGCGCTGCTCAACTATTATGCGTTCTTGCGTTGAATCTTGAAGGCGAGGTAAACCAACATATTCAAAAGCTCATGACTCCCATGTACAGAGCTTGCAACGATGAAGACGACCGAGTAGCAGAGAATGTCGAACTTGCAGCTGAATATATGGCTTACTTCGTTCCTCCAAACTCCTATTTTGAGCTCATTCTGCCTGCTCTACAGGAGAATCCGACAAGAGGTCACTTTAGAGTGTTCATCGCTTTTTTGAAAGGCAGTCAGCGCCAATTGCTAGCTGCAGAGCTGTCAAAAGTCGGGAAATTTTTACGGGAAAGCTCGGTCGGTCAAAGCCGCAGAGCTCGCTATCAAATCCAAGTGTTGATCTACTGCCGAACGCTTTTGCAAATTTGCCGTGAAGATTGTTCTGACATTTCTCAAGATTTGTTTACTACCATCTTTACAATTCTGTCGATGCCAGGCGACTTGCATGTCGTGGTAACGGCTAAAGAATTGCTAGAATTGTTGGCTAAAGCTGACACTTTCGAAAACGTCAATCAGCTCTACGAGAAGCACATCACGGCTATTTTATTATCGATTCGTAACAACTGTGAAACATGGACAACGTCATCTTCCGAATTCAGCATTTTTCAAGCTTGCATTACACACGCGAGAACAGCAACTTACAAGAACTTGGATTTGATTCATCCGATTTTTGAAAAAGCGACTTATTTCGACGCCGACAAAAGACTACAATTGAAGCAGTATATCTTATTATCGGATTATTTGCAACAGTGGGACGATCCATGTGACGATAAGAACGCGGACGCGTTCATTAACTTTGCAAACACAATCCTTGAGAAAGTCATAGTTCCGGGATTATCTTGGACAGCTGGTCGCTCAGCAGAAGCAATCAGAACTGCGTCGGTTTGCTGCTTATGCGCGCTCTTGAACAAAATCATCGTCAAATGCGACAAAGATAACGGCAAAAGGTTCGCTATATCTGCCGAGCATTTCGGATGGTTGTTCGAACAAGTGAGGCCTGTCTTGGTTAATTTGTTGGAGGACGATGCTTTCAAAACCAGACTTTACACTTTGCAAGCCATTTGTTTCGTAATGAACATCGGCCAGGAATTGTCGTACATCAACGAGGAGCATATTCACAAAACGAGTTCGGAAATTCTAAGTAGATTGGAAGATTCGAACGACCAAGTTCGGCTTGCAGCAATCGAAGCTGTAAGAGAAATTTGGAAAATTTTACCAAAAGATTATGATCTCTCATTTTATTACGTTCACATTGATTATGTATATACCAATATGTTAACTCACCTTGATGATCCTAAAGAGAAATTTCAAAAACTAATATTAGGTAAGCCATTAAAATTTTTATTAAAATTAAAATTTTCAAATATATTCACCATTAACTTTTTTTCAGAATGTCTGATGGATTTAGTGAAAATTCATCCTATGTTGCTTTTGGAAAAAATTGAGAAGTCAAGGCCCAATTTTATCAATCAGAAATCATTAGACCAACTATCAGCTGCTGCCCAAGATCATTTAAAAAATAAGTAATTCTGATTAACCGATTTATGAGGATTTTCAAACTCTTACTTTATATCTTTTATTATAATTAGACGTAGGATTTTTAAAAACGTACAACTTATTTAACAATAAACAAACATTTCAATAGAATAACAAATACATTTTTATTTATTGTTTTTTATTATTAAAACGAATTTTTCCTTTAAACAATTAGTAAAATCCTAACTCCAAAATATTAAGTTTTAAGAATTAGTGTTTAATATAAAATTAGCGTGTGGAACTCGAGGGAAGTGTTGCGTAAATCAATATTTTACGTCACCACCTGCGTCCTCGGTTACTTAAGTCTAATCCAATATAGATAGAAAATTAATCGACTCCAATAAGATCCAAGAGACAAGAAAGCGCTATTCTGTTGAGAGGAACCTCGCGTCTCCGCTAAACGAGGTTTTCAAATCAGTAACGTGTAACAAAATCAACAATTGCATTCGAAATTTGAGAAAGTGGTACAAATAATCCCGCGTGTTGCGCTGCCATCTTATTCTCGGCACTTAAATACATACACACACGTACAAACAACACAGTGTGCGTGAACGGGGCACGGGTAAAAGGGAGAAAAAAGTGCCGCCGTACGGACACCGCGAATCGTCTTGCTGTCTCTTTCTGTCTTTTTAAGACGACAAATACAATAAAGCGACCCTCAACTGGAATTAACATTGCCATTGTAATCCGGCGCTTGCATTCTGCACTCGACGTGAGTATGAGAAACGTTTAGCATTTACTTTTGGTATCGGGACACACCGATTCTGGAGTGTCATGCATATCAGAGGGATAGCTAGCTGCCTGGTTATTTCGTTACTCGGTTGACAAAGCCAACTTGTCCTTGTCTACGTTTTTCTCACTCTCTTGTGCCGCTTTCGTTTTTCATTCTTGTGTGTAGTGTGTGACGAGTGATACCTCGCTTTATTCTCGGTAAACTTGAAGATTCTTGTTTTTTGACTCACTAAGATATTAATAATACACAAAAATAAGCCTCGCAAACAATTTCCCAAAAAAGATAGCGCTTTCTCGCGTTATCAGATAACACCGGCACTCAAAACTTACCTAACAACACTGCAAATTAGAGGTGTTGGTTCCACAATGATGACACATGCATCAAGCATGCAATGGCTGTTTTGATTGAACATGCTTCATGATATACATTTTACTTACCTAGGCTGAAAATGTCTGAACCGACTCTGCAACATGTTGAATCTGTGGATGAGGAGGGTGAAGCTATGCCTAACTACAAGCCGCCACCGGAAAAGAGTATTGAGGAAATTCTTGAAGCTGACAAAGAAGATGAGAGTTTAAGAAAATACAAAGAAGCTCTCCTTGGTGAATCTAAAACGGGTGGAGTTGTTGTTGGTAAGCTATTTTTCTACAACAATATCAAGTGACTGATTGAAATTAAAGTTACTAGTATTAAAGAGGCATGCTGTATCAGTTTATCTCTATCCATGTTTTTTTAGATCCAAGTGATTCCAGGAAAGTAATTGTTAAAAAATTAGCCTTATGTGTGCAAGATCGACCTGATATGGAGTTAGATTTAACAGGAGATTTATCTCAGTTGAAAAAACAAACATTTGTTATTAAAGAAGGTATCAGTTATAAAATAAGAATTGATTTCATTGTGCAAAGAGAAATTGTGCATGGATTAAAGTATGTTCAAAAGACTTACCGCCTTGGTGTGCCTGGTAAGTTTATATTTATTATAGTAATTTTTAAAGAAAACATAAGTAAAATGTGAACCGGAAAATGCTGAAATATTGTTCTTTTTATATATAATATTATATTTTTTAAATTTAAATACACACATTGGGTGACCTAACATATTTATTATTGTTTACTGCTGTTACTAGGAGTGTCAGGTAATTCAAGAGGTAGTTATTTTAATTATTATAAAAGTAGCTAATTAGTATTAAATTGTAATTTTACAAAATTTTAAATTTATTTCTGAAACAGTCTTTTGAGTTCATGAAAGAAAAAAGTTTAAGTAGAATTAATATTCTATTTAACAATTACATGTTTTCATACGTTTAATTTTGTCTTGGAAGTAGCGTTATATGTAAAATAGAAAAAGAAAACATTATTTACTTTCCAACACTATATCAATGATTAAACTAATGGAAGAAATATTCTCTAGTTGATAAAATGACGCATATGGTCGGATCGTACGCTCCAAAAACGGAAATCCAATCGTACACGACTCCACCCGAAGATGCACCATCCGGTGTGATGGCTCGTGGCTCGTATACCGTCAACTCGCTGTTCACCGACGACGACAAACATGAACACCTCAAGTGGGAATGGACGTTCGAGATCAAGAAGGACTGGAAAGAATAGATTTCTTTGGAGGGGTCTTAACTCTTTTTCTCTTACTCAAGAGTCTTGCAAAAAGAAAAGAAAGAACGACGAAAACAAATTGCCTTCGTTTCGACCAATGATGAAGAGTAATTACGGTTAAGGACGGATAAATTCGTGTATGCCAAACATGTTTAATTGATTTTCAATTGCTTTTGTAATTTTCATGCTAGTGTCGCGTTTAGTAATACCATAAGATTCGATAATTATTATTACTATATTGTTGAATAATAAGGACACTTATTTTTAATTAGTACGTACTTTTTACTTTCATTGCTTTGTATCGTACATAACTTTTACTTTGCAGCTACTTTACGTTCTGTGAATGTGTGTTATGTGTCTAAAGACACAGTAATAGTATGTATATAAACGGTTGATGTTATTTATCCATTGCATTTCAAAGAGTAAATGCTACTTACAAAGTATTAAAAGAAAAAAGCTCCCAATGTGAACACACAGTGCCGAATACTAAACTTAAGATATACGAAAAATACTGCTCAACGACTACTTGAGATTGTTAGGAACATTTTTGGAACTTAGAAAATCAAACATCAAACCAATAAGAATAAACATATACTTGATTGAGAGAATTTCGATTATTATAGCAAAGCCATATTATATATATTGGTAAATATTTTTGAGATTACCTATTGATATAGCATAAACACAAGTATAATTTTAACATTCTTAGTGTTGGAAGAGATAGTTGTTAAAGAGAAGTATGTTACATGTTTTTTCAAACACGTTGCTCATCTTAAATGGGAAATGAATAGAAAAGAGTATTTAAAATACACAGTTACATTCACACATAAGCACACATACAGATACATTGTAGTACAAGTAAACCTTTTGCACTAATTGTCACAAAACAAATCTCGTGAAAAGTAATATTCAAGCGCGAACTGAAAGTAGTACCATACATACATCGAACATATTATTATATATTATTATATTACACACCAAGCATACAAGTGTGCGAGGTGTGCTTTTGGTGCAAGATGTGCATAATTTGCAAAATAAAGTATGCCTGATGCCCAATGCATTTGAAAATATATATTCGTCGTCGCATCTGGTATACCGATATTACATATTGTGTATGCGAAAAAGAGAAAACAATCTATTGTCAGCACCGAATATGCAGTTACTAAACTTAAATATACACATTTTTTTTCATTTTTCATCAACGTGTTCTTATTTTATACAACTATAATATTATCACACGAGCAATCGTAATGTACTAACAATAGCAGAAAGCAGCAAAATGGGTATCGAGGTCGGCGAAGGCGGCACGATGGTGATGATGATGATGATCATCATCATCATCATAATCGTGATCGGCGATTCCTGGCGACTCTCTGGCGCGCTAATAGCAAATCGGTCACGGTTGCGATAATGGACACGGTCTGGCTGCTCTCGGTCAGCGAACCTGCTCTTCCTCGAGTGTAAGAGAAAGAGAGAGAGAGAGAACTCAGCGCGTTAATAGGTTGCCTCTGCTATTGCTTCCTCGGCAATTAACGTGAGCTCTTCCAGCAAATTTTCCTCAAGGAGGTATCCCCGTCGCGGCAAGGCTAGAATTCAGCAGGAAAAGCCTCGGGATTGCTTTCCTGTATTCGAGATTCCGCTAAGCAGCGACCAGAACGAACCGAGTTCGCTCTCTGTAATTGAACTTTGCGCGGCTCAAGCACAAGCCCAAAGTTCGTAGAAGAATTTTTTTTCACTTGTACTCGCGGCATCAAATAATACCGTTTGCGATTTATCGTCTGAGAACCGCGAGCACGGTGGTGGCGAAATAGCAAAGAGCAGTAATGCTGCGCACACGCCCAAACAACGGCGCACCTGCCTACAATAAAACATTCAGCCGAGAGACCTCATTGATCTTTCTTTCCGCAGGAAGCACGTGTGAAACTTCTTGACGTGCCATCGACGCTCTCGTTCCTTTTTCTTATTTTTTTTTGGTTTTATTTCCATCGTAGGTACAACGACACGATCCGCTTTTCTCTCACGTGCCACATTTTTTTCGGCGTGCGTGTGATTTCTTGAATTAGCGTGTATATAGGCATATAACGTGTGTGCGTGTGATCCGCATTCGATCATTCACTGCGCTTCTGGCACTTGTCTTCGAATCGAATACCGACGACTTGCCTGTTTTTCGCTAGTCGATCACTTGTAAAAAGTCGCCCATCTTAACACTTACACTAGTCGAGTTATACAATTAAGCCATAAAAAAACTCGAAGGTTGCTTGACGTACTTTATAAAAGAAGAGGGGGGGGGGGGGGCAACGGTTCGATCGATGGAAGGCTCACGGCGACGTTTCATTATCCAATTATCGCCATCAACGAGCGCGAGTCTTTTCAGCTTGCAGATCGCGCGCGCTGTCCTCGGCTATTGGGCTCCATCCCCGCTAACGAATCGTTCGATCGACAGCTGGATCGCGCGCGTTTGGAAAACGGTGCTTAATTTCGACGTGCACTCGTTACGCGGCGAAGCAATCGAGCGACGTATCGCTATACCCTCGATTACGCGACGCGGACAGCGACAATCGTGGGAGTCCGGCCGCGGATTCGCCGTATAAGGTCTTGCAACAGCATGGATCGCCGCGCGCGAACACCCGTACTCGTCTAATCACACTTGATTAGCGCGATACGGTCGGTTCGACCGCGCTCGCGGATAATAATCGTGCGCTCGCTCGCGAAACGGCTAAGCTCCGCGCGATCACTTTCTCGATGAGCTAGCATTTTCTTTGTCGTCGACCGTGCTGAGTCGATCGTTTTAGGCTTTCAGCAGTTGACGCCATGACTTGGGCAACGTTCATTGTGCGCAGCGCGAAACGCATCTGCAAAGCGAAGAGATTCCGTGATCGACAGACATTGTCCGCGATAAAAGAAAACAAAACGAAACAAAACAACAAAAACAAAGAGAAAGATGTAATTGATCGTTCGCTAATTGCCAAGGCTTTGTTGCCAATTAAAAGATCGAAACGCGCAACAAAATCCGCATCGTTGTGCACGGCGGAGGCAATTAGCATCCGAGAGCGCGTGCGAAAATTAAAACAACTCTATTCCTCGTTTCCGCGCGGTTTCACCTTGACCCACAAATGTTTTTTGTTCGCTTCTGTTTTCTTTCTTTTTTGTCTTCTTCTTTTCTTTCTTTTTTCCATCGTCGCCGGCTGCGCTGCAACCGAATTGTAAAAGCCGAAAGTGGAACAAAGCGCGCGCGCGTAAAGCGCAACTTTCGACGAGGTGCGAATCGCAGGCGCTTACGCCGTTGCCGCCTTTCCTCGGCGCGATTTCCCCCGGCGTGCCCGATGTTAACGAGCCGTTTACCCGTGCGCCTCGGCGACCGTTCGCCCGCTGAATTTCCTCGCGAGATAACGGCGGTGGTTATCGCGCAGCTGCGCCAACTGACTCGGAAGCCCGCGAGTGAACCGCGATCCGAATTGGGCTTCGCCTGTGAACTTTTCGGGCGCGCTGGTCAAGAAGACTCCGCGTTCACGCGTCCGTGCGCAGCGCGAAAGGTAAACGGCGCGAAGGAACGCCGATGGTCAACGCGCGCGCGTTACCTCGTTAGTCACGGCTCTTCGCCGCGAATTAATTGGCCGCTGCACACCTCGATCTCGCTAAATAATTTTAACCGTTTTTTTTTTCTTTCGTCGCTCCGCCCGTGCGTTCACGATTCGCGCATTCAGCGAGCTGAGAGAGCGACACTGGTAACCGAAGATCCTAAGAGCCTTCGGTAAGCCAAAGGGAGTTGAATTTCCAGCTGGCGGACAAGCGTCTTCTTTCTTGCTGAGAGCGCGCGCCGTTAATTGTGCAGAAGCTAACTCTCTTTATTGTATTTGTTGTGGAGCGTTTTTCTTATTTTCTTTTCATCTCCATGCTCGGCGAGTTATGTGTGTCGTCGATTCTCACCGAGCGCGTAATCGACGAGGAAAGTCGCGCGTGAGTCGATCTCATTTAATGATCGCAACGAGTATTCGAAATGGAAAAGACCACTTGCGCGACGTCGTTTGAATTTTCAATTGAAAGACGCACCGAATGGAAGGAGCCTCGTTGGCATAACAATTACCAAAATGTGTATACAATCACTTCTTGCAGAGAGAGAATAGCTCACTCCTCCCCGTCTCTCTCTCTCTCTCTCTCTCTCTCTCTCTCTCTCTCTCTCTCTCTTCGGCCCACAAACGCCTCGGTACGAGTAGCGCGCTATTAGAACAAAAGTTTTCGAAAAAAGGCACGAGACATGTAGCTCCTCTTTTTTCGTTTTCAGGGTTCGCCGTTCGATGCGCATTCTGGTCCTCCCACTCTACGTAGTATGTGCAGCGCGCGCGCGAGTATAACGACTGCAGTGTCGTACGCCGGATTTAATGGTGCCCTATATTTGGACGTCGGCGGATTCGGGGAGCGGTGCGCTTCTCTGCGATAGAGGTATGCGGACGTGTGCGCATCGAGAGCCGCTCGAATTTCGGCAGACGCAAGTGCCAAGTCGTCCGCACGAGTTATGCGTACCCACGTGAAATTTCGCCCCCCTGCCCCCCTCCCATCCTCATTGCAATGAATTTTTAAATACCCATGCTGGGCGAAAATCGTAGAAGTTTTCGCAGAAAATATCATTAAATAAAATTAGATCGCTGTACTGCATTTAAAAAAAAGATTAAACATAATTGAACCAATGATCAGTAAATAAGATTAGAAAAGCTTGCACGACAACCCCCACGACACCGAAAAAATCTCATCCCAAAAGTTCTTCACCCGAAACAAATGGAATAAAAAAAAACATCAGCTGCTTCTAACACGCAACTCGGCTAAAAGAAAGGAAGAAAGAAAAGAAGACTCGTGTGCTAGGTATGTGGTTATCCTCCCTGCTCGCAGCTCTCCCCCACTATGCCACTTTGTCAGCAGCAGCAGGCTCGTCCTCGGGCTTTGGTTCTCTTGCTCTCTCTCTCTCTCTCTCTTCTCCTTTCTGTGTGGCGCGCCGGCGCGAACGCAAGAGCCAGTTGCTCAGTTGCGCGACAAGCTTCGACTCGCGAGCTTCGTACGCACGTACCTCGGTTCTTTTCTACTTTTTGTAACTCAACAACCACTTTCGCGTGTTAGTGCCTTTTGTGTGCGACAAGCCGACTTTGGTACTTTGTTGTTGTTGCTAGGTTGCTTTGGCCACGGCGCACGGTGAGTATGCAAGAGTAATCGACGAACGTGGCGGGATTCGCCCTTTTACACCGGCCCACAGCCGACACTTGCCGGGTGTAAGCGCGCGATCGATATTATCCGCTAATTTCCAGAGCAGAACGTTCTGTATGAACGTTTTCCCGGAAACTTCGGTGTTTTCATCGACTAGCTTCGGATTACTGTTTTGCTACAGACTTATCCGAACACAATATATGCATGGTCGACAACTCGAGTGTGCATATTGTAAGTAATGTTACTTGGCGTTTAAACGCTAGCTGATTATTTTTTAATACAGTCGCGCTATATACTATATTCGAAAGTTTTTCAGTTCAGAATGTTTTATTGACATAACGGGAATGCAATGTCGTAAAACTTCATTAGTGGAATAAATATGTAAATTCGCGATCAGTTTAAACATTTTTTTTTGGAGCACGTAAATCTCGGTGTTATTACCCCTTTCGAGTAACGGAGCCAGATAATTTTTCCACTCTGTAGACTATAGCAATTAAAACTGTTTAGAGATTCCCCCCTCCCCCAATATACACACAGATATATATATATATATATATATATATATATATATATATATATATATATATAAAATCCGACCTCGATTGAAAGTTATTACACTTCTTTTTCTTTTTAATTAAAGCGAGTCCCATTCTCATGATGTTTTGTAACATCGCACAGTTACTTATCGCGTTTGAGGATGCAGTCGTATCAGCTTCTTTTAATGATGCATTTCGCAACTGCTTTTCTTTACATGAAACTTATACGTCTATTCCTCACGGTGACTTTTCGAAAACTCGTATAACGACACACGACGACAATAAAACGAATAGAAATCCACATCCGAGCACAAGCATCGCCTTGCAGACAAATCGATGGGGCTTTTCCCATTGTGACTGCGGCGCTGCTCGTTGGCGCGAGGGTGGAAATCTGGCTCTTTCGTCGCAACGCACGCACGCGCGCGCAGTGTGGGGTAATTTCTCGTGGGGCGCGTTCACGCACACGAGGGTCAGGGTCGATCCAACTGCTCTCGCGGGCGAGGCGAGGTATATCGCCGCGCAGGCCGTCGACCTGCTATCGCCGCTCGCTGATTCGCCTTTTTCGTTTTTCGTCGCGCGCACACGCTCTCTCCAGTTTCACACTGTCGTGCGCAGCGCCACGCGCGCTACAGGCGCTTGTATTGTCTTGTGGTTTATCACCTTGAGATACGAGTGCAATTTTCGATAAGGGAATGGGCTTTTAACGTCGATTGTCATGGTCGGTTCTCTCATTCTTCGTCAGTGTTTTACGTTGCAAACGCTTAATTGAGTTTCCACGGACGTAAGTGACGATTGTCGCACTTACTTAATTACGTTGGAGCGTTTCCCGGTTTGATTTTGTGTTAACAAATCTAAACCCCTCAAGCGTATAGAGATCTCGCTATATTCTGGCAACCAGAGAAGAAAAAAGGAGAGAGAGAGTGGTTTCTAGAATTGAATCAAATGATTCATATCTCGAGAGTTCAAGTCTCTCGCTCTATCCCTCGTAAAAATCAACTTGGGGTACAAAGACAGTCGTGCTCCTGCGCCGCTCTTTTAAAGAAAAACAAATAAAGCGAAATCACATGAAGCATCCGAAGCGAGCGATAATTCGTATATAGCGATCTATTTTTGTGTCTCTGTGTGACTCGCGAAGGGTGGCTTGTATTTTGACGGGGTCCTCGCGTGTGCCCGAGCACACGTGTGTCATACGCGTGTTATTTTTTTTACTTTTCGCCTCGGAAGCCACGGAGCTACAACCCCTCGACGACTTTCAGAGGTTTCCGGCGCAAAATGCGCGACGCGTGACATGCTCGTCTTGTTGGCTTTTGCTTATCGGCTCTCTCGATTGCCTCGAGCGTGTGTGTCGCAGCGCTCTCTCTCTCTCTCTCTCTAGGGACTTTTCGTTGGGTAGCCGATGATGCACGCCGGCCGCTCGGGCTCGGGAGCACGTCACAACGAATGCACGTGAGAATCTGGTGCGTTGTTGCACGTGCTCGTCACGCTTTTCCGGGCGCGTAGAGAGCTTGGCGTCAGACCGCGCATCTCTGCTATTAATCTCGAGATATGCTCCACGACTCCCCCGTTCCTCGAAGGACGGCGACGCGTGCGTTGCTGTAACGCCGCGCGGTGTTTTCATTCGTGCCGCCGCGGCTCGCCCCATTCAAACGCGTGTATTTCGTTGCGGCCAGCTAAGCGCGGCTCGTTCAACGCGAATCCACGCCCGCGGCACGGCTCCTCGCTCGATCGTATATCGTCGTCGCGAGGCGTCGCGTGAAAATCAATCAACTTCCGAGAACGAGCATGAAATCTAAACGCTTCCTCGTACGCTCATTGTCACAGTACTTTGCAGTCGCCAAATGTAAATTAGACGCAATCGCGTTATATCAAAGTAGCTCGTAAATCAATCAAGGGAAAGGATGCATAAGCGAGAGGGCATTGCCGTCCAGATTTGGATCGGCCTAGCTTAATTGTGATTGATCGGGCAAGTCGCACACTGCAACGTTTCGGGCGTTCAGGGAGTGTCCCTCACGCTCATTGCATTGTTCGATCGACCGCGGCCGACTGCTCGAGCGAGGGGAGTTGGGATCGCGCCATTTAATTACACGGCTCGGTTTTATATGTGTCAATTGCTCGTTAATTGTTATCGCGAACGTGTGACGAAAAACCGTCGATATCTTAATTGACTTGCGATCGCGCTGGGTTGCGCAAGACACTCGCGAGAAGCGTTAGCAAACGTATCAACAGTTTCTTCCTCTCGCTCTCTCGATCGGTTCGTGAATTGAAAATGACTCGTGTCACTGTGAGCGGACGATATTGGCCGTCATTATCAGCGGCGTTTATAGTGCGTGCAATTTATAAAAGTCGAACAGCGATATCGCTCAATATACCATGCTATTCGTTTCTTTTCCTTGCTGCCTTTTATGTCCCTCTTTCGTCCTCGCCGATTGCAGAGAGCGCGATCGTACGTCCTCTTTCGAGCGCGAGCGCCAACCTATCGATCATTTCTCGCGGGAGGCGTGCATTTAAAGGGGGAGAGGAAGTTTTCCCGCAGAAGGCTCTCTCGTGCTCGCGCACGATGGTCGCGCGCGCGCGCGCAAAGAAATCAAAGTGCCCGGCGATGATTCAGCGCGCGCGTGCAGTTCCAAATGCGCTTCGCGCGCGATATTCGTACTTTCGAGCCGCTAAATTTAGCCGCGCCGCCGTCCTTGTTTTTGATCCGTCTATTTGCATTTCGGTCGGAATCACAATGTAGCGTTACGCGAAGAAAGTTCTTTTTACCGAAGCGAGCCAATTAACGGATGGTCGTAATAGCGCGTGCGTGAAATGGCCACTTCATTTTCAGCTCGTTAAATCGGCACGGATCTCTTTACACGCGTATACACTCGCACACAGAGTGAAATCTCCAGTGTAAACATAATACCGCGTAGCCCAATTTTTTTTCTTCCTCTGCTGCACTTTCTCTCGTTTTTTATCTGTTTTTTTTTCAGACAGCCACGAGATTCAATCGTAAAAGCGTTCGTGGCGCGTTTAATTAAAAACGGGGGGGGGGGGGGGGGAGGGGGTATACAAAATTTAGGACTCGATAATGACAGTGTCTGCGGATGCAGGCGACAACTTGGACATTGCGTTGTGCAAACGTGGCATTCGCGACTGGCCGGTTCGCTTTGAGACGTAGCGAGTCTCTTTCGTTGCTCGCCGGGCGATGGTCGCCTCGGATCTTGAAAGTCGATCGCGACCGAGCAATCGCAGCGCGAAAGCTCGCGTCGAACGATCGGTTCGAGGACATCGGCGGCGTTCGATCGGCGCGCATCGTCGCGCGAGCGTATTACGCGCGCGGCAGACAGTTTTCTCGCTCGCGACGACGCCGACGGCGACGACGACGAGTCGATCTATATTTGGCGCGCGCGAGAGCAGAGGCAAAAGGCGAGTGGCCTGCTGCCGGCACAGCTCGTATTGCTTCTCTCGCAGGTATGCGCGAGTTGCTCGCAGTTTGGGCTTCGCACTCGCGCTTCCGATCGATTGAATTGTCGCGGCGCTCGAGGTACTCTCTGGCATCCTTCGTCGTCGTTACGTTCGGGGCTTACTTTCTTTTCCATTACGACTCGAACGAGCGAAAATTCGGAAGATCATTCGCAGGGTTGCGATCGGGAAGAGATTCGCGATTCTCCTTTCCCTCGTACGTCCAGCTGGTGACTTCGTTGACTCTCGTATCGGTGGCACGCAAGCATCGCTGGCGATATGCGATGTGTACGGCTAATATTCTTCCATTTCCGGGCGATATGCGTGCGGCAATTCCGTGAAACGAACGGGCAAAGCTGCGCGAGAGAGCGCGCAGGATACTTGATTGTGTTCCAAGCGATATTACCGTTTGGTTTTCTTCCTCGTTCTTTCCTAGGCGTCCGAGCTCAATTTCAGTTTTCGTCGAGCAATCTCGCCTGATTTACGCTCGATCGAGCGTCCCGCTCGCAGGTCGCTCGGCGCACCTGCTGCCGCGCTGCCTCTCGCCGTCTGAAACAAGCCGTAACAGAAAATCCAACCGCGCCTAAACCACAGCGGCGCGCGATCTTACGAGTAGTTTCAAAGGGAGCCGCTCGAGCCCGCCTTCGAAAACAAAAACTGCGCGCATCCGGCGATCATCGCCGTCGCGGCGTGTTGCGTTTGCGCGAGCGCGGCCGATTTAGCGTGTAAGAGCGCGCAAGAGCGGATCGCGTTGGCAATCACGAAACAATTTTGCGCGAGCGCGTACGCTGTCGCGGGTCGCTGGCCGCATTCCGGACGCGGTAATAGCAGCGCTGGCGAGAGCGTCGAAAAAGAAAAAAAGGAGACGAAAAAAGGAAAAAAAGAAGACAATAAGCAAATAAAAAGGACAGTGGAAAGAGGCAACGCGCGCGTCGGCGCTCGTTATCGCTAATGGCGTGGACGCGCGTGTGCGCGACAGCTGCGGCCCAGCCGCCGCGGCCCGGGGAGCACACGGGCGTCCGCGCCGTCGATCGACCGGGATCCGGCCTGCAGTTTCGCCAGCCTCTCGCCGCCGCATCGCAGTCTTCCTTCGCGCTTCGACGTTGCAGGACGCCAAACCGACTTCCTGCCGCGCGAGCGCCGTCGACCGTCGGCCTTCTCTCCTCTCTCTCTCTCTCTCTCTCTCTCTCTCTGTCTGTCTCGCTCGGCAAGAGCTGCGCGCGCGACACCGCGGGGATTCGCAGTCGTTGTTCGAACAACGGAACGCCTTCGCTTGCGGTCGACCGCGCCCTTGCGGCCCGCGACGAACGAGAACGCGGACTCGCGCGCTTCTGCCGATGCCGAAAATTTCACGCGTTTCCCTGCGCAAGTCCTCTTCTCTCGGCTTACTGCCGAGAAGACGGAGCGGGACGGGGGGGGGGCGGAGGAAGAGAAAAAAGAAGGCCAAAAGCCTCTCTACGCGCGAGCATATCGGATAGATAGATAGATAGGCCGAGAAAGAAGAACGCCTGCCGCTACACAACGACGAGCGGAGCAGCGGCCTGCCCCAGGGATCAATACCTGCCCGCGCTTCGTTGCGCGAGAGAGCCCCCTCGCGCGCTGCGTGTATCGGCGGAGCTGCTTCCCGCCCGACGCGCAGGCCATCGAATCGGCATTTTTCAGCCTCGAGAGATACTTTGCGCGAACCAAAAGCTCCCCTTGCCATGAATCCAGAGAAAGAGAGAGAGAGAGAGCGTGCAGGCCTCTGCGCGAGGCCAGCTATTCAATTTCGCATACTCGGCGCTCGATATCGACGACCGGATGTCAATTCAAACTCTCTCTCTCTCTCTCTCTCTCTCTCTCTCTCTCTCTCTCTCTCTCTCTCTCTCTCTCTCTCTCTTTCTCGGTCGAGTTTTTGCACGCACGATTATGCTTTGGCGCGTCGCGGTTTCCTCGCCGCAGGCCGGCGACGCACAATAGCGCGGCAATTACTAAAAGCTGGCTTCCCCTTTGCAGGCGACTTTGCGAGCAGTTCGATTCGCCATGATGCAGACCAACGGCGAGCACGCTGAGAACGGCTTCGAGAGGACCGGCTGGACGGTGAGTTGGCCCTTCGCGCTGCCACGCCGGAGCCTCGACAGCGGCGGGCTCGCCCCCTCGCTCCCCTTTCCGTGCTCGGGCCCGCGGCCGACGCTGTCTTCCCCGACGCGAAGTCGGCCCGGCTGCCGTGCTCGCGGACGTCGCTCCGCGCGATCGCTCGGGACGGCGGACGCGGAGTCGTTCGCCGGCGCAACTGCCACCGAGGACGCGCGCGCAGAGCAACGTCCGGACCCGATCGGCTCGACGGGACGCAACGAGTAATCGCCGCGACCAATTCGCAGATCGGCCTGATCAACGGCAAATTCAAGTACCTGACGGCGGAGACGTTCGGCTTCAAGATCAACGCGAACGGCGCAAGCCTGAAGAAGAAGCAGCTGTGGACGCTGGAGGGCAACGAGCAGCAGGTCTACCTGCGCTCCCACCTGGACCGCTACCTCGCCGTGGACCAGTTCGGCAACGTGACCGGCGAGACCGAGGACGCCGGCGACCCCGGCTGCGCCTTTCAGATCCACATCGCCAGCGACGGTCAGTGGCCATTGCCGAGCTCGCCGCCGCGCGTGCGACGGACCTTCGGCTCGGCCGTCGGCGATCCGTTGCACGCGTCGCGACAATCGCCCGTTCGTCACTTAATCCCGTCGTTCGTCGTCGGCAGGAAGCGGTAGATGGGCGCTCAAGAACGTGCAGCGGGGCTACTTTCTAGGATCGAGCCAGGACGAGCTCAAGTGCACGGCCAAGGCGCCCGGCGAGTCCGAGTACTGGCTCGTTCATCTCGCCGCCAGGCCTCAGGTGAGCTGTCCGCTTTGCTTTGCAGCGCTGCCTTTCGTCGCCCTTTCTCGCTCGGTCGCTTCGAAAAGTAGAAAAAAAAGAGGTATCTCACGGCTGCATAATGGCGCGCGCGTCCATCCGAGTTGCCCGCTATACGCGCCTGTTGCTCAACACTCGCGGCTACCAACGCGTCCGCGCAGGAAAGATAAAAATGCTCATAACGGACCGTTGCCACGAGCGGTTATGGACGTGCATACAGCGCACCGTGCATACGTGCTCGCGCTTTTTCTGCTTTGCTTAACGGCAGGCAGGAAGGCTGCGCTAGGAAAAGTAAAATGGAACGATCGCCTTGGGACGATCGTTTGTTTGTTTTTCGTGGTAAGCTCTGTCGAATCGCCTTCAAGCCGCTTCGTCGATCGTCTCATCTTATTCGCAACGAGTCACGTCGATCGATCAAAAAGAACGCGAAATAAACGCCTGCCACCTTCACTGTTCTTCGCCACAATGAGCTACGGTCATCCTCTGACTCACGGTACTTTTTGATATCGGCGCTCGATCGCATTTCTTGCCTTTTCTTTTCCATCGCTAATACCCAATTTAGAGTCGTCAAATCTTATCGGTTTGTGTGTGTCTCTCTCCCTCTCTCTCTCTCCCTCTCTCTCTCTCTCTCTCTCTCTCTCTCGTGGGAATTCGCGTGCAGTTTAACGGTGTCATGGGCAAGCCAAGGCGAATTAAAAAAGGCAGCTCCGTTTTTTTACGAGCATCTCGCTAGTGGGAAAGTTATAAAGTTCGATCTCGTTCGATCGTCGACACAGAAACTTTACGAGCGTGCGGCGCGGTGTATGTGTCGTGACGATCACGGAAGTCGATAGAACAAATCTGACTTTTTTCAACTTTCTCCACGTGTCGTTTCCGCAACGACGTTGTGTTCAACACTTTTGCTTTTTTTCAATTTTAGATCTAGATTTAGAGCGGCTGTAAAAAACACACACACTCAATTCTTCTTTTTTTCACGTATCCCTCAACTATGGAAGGAGCAATAAAACAAATTGAAAATTTCTAGGTGAACCTACGCTCGGCAGGCCGCAAGCGTTTCGCTCACCTGAGTGCGTCGCAGGACGAAATCCACGTGGACGCGCCAGTGCCATGGGGCGAGGACACCCTCTTTACCCTGGAGTTCCGTGGACCGAGCGAGCACGTCGACTCGCGTGGCAAACCCGAGGGCGGCCATTACGCTTTGCACACTTGCAACAACAAGTACTTGGCGCGCGATGGCAAGCTGCTCGAGACTTGCACCCGCGACTGCCTCTATGCCGCCGAGTTCCACGCTGGACTTCTTGCCCTCAGGTCGGTCGAAGGCGCGAGCCTGGCGAGCGGATCGTTACGCGACGCTCGGGAAGATTGACGTATCTCGTCTCGCGCGCTGTATGAAGAAATAAAGCCACGGACACGCGCACCGCCCGCCTAATAAAGCGAGAGAAGAGAAGAAAAAAAAAAGAAAATTGGAATCAATCCTTTTGGCTCGCCACTAAATCACCGTGGACGTGTGGCGTACTCACATATAGTCATTACGAGTGACTCACCCGAGAGAGGCCGTGTTCTCTACGTTCGAGGAAGAGGGGCCGCGAAAGTTTCGCCAGATACGGGCACACCTGCCTGCCTCGCACGCGGCCGAAGCCAATTGTCTTCTTTTATTTTACTTTCCGCGCCCAAAGTCGCGGGGATTCGGCGTTACGAGGACTCTCTCGGGTCAGCCGCGGGCCAGCTGATGTGCGTTCGCGTAGGCTCTGCTCGCGAGGGCTCGCGCGCCCCTGATGGGTCGACACGTCGCCGAACGCATGAATATTCAACGTTTCGGGCAAGCGCGGCACGAGAAAAGAGAGCCGTACCAACAGAGGCGCCCTTTTGCGGTTTTCGCAGAGACATAAGCGGCAGCTATCTGGCGCCGATCGGCAGTAAGGCCGTGCTGAAGTCGCGCTCGACCAGCGTGACCCGAGACGAGCTGTTCTCGTTGGAGGACTCGCTGCCCCAGGCCTCGTTCGTAGCCGCCCTCAACCAGCGCTACGTGTCGGTGAAGCAAGGTAAGCAAATTCCAAAATGCGCCGTCCGTGAGCAGCGGGCAGCGATTTGTTCGAGCACGGGAGCTGCTCCGGTAGCGACGTTCGATAACAATGATCGGCAGCCGCTTTGTCGTGTAATTATGAGCCGCTACACTCGTAGAACACGCCAATTCGCAGAGTCGAGGAAACCGTCGATCGACAAGTTCTCATAATATTTCAAGCTATACAGGAGTGTCACTGCACATAGGCTCTGCCTGTCTTTTGCGGTCGTATTGCTTCCTGTTGCTGCTGCGTACGCCTTTTTTTCTAAATTTGTTTCCTGCCATTGTATCTCGCGGTAACCTTGGGACAAACTGCTCCACTTTATTGCTCGCTGCGCTGTTTACAATCACTCCGCTGTGGTTGTAACTATTGAGTAATTGCAAAGGCCGTGACGACAGCGTCTTTATATAAATTGGTATTCGTTGATTGTGCCGAGATTGTAAAACCACTTTGCATAAAAAATGTGGGAACTACAGCTCTTTGAGCCGTAGACGCCGCGGCGTTCTAATCGCGATCGTCATTGTGTGCGCCGCGTGAAACGTGTCAGAGTTAATTTCCGTAAATGGTTGAAATCAAAGTGACGAAAAAAAAATATATATATATAAACGCTGCGCTCGCAGCTCAATTAAAATATTAGAATCCAGCAAGCCGGCTTTTCTCGCCGGTAGACGAAGAAAAGGGAGTGAGAGAGACTGAGAGCATAATAAAAAGCATACGCTTCGATTAAAAAAAGCTCGTTTCCAAGGAGTATAAAAGGAATACAGACGCGCGCGTATAGGCGCGTGTGTATAAAACACACAGGACGTTTGTCTCTCTCTTTCTCTCTCTCTCTCTCTCTCTCTCTCTCTCTCTCGTTCTTTCTCTTCTCAATCTGCGACTACTGCAGCCGGAAATGGAGGGGCCTCTTAGAAATTCATGAGGTGCTCTCGCCGCAGCTCGGCATGCTAAATGCTGAAACACTACTTGTCTATGCTGCTTGCACTTCTTACTCTCTCCCCCGTTAATTTTCCTTTTGCTGCCGCTGCTATTGAATTTCAGGCGATGCAGAATTCCCGAAATTGTTTTTTTTTCTTTCAACTTCGCCGCACGAGCATATATCGATTGCGCCGGATGGTCGACGTGTGGGGTAGTTTTCGTGGTGTGAATCATGGGCGAGAGTGATTCATGAATTATTTGACGCGCGCGCTTCCTCCGTGGCCTCGCGAATCGCCGATAGATAATTTATTACGGCGAGGGAGCAGTCGCTCGACGACGCTGCGGTCGCGATGTTGTATCAGGGCAGACTGCAAGAAACGCAGGCCAATCAGCGGTGAGAGCTACTCGAGCGCGGCTGCTATTACTATCACTCAGAGTTCATCAACGGTCTCGCGGTTTCGCTCGCGGCCGACGGAGAATTAAGCCGTTTCTAAACTTTTGCACAACTCGCGCAATTGCCGGCTTCCTCGTCGGCACTGTGCCGCGCAATTCGCGCGCCGCCTCTCGCCGCTGGGTCTCTCCGATCGTCCTCTCTCGCGCAAGGCGAGCGACAGCCGACGACTGATTCGTCTTTTGAAATTGCAGGCGTCGACGTGACGGCCAACCAAGACGAGATCTCCGGCCACGAGACCTTCCAACTAGAGTTCGATCGCACGACGAAGCGCTGGTACGTGCGCACGATGCAGGACCGCTACTGGACCCTCGAGTCCGGCGGTGGAATCCAAGCCTCCGAGCATAAGCGCAGCTCCAACGGCTTGTTCGACTTGATCTGGCAGCCGGAGGACGGCACCGTGGCGTTGCGCGGCAATAACGGCAAGTACTTGGCCACCAAGCGCTCTGGACATCTCTACGCCAACGCCGACAACGTGAACGTGGAGAACGACGCATGCAAGTACTACTTCTATCTGATGAATCGGCCCGTGCTCGTGCTGCGCTGCGAGCAAGGATTCGTCGGGCCCAAGAGTGCCGCCAGTCCCAAGCTCGAGTGCAACAAGGCTGGCTACGAGACCATCAGGGTCGAGCGATGCGAGCGCGGCATCGTCAGATTCAAGGGTGAGATTGGCTTCACGCCTTTGCGGTGGCTTTGAAAGAAATGCCTGTCGACGATGATCGTAATTCACAGGGCAAAACGGCAAGTACTGGCACGCAGACAGCGAGGGAGTAACAGTCGACTCGGACGTGCCGTCGTGCGGCTTCTACCTTGAGCTTCGCGAGCCCTCGCGGCTTTGCATCAAGAGCACTGACGGTCGTTACTTGTCTGCCGGCAAGAATGGAGCCTTGCGCCTCGGCGAGATCGACTACGCCTCCGCCACCAAGTGGGAATTCTAAATTTACCTCGTCGCCGTCACACGCGAGCGACGAGCAGCGTCTCCTCGCGCGCGGAAGATCGCATTTTTTTTCCTTTTTCTCGAAAGGTGATGGGTGAGCTTTGTGGATCGGGGAGCAAGCTCACTTGCATGGGTGTGCATGCGAATCGGAGCCCCTTTTGTAATCTCCAGTTTAATTAAAGATGAAGAGAAAACGCTGAGATCGCAACAAGTCTTTCGCTCGAGCGAGGGACACCAACTTTATATGCTTATCGCAGAAAAAAGCTTTGTACTCTTATAGAAGCCAAACTCGCGTGCGTTGTGTCTACCGCTCGCGAGAGCCAACTCACTTCGAATCAATCCATTCCAATTCGATACCTTTTTTATAAATATATATATATATATACATATTTATATATACACGTGCACTTTTATACCAAATAGACGTTGTTTGAGAGGGAGAACCAAGTCTGTTGCGGCAATACATGTGTTGTAAGAGGAAGAAAAGAGTTGCAAAGACCGGGAATGGAATTTATTAGATGTACGTTCTTTTTTGGAGTCGACGCAGTTCAGTCTTCGACGTCGATGATAAATTTCTCTTTTTCAGCTCGGCGACTGGGCTGCGAATGAATTTTTTACGTGTCGATCACGCACTTTTTCATAAATGGTCGTTTATACATAAACAAAATGAAATTTTTTTCGATGCAATCTGTCTTTTGTGTAAATATATATACTCTTGTACTTAATAACAAACTATATTTCTATCCCAATTTGGCTAAGTAAACCTTTCGTACTAACTTTTATTGTCTCCTTTTTATATAAATATACCTATATACATAAAAGTATATAATTATCATTATCGAGATGAAATGCAATGATGGAAGAAAAAAAGGTAAAAAGAATGAAGTGCAGTAGAATTATAAGGATATTTTATTTCTATAGCATCGATCGTTTGGTATTAGGATGATATTTTGTAGTTTCGCGCAATTTCTTTTTCTTGTATGTATCTCGTTGTTCATATAACGAGGTCGTCAAATACTCTATAATGAACAAAATAAATATAAAAATACTAAGCGACGTGTCAAAGCCTCGTAAAATTAATAAACGGTTTTTATGAATGGTGACAAGTAGTTCAATTATTTATTTTTAATATCCTTATATATTTTTTTTATATCACTCTATACTTTGTTGTATGCACATATTTTTAATAAAATATGGGTTCAGGTTCTTCTGCAAATTTCAATAGTAAAGAAAAGAATTACTAATTACTAACTTATTTAATTCATGAATATTAAAAAATTTCAATCGCTATTTCAACAAATTCCAATCCGATACACTATAGTTAATTTACTGTATTAACGTATGAATGATTTTCAGGTTCTATTAAAAAAGGAAGGAATCAATACTTAATAAATGTACAAAATACATTTATTTTAAGATATCATAAAAATAGAAGCTTAAAGGCTAAATTTATGAACACTCTATATACACCCGACACTTCAGATTAGCAACTGAAGATAGTTTTCGACAAATATAAATCTCTTATAATACATCAAATTCAACATTTTTACAGATGTATATGTATCATACATTTCACACGTTGTCAAAACTTCACCAACACGGTAACAAGTCAGCTCACACTGTCCTCTTGAAAAATTGTTCATAATATACAAATAAATGTAACAAAGTTCACAATATCTTCATTCACATCTTACGATAACCTACTTTTCATCTTTTCAAATTTATTCTTGTCAATTTTTAGCATTTTTAATAAGTCGTTCTTTTTGAAATTGTCGCTTGGCGGTTTTCTCGTCAAGTGACGTTGTGAATTCACGGAATAAAATACTCAGGCTTGGATACATCAAAGGTAACAGCGACAGTTCCGACATCTTCACTTTCATGAAGTCATAAGCGATACCAACTCGGCTCAAGTCGGTACCTTGCTTTGGCAATAGTGGCATCTTGCTGTATCGTTGCGAGAAATGCGTGAGTATGGTAAACTCCGCATTAGATTTGACTCCAACATTTACCGCTTGGGAAATAGTTGAATGATGCTTCTGCGCTGCATCGGTCTCTAGACCATCTTCCATCGTTGCTTCGTGAATAAGCAAAAAACTGTTTTTTGCTAGTTTTACAAAACTGTCACATGGAATTGTGTCACCACTGGAAATGAAAATAATAAATTAATTTGATTTGCTCTATTATAAATATTTGACTATTAAGACTTATTTGTTACCTATAAGAAATTTTGCGCTCGTCTTTTAATGTTAACGCGACACCATAGGCATATGGACAGTGTTTAACGAAAGCTGTGTTGATATTAGATATTTCCAGGCGTTCGTACATTTCTTTTGCTATTGTAAATGGCAAAATATTTTGGCCCAACAGTAAGTCCCTGTTTGAAATTAGTTTGAAATTTTTGCAAATCGATTCAAATCTATGGTCATACAAATTTAGATAATCCTCAATTTGTTCTGGAGCTATCAGATATAATTTATCGTCAGTAACACGCTCTCTTTGCTTCAAAAGTCCAATGAAACCTAAATGATGATCAGCATGCAAATGGGATACATAAATAGCCTAAAAATAAAATTTATTATTGTAAATAGAACTTTCAAATCTCTACGTATAATTTGAAGAATTACTTACGTTCAAATTTTTTAAAATGTGATCGGCTTGTTCCTCACCAAAAAATCTGACCAATTGGCCGGCCGTACCTTCACCGCAGTCCAACAAAATGTTATTGTTTTCTGATATTTGTAAAAGTATGCTGCTTGTATTTCTGATTTTGTTTGGAATAGAACAGCCCGTACCTAAGAAGACTATTTTCGGATATTCTTCAACAGTTCCTAAAGATTTAATTCTATTATTTGTTTCTGTTTGTAAATCAGCAATAGCATCACACAATCCGTCAATGCTCAATGCCTCTTGAACGTATTCTCTTGGATTTAATTTAACTTCAGTATTGTCAAAGCCTTTGTGCGGACGTAATTGGATTCCATTTAGAGTTTTACAGTGTCGTATTTTTAATTTATTTTCATTCTAGAATTCATATTTAAATATATAATTTGTTAGCAAGTACGTAATTTCGATGAATTAGTAATATCAAAACTTACTCCTAGTTGATTTTCCTCTACTTGAATTTCATTTTCGACGTTGTTTAGTTCAGAAAAGTAAGTTTTATTCTCAAAAAATGGAAATATTTCACCATTAATCAAATGAAGTTGATGTTGCATTTTGTGAATAGATTCACTTCCATTGCATTTGCTCTCTTCATTTATTATGAGATGTTCGGTGCTTTCACCAAATTTGTGCATCCATTCCTTGTATCTTGGATCATTCAATATGGCTGCTGGCGTAAAGTGCACTATATAACTGGCAATTTTTTCTTTATTTTCAGCTGTGTTTTTCTGATAATTCAAGAAAATTGGATTATTAACAATAACATCTATCCAATCTTCATTAGGACACTCCATAACTTAAACAGTAAAAATAAATTAATATTTACATGAATTATTACATTTCTAATCTATCAATTACTTTTATAAATTTTTTAGTGCTTACCAATGAATAAAGGTCCTGGTTCTGCTGGATTGACAACATCTACACTTCTAACAACTGTTCCATTAGGAAGTGTGACATCTTTACCATCTTTGAGTTTTCCCATATCTGGACCAGATTTAATACCAGCATCGACACATTTAACAAGATTCAAAGATCCTGCTTTGGGATGAATTTTACAAATATAAACCATCATAGTATTGATTCTATTCATAATCAAAGGAATTCCTTTTCTTGTTACTGGTGCTGGACTACCAGGTGTACGAGGTCTTTTACCATTTTGATTAGGCTTATCACTGTAAAAATTAATTTTATCTGCATCACATGAAATAAACGAAATGCTATCGTCTTCTTTTGATTCTTCTGTTGATTTTTTTGAAATTATATTTTTTATTGTATGATATTCAACTGTCATTACATGGTCCTTATAAGTCCTTGAGGTATCTACTGCTTCAACATTTAATTGATTGATGTTGACAAAGTTATCAATTGCCTCCATTAATTCATTTGTTCCTTCTGGACCATGCAAACAAATTTTTGGTACACCTGTATCTTGTATTGTTAGAAGAGCTCCTGGAATTCCACCCATATTGTCCCACGAAGCTTTTGTCACAAAAATATGCTCAATTTTTGAAAGTTTACAATGATGTTCAGTCGCCAATCTTTGTGTGCCTTCTCCGCAATTAAATAAATAATTTGTGTGATCTGTATTAAGCAAGACAGATCTTGAATCAGCTGGCGACCCATTGCCAATTACCTGTAATTTTTTCATTTATTAATGAATGGAATCTTACTATTTCTTTTTGTTTCTATCAAAAACTAGATATATATTAGTATGTATATTATCAGCAACTTTGGAACGAAATCAGTTAAAATACATATTAAATATAAACCTAAGTTATAAAAAAGTAGGTATAGATAGACAAAAATTTGGAAATATTTTACTTATCAAAGTATTACCACATTATTCAAACATAGTTTTCATTAAAAAAATTACAGCTACTAGTAAAAATCTTAATTTACCTGGAGCGATATCATAGATGGAGCATATTTAGTAGATTTTAATTTCTGTTTCCGTCGTTGCATTTGCAAATCTTGCAAATATGCATTATCTTTAGGCATCATTGGGGGTCGCAAGGGAGTGTGCTTAATTTTGTAACTACGAATTAGAATCGCAGCTCTATAGAACGATTTTAAAGAAGCTTGTAAGGTGATGAAAATCATTCGCGTAACTTACTTTATTATTTGTTCTCTAATTAACAGAAATTTATTATTGTTTGAACACTAAATTTTAACTACTGTATGTAGTTGTATAGTGATTTAGAACTAGAGCAAACTAACCTCAAATCTTATGAATGCTTTGTATATAATACAGGAATTGAAGAAATCTTTGTTATCGACTTACTAATTCGAATCTGCTTTATCATTTGAGGAGTACTAAATTTGAATTGTTAAAAAATTTTAAATGTGTTAAAATTACAAATTTGAATACGTAATGGTTACAAGAATAAATTAATAAGGGACTTCTTACTTTCATTAATTTTTTGTAATGGGAGTGAAAAGAAACATAGTTATGTTACAATCATTAATTAAAAAGAAACATTTTAATCAAAATTGCATACATTATAATGGAATAACTTCGTATAATAGCTGGAAATATGATATACGATAAGAAAGAACAAGGTAAACTCAACCCATCAGCTACCCACGCTCAAAGTCTTTGAAAGTAAATCTTCTTGGTGCGCTTCAAGATTCCACTTGGATAACGCTAATTAGATTCGCCAGCGTTAATGTCTTGATTAAAGTTGGATCGAATCGAAGAGAATGGTTTCCTCGAGAGTTATTTCCTGTCTGATTGCGAAATGAGAAATTCGTTTGGGGATCATTTTTCTGAGCATTGTTATAATCTATCGTGTCTTAGAGTTGATTACCAAGGCGGAAAATTCGATCACTAATATAACTCATTCTATCTTTTTGTGATCCATAGTCATACGTCACTTTTATTGCATGGAAATCTTTATTTCTTGCGCTAACGTTTTCTGCTCTTTAAAATTATACATACACATACGCACACCGATACAATTTTCAAATCAGAAATAATAATGTAAGTTGATGCTTCTAGCAGAAAATCGAATTATAATAGTTAATGTTAGTAAAAAAATGTGAGTGTTGACGCGCTTCGCGTCCTTGATAAAAAAAAGACACGAAAAGCGGGTCGAAGAGTTCAAATGAAAGGTGAATCAGGGGGAAAAAAAGGGTTGCTTTGTCAAACGAAACAAGGATCAGAAGAAATTAAGACTGTTTGTTTGTAGAGCTGTCACAGAAAAGTCATTAGTTTCACGAAACTTCGCAATTTCTTCTTCCGTTTTTGCTCTTGTGTCACGTATAATTTGCGAAATTTCACATCGTTTTTCCGCAAAGACGCCATAATCATTGACGTCTCCCTGCTTTTATTTGCTTTCATTTCACAATTATGTATGCGTTTTGTGGTTTGTCAACATATCAAGCGCATCGTGCATTGGTTAAAAACGCCGAATTGACTGTTCGCGAGGCTGTAATCATTAAAAAAAAAACAAGTACTTTCCCAAAATAAGGAGAGAAAAAAAAAAGAAAAAGAAAGTCGAAAAAAAACGCGTGGACGTAGCACGGAGCGATTGGCGGACGGTTCGTTCGGAAAAGAAAAAAGCTCGAAAAGGTGCGCTTTTTAAGCAAGTAGCGCCGTCTATAGTTCGGCCGGTCCATATACCACCTACGCCGGGTGGAACTTCAATCCTCTCTCCCTCGTTCCCAGCTGCACAAGCTTTTGAATGAGGGGGTCGCGTCTGCCCACGCAATCAATAGCAAAAGAGTAGAGAGAGAGAGAGAGAGAGAGAGCGAGCGAGCTTTCGGAGAAGGCCCGTCGCCGCCGCCGACGAGTCGCGAGTTGAATGGGGGAGAGAGCGAGAGAGCGAGAGAGCGAGAGAGCGAGAGAGCGAGAGAGAGAGAGAGAGAGAGAGAGAGAGAGAGAGAGAAAGGCGGCTCGGAGTATTGATCGCGAGTTCTCGCGCGCACTTTGCCGGCCTCCCCCACCGAGTCCGCGCGTGTGCGTGTCCGTGTCTGTGCCAGCTCCATCGACCCGCCCAGCTGTATTGCCGTTCATTCATAAATCTTCGCCTTTTCACTCACTCGCGCACGCACGCTGCGCTCCCCTCTTTCCATCCTTCGTTCTCATTCAGATGCGAATGTGCAGCTCTCGCCCGAACGTCTCGAGGAAGCGCGTCCACGCGGTCCCCTCTCGCGCGGGGATCGGATCTCTTTGAGCTTTCTTTTTCCTTCTCGCCGCGGATTCACCTGCGCAGTGGAATGGCCAACGCGCGCCATCGCCGGAGCCAATAAAGCATGTGTCACGGCCGAGCTTATCTCGCTCGATTGGTGGTGACGCAAGCCAAGCGCGGCTCTGCAGCGGGCATAGCTCGCGAGACCGCGTGTGCGGCAGCTTCATTTGGGGGAAGACGAGGCAAAGACACGGCGGAACCCCTTTATCTTGGCGCTCCGCTATCGAAGTGAGCTCAACGCTGTAAAATAGCCGTGCGTAAGTGGACGTCAGTCCGCGCGTCAGCGCGAGAACTGCGGCGAAACGGCCGCTGTTTGCTCCCCGCCCCGCTGGAGATTCGCCTGAGCGCGCGGCAACTAATGTATTCATCGATTGCTCGCTCCGGTCACAGGCTCTCCACCGACGTCTCGCTCGCGGCGTTTGTCGTCGTCCCAGGAACGCCGGCCGATCTCGAGAATGCAGAAAAACTCGCCAAAGAGAACGGCGCATCTCGGAAGGAATCCGACCGGAAGATACTCCGAAACGAGCGTTTAACGATCGTTACGGCGAGCGTCGCCGGGAATACCCGGCCTGACATTTTTCCAGTCCGATCCTCTGAGCTTCATTTCCGACGATTTCTAATTGCGCTCCCCAACTTCGTCCCGGGCAGCCGTTCGCGGGCATTGTTCGCGCTTTCACGAATCGACGTCGCCGTTGTCAAAACGTCTCGCAGACGAGCCGAGAGATTAGTCGCCCGCGTAAATAGTGCGTGACGACAAGCGCGAAGGGAGCGATGGGAAGGAAGGAGGGGGGCACACACCCACGCCCGCGAAACAAAAAAATACGATGATGTAGCTATCCGAGTTTTAAAGTGTTACTGCTTTCACGGAACAAGCCCTAATGGTGGTCCCAAGCGTCAAAGTAACTACTCGAATAATCGAATCGATGCTCGCGCACATGCTGCCGAGTTTCCTCGATAAAGTGGAATACGAGTGCCTCGCTGTTTTTTCTTTTTTTCTTCTCTCATTTCTCCGACGCGTACGTGCTTGCAATAATGCATCCACGCGTTCGATCGCTATCGTAACAAGTCGTTTGTACGTACGGTTATCGACATATATTATGGAAGCTAATCAGTTTCAATTACTTTCTTGATTATCCCTTTCGAAATGGCGAGTCGTCGTCCGCCAAAATCATCGATCCACTCTTTCGCTTGGATTTTGAAAAAGCGTGGGAGGAGCGCGTTCCCAAAGCTCTCTAATTCGTCGCGTGTAAAACTGTAAATGAAGCGTCGTTGGACCGAGAGAAAATTTGAATGGAGAAATGAATGAAATCACGGCATTTGGCGTAGAAAATGCCGCCACGCGTACGTATAGAAGCACCAAATTGTACGCTCTAACGAAAACATCGTTTGCCGCACGCAGTACGGTTAAATCAGCAGCGAAGCGGCAAAGCAAATCGACTCAGCTAAAAAAGAGTTTGCCAGCGAGTCGTCGAGGCTCTCGCGATTTGCATGAAACGCATTCTCGAACCGACTTTCCATCGTCGGCGCTAATACCGAGAAATTAGAGAAATCCGTTGATTCGCGCGAGAGCGACTCGCTGCCGACGACCGTGTGGATTTGCGAGCTTGCGAATATGTTCCGATTGCCTCTCGGAAGCCCGGTGCACGAGTCACACTTTATTGACTAAGCTCAAATTTGAAATCGAATTTCCTTGCGATATTTCAACGATTTTTTAAATGATTATAATAATTCAGTGATTTTATCCGCAAATGGATTATTCCAAAAGTATATAATTGAGAAAGCATCTCTCGGGTACCAGATGTTATCGTCTTTTGCTGGGGGGAAAAAATTGTTTGGCGAATATATTAAACGGCCTTATTAGGGTTTTTTTTTTTATCGGGGGTAGCCCCGAACCATAACTTTTAATCTAGCTCGATATTATTTTAATTTGAGTCGGATAAATGTGAATATTTAACGTCCGAACGTAGATAATTTCGCAATCAAGCGAGATGGCGTGAAAAAGAAGAGAGATTTAAAAATTGATCGTTTGGCGTAGAACTCGGTGCATTGTCTACGATCACAATATAGGATTAACGCCGCCATTGATCTTTTGGAATTACGAGCGGGACGTTGGCTCCCGGAAAAAGGCTCGGGCTGCAACTTAAATTCAACGGGATCGTAACTTCTGAGCGCGCTATCTCGAAAACGACGTACTGAAATGGCACTCGTGCCGATAACCGAGGCGAATGTGCTCCGTTTCAATTTAAAAACAGAGCGTTTCTCTTTCCCGCGAAAAATGCCTATATCCCCCGATCGCGAGAGGAAGTATCGAGAAATTTCAAAATTGACATCCTCGCGAGTCGCCCGGAGTCGTTCTTGTCGCGTTGCATTTCCAAAATGGATCTCGCTCGATCGATCGCGGACTCTACGGCAAGATGAGCGCGGGCTTGCCTATCGCGCGATGCCTTTCGTGAAAAAATTGTATTTCGCACGGGCGAGTCGCTCGATCTCCGCGAGGGCTTTTAGCTCGTGCGCGGCGCGGCCATCGATCATACGGCGGCGCGCAAGCTCGTCAATTGCCACGGTCGAGTCGCGTCGTCTAGCAGGCATCGCTTGATCATTACATATTGGCCGAGGCGGGCGCAGAGGCGGACCGCGGCTAGACGCGTCCAATATTACCCTCGACCGCTGCGTTATCGTTGTCGTCGACTGACAGCTTGTCCGGGCGATCGGACCTGTATCGGTGGGGCAGTCGCTTCGTGTTTCGGCCGACGATCTCGCGCGAATCGAAGTCGACGCGCCCGGCCGCGCTTTCGAACCGACGATCGAACGCGGCCCAGTCGAGGAGGACGCCTCGATCGGCCCACGAACCGCGTCCTTGAGCAGCTGTCCGTTCGGCCGCGTCGACGTGCGCAACGTCCGGATGCCGAGTGTGACGACGACGCGCTCCGCCCTGACGTCCCGCCACTCGGTAGGAGGACGACCTATCGAGCGATATTGGATTAGCC